TCTTGGGAGTCACGAGGCTGCACCAGCTTTGATCTGAGTCAGGAGAAACCTTCTGCCGTTCCTGATGACAACAAGACTTTCTGCACAACAACAAAATGCCTGCCTGACATTCAAAGAGCCAGCGAGGCATTCAGGGGTGGGTGGAAAATCTGAAAAACAGCGTAATAAACACAAACATACTCCTGGCGCCTGGTTCCTCACATACTGAAGGTGTCCTTTTCTCTGCACAGAGGCAATGAGGAGCTACTGTGTGAAAGCTGAGGGTTCCGTTCAGTCCTCATTTTGTTAAGTACAAGGATCAAAGACATTTTATTCAGCAACGATGCTCAACTAGAGGTCAATTACAGCTCCTGTAAGAAGATCTTGCTGTTTATCAAACTGACTGAAATTAGCAATAGTGCCTTTTTATGAACAGCAAAAAAAACAACTAGATCATAAGTAACAAGCACACTGATTGTACAAAACTCCAGCATCACTAAAGCTTTGAATTTGCACACTGCTCTCTCTGAAGGAGCAGTATTGTTGTCCTAGTGTGTGATTACAAGTCACATTAGGATGCTGTGAAAGCTCCTCTATCTCATTCTGCCTCTGTTACTACCTCTGAGGGAGGATTAGAGGTGAAATGACACCACCGTTACGCCTCTATGCATTACATGATGCAGACAAGGCATAACGGGGTCGTAAATACCCCGACACATGATTACAGTTTGTATAGGCCTGAAGTGTTAACTACAGGAAGAAGATTTTTTTTTTTTTTAATGACAAAGTCTCTTAATAATTGATATATTGCGATGTTAAAGCAACAGGATTATATTTTTGTTCTGAAGTACAATCAATATTAGTACATAAAAATATATGCAATCACTGCCTTGTTCACAGGAGTCACTAAAATCCACTCAAACTAAAAGCTCTGCACAGGAGCTTCAAACAGAGAGTCTAAACTAATGCTGAAAGCCGGGAGTGTTATTGTTGGATGTTCAATATAATTAGCATGCATACTGAACTAACTGCTCTTGTAAATTGTAAGGCATGTGTACATAAAACTGCACTTATGTTCAAAAAAGCAACAAACATACAGTCATTAAAATGCTAATCCCATTAGAGGGATGAGGACTGGAGAGCTAAAGCCAATTTGAGCTGTTATTGGACATAAAGAAGGGCACACATGAACAAGACGGTGTAAGACAAACCACCTTTCTCATGTACACTAATGCACAATTCAAGAGGGATCAACTGACCCAACATCATGTCCCATGAGTGTAAGAGGAAGTTCATTGAGGACTCACGAATGCACAGAGACAACACGCAAACTCAACACAGAAAGCCAGGACTCAAACCATTGACTGCATAAAAATGGACGACAAAACTGCTCCCCAAAACAAAGCCAAAATATATGGAGCTTTCACCTTCATGATAGGCTGCAATATCAGTCATACTTGATGAGTACAGATGGGACACAGAGTGAAAAATGAAAATACATGTTTGATAACTTCTCTCAACGCACAAACACAAACACAAACAATTGCACAACTACTTACACTGTGGTAAAATTAGACATTGGGAAACACTTAAGCCTTAAATCTGGTTTTTATGTTTCAATCTCAGCTCATTTATTTCACATGATTACTCATTCATACCTGCATATCTGCACCTGAGTTTTTCACGTCAGTGCTCTATAGCTACACTGTTTATTTAGCCATTATTTGTTTTAAGTCTAGTTTTCTGTTTTGTACTATTTGTTGTTCAGATTTAAATACAGTCAATGATTTAAACCAGGAAACTTCTCACTTAAAGGCAGAAATGCTAACAATTACACTATCCTGCAACACAACACAATATTACTAAAGGTAAGAGGGGAAACTGCCAGATGAGTACTAAGATAAAGGAGAAGACAATGACAAGATTTAGTCATGAAAAGTTCAACGAGCTAATAACAAAAAAACAAACAAAAAAAAAAATACTTTTGAAAGACCAAAAACAAAAGTCCAATAAAAAAGCATAAAATTAAGACAGCACTTGAAGGTAAAAAAAATCAAGATCCAAAAGGAGAGCACAGAAGGAGCGCACTGGGGCATCAGGAAGAAGACACAATTAACCTAAATACACACCAGGAAAAGAGCAACAGATGGGACACACGACACAGGTAAAACAAACGGCAATAATTAAAAAAGGAGGGAAAACACAGGAAGTGAGCTAAACTGGGCACACTGTGGTTAAGTACTACAAAATAAAACAGGAAAACACTTAAACTGAACTGACGTACCACACCATGAAAAACACAAGGACAACAGGAGCATACTGTAAGTATGATGAACACAGAAAGAACATGAAAACAGAGGGGAAAATACATAGAAAATCATACTTAGAATGAGAAACAAAGAGCCTGTCATGACAGGAATACATACATTAGAAAGTTGAGGGTGGCATTAGGAAAACAGACAAAAAGCAAGCTAATATAAACACAAAAAAACAACATCAAGAGAACAAGACCACTACTGTTTTTAAATGCTCTTAAGGCTTTATGTATCACTAGAACTAGCATATCTCTACCTTCATTTAGAAACACTGAGCTAGACCATAGATGAAGACAAATATTTCTCTACATAATAAAGGGAGTCCTCATCAGATGGAGTGTATTTATAGGCTCTGTTTGAGTGGGTTTTTGATATTTTTCTCCTTGCTTCTTGGATCATTTCTGTCCATCACTGGCTCCACAGGGCTGCCAGGTAAATTGACTCTGTTGCTTTGGAAACAGTTTCCCCTGAATGACAGATTGATGGCAAATGGGCTATTTCACCTCCTTGTGTTTGTGTGTGAGCAGCATCCCTGCTTGCTGTCTCACACCCCCAAACACAATAACGAGAATATCCTCCCATTTATTTAGCATTTCTGCCTGTCAGACAACCCCAGCTGCTCCCTCATCCTGTTGTGCTGCTGCTGGAAACCTCCCAAAGTCCCCTTGGCGCTCCTTCTTTTCCCTTCTTTTACATCTTACTTTTTCATCGGCAACAAAATGTCTGCCACAGACAAGCTACGCTGAGGCCTCACTCACTCCTCCTCCTCCTCCCTCCCCCCTTCGCTCTCGCTCTCTCTTCGCTCTCTCTTCGCTGTCTAACCGAGCTGCAGCGGTTACGTAAGAGCTAAGGTCAAAGTGTCACTGCCGTTGTCAAGGGAGACATAGAACAGAGGGGCTTTGGAAGAGATGTGCACAGAGGGGGGCGAGAGGGAAAAAAACAGCAAACACGCAGCGGTTAAGAGAAAAAATGTGCAGAGAGGACAAAGATGATAAAGCTTTGAACATGTTTGCATGAGTAAAATCCTCAAAATGTAAGACTGTGTTTAATTTGAGCTGTGACAAAGAAGAAGAGGAAGTCAAGATCTAAAAAAGAAAAAAGTATTTCCGCATGAAAAACAGAGACATGCAGAGGAAGAGGGCTTAGGGGGGCAAAAACAAAAGAATGTGAATCCCTTTTTCTGCGTCGGTAAATGTGCGTGTGTGTGTTTGCATGTGTGTGAGTGTGTGCGTGTGTGCAACAGAAACAGAAAAAGAATCCGTGACTGTAGCTCTGCGCTCGGCTGCTCTACTAACCTAGTTTGAGTAATCTCTGCCTTCGTGCTGTTTCATAACACTGCTGCCAGAACATTGCATCATAAAGCCACCCGCTACAGCAACACCACCTCCACCCCCTTACCCTCCACCATACCCACACACCACCTCATGGGCATCAGCAGTCACACACATTTACATCACAATCTAAATCCTTTTTTATGCATACGTTTCAACATCGAGGAGAGAGGAGATGTAAATTTGTTTTTCAAAGAGCGAAAATCGTCAGAGGAAAGCGATGATTCACACCAGTGGAATATTACAAATCTGCTGCAAGATTGCCTTCCCCGTCAAATAAAAAGCTAACATTGAGATATGAATGTGCTGCAAAGATGAGATGCAAATGATTCACTAATGCTGTGATATGTTCCTACATGTCCAGATCAGAATTGTGAAAACCGAAAAGGAAGCAGTCAGCTGTGATCCAACTCTGTGACGCCACTAGGAGCTGGTTTGAATGCTAGTGAGCCATCTTTGGGAGTGCAGCCAGGGACATTTACGAATGCTCCACAACTATGGACTCCATAGAGGGACAAAGTTCAGCTAAAAAGCTTGATTAAATATTTTACAAGTGAACAAAATAGGTCAATCAAGAGAAGTCGACTTCTCTTGACTGCATGACCATGACTATGGAAATTTTCTGTTTGAACCTGCACCAGGAAGAGCTTATCACTATCACAGATTCATGTAGCTGTATTAAAGATAGCAGAAAACATGGAGCCTGAACTGCGTGGCACTATTTTGCAAATATAATCCTCGGTACATTAGGAACTTTCCTAGTCTTCTGATTGCAAAAAGTGCTTTTACACTACATGCCACATTCACTCTTCACACACACAAATTCACAGACCGATGACACAAGGTGCTGCACAAACTGCCCAATCATAACTATTTGCAGAGACAGTGTTGACAAGTACTGACATTCTGTTTGAACTGCAGCTTATCAAAACATTTTCTTATGCATTTATGTAACTTTCATAAACGATACTGACATTAAAAATGTAAATAAAAGTTATCACCACAATCCAAAATGGATTTACCAGTGTGTCATGTTTGGGCAAACTGTGCACAAACTTTTCAAAATTGAGTCCTTTGTAATTTAAGATAGTCAAAAGCAGCATTTGAAAAGCAAGATCAAAACTACTGCAAATTATCAGCTCGTGCACAAGTGTATTTTCCTTTCAAAATCCTACAGTACTGTCGCCTCCAGGCTTTCATTTTTTGGTAGTCTCTGAGGCCTAGTGTTTACATAGAGCCATCCAGTTCAACATTATTACAGTAATACTCAAAGAAGAGTGCATCAGCAGTTTGGTAAACACAGCAGAACCTGTTTGAAAGTCTCCTCCTGCAGCTTTTAACTTCTGCATCACCTGATTTGACTGATATGATCTTCAGAAATATCCAGGCAACATTCTGCACTGTTACGGTAACTGCTGCAGATTATATAAAAACGAGGGAAGTGCGTGGAAGATTAAACATCAATGTCTGTGAAGCAGAAGTTATTTGGGTCTAATTATCTTCCTATAATCTGGCATTAATCATCTCTATCCCTCACTACAATGCAGTCCGTGAAAGCTGAACACTCGTCAATCATTTGCTCAGCCACCTTAAACTCGCTCCCGTGTGCGCGCCCCCGCGAGAGCTGCGAGAGGAGCTGTCGGCAGTGAGATCATGGGAGAGTCCACGCTTGGAGAAAGTAGGTTAGCAGGGTAGACTGAGAGGAAAGCAAGCAAAGAGTCAGAGCGCAGAGGGGGGGTGCCGAACAACACTCGTCAAACCGTGTGGGACTACTCTGTCAAAAAGTTCAGCCAAATCTGTTCGCCGAGACGGATACGATGCGATCTAAATCGACTCTCTTCACTCTTTTATTTTCCTCGGACTTGACGGAGCGATAGAGGAGTTTCGGGTAGTTTTTCCCATTTTTTTATCGTGCTTTACTAAGGCTGTCTGTAGCGAAGTTAATATTTACAGAGCCAGATCACTCTGGCGTCTGCGTTTTTATCCTGCTTTTTCTTGTCATCTACATTAACCACATGTAGCCGAGTTTTTATCGTCCACAACTAAACAAGAAGACATCAAAAATGAGAGGTAAGTCGAATTATATTCTACGATCAATCTGTGCATGTTTGGTTGAACTTGGTATGGGTCTTGACGTGGTTTTGAACGGGCTTCAGCGGGCACATGTGTGCGCACAAGGACTTGAGTGCGCCTGTTTTCCTCCCAGTGCGCATTAATCCCTCATGACTGGATTATGGCTGCACTGAGCCCGAGGCTGCATGCTCAACAGTGAACTTCAGCATACAGTCAAAACCAGAGCTGAAGACGTGTTGTTTAAGAATAAAAAAGCGTTCAACTAATTAAATTAAGTTGTTTTTAACCACTTGTTTTGTGTGTTTATGGTGAACCTAGTCTCAGATTCCAGTTGCGCACATGCGTAATTCTCTGCTCGGATTAATGGCGTTGCAAAATAAGTCTCGATTAAAGTGAAATATGAGTCACATTTAACCTGGGAGTCCTTCTGTAAAATTTGTCTGGGGAACCATGTTAAGAGTTATGCAATAGGAGAGAGGGAGGGGCATGAGATGAGGTTGTTGTTAACCAAAACTAGAATTATGTAATGAAGACGTTATTTGAAGACCACCAGGTTTCTAATACTGAATTCTAAATTAATATTATTAAAATCTGAAACAGAAGAGTTTAAAAGAATTACGCATTTAGCTTTTTTCTTGAAATAGTCAGATATATGCACCCAGTTGTGAGATATTTCATATTTTTTGGGAACAACAACCCTGAAGATGTTGATGTAAACGGTCTTTTTTTAATACCATTTTCTGCGTTAATGTGAAATCTGGTCTGTGTGTGTGTGTAGTTGTGACGTTGCTGTGATGCGATGGCTGTGCCAGCATGGCCGACAGTGTGAGTGCGTGGAGGGAGAGGGATCTGGCTGTTCCACTGACCTAGTTATGTCACCAAACATTATACAGCAGTATACGCAGCGGAGGGAGGAGGAGCGGTTGAGGGAAGCGCCGTGCCGCCGGACGTGCAACACCATGTGCGGTTTCGTGCGCGTTCACGGAGACAGGCTGAACTTGAACTTGGGCAGTGGGGCAACAGATAATCATTAACAGAGAAGGTTGTTACAGAGCAGCTTGGCTAGAGAGTGATTAAAGAGTGGTTTGATATATTTGAAACAGGCCCCGCATGGGTTATTTGCAACATGTAGGTCATGTTTATTTATATTTCCTGTTGTGCGCATATTACATAACCTCTTTAATGTGCACCCAAAAACACCTACAGCCGTTGTTTTTTGTGTGCTTACAGCTTACATAGAGACAATAATTATGATCTTTGCCATAACTTTATCAAGATTTGGTTCTTATGAGCTGTATTTTTGTTTTTCACCTTGAAACTTTGCTGAATGTTACAATCTTTTATTGGGCAGGACAGGAGATAAGCTGCAGGGACTTTTTTCGGCAGGGGAGGAAAGGGATGAATTTTTGAACTAAAAAGGGGAGAGAGAGGGAGGGAGGTGGGCCTCTGGGGGTGGGAGGTTCCATCTCTGGCAGGATATCCAAATGTAAACAAACCTCAGCCCATTCTGTTCTCCCTCACTGCTCTCAGAATGTAGGTTAGTCGCTCAACCTGTCGTTTCCCTGCAAGAAAAGCACATCAGCATTTTTTTTATCCCAGTTTAAACTCAAATAGATGATCCCAAAGTCCAAATTGTTAAGCCAAGCTTGCAGCTTTTGCATGCTGACAATCTTCAAGAACCCAGTGCAGCGCATGGACCTGTAACACTTCCTCTTTTTTACTGTACTTTGCAGCCGTGTGCGCTTGAACTTTTGTTCTGGACATGGTTAGAGATCATAAGACTCGTTCCACACACTAACAGCCGGGAGAGGATGGCTGTGGAATTCTAAGCTCTGTTGTAATCCCCCCTCTGTGGGCCTCAGTTTGGCCTCTTCTGGTATTTGCATCTTTTAAAATAGAGCCCCTTGATTTGAATGCTCAGGCTGCAAGATAGCAAGATGGTTTGTATGTATTCTGAGTGAGTGAATTCAGTCTCATCTGTTTTGCTTTTGATGCAACATCCTTAGAGATTAAAAACAAACAAACCAAAAAAAATAGTGTTATGCATCAGAAAATGGGTGTGTGTGCAATAAGGCATAAAGTGCAAATGACGGTGGCATTTTCGACCAAAGGGTGTGAAAACAAAAACGGTTTCAGTTTCCTATGTGAAAACGTATCCTCTCTCTTCATCTCAGAGGGGCCTCAAGGCTTTGCACGCTACTCGCCTTACCGAAACAAAAGCACTCTAAAAACACTCCCTTACTTCGACTTGAATTTTAAAAAACGGAAGGAAGCAACAGGCGAGCTTGTTTGATTGTTATGATGCAGCTTCGTGCTGCACTGTGAGCCTACACCCATCTGCGAGGCATGACACAACATGTGCCTAACTATTGCTAATTTGTCTAGAGCTTAAGGACAAAGTCCCTCTCCTCCTATTAAAAATGTTTTCTCCTCCTGTCAGTGATTCCTACAGCGAGACTCATAAGAAGTAAAACAGGAAGATCACCAGATGACTGTGTCTTGTGTCAGTCTGCTACTCAGAGGCATTTGGCAGCGTGGTCATTGTTGAGACTTGCATAATAGGTAAACATGAACAACCTGTACTAATTAAAAACAGGTTGTCTGGTTATAAAACAGATAAGTAATGTAGAGTGTTCGTGATCGCGCATCAAAGTTTACAGACATGTGGAGGGTCAAACTTCAGCTCTTCTCCTCTGTCACGCTGACACACTGACACACTGAATGCATGACACAAGCGCCAGGGGGCAACTGTCGGACAATTACAGGCAGTTTGCTCCACATTAGATACTAAGACGTCCTGGCAGCACAAAGTCAGTGATTTTCCCCTGCTTCACCCGACCCCACCCAACTGAATTAGCCTCCAGTACAGATAACACGGTTACACATTTAGCTGGCTGATAAACACTCCTGGGGCCAACGTTGTTTGTAACAAGACTGTTAAAAGTGTCGGTTGCCAGTTTGTTATGTGCAAAGGCTTGGGTGTGCCACACAAAGTAGACCCTTTACTTATCAAACAACAGCCACACTCAAACGCCACTCCTGCATTTTTGCCTAATCTCACCCCATAAAATTGCTTTTAAAATCAGCATTTTCATTCGCTCATAGTGTCAGTAGGTGAGACACAGACAGCTCTACATGCAGGATTCGTGCATCATGTTAGCCAAAAGCAGGATTGGTATTGATCTTCCTGGAATGCAGACTCTCTCCAGGGAGCTAAAGGTCAAGTGCCAAAGACTGGTGCCATAGCATAGGTCGACATTGATATTCAAGGTTATAAATAAATGTTTCTTTAACATAAATAGCGCTACCATGGCTACATGTCTCTATCAGCATTTTCGACTTCTGGACATGTCCTGTATTTTGCATAAGTTAGTTTCCACAGTAACAGGATGGTGTTTTTGTCGAGGGAAAGCCACTATTCAGTTGATCAATAGTGAGTAGACTATGAGTCCTTGGGTAAATATTGCTCAAGTCACTTTTGAAGCAAAAATCAAAACATGTATTAGCTCTGGATCCTAATATTTGTTTATGTAATAGATGGCTTTGTCAGATATAGAAATACACAGATTTCGGTTTTCTTTTGTAATTGTGTAAACTTGGACTGTAGAACATTGTTAAAGTATTTTCTGCTCTTAAGTCAAGGCATTTGGATCCATAATCCATAATTATAACAGTCCCTAATTTCTTTCTACTCAGTTTTCAAGACCTTCTATTAAGTTTCTGCGACTTTTACATTTGTGTGTGTATGCATTTGGTTTCTATGCATGGTTTATTTTTAACATGCCAGCTTATGGACAGGGCGAGTTGCATAAGAGAGCATGAAGGAGACGCTTTAGTGGGCCTGGGTTGTGACTGCATATCTGCAGAGAATCAGAGAAGAGGAATGAGAAAGTCTGTATGTGTGGTTGTAGCAGCAAGGGTGGGTGGCTGGGCATCTGTGTAATTCTGGCTCTCAACGCGGGACAAGAATAGAACGGGTTGAAGCAGAGGCTCAATGTCAAAGAGGGGTGGGGGCTGAATAGCTGACATTCAACTTCAGTTTGTCTGCCTTAGGTGGAAGGCTGCCAGGTACAGTATGCACTTTTACAATCTCATCAAAAAGTGGGTTCTTGTCAATAATACAGCAAACTGCAGAAAAAATAAGGTCAAGCAGAGACGGGCTTAAGGGAAAAACATAAAAGATTAATTTTGTGTTAAAAAAAAACCAAACTGATTGAGTTTTCTTGGCCTGCTATCACTATATCTTAAAGTAAATTTTTCTGTTATGTAACGCGCAAGTTTTCTGATGCAAGCAGCAAGCCTTTAGGGAAATGTTTTTTTCTAATGAGGAAGTTAGAGCATCGTGAAGTTCCACCTTAAAACTGGTCTGCGGAGAGCCGGGAGCGCGCCTGCCTCCCTCCTCCCTCCTCCCCCTGCAGTGGGAAAGTGTGTCAGTAGGACAGAGTGTCCACATGGGCTGACAGGCTACAGCGCCCGACTGACAGATGACTCAGCCAATACCGTGGAAGCTGCGAACCGTCCTCAGCCAGTGGGAAAGAGTTTGTCTGGAGAGGGCGGGGTGTTGGTGTTGCTAGAGTGAGCCTGGCTGAATGAGTGTTGTGAGGAATGCTCACAGACGAGAGTTATATAACTGTGAGACGAGGGAGGGGTGGAGGGGGAACCTGAGAGAAAGAGAGGAAGGGAGGGTGGAGGAGGAGGAGGAGGGAGATATTTTTCCATTGCATGCCTGCAGCTGCCCTGATCAGTTGGAGTATTTTGGTCAACACTTCTAGAGGAGAGACAGACGACCATGTCATTAAAATGTGGAAAGACATGGAAAGTCTGTGTTTTCCAGTACCTAAGAAAGCAACAATTCCTTCTCAGTTGCGCTGATAGAAGTAATTTTCCACAAAAAGTGGGACAAACTGGATTTTTTTTTCATGAATTAGTCCGAGGTTACACAAACATCAAGGCTTAGCAACAGTTGTTAAATGATACAGCTGCTGTTGTTTTAGTTCTTGTGAAGAAAGAAGGAGTCTTTGTGTCATCTGCGCAGGAGTCATGTGATTCTCTATCTGTTTGTGTGCTCTGTCTCCACATGGAGGCCGCATGCAGGGAGTGGGGAAATACAGTTCATGGCTCGTTATCTGCTCTTTTTAGTACAATGTACTAGCAGGATTGTAGACGTCCACGGAAAAGTAATGAGCTGATGGCACACGGTTTTATGTTGTTGCTCTTTTCTCTGACCTAGTTCTAGATGTGTTTTTTATCTTTGATCACTTCAGTCCGGTTTAAAGTACAAGTCTTTGTTCCTAAAACCGAGTTAATAATTTCCTCATAATAAAACCTTTGGTGTTATTTAATGTTATGTAGAACAACATGGCACACAGGATAGCTGAGAGGTTATTAAGGACCAATTAGGGTACAGAAAAAACAACAAAAAAAGTTGTGAAGAAATAAAAGTAGAAATGTTTCTGGAAAATAATTTACTTCAGATCAGACTATTCACAGCCTTGAAATAATATGTTGTTGCAGAAGAAGATGGCCTTCTGGTGGCGCTCACAGTTATAGGAGTCAATAGTGACAAGATAAAAACATGGGCAACCTTTTCAAGGACAACAAAAGAGACAAAGGAGTTATTTTTAGGCACAGTTTTGAGCTGAAGAAATCATGAGAGATTCACTTTAAGACTGTCCAAGGGAGGCAGAAAGAGAGGGGGCAATAAAGGCGCGTGGAAACAGGCAGCCCTTAGTTGTTCAGATGCTGCCAAGAATTAAAATATTATTGTCTTCTACCAAAAGGACAATCTGTCAGCCTTTTCACCTTAAAAAACAGTAATTATGAAAATGTATGAGTTGCAGTACTTAATACACATATATTTGAATTAATAGGCCAAATACATACTGTGCAGCACTGCCAAAAAGACGGGAGTTTGCAAACATAATTTTGAAAATGATAAGTAGCTTTAACCTCAACACTGAAAAGTAAGTCTTTCACTCTGACTAGAGTAATGGTAGAGCTGTATGGAGCACAGATGTTTTGGATAAAATCAAAGAATTTACAAAATATCCACTAAGTTTTGTGAAACAACATTTTTTACTGACTGCAATAGTTTCGCTGGCTGTAACACCGCCACACATGGGCCTCTTAGAAAGTATCTGTTATGTCAAACTGAAGGTATCATGTTACTCTGTGTTGTGTCAGTGTTTGGATATTAACTGATTTTGGCAGCCGTCCACTGTGTGACTCAATTGGTTCAAATGAGGATAAAGATGGAGGAGTTTCACTGTGCGCATTGATCCTGGGGACACATAAGGTTTGAGTGTTCTGACCTCTGCTGTTTTTGTTTCTGCAGCTCAAATCGAGGTCATCCCCTGTAAGATCTGTGGGGACAAGTCCTCAGGAATCCACTATGGAGTCATTACCTGCGAAGGCTGCAAGGTGAGAAGGAAACACACACAGAGCAAACCAAGTTACCAGACTTAAACTTTAACCAAACTGTTCTGAATGTGCTCATCGTTAATGGAGTTTATTTCTGTTTATTTTTCAGGGTTTCTTCCGCCGCAGCCAGCAGAACAATGCCATGTACTCTTGTTCCCGCCAGAGGAACTGTCTGATCGACCGAACTAACCGTAACCGCTGCCAGCACTGCCGCCTACAGAAGTGTCTGGCTTTAGGCATGAGCAGAGATGGTAAACATACAAACACAAAGACCGCTCAGTACTTTTAAACATACTTCCTTAAAGCATGACTTTCAGTGTTAACTAGAAAAAAAATCAACACAGCCAAGTTTGTTGAAGTAGGACCTTCATTTACATCCGTGATTGTTTAGTTCCTGCATTCCTATCTCTTTAATATAAACCCCTCAGCAGTTAAATTTCAAACCAGCAGCTTTAAGAGGGGTTGCCACTTGTTGCATTTTTCTCCCATAAGATGCAAAAAGGGAAGAAAATAGGCTTTTCGTACTTAAAATAAACAGAATATCATCTTGTTATGAAGTGAAAAAGCTTCTGATTTAAAAAAAAAAATACAAAAAATGATATACGGCAGCCAATGTTTATAAAGGTCAAGTGCTTTGAGTTATTAGTACGATGTGTTTGAATTAAGTGGTCTGTTTTCTGACACAAAAATGTGTTACCTTTCCACAGCTGTCAAGTTTGGTCGTATGTCCAAGAAGCAGCGTGATAGCCTCTATGCTGAGGTGCAAAAACACCAGAAGTCCCAGGAGTGTTTGGGCTCTGAAGGTGGGGGATCCACTGCCCTGTCCTTGACCAAGGAAGACGGTGGTTGCAGTGGCAGCGGTGAGGATGGCGAAGAAGGTCTTAGCCGGTCCTACAGCAGCGGGGGCTCAAGCTCCACCCTTAGCGACCTGGACGACATAGCGGCGCTGCCTGACCTTTTCGACTTGCCGCTGACCCCCGAGGAGGCCAGAGAGTACTGCAGCCTGGAGCTTCTGGGTGGAGGAACCAGCACTGGCAATACCTCCAACTCATCGTCCTCTTCTTCTTCCTCTTCATTGTCCAATCAGAATTCCCCACAGCAGACTATGCTGGATGGAGGGGATGGCAATGAGCTCCAGCTACTGCATGCACACTCTCACACACATACGCTGCTGGGACGCCATGCACTGCTGGACCACCTGCCTGATGACTGCTCAATAACAGACCTGGGTGAGTATTTTGATAATAAATAACAAATGATTTCTTCTTTTAGAGAAAAAACGTCAGACACTTGAAAACAAGACAAGTGAGAGATAAATTGCAGACCTTGAGGTAGAAAAAAAAACAGAAAAGCATCTAGTTATTCAAGGTCATACTGCCTTGAGGTATGCATAGGTAAACAACAGCAGTTTTACTTTCTTCCACACTCTTGGTCTCGTGAACCTGTCAAGATCTCAAACAACTGAAATGAGCAAACACTGATGTTTATACCTTTTTTTTCCTTCTGCAGAGCGCATCACTCAGAGTATTGTCAAGTCTCACTTGGAGACATGTCAGTACAGCGCTGAAGACATGAAGAGATTCACCTGGGCACAATACACACCTGAGGAGACACGGGCTTATCAAAACAAGGTACGGTGTTTAAAACCTATAATGTATGTATAAAGTCTCTGTGATCAAATTGAAAGGAAATTCTTTTAGTGTCCATTTTAGCAATCTCAGTGGAAAAAAAACTCATGATAGGATGTTTCATAAAGTTTCACAACAAGCTAAATTAACAGGATAACAGAGAATCTTTAAAATACCAGAAAGTAAAGAAAAACTTTGAATAATCATTATCACATATTTCTAACCACATGTTTTTCTTTGTGTCACCTCTTTAGTCAGCTGAGTGGATGTGGCAACAGTGTGCCCATCACATTACCAATGCTATCCAGTACGTGGTGGAGTTTGCCAAACGCATCGCTGGCTTCATGGACCTATGCCAGAACGATCAGATTATTTTGCTGAAAGCAGGTCAGTGTACAGCCCAGAAACCTTCACATTTGAATACTTGATGCACCAATAAATCATTTCAACGGAAACTAAGTCGAAAACTTGCTAACTTAGTTCCTTCCTGTTGTTTTTGTCTCCAACCTTCTACCTTCACCTTATTTATTATCCATTGTTTTGCTTCACACACAATGTCAATTTACAATTACTTTTTTATATATTTTTATAAATGTATAACCACAAAATTTTAAAATTAACTGCATATATCTGACAAACTATTTACCCTATGTAAATCTTTTGAACTCTCCTTGGATTTCCAACTGGATTTCAAACATGTCCTATATATGCCGCGCACCAATCTGGGTCAAAATCATTTACACATTGTTGTGTTCTCTTGTGCATGTTGGAGTATCTTGGCCCCTCTCTGTCTTCCCTCCCCCCTTCCTCTTGTATCTCCATCTCTCCATCTCTCCATATCTTTGGCTCTATCTGTGGCTACTATTTCAGGCTGTCTGGAAGTCCTGCTGATACGCATGTGCCGAGCTTTCAACATCAACAACAGCACCATTTTCTTCAACGGGAAATTCGCCCCAGCCCACTTCTTCAAAGCACTTGGTGAGTCTTCAGTCGCACAAGAAAGCATGTCTTACTCATTAGGTTTAAAAACGTCACTCTGTTTCCATAGGCACTTAGAGGAAATGAACGATAAGGCTTAGAAAAGGCATCTGCACCCACGCCTAGTGACAGCTTACAAAGAAACCTCTGCATCGACTAACAGAATTCATTATTTCAAATGACCTCATTGTGTTCATTATTCAAGAATGACTACTTGAAAGTTATTCTATGATTAATTTTGCTTCTCTTTAAAACCAGAACTAGCTCTACATGGAAATAATTAAAAGCCTCCTTTTGAATGTTGCCTTTCAATTTTAAAGCATCATCCGTCCATACCTAATATGTGACAACATAGCAGCAGTGAGCTTATCTGAGTGAACTTATCTGGGTCGTTTGATTTGGAACATGGTATTGAGCCAGAAAATACAGCAGATTATAAGTGCTAAGTACCAGATTTTCCCATTTTAGCTAATGGGGCCAGAATTAAAAATCTGGGTGACAAACATGGCTCTAGATCTTCTCAAGGAGTTCTTTAGTCTTACAAACTTTAACCACCAACATGGATCTGTTTGCTGGGTTTTTGCAGGTTGTGATGACCTGGTCAGTGCAGTGGTTGACCTGGGGAAAGGGCTATGCCGTCTGCAGCTGTCTGATGAAGAAATGGCTCTTTTCAGTGCCGCCGTCCTTCTGTCTCCTGGTGAGTTTTTTTTTTTCATCCCTCACATTTACAGAGAAATAAACAACCATTTATAACCAAAGACATTTTGTTCTGCAGAACTATGTATTTATTGCTGTTTTGACATTGAAAGCCATACTGACACTGAAGGATGACAATTAAGTGTCATTTTCCACACAGACATTTTACACTGTAAAAAGCTGGTATAGATGGCTCAATGATAAATGTTATCACATATTTCACTTTACATTTTCATTTTGTGTCTCATAATCGGCTTGTCACTTAGATTTGTGACTTGGCAGTGGTAAAATTAGACTAAGGAAAGGACTTGATGCTCAATGTCTCATCATCTTTTAAAACATCAGCCTTTCATTCCAAACCTAAAAATTACAGTAATCAATTTTGATTCAAGGTCCTCAAGTTTCCCAGCTTACAAAACATTTCATGCAGATTCTGGAGAAGAGATGTTTGGGCCATCTGATTTAATGTGATCTGATTTGATACTGCTGTCATTTAAACAGTCTGAGATTTGAACACTCCACAAATATTGGATGTACATTATTTTGTCAACCAAGAGCTAACACATGGATGACGTTGGGAAAAAGACTTAACTTAAGGATTTTGTAATTTCTTTTCCATAGATCGACCCTGGCTAACAGAAGGCCAAAAGGTTCAGAAACTTCAGGAGAAAGTCTACCTGGCCCTGCAGCACAGTCTTCATAAGAGCGGAGCTTCTGATGAAAAACTGGACAAGGTCAAGACTCCTCATAGACAACTAATATAACCGCAAATGTATTCACATACAAAAGCTCATACATAAACTTACCTCTGTATACCCTCTTCCTCAACAGATGGTGTCCAAGCTGCCCATAATGAAGTCGATCTGTAACCTCCACATCGACAAACTGGAGTTTTTCCGTTTGGTCCACCCGGAGACTGCCTACAGTTTCCCACCACTGTACCGGGAAGTGTTTGGCAGCGAGATGTCTCTGCCCGACTCCACTGACAGCTAGAGAGACAGACAGACAAACCAGAGACGATGGAGAGAGTTTATTTGAAGAGGAAGGGAAGCAAAAGGAGAGACAGAGTAGGACAGAGATGTTGAAGTTCAACAACCAGCAGTAACGCGACAATCCAGGACTTTAAATACTCAGTCTCCCATGATCCCAAAGTAGTCCTCCACTTTCCCAGCAGGCAAAAGCACCTTACACTACAGACCACACATGCTCATGGTCCTCTGCGTATTGTAGCATTAAATACAAGCAGAATGGGCACTGTAGTATTAACACAGCCCACTTAGCATGAGACAGCTCCAAGCTTAACCATCAGATCCATGGAGGATCACCCAACCAGTTATGAATGTACCTCATCGATCAGCACCAGTGCACCAGTAAGAACCTATCTGCAGTGAATGTACAACCCTGCCACTCTGAGACAGAGTTTGACACATCGTACCAGAATGAAGTCATGTTGATCAACGGGTCTCACAATTAATACAACTCTTAGTCAATACTTCTCTTCATATTAATAGTTCTCAGTATGGTGCGCTTGCGTATCTATACAGACAATATCCTTGTACCGACCATTGCTTAGGGACCAAGATCATGAGTCATTTTCCCAAATCTAAAAATAAAATCTCACGGATATCACATGACTCACAGCTTAGGCTGACTTCCGTAATAAGCATAGAACCAGTCTCACACACATTTAGACAGTGTTCGGTGCTGCCTCTTTGTAGGCTTTTGTAATGCAATGAGAAACCTCAGTCCCACACACCCCTTTCCTTGTAAATGCCACTTAGAGACAGGAAAAGATGAAATTATCTTTAATTTATATACACATTTATAAACAAATATTTTAAATAAGAATGTAAATAGATGACTATATAAGTATATGGAGAGTGTTAGAATGTGTGAGTTCAGTTCGGAAAGAAAAGTGGAGGCTGAGATGTTGAAAGGGGAGGAGAAAAAAAGATGGATAATTCACGAAGGCTGATTTTTTTTTTTTTCTTTTTGGACTCATGTTTTTCTGGACTATTCCCTCTTTTAACAGTACTCTCAGGTTTCCTTGGCAACAGCCCCTTCTTGCCCATGACAGCAAAACCCAGCTGGGTAAGCTGCGGTCAAGCGACGGGGTGGACATTTGTTGCAGAAGTGACGCAGCAGGGTGGAGGCAGTGTACCCAGAAAAAAAAGGCGATTGACAAAGCCTTTGTCGTTGCATTTTAACTGAGATTTCAGTGTGCGCTGTTGCTGCCTGCCTCCCTGCCTAAAAAGACAAGAGGACAAACAGGACACTAAGGAAAAGAGAAAGCAAGGCAAAAGATGACTTTGTGAACTTTATGACGAACGGGGACACACAGGGTTTCCCCATCTGTTTCTAACCATTAATCAGTACCGTAGGTGTAGTATATTTGTCTTTCACTCATAACGTTTCATTTTGGTTCTAGGTTTTGAATGATGATGGTCCATAATATGTATCATAAACCCTCCTTGCTGGTTGGAGCATCTGTATTATTTTGTACATTTGCTGTTCCTCTCTCTTTGAGTCCCAACCCCAACACCTATCCAAATACCAAGCACTTATACTTTTCCTCTTTCTCACTGGACACTAGTCTAAGGCCAGACAGAGCTACCAGCTGCCCCCTGAGTTGGGTTTTAAAGCCAGTAAGACTTCATGGTTTTTTTTAAGTCAGTCTATTCTGGTGTTTTTGTTTCCTATTCCATATTTGTCATACGAAACCATCCATAACTGTATACATTAATCATGTACATAAATAACACACTTCCTGCAGGTCGATCTAACATTGAGATGATGGTAATAATGTCTTACTTGGGGTGCTGTGAAGTTCTTGAGCAGAGTCTGCGGACCTGCTGCCTGCCGCTCAGGGAGCTAGCTGTGATCTCTTCTTGTCCCTTTATTACCAGTGTCGTCTTTTAGCCTTGTGCTCCTCACACCTTTGCACCTAAGATGAGACCCATAACCATAATCACTGTGGACGTAAGTTCTATTTTTGTGAATGTTACTCACAAAGTGTCAAAGCCCTTCCTGTTTGTCCTAATATTGTAACATTAAATTTTTTCAAGACATAGGAGTTTAAAAAAAAAACATGAATAAATCAGTTAGAGTTAAATGAATTTTATTATTGGGGTTAAATGTTTCTTTTGCTGTGATTTACATTTATTTGTCAGTCTTTTATCCACCTTTTTCTTTAAGTGTCTCCACTTTTGTCTTGTAAAGTCAGTGATCTATTTTTTTTAATTAAAGAAAGATTAGGACAAGTACAAACAAAAAAGAATAGTTTGTTCCCCTTCTCTTTCCCTGTATGACAAAATGTACAAGAGGTATATTACTAGTCCAAGAGTAACTGAGTCACACAGCGCGATATATATTGTTGTCCAATGGGATACATTATATGTGGTTTTCAGAATGTAATAAATGGTTTCCTTTTCTTTTAAATGTTTCAAGAGTCTTATTTACCTTATAATTGAAGTGAATATACCATGGGTCTGTTCATATTGTTACCTATTTGGAGTCAAAGCAGTTCCTTAACCCTCCTCCTGTGTTAGGGTCTGCACCGACCCGTTTTTGATTGTAAATGCTTAAAAGAACCACTTAAATTAGCTTTTTTGCATCAAGACTTTTTGACATTTTCAGGGACCTCTATTTCAACAAAATATAAAAAAAAATGAATAGACTAAATTATAAAACACTCCTATTAAAATGATGGCACTTGTAATGTTTGGGTCACTGTTGACCTGGTTCGATCAATATCTAATAATTTGAGCAAAAACTAAAATCATAAGTGGCTGCCAGGCACCACACTGACAGTCAGATCTTCTTCCAATCATGTGAGGTTTAGGAAATTCTCATTTTGCCTGTTTTTTCCCTGCACAAAAACAACATCAGGCATGTCCAGACATGTGAGACCAATTCAGTATAGATGTCTGTATGAGGGGTATACTGACAAAGAAAGGCCCAGAGGACCACAACAAAAAATATAATAAGCAATATTTTCATGGATAATGAAGCCGAACAAGGTAACCTTGAGATGAGAACCAGATTGGATGATAAATAATTGTTTTTAGTGTAATTTACAGCTGATTTAAGACACGGGTCAAAACCGACCCTTAACATGGTGGGTGCGTAGTAAAAGCTAACACAGGAGGAAGGTTAAATCACTAGTCTGACATCATCAGACTATATATGTAAAGGGTTATGAGGGTTGCACTAAAGTTTCAATAACAAAATTACATAAGTGTTTGTCTGCATGCAGTAGCCTACCTATTATTTGTGCAACACCACAAGAAACTACTACAAGCAGCCCAGTCTGGTTGTTCATTGATAAACAATTAAAACCCAGTAATTTGAAAAATGACTTATCATTGAGGTCTTACTGCTGATTTTCTGGTTCCTGCTCTGTCAAGATTAGCATCTGCCCTCATGTAGCCTATCATCAATAGACCATCTTGAAGAAAGGGTGTACTTAAATGCCCTTTCGAAGTCTTTCTCTGAGGCGGAGCAGCTTGAGTTCTACAGATTTTTGATAGTTCATGTACAAAAGGTTAACAGAAAACAACAGGCAAATAAATAACAGCTACATGGCCAAGCTGAAACCCGAACTAAAACTTAAAAATAGGGGATATATTTGCATTACACCAAAGGAAGCAGGCAGTAAACAGAACAGAAGCCGTTAAAGTCAGCTGTTTTTCTACTGTGATATTTTGCAGAGACTGTAGATGTTTGGATATATATTACCATGCGTGAGCGCGCGTGCGCGTTTGACCCACTTTCTCCACCCGGACGGTTCCTCCTGCTCCTCCCTCGTGAAGCTGCAGCCAGGAAATTGTGGTTGCATAGCAAGTTTTACATCTTTGGTGCAAAGTTTGGAGACGTGTTGCTCAGCTGCTGTCTGCTGTAAACTCATAGCCCTAACGAACTTGAGTGGGGAGGGAAAAAAAGCACACATTTTTCCTCATCGCTGTCCAGGTGGCAACACTAACGGCTCAACATGTCGGTCGCAGGATTGAAGAAGCAATTTTACAAAGCAAGCCAGGTAAACGCGCTACTTTTTAAACAGTCATGTTAGCTTAGCTAGCCGTCCTGGCTAGCTTTGTTGTCGGCACTTTTATTGAAAGTTTACACCAACTTTAAGCAAGTCGACAACAAAGGCAAATGTATTTTTTGTTACTGGTTTTGCTTATTCAGAACTCACTGTATCTAACGCTCTATATTTTAGGAGGTACGAGAGTAGTCAGCTCAATTATTGTTGAGCTCTTTAACATCTGTCAAATGTGAAGTAGCTCCCTGATAACGCCAGCGTTAGCCTGTAAGTCAAATTAGCTTACGGTAATCTAAAGGCTAAGTAAGTTAAAGTCAACGTTAAGTTGCCAGTATCACCATTTGCTTCATTATTGGTATGTGTGCTCACTTCACGCATCGAGATACTTTACTTTGAGTTTATTTGAGTTGTCGTCTTTTAGTTAGCATGGACCAAATGTTTGTGATCTTTCAACGACTATTTTAACCCCATAAATGGCGATAGCAATACGTATTTATCGGACATTTACCCTGATATTTGCTGCTTTACATTTGATGGAGATACTATAGATAGATAGGGTTGGAGGTGAGTATGGCCCTATGCTGTTTTGGTATGTAAACAGCAGATACACCCATCACTGAGGTTATTGTGGTTGTTGTGCAAACTGATGTTGAGGTTTGTGTTCTCTGACCTCCTGGATTACACAATATTTCTCATGGCAAGTTGTGTTGTGTATAGTGCACATCACAAGTTTTTACAATACATGTATCTGCTGTTAGCATCTTTAATTTTCCCTGTTAAAGGATCTGAATAACCTGTGAACATCTCCAGCTCTCTGATCATGTCATGACATGCATATATATGTAAGTTTCTTATTGAGATACATTTATGATTCAAAGGTCATGAAATAAACAGAAAAAGGACACCAAATTCTGATTAAGTATTATGAAAACTTAATATACAATAATCAACTATAACATTATGAGGTAATCCAATACATTCCAATGCAACAACTCCTCCTCAAGTTTCACTTTTGCTTATCTTCAAAGTTTCAGTTTTTGTTGCTATGATCAGATGGGTCACTGACTTCATATTGTTATTGATGAGATAGTGAGTAGCACTATATCAAAAGGCGGTTATTAACATAAGGAACCCAAGCCTTGTCATTACAGATTTCAAGACAATGACAGAAGTATGACTGTACTTTATTAATCCCTAAGGAGAAATTCAATTGTCTGTTGTCTCACATAATATGTCTCTAAAAGTTATCTGTTATTTACACAAGAGTTGTACAGTCTGATGGCTGTTAGTACAAAAGATCTCCTGAATCTTTCTGTCCTGCAGCAAAGAGAGAGGAGACGTCCACCACCATTGGCCTTTTGGTCCATCAAGGTGTTGTGAAGTGGGTGATCCATGTTCTTTAGAATAGTCTCCACCTTCCTCAGTGTAGATCTCTACACCATATTCTCCACTGAGTCCAGCTTGAGTCCAACCACAGAGCCAGCCTTTTACACCAGTTTGTTAACCAGTTTTATAACCAGTTTGTTAAAGTGGGCCCCTTAAGTGAGAAACTCCTAAAGACACTGCAACAGAGTTGGGACAGTTGCATTTTAGTGAATTCACATCGTGTACTGTGCAGATGCTAGCTTCCTGTTCAGTGGGTGTGTCATGGAATCCTAGTTATGTGAAATGTCCAAACAGACCAGCATTTGGTATTTAAGTAATCGTACAAGGACAGATTTAGTTGGTAAGTTTACAGAAGTGATAGCAAACCACAGATAATGTCACCTACCATCTCCCACTGCAAAAACCTCAACTCTTGGGATTTACAGTATTTAAAATATATGGGCCATGAACTGAACATCCAGCCTGGTGTGAGACCATGCCTCTCTTACAAGTGTTCTGTCTTGCTAGTCAGGCTCTGAAAAGAACAGGGTGGAGTAGAGTAACCAGTCATCTGAGCTGCCTAACAAGATCTATTTCATAAAGCCGTAAAACAAACTTGATGAAATCAGTGATCAAACAGAGTAATAATAAGCTAGGTCAGGCAAACAAAGAAAGCTGACACTGTGCCCTCAATCAACAGTCTGCTCATTCAGTCTATTAGACAGAATTATTCAGTGACTTTTAACCTTGGCGACACTTCAACCAAAGCTGGATCTTTTAATGTTGTTTTTTAATAGGCTTTCATGACTTTAAAAAGGTGGACATACTTAAAAGCATAATATTTTATTTACAATAAACCAACTTTTTTCAAGAAGCATTTTATATTGTATTCTATATCATACAGGTCAAAGGTAATTTTTTTGCAGTAATTATGGTACATAGAGCCCATGGAAGCAAGAATACAATTATTTTGATTGGAATACCACATATACAGTGCAGTGTTGTTTTCGTCAGGCAGGACGAAAACTTAAATGACGACGTCAGACCCCTTTTTTCCTTGACGAAAATGAGACTAAGACGAACGTCACCAAAGCTCTGTAAAGACTAAAATGTGACGAAAATTGTATTCATTTTCGTCATACGAGAACGAGACGAGACCAAATTGTTATTAGGTGGACGAACAAAGTTTCAAAACATGCTTTTTTTTGTCCTAACAGTCACGTCCCCATCACACACGCACCAAAAGCCTCGCTCGCGCACAGCTGCGCGCACACACTCATACACATACACAGTGCGGTAGGTGGACGAGGCGCGCACACACACACACACACCGTGGCGGCAGGCACAGCAGCGGTGCCCGGTGGCCGAAAAAAGAGGGATGCTTTATGGTCCTCCTTCAGATACAGTCCAAGTGACAATAAAACACAATGTCTTGTACGGGGAGACGAGACAGACGACAGTTGTGGAGCCACAGCTTCCTCATGCTGCGGCTTCAAACTGTCGGGAAAGAACACCACGAACCTCAAAAGGCACCTTTTTGTCGACTAAAACTAGACTAAAACTTTTGAGCTTTCGTCGGACTAAAACTAGACGAAAACTATCAAGGATAGAAATGACTAAAATGGGACTAAAACGAAGAAGCATTTCGTCAAAATGACTAAGACTAAAACTAAATCTAAAATGCCTGCCAAAAACAACACTGATACAGTGACGACTTGTCTTGCTATCTATTATATAAGCAGGAGGGTTGACTGATCTATGCCATCCTACACTTTCATGTGTGGACTAGTTGTGACAGCTGCACAGAGTTGAACTAAATGAGAAACACACGTATACACAATGAGTCTCTGTTTCAGCCTGCCAGCCAACTGCACAGGAGTTTGTTACACAGGTTAAGGGTTGGAGAACATATGTGCTGTGTGTGAGTGAAGATATGCATAAGGGAGGGAAAGAAAGCATGTGTGTTTAGTAAAAGTATCCATGGATAGGACTCTAGAATAGGAAACTGCAGTGTGTGCTGACCTGACGGAAACAAGGAAAAGCCTTACTGCAAGTCCTAATGAAACAGATGTTCTTGGCACACAGTGGGGTTTTCAGTATTCAGTTCAATATGAAAACTCGAGGAGGTCCACCTGTGATGGAAAACGTTGGCATGTCTTGAGCTAAAGTGCCAAGCCAGGAAAACAGTCAACATTGGAAGATGTTTGATGTCCATTGAATTTGTAACAGAAAATCTGAGTCTTTTTGACAACACTGTGCTAAAATGTTTTTGAGCCAGCTGCTGACCCAGTGTCAGGTTTAAAAATTATATTTTACTGTAAACCTGTTTCCAGAGAGTGTAACTGAAGAGAGAAACACAATATTCACAATATTATTAATGCTCCACTTTCAATTTAGAGGATCCAGTCAATCGTATGTGTCCTGCAATGTTGATAATAATAAGAATAAATTTTATTTCTAACGCACAAAGACGCTATACAAAAAAAGAAAAAAATTAAAATACAGAAAATTTGAAGTAATAAAACCAACAATGTAAATGGTTAAAAAAGACACACTATAAAAAGACAATAAAAGAATCGTTCACAGGTTAAAAGCCAATTTAAAAAGGCGTGTTTTTAGGAGTGAATTGAAAGTATGGGGGTCTGTACAGTCTGGGATGGGTTTGGGGAGTGAATTCCAGAGGGTGGGGGTGGCAGCGGAGAAGAGGGCAGTTTTCTCCCACGTGGATTTACATGAATAATTACCAATGAGAGACCTGTTGATAAGCTCTTAATTGATTTGTGTTCGCAGATGGTGAGCGAGAAGGTTGGAGGTGTGGAGGGAACCAAACTGGATGAAGACTTCAAGGACCTTGAAAGGGTACACGGATTGCAGAACATTAAAATATAACACTAATAATAGATGTTGAAAAAAGTTTGTGTGTTTTTAAGATTAGGCGGTCACAGCCAAGTTTCCTTTATTTCCAAAAATGCTCTGGGATAAACACATGCGCAGGAAATGCTCACAGGTAGTAATTATTATCTCTTTTTCAACTTTTCCACCAGAGAGCAGATGTGACCAGCAGGGCAGTGGTGGAAGTCATTAATAAAACATCAGAGTACCTCCAGCCCAACCCAGCAACAAGAGCGAAGCTTTCCATGCTCAACACCGTGTCCAAAATCCGCGGGCAGGTGAAGAGTCCTGGCTACCCCCAGCCTGAGGGTCTCCTGGGGGAGTGCATGACCAAGTATGGACGGGATATGGGCGAGGAAACTAACTTTGGTAAGACAGTTTAAGGACGAGATGGGGGTTAGAAGAAATGCTTGAAAACCAACCCACCTCTGGGTGTGATTGTTTATTGGGTTACCATACTTATAGGTATGTGCTTGTGTATTATTTTTTTAACCACCCCCTTATTACAGAGTTAGTGGTTATTATGAACATCCCTCATGGTTTCCTACATTCCCTGACTCTGGTATGTTGTGTGTGTTTGTGCACTGAAGGTGGAGCATTAGTAGACATCGGGGAGTCAATGAAGAGGATGTCAGAGGTCAAGGACTCCCTGGATATTGATGTGAAGCAGAACTTTATTGACCCATTACAGGCAGTTGCTGAGAAGGATGTCAAGGACATTCAGGTAAAATCAAAGCCCGAGTACCGCTCTGCACATTCAGAGCCTATTCAGAAAGGGGGGAGAAGGGGGAGGTGTCACCCTTCCTGGTGCCCCATCTCCGGAAAAAATAGCACCACAGAAAAGCCCTCTTGGAAACCTTTGTGGTCGATAAAACAGTCTAAAATGTGATCTGGATGCTCTTACACTAATTGATTCAATGTAAACAAAGTGCTCTTGGGATGCCTTTTGAGTAAATAAAATCTCCCCTCAGATGCCATTCTAGTGGTCACATTATAAACTGTTTTATCAGTATTTTGACATAATTATTTGCTAAATAGTAGCAGTAGTAATAATTTATTTATTTATTATGCATAATGGATATGCATAATAAAATGCTGTTAGGGCAGTATACCAGTGCCACATAGCATACAGCACTACCCCTTTTTTTGTATTATTTATATCCCTCTCAAACAGCCTGGGTATACAACTGCTAGACTGAGACTAGCTGCATCTGTTTTCCTTGAGTATACCAACTACTATCAAATGATAACACAAGTGTAACAGAGTAGATCTAAAATGCATCTTTTGTATGATGCAAATTTCTCACAACTATCATATATGAAGGAAAATATTAATAGGTTTTGTGAAACCTAATCCTCTCAACTGTATCTCTTCCCCGTCAGCATCACCTCAAGAAGTTGGAAGGTCGCCGTCTGGACTACGATTATAAAAAGAAACGCCAAGGTAAAATCCCAGATGAAGAGATAAGGCAGGCCCTGGAAAAGTTCCATGAATCCAAAGAAATGGCTGAAGGCTCTATGCACAACCTGCTGGAAACAGATGTGAGTAGGCTGTATACTAAATTCTGCATGCTTTGCCTTGCAGATGGCACATTCAAACCTTTATGGACTTGTTTTGTTAGTAAAATACCTAAATAAAAAATATGTTTGTTCTTGGCAGAATTTTCGAGCCTAGCGGCTCGACCTGCCTATGCATTATGGATGTGCCATTGATTTATTTATTTTCAGGATATTTTTGAACAATAGTTAAACTGGGGACTTACAGGTGAAGCACAGGTATGGAAAGCTTACCGGAAACGTCTGTTGATCAAAGTGTTAATGCCCTAAAAAAAAAAAAACAAAGCTCTGTGAAATCTGTGATCTCCAACATTTAACTGTGTTGGAGTCAACTGTATAACATACTGCTTCAATTTAAAGTTGAGCACGATTAAGGGTATTACCATTTTTAATGACAGGTGGCTAATTCAGCTTTTAATCCTTTTTATTAAGAATTTCAAAAATGTCTAATAAACAAAAAATACATGATAAAAGTTTTTGACAGTTTTGGTGTAAAAGTTTTACAGACACGTCAGGACATTTCCCACATTTTTTTTTCCTAATAGTTTACTTGATTGTAACATCGTTAATACTTTTTTTTGATAATCACAGCAAAGAGCAAATGTATGCCAAACAAATGATGGATTCATAACAACATATCACAGACATTTTTTCAAACTCACTGTATTTTTCACACTATAAGGCGCACCTGATTGTAAGGGGCACCATCAATGAACACGTCTATTCGCTCTATTTTCATACATGAGGTGCACCGGATTATAAAGCTCATTAAGCGAAACAAAACAGTCAGTTAAGTCAAACTTTATTTAACTCATTCAATAACTCCATGTGGCTATGGTAGCTACAGTGCTCAGACAAGCCAAAAGGATTTTAAGTGCGCCTTATAGTGTAAATCAGCTTTAGCGCTGGCTTTTTGAGCTGTTCAAAGTCGTTGTCTCTATGGAAACACTGATGGTAAAAATCAGGGCCAATACCAGTGTTTTGGCTAACAATTTAGCTGATCCTGATATCAGTATATTTTTCATCACCTCTTTTTTATTATGTACAGTATTTGTGTGTTTTTAAATAAGTGAAGATGGGTGTACTTGAGCTGTTGCTGTTGGTCCCTCCTCCAAATGTCACCGGTACATGTCTCACAAACTGCACTTTGCTGGTCTTTCTCATAAATGGTCGATCATTCCCCACGCTGCTGACATTTTTATAAGTGATTTCCTCTCGGGGAAACCCTCTCTGGGTTTACCTCCTTTGAGTGACAGCTAAGCCTTTGATTGCTCTCACCCAGCCTGGCTTGCAGCAGAAATATTCGTGTAGCTTATGTAACTGGTTTTAGTGTACCCGGTAACACCTCAGTGTCAGTCCTTGTATATGATCAACAGGGATTAACTTCCACCTTTTAAAATTTCACAAAAAAAACCTGATCAAAGATTTTACAACAGGCACTCAGACTGTTTTCAACATAGCAGAACTTTATTTTTAAAGTTGCCAGTTTATCTGGGAAGCCCCCCCCCAACGTATTCTATTGTCAGCACAGTAGGTCAAATGACCTCAGCCTATTCAGAGTCAGACACGACAGAACCATTTGCAAGAAATAAATGTCTGTGCCAGTATGAATCAGTTTATGAAGTGGATGATAGATGAGTAGGTTTCAAACAATTGTGTGTGTCTTTGGGGAGCTAAAGTGGTTTCGTTTCAGCTTTTAAGTCATCTCTTTTGAGCCAAGACTGTAGGGTGTAAGTCAACCAGCTTTAACTTTTCAGTGCAGTGACAGGAAACAATGTCTATAATACAAACAACTGCAGTTATTCTAATTGATCAAAAAGATTTTGATTAATTATGTATTTCAATGGTGCATTGATGCATTTTTTGACTGCAGTTGTCCTAATATGTTGTCGAGGAGAGAAAATCGAGAAGAGCTTATACCTTAGATAAACAGTCCTAAGAAACTGAAAAAGGGGATTTTTTTGCCATTTTTAAACAACTGATAAGATTCAGACTGATACTTCGTTCACTCAGGTGGCAAAAGCTGTCACTTCTGTCTCCTGATGCTCGCAGAGTCATAGTCTTGTTTTTTTTTTCCTCATTTACTGGCAGAAGCGTGAGCTCGTCAAACCTGTTTTTGTTTTGGCCTTTGTCATACCTGCCATCATAGGATGTTTTAGAGCTGTTAGACTTTGGGTCAATGCAATCAACACTGCTGATGTGATCGGAAACGAATGAGAGGAATGCGAACAGTGTACTGGTGAAGAATGCTCTGTCATTGTGTTTCGCTTATGCTATTATTAAACATGTGTTTGTGTACTCGTAGGTGGAGCAGGTGAGTCAGCTGTCGTCTTTGGTTGAGTCTCTGCTTCAGTACCACAGACAGGTTGCACAGGTCCTGGAGGAGCTCTCTGACAAACTTAGAGAAAGGTCAGTGACATGGCTGGTTATGCAAGATGGCAGTCGTGAATAATGAATGTCTAGAAGAAACATTGATCGCTTTTAATAACCCAATGAAACACACTGAGATTAATATTTTGATTTACTGGCACAGGTATTGTTTGTTTATTCTGACATATTTGTTATAACTGGATTGTTACCCAGAAAAAAAATTGATTTATATATTTGAAGTTTTCCCTGGCTGTTACTGTATTTGTGCACCTGCTACTTGGCAGCTCATACAAATGTATTTTGTTTGTTTGTGTGTCTTTCAAACCCTGATTGATCACAGGGTGAGTGATGCTCAGTCACGGCCAAAGCGCCAATACACACCCAAGCCAAGACCAGTCTATGACTACGGAGATGTGGAACAATCTAATGGAGGATATTCCCCAGCTGCTTCGAGCCCTCCTTCTTACTCTCCAGGTAACCTTTCTGTTGTATATGTTATAACAGGTGTGTGAGCGTATGTGTGTCTGTGTCTGTGGAAGGCCTACTCCCCAGAAGGCTTATGTGTGAACTGATTTCATTCCTAAGCCTGACGTGTCTTCCCTTCTGTGACAAAAAGCAGCCCCAGCACAATATCCCGCTCCGTCCTTCCAAAGAACCTCCATCAAGAACAAAGCGCGTGAGTTAGACGGATAAAGTTGACATGTCACTTACCACAATGGAAGCGCATTTTACATAGTGCATTTCCTGTGTGTGGCAGAGAGGTGTGTGCATGTCTGTGATGGTTCAGTGTCTTACTAACATCATTGAAAAATGTTTGCTGGGTCACCTGTGCCCACTCTGTCAGAGCTCAAAACAAGAGCGAGCTCGTCAGAGTGTGAAAATGACTTTTAGACCAAGCTTCTGAAGCTCGAGACCAAACACTAAATGCCACATGGTTCATTATACAGATGTGATCAGTGGTTGAATCTCATGTCATTTACCTCTCAGTTCAAATACAAACAGTGAGACAATAAAAATTAGAAATGATCATTATGTAAGAATTGAATACTTTTGCTGTGTTTCATGCAAAAAGAATGACATTTGATCTTGAGGTTCAGAAGCTTTTTTGCTCATCACAAAAATAACAAACATATGAACATGTTTTTTTTTTTAACAATTTTTTTATTGAGTGGTTCCAGAGTCCAAATGGGAAATGTTCTTGCATCACTTCTAACAAATTTCCTCTAAAGGTACAGTGTGTAATATTATCATAATAGTATTAAGAGATACCTGGCAGCTGGATTCTTAATTGAATCACTCCTCTCTTTAGCCTCCCCAGATAAGCAACAGTGGTTTTTCTCCATTTTTCAAGATTTTACCTTTTAAAAATGTTAGTCAGTACAAGTTCTTCTGCATACAACAACCACTCTGTTCTTCTTTGTCTGCTAACTGGAGCCTTTAGCACTAACACACAAAAATATGTTCCAGGTGTTTGAGTTCAATACTACAGCAGAAACATGACGATGTATGATGACTGCTGCCGTGGAGGGGAACCTGCTCCTGTGTAGCTACAAAGGGCTTGTTCTAAGTCTTTAAAATCAAACAATTTCTATTTTCCAACAATTATACAATGATTTAAACTCACTTATGATAATTACTCCATTACTGCCAAGTCTATTGTTCTAAATGCCACTAAATACTACACACTGCACCTTTCAGGCACTTAAACTAATCCTCGTGAAGGGAAATTGTTATATTTTTAACGTAATTAATGTTTTTCTCTCTCTTTGTTTCTCCCAACTCTCTGTCTCTCCTTGTACAGCTGAACCGTGCTGCAAAGCCCTCTACGATTTCGAGCCAGAGAACGAAGGAGAGTTGGGTTTCCATGAGGGTGACATTATCACCTTGGTTAGCCAAATCGATGAGAACTGGTTTGAGGGGAGCCTTCGTGGCAAATCTGGATACTTCCCCAACAACTATGTTGAGGTTGTGGTGTCTCTGCCCTAATGCAAATAGCCAGGCAAAGAGAGGGGACAGCAGGATGAAGGGAGGATGACTGAGGATCATCTGTAATCCAAAAATAGATATTTTTAAATAAACATCTCCAGATAGGGACCTAAATTTTGTACTAGAGGTGTAACCGAGTTTTTAAATTATGTCTGAGTACATCAAGATTTAATGTATATTTTTCTAAACTCTAAGGGTGGTTTAATAAGGAAACAAAGCAGCTAGATGTCAGGGTGCATTATTTTCAACAAACTGACCCCCTCCATTCACTCTGTATGCACCTGTGCACTTTGTACACTACACCTCCATCTACAGGACTGATTAAGAAAGGTCAAGAGAGAATGACAGTCATAGCATGTTCATAAGTATCCATCAACACTAAGGAGTGCAAATGCTCTATTCCTTTTTTATGTTCACAAGAGGAACCTTTAAACTCTAATTGTTTTTTTAGATTTGGTACTACATGCATTATTTATGAACATTTGGTGTTTTCTGCACTCCTAGTTTTCACTTCTGTCTTTAGGCTTAAGCGCTGTTGTCATTATTGTCAGCCTGTCAACATGGAGGGCAAACTGCCTTTTTCCCCCATGTTTTTGACTGTCCTCCATTGCCCCCTAGTGGTAATAGAGAGTATCCTCAGCTATTTGATATATAGGCACTGATATGCACCTCCATTATCCAGCACTAAATCCATATGAGGTACTTTGTCTTTTGTTCCATTGCCTAAAAGTAGCTGAAGGAAGTCAGGCTTTTAAGTTCCTTTTGATTTTCACACTACTCCTGATTGCAGACATTTTGGCAATTTTAAAAACATTATCTAAGGTCATTGGTGATAGAAAAGTTGTTTTATGTTGGTTTTGGATGGGCATGCAGGACAATTTTCATCTTTATGATCTGCATCCAACTTAAGCATGCACATTTGTTTCTAGCTCCTCTTCTCACTGCACTCCATTCTTCAGTCATTGAGCTGCTGCCAGAGAAAAGTTGCACATGTTTTCTGAAACTGCTGTTTGACGTCAAACTTCAAAGGAAACGCAGTTTGCACAGCCAAAGTTTGGGTTTGATTTAATCATTTAATTGTGGTAAATGCTAAAATGTTTTTTTTTCTTCAATTTGGTGCTTTTTCCAGAAAAAAACAGCCAAACTTTTTTCAAAACATAACTATGTAATGTGTTCCAGCCCTTGCACAGTTACTTAATGGCACGCCAAAGCCATAATCCTTCAGTTCCTCTATTTTCTCAGGCTGTATTGATACTGCTGGCGGTGTCTCCCACAATTCTTTGTGGGCTTGTACTTAACTGTTTGTCAATGACTTTGCAGTCTGTGATTTATTTTCTGTATATGGTGCTGGGGTAAGCTTGGCCTTCGACTCTAACCTCTAATTTGGTACAGGGATGTAAGTCTGATGTGCATCAGCAGATTTAATACCTGTCTTTGTTTTCATGCTGAAACTGCAGCACACATGACAGAAAATGTTATCTCCAAACTATTGTGTACAGATTTTTCTCATAATGGGGAAGGACTGCACACAATAGGGGGTTTCAGTTTCAATTTTTCCCATTGAAAGGTGACTGTGAACTGAGAATGTTTGTGCTGTTCACTTAAATGCCAACTTTCTCCCCTTGTCATGATCCCCTTGTTAGACCACCCCCCGCCCTACTCATCTCTCCCATCCCTGGTTTAACTGGGAGTGGAACAGACAGATCTTTTCATCTGGGGAGAGCACACAGCAGTAGATTATACTCACCCTCCCCTCACTGGTCTTTATTCACCACCTGCCCCCTTACCCCTGCCCCCTTTCTCATTATCCACCCCATCCCAATCCCCTGGTGCCTCTGGAGCTCAGCCTCCTGGTCCATCTCTGGAATAATCTCCTCATTGTTGTCATCGTATGTGCCTCTTAAATGATATATTTGCATGCCTGCTATGTTATTCATGTGTGTATGGCCAGAGGCTGTGCTACCCAATAAGTGTGTGGTTCAGGTGTGTGTTTACACGCCTCATTACACCAAATGAAAAAGCACAGAGTTTGAAAGGGGAATAGAGGATGGTAGGGGGGCTCAGGCTGAGCTGTAATGCAGCTTGTATAATATTGACAGTGATTTATGTTGTAGAACAAAGAACCTGGATCAATTTTTGTGTGCCGCTGTCACAGCTGAAATAGTTGTCTGAGAGCTGCAGCTGACATTGATTGCAACACTACATTCTGTGATGGCTCGTATTGCCTGTATAGCTTTTAGTGGCTCCTCTTTGCAATATTGATGAATGAAGTATTATCAGACTTTAAAGCTTTATTTTATTGGACCCGATGTTAATGGAAGTGTTTGTGTTAAAATGTAATTGCTTTGCATGTGTCTTCATTACGGCCTCTCCGGTCTTCAGTAGTGCTTTATTTTTGCAACTGTGACATGGTGGGGAAACCAAAAGTGGGATTATCCTGGATTATCTTTAGGATATATGGATTACCTCTACACTAAATGTAATCTTCTTTGTATTAAATATTGTATATTTTTATTACTATGTAAAGGGGAATGGAGGCTGTTCTTCAAATAAATACAGAAACCTGAAAGCGAGAGTGTCTTTTGGATTATTTCTATAAAACTGAACACTTAAAATAACTACATTTGCCTATTTATTTATCATTATGAGTTTTTAGCATGCATCCTACTTAAAATTCATTTATAGATCTGTCTTTCCCCTCAAAAATAAAACGTTTCTCTGGTCTGGACATTAATCTCCTCGCCATCAAATGTTAAATCTGCACGGCCAACCATCTGCGTTATCTCCAGATACAGCAGGCTACAGCAGCCAGCTGTTGGGTTACTGCCACAGCACTATCTCATCGGGGAAGGCGTGTCACTCCCCCGAATTACTCAGCGCCCCCTTTGTCCTCGGTCGGTGCCCAGCCAGCGACACTCATGGCGGCTGCACCCGTCAGGCAGCGCTCCGGGCCGGGGGGACCCCGGGCGCAGCTCCCGCCCTGCTACTACGAAGGGTATCTGGAGAAGCGAGGACCGAAAGAAAAGGTATGTTAGCCCGGTGTGTATCACTGCCATGTTGTTTCATGTGAATGCTGTGGATAGTGGTGGTCAGTTAGTGTGTGTATGATAGTGCTCCACACCGGCGGATCCCCCATTCTCACTGAACTGTCAACTTCCTTCTTGTGCGGAGAGGGCGAGGCGATCCTTAAACCTGGTGCTGGGGAGGATTTTTATATGGCGAATAACAGAAAGGCTTTGCAGTAAAGGCTGATTCTCCAAGAATGTGACAGGGAGAGCATGCAACAAACACGACGTGTGAAACCTGACTGCTGTCAAACCAATGAACGTCAATTCATATCAGATCAAATCACCTGAAGCATTTGCGGCTTTATCACATATAATGATGCATTGCTCGCATGTTGCACATAGAAAATCTTTTAAGCATTTTCACCTTCCGGAATTTGTTAGAAACTCAAAAACTGTGATGTAGTTTTTTTCTTGATAGCCTGATCACTGCAGTGTATCTCTCCATAGGCTATTTCTTAATTACAAAGTTATATACAGTGAATCCACCCATGTCTCTTCATAATTCTATTGCATGATGTTTCATCATACAATACATATAAATATAAGGGGACAAAGAACAGGATATACCTTCCCCCCGGACCCACCCTCTCTCATTAGGCTCATTTTAATGCTATGGAGACATGTAATGTGAGCCTGGCTCAGGTGCAGGGTATAGCCCTGATCCATGTCCACAGACTGACAGCAGCTGTGGCTCGATCTCTGGGGACAGGAAATGTGGGAGTGATAAAACAGGAAATATCCATTAAACACATGTGGACAAACCCATTTCTGCATGTCTTCTTATTCCTGTGTGTGTGATAGGCATCCAGACGACTGTGGACCTGTCTGTGTGGGAATTCTCTGTATTTCTTCAATAATGCAAAGGATGCCCATGTAAGTGTTAGACTTCATATATATTTATATATACACACAAAATAGATGGCATCATGAGGAAAGAACATTATATGGAAATACTGAAGCAACATCTCAAGACATCAGCCAGGAAGTAAAAGTTTGGGTGCAAATGGGTTTTCCAAATGGACAGTGACCCTAAGCATACTGCCAAACTGGTTACAAAATGGCGTAAGGATAACAAAGTCAATGTTTTAAAGTGGCCATCACAAAGCTCTGATTTCAATCCTATTGAAAATTTATGGGCAGAACTAAAAAGTCGTGTGCGAGCAGGGCGGCCTACAAACTTGGCTCAGTTACACCAGTTCTGTCCAGAGAAATGGGCAATAATTCCTGCAAACTATAGTGAGAAGCTTGTGGAAGCATATCTAAAGCATTTGACCCAAGTCGTACAATTAAAAGGCAGCTACCAAATTCTTATGACATGTATGTAAACTTTTGACCCTTGAGAAAGTAATGAAAAATTTTCTAAAAAATTCTCTCTCTTATTATTTTGGAATTTAGCATATAAGAATAATTTTGGTAAACCTAATTGATCAAAAACTGGAAAAGTTTAATCTGATTTAATGTTAGACGGTGAGGGAAAAAAGGTTATGTGCCTTTTCAGATAGTGTATGTAAACTTCTGGTTTCAACTGTATATATAATATTATATTTTTGGTATTTTGTACTTTGTATAAAGTTATGTTGGGTGTGTTGCAGTATGTGGAGAAGCTGGACCTTGGCGGATTTGTGTCCCTCAAAGATGACTGCAGCCGAGACAGGAACCTGGAGGCAGCCAGACTCATCCTGCGCATGAAGGATGGAGAGACCAAACTTACAGTAATGCTGGTCAACACATGCACATACATTCTTCAAAATCAACACCTTTCACATCATGTTTACTGGCTGTTTTGTTCATCAGGCACCTAACTTGGAATCAAGGGAGCTTTGGAAAGGGTTCCTCTACTCGGTAATAGATGTGGGTATTCATCTATTGCACACATTTAGTCCTGTTACATGCTCCCTCTCTCTCTCTCTGTGTTTTCTCTGATCAATATCCTTCCCTCTCTGTCCAATCACAGCTGAATGTCCCATCCTGTCTCACTCTGCTGCCTGGTCAGCTGCAGATGCTAAAGGAAGTAGTGGACAAAGAAAGATCAAGGCGGAGAACTCGCACCCCAACACGTGCGCCACCCTCGCCCCTCTCTGTACCTTTAGTTGGAGAGATTCCTCCGTGAGTCATTCTCTCCTGTACCTGTGGGGCCTCCTATGAGTGTGTGCATGACTATACCATAACATTATGTGTTTGTGTGCACACAGGTGTTTTAGGCCAGTATCTCGAACAGAAGCTGAAGTCCTCTTAGAGAGACACCCAGACTGTGGAAACATGCTGCTCCGTCCAGGCAGAGATGGATGCTCGTTGGCTGTCACAACTCGGCAGGACCTGAATGGGTAAACACCTGCTGAACATCTGCACACCACAGCTACAAAATGACTGTCAGACATTACATACTACATACACCCTGTACCTCTCCTTTCTCTCCAGGTCAGTGTTCAGACATTACCGTGTGACTCAGAGGGACCAAGGCGGTTATGTGATTGATGTAGAAAATCCTGTGAGTGTATCAGCCTGGTGTTATTGGACTAATACATTTTGAGACATTGTGCTTCTACTTTTGGAGGAGAGGGCTTCGGTTGTGTGTCATCAGTTTGTCGATGGAGCCAAACTTTTCAACAAAGTTATTGAACACAGCCAATATCTAATCTGTTTAACAGTATTGGTGCTAGTACAAAACTGGCTCATTGAAAGGCTGCACCCTGTTTAGGTGATTACTTACAAAGATATAAAAGCACTTAAAACAGATTCGTCTGTACAGTTCCTAATTTTCCATCTAATATTATTTGTCCTTCTAGGATTTAGTGACTCAGCACCAACCCAGCAGACTCAGTATTATAAACAATAACAGATAAAGAATGACAAAGCGGCAAAAACAAGCTGAAGTAATGTGTTGAGATTGCAGCAGTCAACAAGGCCCCTCACTTTCTGTTGTCAGCATTCTTATCAAACCTCCAGCTTTAGGCTTATTAACACAGCAAGTGTTTTCCTCCAGATTCCCTGCGCTACTCTTCATGATGTGATCGATGCTCTCGTAGAGAAGACGGCAGGAACTCTACAGCCGTTCTTACTGGAAGAGCCTTATGAGGAGAATATCAGTGAGACCCACTATGCAGTGCACGTGATCTAAATGTTTAAATGTTATTTTCCTTCTTTCTTAGGACACAACAAGACTTACCAAATGAAATTATTTGTGTGTCTATAGCATACGTTTCTGCCAATGATGAGAATGGAGAGAGGATCCTTCACACAGCCCCCACCAGCCCACTGCCAAAAGCTCCTGCCCTGCCTCCAAAACAAGGTTTGTCTCTGTCACATCAAGCTTCATGCATACAGACAGTTATAATAACCAATGCTCTATCTGTATCTGCTGCTATAGATCGGTGGTGCAGCAGCCCCCTCACCAGGTCCCCTGCCCCTGACCGCCGCATCCTGACCTCATCAGTGCCAGCCTCGCCCACCAATCCGATGAGACGCCTCATCCTTTCCCCTTCCCCTCTTGCACAGAGTGAGTAGCAAAGGCATCTCGCATACTCACTTTAACTGTCTACTTTCACACTTGTATGTTGTTTTTATTTATTTTAATTATGTTTCTAGCTGTGTTTTTATGCCCTGTAAAGTGTCCTTGGGAGCTCAGAAAGGCGCTTTTAAATAAAATGTATTATTATTATTATTATCTCAAATATATTTTTTAAGTAGTGACTTACAAATACCTTTTCAAGATCTTAATTAATCATACAATTTTATTAGTAAATGTTAATTAAAAGCTTTTTAAATCAGGTTTAACATTCCTTTACTTATAATGATGACAATGCCTTCCCAAACAATGTCAACATAGCACCAAAGGTGTCATAATTTACTGAATGACACTTAATGACAACCTTATTCATGCTAATGACAGGTGTCATGTTATGGTTATGACAGCATAATGTCAGTCTTATGTATACCTCTTTAAGTAAAGTGTTACCAGTATTTGTCCCTGCAGACTGGCCAGCAGTCAGTTGCAACTTGTTCCACAGGCGTTTCTGACATCAGTCTGAGTAGATGCAGCGTTAGGCTCAGCTTGTACGTGGTAGCTCAAACCTGTGGTCCTTCTTTAGGTACTCAGTGACATTTTAATCTCATTTGATACAAAGTGCAAAGTTTTATTTTCTGCAATAAAGAGCAGAGAGGCACAGCTGTCACTTAACTACATTGTGCTTTGTGGGAAATATAAAAGCAATTTTTCAAAAAGTAACCTGTTTGTTCCAGGCCTTAATTGCATTTGGATCATCATGCCAGCGGTGACGGCTCTAGCTTGAAGATTTTGAGTGTTGATCTTTATAGGTGTTTCTTGCATCTCTCCACAGCACTCAATGAGGAACTCAAAATGAAGCTGGAGAAGCGACGAGCCAGCCAGGAGTGAATCATTCATAAGGATCATCCTCTTGTCCCAGCATCTTCACTCTTCAGTGCCAAATACCTTCTCACCGCAGCTATGTTTTCATCCTGTGCCTTCAAGGTGGAAGACAAGGGACAACAAATACAACTTTTTTGAAGGGAGATGCAAAATGCTCTGCCTCGAGTTTTATTTTTTCTGGTCTGGGGACAAGGTTTGTGGACTGGGTGATTAAATGGACTCTGATGAGCTCTGTAAGAGCAGGACCAGCTGGTCAACACTGGAAAAAGGTCATAAAAACCTCAAAAATGCTGCCCTTCCTTTGGTTTGAGTAATAATCCATTTGTCTTTTGTCCACTTGCATATGTTGTTTACAAACTGTCTCTGAGCAAAAAGACAAAAATTGTGCCACAGTGATTAATGTCCCTTTATATAAGTCCATAAAAACACTGTATTAATGTGACTGGCAGCTGAGGAGCATTAAAACATGCCTGACCACCTACTGAGTCGAACATCTGAGGCCAAGATAAACACCTGACACCTGAGAAATTTCACCCCCTCTGAGCCTGAAATGAGCCTGATCTGGTTTATGCCCTGCAATCCTCTTCACTGACATCATTATGTGTACTTTGACCGGAAAAAAAAGAAATGTACGTGGAAACAGTGGAGCTGGCCATGAACTATAAACTGCACAATCTCTGCCTGCTGCTCTGTGATTGTGATTTATACGCAACCATTGATGTATTGTTGATTCAAAGACACTGTACTATTTGACTGTACCGCTGGTGCTTACTTTAAAGTGTTTCTTATTCTCTGCGACTGTGAACGTGCTACTGTGAGGTGCTATGACTCATCTGTACTTAGACCTGCCTGGAAGCGGCAGGTAATTTCTGTTCCTATTCAACCAAATCATTCTACTGTAGTCACATTGAAAGGCCGCCCTCTAGTGGCATGGCTGTCATCTAAAGAGGTAGAAACCTAAACAGCACAAACAACACAGGACATTTATCTTGTGTTCAACACGGCAAAGACTTTTGGCTTTGTGACAGTATTACACAAAATCCTACCTCTCAGCCTTTTAATAACAAAAATAATTCACCATTCAACTGACACAGTCAGTATTGCTATCCATTAATTTAAATGGTCAATTTGCCAGTCTTTTTACATGTGAAACATATGAGTACTTGTGGCAAACTGTTATCAAGTGTCTTCTTACAACGAACAGTTTCTTGTATGTTTCTACATGTTGTGTGATAATGTGTGCTTGATTACAAACAAAGAACAGTGTTTGATAGATATCAGGGACATTAAATTTTTTGCATGAGTGTAATTTGTCTCTGGAATATTTCTCAAAATTATTATTATTTTTTATTTGTTAGTGTCAGGCCACAGTACCATTTTTTTTATTATTTGATCTTTAGATAATGTTTGGATCAACTGAACATCTTGAGTGGGTGACTTGAAGGAAGTATGGACATATTTTTCCAGTTTTTGAATAAGGCCCATCTTCAAGCCTTGGTGTAAGTCAACCACAAAAAGATAACAGAGAAAGCTGTCAATGTTTTTGATTTAAATTTTATTGATTGAAATTCCCTTTAAAACTAGTGACGATTGTATTAAATTATCTCATACGTTTTAAAAACAAATTTCTCCACATAAAGAGGACAAAAGAAATTATGCATTATAGGGATTAAGCTTATCCTAATTATGACACAGAGAAATGTTCTATTTTTTCTAGAGCTTTTCCTCTACTATTACAAATGTACGGTGGCCGAGAACCACCACTGCTGCAAATAAAAAAGAATGTAAAAAAAAAAGAAAGAAACCACAACGGAAGTTACTGATGCAAAAAAAAAAAAAAAAAAAGAAACCAAAGCCCGTTGAAAATAAAAAAGAAATAGTGCGGATAAAGGATTTTAAAAAAAACAAGTTAATGACAAAAAAAAAAAGTGGTGAAGCAAAAATGAAAAAAGTTACTGCGAAAAAAAAGGATGCAAATAAAAAAGCCACAACAGAAGTGAGCTGCCAGGGACCAATAATGATGATGCACAGCAAAGAAGTTAGTGGAAAGTTTATTGTTTCATTTTGCTTCGTAAACTTTTCAGCGTGTCATTTGGTTAGGCCATGTAGCGCCGGAGTCGATATGAAGTTGAATTGTAGGATGCCGGTGTAGTGTTAGCTTCAGTTCAACTTCATATTGACTCAGGCACAACATGGCCTAACCAAATGACACATTGAAAAAAGCACACTAAGTGAAATTAAACAATAATCTTTACACTAATTTCTTTGCTTGTCTTCTCATTGTACTCTTGTGTGCCTAGATCGTAAAACACTGGTGCATCATCATTATTGATCCCTGGCAGCTCACTTCCGTCATGCCTTTTTTCATTTGCATCCTTTTATTTTGGCAGTAACTTTTTTTTATCACCACTTTTTTTTGCGTCAATGACTTCCATTGTGGTTTTTTTTATCTGCACCTTTCTTTTTTTATTTGCATTAGTAACTTCCGTTGTGACTTTAGTTTCTTTTTTTTTTTTGCATTCTTTTTTTTATTTTAAATTTTTTAAATATTTTTATTTGCAGCAGTGGCAGTTCTCGGCCACCATACAAATGTGTTTAATAAAGTTTGTGAGCAGGTGCAAAATATTTATTGGGGATTTAATTCATAAAAAAGAGAGAAAAAATGTGACTATTCAGAAAACACTATGGGGGAAAACTCCAACACACTCTACCAGGTTGTTAAATTAGTCTGTAAACTGCCCACGTTATAAGAACTTGTGCAACCTGGAAATCGCCCTAAACCCTTAGTTTTGCACATCTCGGATCAGCTGTGCCCTCCTCTGACAGACAAAGGTAAATGAGACCAATGAAGACTTCATCAGATCGGAGATCAGCCCCTGCCACCGCCTCAACGGCTGTCTGAAGGTAGTTTGAAAAAAACGGAGCAGCAGTCTTTGAGAGCGTTTACACCGCGGGATGTGAGCACAGAGAGACCCTCTTCAGAAACGGATGGCAGCTGTGGCTTTGAGAGGCTCGGACCACAGACAGTGAGGCTTCTTTTTATCTGGTGTGTGATTTAGAGATATGAAACTTGGTCTGTTTTTACCAAAAAAAGGAAGTTACAAGTTTCAAGATCGCTTGTTAGGTAGTTAACATCTTCGCGTACGTTGGGCATGACTATCAACGTTAGCAGGTTTTATTTTCAAGTTTAAAACATTTATACTCGCTTCGAGAAAGTATGACTACCACTTTTTACTTGAGGAAGGAGTAGAGGACATAAAATGACGCTTAAACAGGTGCTGGGATTGTGTTTTCTGGTCGTGTCCGCGGTCTTGGGCGTGTCGGTGCACAGGTGAGTGATTAACTATTGATATGGGTGTTTGTTGACGGCTAGCCTGCTAGAGTAAGAGCTGGTGTTGTGGCGTAGAATGCATCCCTGCCGTAGAATGCATCCCATCCACTCATTAGCTTCTTAAAGTGGAAAAAAATGATCTAATATGTAAAAAAACACGAGTATTGGATTATGACAACTTGTCAAACGGAGCAGCAAACTTTCGTTCTGTTTTTATGTCTCTCAAAAATGCACATATAGAGGTATAGTCGTGTATATAAACTGTACAGTAAACTGTCAAGGTAGAGAACAGTATTTGTTTCGGGACGGCAAATATTCCGAATCAGAGGGCTGTTGTTTCCGGCTTATCTGAAAAGCCTGAATGAAATATTTACTGGCACAAGCTTTTGAATCCATCCAATGGTAAGGAAAATTTGGTTTATTTCGTCTTGTTATGTACTTTCAACCGCGCTCCCGTCAGGGATGCGTTCTACGGCAGGGGTTCATTCTACGACACAACACCTGTTATCTACGTTTGTGGCACCTTAACGTGAATTTGGAGCTTATCGCTTGAATAAATGCAGCACGACAACCCAAAGTAACACTAATGTTAAACAAACTACAAAACAATTCTCACCTTGCTCTTAAACTGTTCGTAGTTATAGTAATTGATATCAGACTAGCTTAAAAACTTCGATACTTTTTTTTTTTGGAGACGTTTGACCTATTTATGTGAACGCCAAGTTTGTAGTGTGTGTGCGTAGGTGTAAATGGGTGTTAAGTAAATCTAGCTTTGGCCCTAGGGCCAAATATGTGAAACATGTTATCAGGGCTGCATTCTGTGACATGCCACAGCCCATCAGAAAAACACTCCAGCACACCTCTGTTGGGAAAGAGGCACCCACAGCCGCAGTACACACCCACCCTGCAGGTTGTTGTAGAACTAGCTGCTGGATAAAAATCACAAAGAAACTACCTTTTTTCTCACAGAAATGTAATCGAAAGGAAGCAATTATGCCAGGTTGGCTGTTACTTAGTTGGCATATGTGAGAGATGTGGTTTTGAGTCTACCATTTTGTTTCCTGTTGGTGGTGAAATGGTTCTTGCTACAAAGTTTTTGCAAGAGCGTATGTCTACACCAGCCTCTGGCACTCTCTGTGAATCTCTCATTGTTTTTTGTGTTTAGTGCTTCAAGAGGGCTGGAGTCGACATCCCTGCACCCTGCAGAATGTCTTTCATGGCCCTGCATTAACATCACTATGGCACTGACAGATTTACTGCTGTGCTGACTTTAGCTCACACTGCCCTTTCAAAGCATTTTTCTTTTTTTTAATTATTTTTGCTTTGTCTAATTTTGCTTTAACTGCATCTTTTTCTTCACATTGCACTTTTCATTCATATTTTTTCAGTTGCTTTAACACAGACTCTGAACTTGTTTGTCAGGTCTCATGTCTTGTGAATTGACTTTGATGTCCATACAACCTTGTCTCTTTCAGGCCTCCTCGGCTTTGTTTCTTCAGTCTGTGCCATCCATCTCAGCATGGACAGCCTGCTGAGGGAGGCCAGTAAAGGGGCCATCGACCTTCAGTCTGCAAAGACCTCATCACGTCATAGATGCCGCTTGCTGTCTTTACCCCTGTATGACTGACTGCTGAGGAAACAATAAAGCCTTAATTCCTGTTGACTTGAACAAAAGAACCATGCATCCGCTGCTTTCCCTCTGCGTCTTTTGGCTGCTGCCTGTGGCCTTGACGCTGGAAGAAGACTCACCGCTGGACTGCCGCCCCCGCAGATCTGTGCCTTATCATAGTGAGTGTTGTGTAACCTTGGCCCACATTCTGTCGTCACATGTTGACTCATGTGATTTAAGTTGGGATTGACAAATTAAGGAAAAAATGGTTAAGCAATTGTGATTGCTAAGCACTTAAGTTTTGGTCTGTCTGTAGGGGATAATGCACTCCTGTTTCGTGAGGATGGAGTGTTCAACTACTCCACTATGCTTCTGAGAGAAGATCTGGACCTGCTGGTGCTGGGTGCCAGGGAGGCAGTGTTCGCTCTTGACCTCAAAGACATCTCCAAGAAACACGCTTCAGTAAGAGCACCACAGTTATGATGCTGTAAAGACAACTATTTCCTTGGAGTGGAGAGTGACGTAGAACTTAAACATGTCTTATCAGAGCTTTCTTAGCCTAGGGCTAAACTTTTTTAAGACCTGGCTTGTGCATCATGCCAAGCTCTGCCATGATATACAGCACACATGCAGCACTTGCTGGAAGCAAAGTGTTGAGTAAGAGCTGCCTTTGTGTCCTGGTTCTGTGCAGGAAAGGTCCTACACTCATAGTCATCAATAAAAATAACATGTTTCACCTTCTGTAATTCATACCTAATGTTACTACTTTAGATTTTTTTAAAGATTGTCTCTTGAAAAACACTGAAACCAAACAGTGTTGCTGTAATATCCAGTGTTCCTCTTTAGTTGCATTTGCTAGGACATTTCCCCCTTCTTTTCTGTGCTGTCAGGTCTCATGCTGAGTCTAATTTACAGAACACTTCTTGGTTTAATTCCCTTCTATTCATGCACTCATGTCTTAAGAACTAACAGCCACTATGCCTCGCTCTCCTGTGATGTTTGCCATCTCTTTGTTCTTCATGCCCGTGCTGAGCTGGGGAAAAAAGCTAAGTGGATTCGGTTTTGCTGCCTCCTTTGCGTTGAATACACTCCAGAGCAATTTAAAACCATCACAACTTATCTCACTTGAAGCCTTTGGCTCTATCGTAAAGGAAAACCTTAATTGTTGTTTGTTTTTAACTTACTTTGTGTAATCTGTCTCAAGAGTATGTAATATTTATTAAGACCTGTGCTGCAGACCTCTTGGAGAGGCCACCCTTGAAAAAGAAATCTGGATCCCTGGGGTTTACCTAGTTAAATAAATGTTTAATAATAAGGGGTTAGAAAAACAATAAAAATAATGATACATAAGATAAATTTGAATTAGCAGTGAGTGTGTAGTCTGGGAATTAAAAGGAATCATCTTCTTTTTTCTCCTGCTCACCTGCCAGTCCAACAAGGTGAACATTAAGTTCAGTTTCAAGAAAATGGGTCTGTCTGGGTTTACATTTTCTCCATCCGTGTTGGGAATAGTTCCCACATTTCTGTGTACGTGTCCAAATTTCCATTCATGTTACACAATCCATAGAAGGCAGTTTCTGTTCCAGCTTTGAATCATATAGTATAGGTCGTCCTGTGGTGTACTGAGTCTTAACATGACCCTCTTAACTATAGGTGGAGCAGCTTTCGGCCATTGTATTTTTCACACTCAATTTTTCAGGATTTTTAGGCTGTTCAGGAAGCTTAGGGGCAGATGTAAGAAACAACACCTGTTTTCAGGCTACAATTATCTTTCCTGTGATGTTCTGCCATTGGATGGTTAATCGATGGCACCTTAGAAACATATGATTGATGCCACTCTTTAATTTTGCAGCAAGGGTTTGATCGACTCATCCCTGCCTTACGTTCATATCCAGTCTGTTGAATATTTTAAATTGATCAAGTTTAGAGCTTACATCTCTCCCTGGGTTTTATCATGTTTTTCTTCTGCTTCTAACTTAATTACAACTGTTTGATTGGTCAATCTGTAAATGTGATCTTTGGATTTTGTGGAATGTTAAGATTACTGCCAACACTGGATATCACACAATGTCCGAGGTTTTTATCTTCATGTTTCCCGTCTCTTACATAATAGGCTCTTCAAAAAGCCATGTGAATGTTATACAGATTTTTGTTCAGACCTGTTTAAGTGCTATGTGACTGAACAGTTTTCACTCTTCAAGGTTAAATGGGAAGTGACAGAAGAGCAAGAAGAAGAGTGTAAAAACAAAGGAAAAGATGCTGAGGTGGGTCCAGTTTAGCATTTGCTATTTTAAACTCACCAACATAGATCAGGTAGGTTCATTGCATTTTAAATTGCATTTACAGACAGACTGCAAGAACTACATCAGGATCCTGCACAAAACAGAAGACGACAGGATGTACGTGTGTGGAACGAATGCCTTTGATCCTGAGTGTGATTACATGGTGAGACTCTGGAAGACACAGTTTCCACTTTCTTATTCATTCTCTGTGCTGTTAGGTCTGATGTTATCTAGTTGTAAAAGCATTACAACTCAAAAATGTAAGGATGAATATGTCAAGATTTACAGTGTCTTTGTGTGTGTCCATGCAGTCCTATGCAGATGGAAAACTGACTCTTGAGAAGAAAGGAGAGGACGGCAAAGGGAAATGTCCATTTGATCCTTTCCAAAAATATGCCTCCATCATGTTCGGTATGTAGCAGTTACACAACAGAGGAAAAAAATAGAAATGGTAGGGGCTGCAGAACTTTACAGATATAATGTGTGTTTCTTGTGTTTTGTCAGAAAACGACCTGTACTCAGCCACTTCAATGAACTTCCTGGGCTCTGAACCCGTCCTGATGCGCAGCTCTCCGGTCTCTATACGCACTGAGTTCAAGAGCTCCTGGCTTAACGGTGAGACGTGATGGGTTATTCTTCTTTTTAAGATGTTTTACTAGAGTGTTGCAGAGACTGATCTGAAGAGAGATAAACTTTGACCTGGTAAGTTGCTCCTTGTTTGTGAAGATTCATGCTTCACCTTTAATTGCAGAGCCCAACTTCGTCTCCATGACTCAGATGCCAGAAAGTCAGTTTAGTGAGGATGGAGACGACGACAAGGTGTACGTGTTCTTCAGCGAGACAGCTGTGGAGTGCGACTGTTACAACAAACTGGTGGTCTCTCGTGTGGCCCGCGTCTGTAAGGTGAAGGCTGTAAACTGCATTCTCTGAATTGTTCTAGCTCCATCTCCCACAGGAGGAGGATTATATAAATGTAACTTCCCCACTTGTTCTCATTCCACCCTTTCCGTTGCCTGATTGTGCATCTTATCTGCCCACATGTTTTTCCACTTGTAAATGGTTGTCTTTCTGTGCACACAGGGGGATCTTGGAGGTCTTCGGACATTGCAGAAGAAGTGGACATCCTTCCTGAAAGCCAGGCTGGACTGTCCAGTGCTTGAGTCCCAGCTGCCGTATATTATTCAGGACACATACCGCTGGTGTGACCCCCAGCAACGCTGGAAGGACTGTGTGTTCTACGCCGTCTTCACACCACAGTCGTACGTTTCAGTTAACAAATGTGTTTTTAGGAGGGTCCCTTTGCCTTTAATGGTGTTTGGCACACCACTTGGCTCACATTTTCTGTGTGTGTCTGTGTTCCAGGGACACGTCAGACCTTTCTGCAGTGTGTGCGTACAGCGTGTCCGACATTAGCAGAGTGTTTGCTGAGGGGAAGTTCAAGACCCCCGTCCCCGTAGAAACCTCTTTTGTGAAGTGGGTGATGTACAGCGGAGATGTCCCCTTCCCTCGTCCTGGAGCTGTGAGTCTGCCCACCATTCAACGCGTGTGTTAGAAACAAAAACTGAGCTTAAAAGGCAACTTTTTTTTACAACCAGTGGCCCAGCAGGAAGCTGATTTCTTTTGCAGTGTAACTCTGTTGTTCCCTCTTCTTTTTTTTCCCTCTTCCTTCCCCTCTTTTCCCCTGCCAGTGTATAGACAATGCTGCCCGTGAAGAGGGAATTACTCGCTCTCTGGACCTCCCAGACAGGACCCTTCAATTTATCAAAGATAAACCTCTCATGGACCAAGCCATCCAGCCAATTGGAGCGAAGCCTCTGCTGGTGCGAAGGGGAGCCACATTCACAAGCATCATAGTAAACCAAGTGCAGGCTGCAGATGGCAACAAATACCATGTGATGTTTGTTGGCACAGGTGTGTGTGTACAGTGTTGAATGAGTGCAGCATGCAGCCACTTCCTGTAAACTTTCTCTCCCCTTCCCTTGATAATTTAACAATGCCAGCCTGTAGCAATGAGCTAAATTAGTTAGTGTGTCAATTGAACATCTGTCTGTGTTCTATTCTGCTAGAGGACGGCACCCTGGTGAAAGCTGTAAACTATGATGAAGAGATGTTCATCATAGAAGAAGTACAACTCTTTGAGACCCCAGAGCCGATCAAGATCCTGAAATTCTCCAACATCACGGTATTTTGAAACTCAAAGCCCTGTAAATGGCTCATTGCTTGATTAATTCAAGTGTATTTTTGATGTTGAGTAAACACGTTAGTGTCATTGTTCTGAGCTTGTGTGTGATGGATTTATTGTGTACAGGGTCAGATCTATGCAGGCTCAGACTATGGAGCAGTACAGATGCCACTGGCCACCTGTGGGAGATCCTCTTCCTGTATGGACTGTGTTTTAACCAGAGACCCGTACTGTGGCTGGGACAAAGTTGACAGAAAATGTGTTTTTCTCTCTAACTCACAGAGGTAGGCAGCTGTCCCAACGTGCAGAATAAGCAGTGTTGGTGATTATTTCGCCCTAACTAAATGAAGCTCTATTTTATCCTCTTGTTCAGAGAACTGATCCAAAGTCTAAAAAATGGCGACGCATCTCTTTGCCCAGAAGCTGGTAAGTTAGCAGCAGTAGTAGCAATTTATTCTCAAAACAAAAAAGTATTTGTTAAGGAACTCTTTTGTTTCAGATCCCATTAAGCCTGTGAACCGGTCCATCTGGCCAGGAGGGAATCTGAAGCTTCGATGCACTGCACCTTCCAACTTGGCAAGAACTGTCTGGGAACGGGACGGTAACCCTCTGACACCTGCAGCTCGCCTACAGTTTCTTGGAGATGGACTGCTCATCTTGAATGCTTCAGACTCGGACGCTGGTCAGTACCGCTGCCTCTCTATTGAGCACTCCAAAGCTGATGAGTACTCGACTGCCGTGGCTGAATATCAGGTCAGCATAGGTGCTGTAGGCACAGGGGGCGGGACTCCCACTTTTGAGGCTCAGGTGAACGGACCCTCAGTGGCTGGACTACAGGTTGTAATTGCACTTCTTGTGGTCGCTCTTCTCGCTCTTTTCGCCTGGAACTTTTACAAAGGCCACATCCCGCTGCCCTGGAATTGTGGAAAGAAAACCAGACAGCAATCTCAAGTGACCAGTGAGCAAGGGGATCTATACCAAAATGCACCGAGGCCTGCACTGGCAGAGGACAAGCCTCTTGTAGTGGGGACAGACAACGGCCGCAGTAATAACAACCACGCTGGGGAGGCAGCGTCTGGTGCAGCAGAGGAGAACGAGGATCCAATGGTTAATCTTCCAACTCTGAAATATATTGATGATGAGTCAGAAATTTAAAAATTAACCACAAACTACTGTGTTGAGTTTCCCATTTGGAGACAAAGCTTGAAACACAACTGTTCGAGTCCGAATAGTTTGTGACTGTGGTGAATGATGAATTTATATGTTCAGCTGTAATATTTGAGTTAAAATCCCAGTTGTTGGTTTTCAGTTTGTACGCTTGTGAGCACAGTTGAACACACCAAAAGATTCAGCGATATGTTTTTGTATGAATAAGAGACTTAAATTGATGCTGTACTTGTTTTCCCTTTTAAAACCACACTTAATTTTGATTCCCATTTTGAATTGATTTTTAAATCTTGTTTTATTTTCAATTGGAATGTAATTGAGCCATTTCGTTTTTTTTAATGACATGCTGGGCACATTAAGTATGATTGTATTAAAGCTTTTTTTACTTGGCCGCTGTGTTGCTCAAGAGTATCCAGACAGAAGAAACAGGGTTTACTGCTGTAGGCATGACTGGACTTGCCAAGAATGTCAGGAACAGATGTGAGAGAAACCTGCAGTCATGAATCAGGTACGGTACTAGCAAAGAACAAGAAAACAGGGAAATAAAGCAAACACGGGACTACACAAATACATCACCTACAACTAGTGTGACAACATCCGTGTCCTGATGCTTCATCTGTTTGGTAAAAGGTAATACATAGTTGTTAACAAGATAGTAGATGATTGTCGCCCAGCAAAGGGAACATACTACAGGTGAAGGTCCTTCAAACTTTTGTCAGATTTTTGCAATCTTGTCCAGTTCACATTAAGAGGAAGTTCATTTCTCTCTGTCTTAAAATAATCATGCTTTTACAGTCAGTTTCAGCCCTACTTTATTTTGAGAATCTAGCTTAAAAGTCATACTACACAGCTGCATCTCAAACGTGGAGAGCATCTTTTTTTGTCATAACTTAATTCAAATAGATGCATACTGCTCTGCTGCTGCTGCCAATTTGTGTGCAGGAGCAAATGACAATTCCATTACTTCATAAGTGAAAGTTCACCTTTTTTTAAACTAAATATATATCAAGTGCTGACTTCAGCAACGTCATATCTGAAAGGATCCCTTGTTACTGAAAAATACACAAACAGTCCCTATCAAAATGCCTTTATACTCATAATACATATGTGTGTCGTTCGCTTTCTGTCATCAGATGTATAAGTACACTCACGAAAATCAGAACTAGTGGGTCGGATATGAGCTTGAACACCAACATACCCATAGATCTTCCAGGTCTCAGGTCAACTTTCCAGATCAGAAACCTCAAAAACACACATCCCAGATCAATTTTTTGCACTTATGTATTTGTGCTTTTGGAATATCAATAATTCTATGAAAAAGGGAATTTACAACAGATCTTAAAATCAGAGATGACAGCTTTCTGAGTGTAAAAAAAAATCTTTAATTTGACATTTTCAGGCTACATTACAGTTAAATTTTCCACACAACAACATTGAAGGATTTAGAAACCGCCTTTTTGAGTGAATGTAAAACAGAACAACAAAGTATACTGACTGCACAGCCTGTATAGTACTGGTTCAAATCCAGCGACTGGCTTTTGGTCCGTCCAGTATGCGGCCTCTATCTTCTGTAGCGGTATCTCTTGAAGTGGAACCATAACTGGAAGATTCCATTGGCGAACTGACAGCGGAAACCGTGTCTGTGTGAGTACTCCCACTCCCTGTTTACAATCTTAAAAGCAATATCCTCATATGGAGGACCAGCATGGAACCTCAAAATCCCAAAGTCCTTGTTGTCAGGACTGGGCTCGAGGAAGTACTGCGGGGTGGAGCGTTTGTCAATCAGGTCTGGGTAGAAGATGTTGAACTTGTAACCCTGGACGATTTTGGGTGGCGGGTTGTCGAAGTCATAATGCGTTTGGTTGTATTTGTTCCACTCGAAGCCAGTGTGGACCCTGTTGAAGAAGCGGGGTTTCCTCGGACGGTATTTGTCGGCCCACAGGTACATTTTACCCGTGACAGGGAACTCCACGCTGAACTGGGCCTCGTCGTTGCCCATTCCCTCTCTGGCACGACGCACAAAAGCATCTTCAGCGCTCTCATTGGCATCACCTGTTACAAAATCGGAGGGAACATGTTTGAAAATCAACTTTTTCTTTTTCTCCACCTCAGATTGATCAATATCTCCAACAAAAAAAGCAGATAGTTCAACAGTTGGCTGCTGTTGTTGTTTACTGTTTATTCTAGGTTGTGATATTTCTATTGGCAAAATTTTCTGGTGCCATCTGGTGACTATTTTGTGACTCTGCCATTTTCACATTTAAACTGTGTGTGTTTGTTTGTCTGTGTGTTTTTCCAGTACCTGTGACTTGGAGCTGTCTGCGTGCCAACTGCAGCCTGTGTGTGTCTTCTTCTGGTGTGATGGTGTGTGTGTCCAGTGGAAGTTCGGACTGCATGAGAAGTGTGGGACTGTAGCGGCCAGAGTCGTACTCCGCCTGGCTTTGCTGGATCAGGTCCTCCTCTGTCAGCACGGCTTCCACCACTTCTCCCTTCTCTTCATCCTTCTTGTCATCCTTGTCATTCTGCTCTTCATCTTGGTTTGCTGTGGATGTTGATGGACCAGCCTCCTCTTCCTCCTCCTCATCCTCTCTGGTCCCCCTTTCTCTGTGACTGGGGGGAGAGGATGAAGGCTGGCTGGTCTCTTCTGTTGCCCTTATCTGATCTTCTCTCTCCCTGGAGTTACAAAAAAAAATGAGTTTAAAGTTTCTATAGTTAAGAAGAGGTTCTGTCCTTAGTATTTCACAAGATTTTTCAAGTGTTAACACATGCTTAAAAAAAGAAGCAGGTGAGAATCAGGTAAATGTGAAGTGAAACTTTAACCCCGGATTGCTAAGCTACAGATCCCAGGATGCGTATACTGTGTGAAGCTCGAGGTTAACCTACTCTTCTTCGCTGCTCGGCTCCTCTTTGATGATGGGGAACAACGGCTCACTCTCCACTCCTTGTTCTTGTTTCAGTTTGAACAGCTTCTGACGCAGAACATCCTGGTGTCGCTCTCTCAACCTGCAACATCAAGTTTTCATTTACAATCCTGCTAAAGAACATTTAGGTTTGATTTAAAGTCAGAAAAGCTCAAGAGGAGTTTCAACAAGTACCTTGCTCTGGCCATGTAGACTCTGACTTGCTGCAGCAGACTCTCCCAGTAACCAATATCCAGATTGGATCCTCCAGCCCGAATCTTAGACTCAATGTTCAGGTGCAGCGCCTGCAGCTGGCTGTACGTCTTTCCTTTGAACACCATCTGTACATCAGTGCTCACAGCTGTGTTGATGCCCTCCCGACGATCACCTGAAGGTTACATTGAAAGTAAAGAAAACAAATCTGGTTCAGCACTGCTTCGTGGTGCACATATAAGGGAAGATTTGCAAAGATGGGAAAAACGGGGTTTAGTACCTGGTCCTTTTCCAGAGGCCTCCAGCTTTCTCAATTTGCTGATCTCGTCCTCAGTGATGGTTGTCATGTCTCGCCAGAAGTCCACGTTCTTCCCTTGCTCCAGCTCCATGTACACCTACAAAAGAACAACACTCATGCAGTAAACCACATGCAGGGTTTGTATATCTTCATGACAATAACACTTAAAATCAATTTCAAACTTGAGTTTCCGTTTAAAATGGAGGCATTGCTCTTTTTTTCAGATTTCATTCACAAGTAAATAAGTCCAAGTGAAAATAAGATGTTGTTTTTAACAGTTTGGCGCCCCTCATTGGCAGGTAATGATATGACAAGCGTAGACCAATCCAACAGTAGACAAATCTCTTCAAAAGATCTACAAATGAGAACCTGAACATTTTAATAATTTGACATATTCTTTAACCACAAATAAACTGTATTGAAAAGTTGGTATGTATATTTCCACGTTAAGGTCCTGACCAATAAGGTTAATTCTAATATGGCAGTGCATATAAGAGGTAACAGGGAGAAGTTCACCGCTCGGATCAAACAGTCAAATAGTTCAGGGGGTCAGATGTGGCTCAGTGGTTGAGTCAGTCATCTCTCAGTGGAAGGTTGAGGGTTCCATTTCAGTTCTGCCTGTCCAAAGTTCATAAGTCAGACCATGTACAGAGGTTATGGTCCTCAAGCAGGCGGCCCAGATTCCATTCCAGCCTGGAGCCTCTCTCCTTCATGTCACTGTACTCTCTTTCTCCTACTCTTTCCATTATCCTACCCTCTAAATATGAAGGCATAAAAACCCTAACCTTAAATTTAGAAAAGACAGAGAACTGGAATACTGACTCAGTACTGGCTCCCTGTGACCTTAGGGTTCCTAGGGGCACTGCTTGAAAATAGACATGACTATGAACATAACCTGTCACTGCAAGATGCGTGGACTGAGATAAAGTGGAACACTGTCCTGTAGTTTGGCGAATCAAAGTCTGACATTCTTTCTTGAAATCATGGCTGTCGCTCTAAAGAGGAGAGGGACAACCAGCTTTTCAGACGTTCCAGTTATAAAGACACTATCAGGTGAGAATGGGGCAACATTTTACTTTCGAAACTCCATAAATTGATCTCTCTGATTCCCAAATGTTTATGGAGTGAAACCCCACCGAGAACATGCCCCGGCCAAACTTTTATGAAACATGTTGCTGACATCACATTTAAATTGATCGTATTCTTATAATCAAATAATGAAACATTTCAGTTTCAACATCTGATATGTGGTATTTGCACTTCTTTCAATTGAATACAGGGTTTAAACTTTTTGTAAACCTAAAAATTCTTTTTTGTATATATTTTACACAGCATCCTGCTTATTTTTCAGTTAGGGTTATAGTTTGGATGGTGAGGTTCTATGTAATTTGTATTTGCTGATCATTTAAAGCAGTGGTTCTCAAGTCCAGTCCTCAAGGCCCACTGTCCTGCATGTTTTGGATGTTTCCCTGCTTCAACACACCTGATTGATCAGCTCGTTATCAAGCTCTGTAATGTCTTAATAACAAGCTAATCATTTGAATCAGGTGTGTTGGAGCAGGGAAACATCCAAAACATGCAGGACAGGGGGGGGCTTGAGGACTGGACTTGAGAACCACTGATTTAAAGGTTCAAGTTTGTATCTGAATAAAGTTGATCCAAGATTGAGTTTGAACAATCATGAAGTTTTAGTTACACTTGCAATTGCATTACTACCCACCAGCTGCAAAATCCTATCTATGGGATCCATGCAACTCTAAACTGGTTACATAATATTTACACGCTAGTAGAACGTAACTGCACACCTTAATGTCCTCCAGCAGATCATCCATGTCGGTGACAGTGAGCCCGTTGAGAAAGGTGTATGGCTCGTGCATCTCCACAGCAAGGTCGTCATCTTCTGCACTGATGTACTTCGCCAAGAGGTCAATAGGTTTGGCACGGCCATCTCTGATTCTGATCTTAGACCTGTGCACAAAATACTCACATTATTGTCAAGAGTTATAAAAAACTTTTGAAGAAACTGTTGTGGGTCAGGATCTTCACTGCACTCATTCACAAACTTACTTAAGTGAAATGTATTGATTATTGAGGCACTCTTACCTGAGTTTGGCCTGGTGCAGATGGAAATTGTCCTCCTGCTCAGCCCAGGTCTTAAAATGCTCTGCCTCCTTCTCCCTCTGCAGCATTTCCAACTCAGTTTCTCTCATGGCCTTTTCTCGCTCCCTCTCCAGACGCAGCTGTTTTACCTTTACATTCCAAGAAAACATCAGGGGTTGTAAGTCATCACTCTGTGGCAACACAACAGCATAACTACAAATAACACTTCTCAAAACTCATACCTTCTGTAGCTCTCTGCGGTTCTCCTCCTGAATACGTTTGTTCCTTTCTTTAAGGTCTTTTTCCCCAAGATGGCCGATGCCTTTCATATCCAGTGCCTAATAAAATACACACAGAAAAGAGAAAGCTTGATAATTACAATTCTCACAACAAAGTTTGCCTTAAAACCTTCAAAAATCACTTAAAATTCTACAAAAGAGATATTAAACTCACCTTCTGCCATTTGAATGTGCCTAATAAGTTGTTGTCACCGAAGGGATTATCTGCGTTGGTGTATCCCATGTACTCCTCACTCCAGCCCATCTTTTCCCTCCTTTTCTTCTCCTTTGCTTCTTTCTTTGCCAGCCTCCTAGCCCTCTTCTCCTCTGGTGTCTCCAGAGCTTTCAACATCTCCCTCTGTTTTTTTTTTTCCTCTTTCTCTTTGGATGCATGTTCCCCATGTTCAGACCCAGAGCTGTCAGATGAATCAGGTGAAGCAGAGCGCTGTCTCCCCCTGTCTTTGTCTGTCCTCTCTCTACTTCTCACGCTCCTCCCTCGCTCCCTGTCCTCACTTCTCTTCCTCCGCTCTCTACTTTTGTCTCTTTCTGTTTTTCTTTCCCTGTCTCTGCTGTCACTCCTCCATCTTTCTTTCTCCCTGTCCCTCTTCTGCCTGTCTCTGACAGGGGTCTCTCGTCTCCTCCTTTCCCCGTCACTGCTTCTGTCACTGGAGTTGGATCCTGCCCTTCTCCTCTCTCGGGAGGGCCCTTGTTGCTTCTCCTGTTTATGTCTCATCCTCTGCACTTTGCGGTCGTCAGAATCAGAGCTAAGACAGAGAAAAGACAAACCTCAGCACATTTTTGCTTTTGGACAGCCATCAATGTAAATGTAAATGTAAATGTTCTTTATTTATACAGCCCTTTACAACAACCCTTTCGGTGAACTAAAGTGCTTTACAATAGAAAATAAAAAATGAATAAATAAAACCAATAAAAAGCAATAAAAACAATTTTAAAAAAGAATAAAATACAATGCAATGACATAAAGTGTCACCACGTTACTGGGTATTAAAAAAACGCATAAATAAGTATGTTTTCAATCAAGATTTAAAAAGGCCCAGGTCGGAAATAAGTCTCATTTCGGTGAGGAGCTTATTCCAGAGCCTGGGACCAGCAACTGAAAAGGCTCAGTCACCCCAGTGCTTGTGTTTTGACCTGGGCACCTCCAGCAGAAGTTTATTTGATGACCTCAGAGCTCTACCCAGCTCCCGAACTGTCTAAAGCTCAGTTAAATTGATGGGGGCAATGCCACTAAAAGCTTTAAAAACAAACATTAAAAGTTCAAAATCAATCCTATAAGAGACGGGAAGCCAATGAAGGGAGCTAAGGACAGGAGTGATGTGCTCACGTCTGTTAGTGTCAGTTAAAAAACGGACAGCAGCATTTTGGACAAGTTGAAGGTGACTACGAGATGACTGGGAGATGTCAACGTGAAGTGCATTACAAAAGTCTAATCTTAAGCTGATTGGAGCATGGATGGCTATCTCAAGGTCGTGACAGCTTAAAAACATTTTGACCTTGGCCAGGAGACGTAGTTAAAAGAAACTAACCCTAACAACATTGTTAACTTGTTTGTCAAACCTCATGTAATAGAATCTAAAACAATAATTAGTTCTTAACTTTTCCAATGCCAGAATTACTAGAATTATTACAAATCATAAATCTGGGTAAAAAAAAAAAAAAAAAACTCAAAGCAGCATTTTGGTGCCACAGACGAAAATCAGATAACTTGTTAATTTAAGTGTTATCAGAGGCCACACCTGTGTTGAAACCAACTTCTTATGCTGTGTTTAACAGACTGCAAGTAGCTTCTTTGCATTTCTTTTTTGGCACATGATGACTTCGGACTGACTGATGTATTTGAGTCCTAAAGACACTTTGAGATAAAAAACAGTTGAAAAATGCACATCAATGCTTTTTTAAGACCTAAAGAAATGTGACCATCAGCAATGTGACAGGAATACTTTTTCATATAAAATATTATATAAAATGAATCATTTATAGTTTCTTATACTTTAGGTGTGATTGATGAAGATAAACCCTCCTAAGTTTGAGATAAGCCTGTGGTGACCACCCTACCGGACAGTATTAAAGGAATATTCTGGCGTAAAATCAATTTAAGGTCAAACACACTGTAACACTGAGTTAGACACCCCTTCAAGAAATGAATATTGCCGACTGCTTGCTTCTCTAGTTATACGCACTTTAGTGACAACCGCAGGATAGCAATAAACCTCAAAACCCTAGGGCAGCATGACTGCTGCAGGATGAGGCAGCTCAAGGTAGAACATGGAACAACATATTAACATATAAAAATTGGAACTGGAAATGCAATCAGACCGAGACACTAAGGCAGAAGAACTACTGCGTCTCTAGTGTAAAATAATTAATATGTTGATAATTACTTAAAGAAAATGATTAAGAAATGATCGAAAAATGTTCCTCCTTGAGCTGCGTCTACCTGCTGTAGTCCGAAATGGAATGGTCGATGTCTCTACAAACAAGCGGCTGCTGGAAGAGAGTGGATGAGTTGTGTTTAGTCTCTTTGCTAAAGAAATTAGGCAAAGTGAAAAAGATGTTTGGTGGCTAGTGCTATGGCTTGGACCCTATATGTACTGTTGATGAAGTTAGGTGCCCTTCTGAGCGTTATTTGTGGCTATAGAGTGGCGTTTTGGTTGAGGATTATTTATGGCTCCTCAGACCGCTGTGTATTGCTATCGTGCGGTCGTTACGAAAGTTGGTAAAACTAGAGAAGCAAGTGGTCGGCATCATTAATCTCTCGAGGGGGTGTCTAACTCGGTGTTACGGTGTGTTTGACCCTAAATTAATTTTACGCCGGAATATCCCTTTAAAGACCCAAACTTAGCAAAATCACCAAATCTTTACACTTAAACAGAAACACAGCGGGTACATGAGCCCGGGTCTGGATAAAGGAGTCAACAGCTGATTCTGCTTGTGTTTACCTTGACGAGCGGCTCTTCGACCGGCTCCCAGCCCGATGTGGTCCTCGCCTCTCCGAACCGCTGCGAGAACCTGAACGGTCTCTCCGGCCAGGCCTACGGCGGAGGCCAGGGGAGCCATCGCTGGAGTCCCTGCTGCCCGAGCGTCCTCGTCCCCGCGCGGGTCTTTTCGTGTCTGCAGACCGGCTGTGAGCGCCCCTGTCCTCTGGAGATCTGGATCTGCTAACTTTGGACTTCTTCTGTCGCTCACGGCTCCGATTTCTGGACCGAGAGCGAGACCGATGTCTCGATTTGGAACCCATCACGAACTTGGTGCGATTGCGAGGTCCGGATTTTCTCATGTCGCGTAAATAAGAGGTAACTAAGGATTCAGCTATCTGTTCTCACAAAGTACAACATATCCCTCTATTTGTAAAAATAAAAAAATAGTTTGGTGAATAAAATCTCACTTAGGACCATTACTTAACTGAAATTATAAAAAACAACGTTATTTTGCCTTTTTTTCCAGGATTTTCACTCAGGCTTAGTTAAAGAGGTTTCACCTGGGTCCGTTATTAAAAAGGACGCATACTATATACGTCATAACTGTGTCGTGAACAAATAAAAAGAAAATTAAAAATAATTGTTTCTTTGCTGCATTTATTGACGATTAGACAGCCTGATTAGAACCAAAATTATAGCAGTATGTTAATTTGTTTTAATACCAGTGGAGTAAAAATAGGCCAAGGCTGATTCTCAGAAACACAAACAACATTCATGTTTTCGTGACGTCAGGTGACTTACAGAACGTTTGTAGTTCTTTTAAATACAGTTTAACCATTAAATAGTACAAAGAGTACTCAAAACTCAACTAATCTCTTATAGTTGAGGTTTTATTTGTGACAACATTAATATAAACGCCATTAGGGGACACATTTGCCGTTTTTTGGGTTAATAGTAGAGTTTAAAAATAAGATGGACTACAAGTCCCATACATCGCATGGTGACATTGCTCCTATTGATGGGAGAGGGGACTGCTTTCAGCAATATTCTTCTTTATCCAGTCCTCCGTTAGTGCGATAACAACTCTTTTTTGTGGCGCCCTGAGACTTTATATTTGCTAGTTTTTCAGTCCGATAGGTTTGCTTTCTTTTCTTATCAGGCTCTCGCAGGGGTTAGAAACTATTAGCGCCGCGGTAAGCTCGGCTCAGCTGGTCGGGTAAGGTAGAGCTTGTTAGCTGGTTTACATTAGCCAGCAGCTACCAATAGATTTACGGCTTATATCCGTGCTTGTCCTGTCAGGTAGATCGACGAAAGCCCGAGGCGCTCTTCAGCCAAAATGTTTCTGTCAGTTCATCGATTTCTAAGTTTTGACACTGGTAAATAATCCCCTTAAATTTGGAGACTAATCTCCTAAACCTTTGTTTGGCTTGTGCGCAGCCCGGCTGGTGTGGCCTGTTTTCATTGTCTCTGCACGTCGGAAACACTTAAGTTGTTTTTCAGGAGGTTGCTCGTGCTGTGTTAATTCGTGAGGTTAATTTAGCCGAGTTCCGGTGAACAAAAGCGTCCGCTCTCGACCCCAGATCTTCTTGAAGGCTTCGTGGTTCAGAATGGCGCAACACGACTCGTCTCATGTCGCCAGTTCACAGAAAGCACTCATGTTGGAAATGAAGAGCCTTCAGGAGCAGCCTGTCGAGGGATTCAAAATAACACTGGTGGACGAGGCTGACATGTACAACTGGGAAGTGGCCATTTTCGGACCCCCAAACACTCACTATGAAGGGGGCTATTTTAAGGTAAGGGCAGGATAGACTAAGACACAGCTTTATTGTCCACAACAGGGGTTAAATATTGTTTCTTTAGTAGTTAAAATCACACGTACAGGTAGCATTGTAACAACTCGGACGATTGTACACCATCAAAAAGGAAACCACTTCAGGAGCTGCTTGGAAATATGACCCATGGTTCACATGATAAGTTATCATTAATGTATTGAGCAGCCAAGACTGTCGTCTAAAGTGTAGTCTCTTTGCTCTACAATGATCAGTCATAACATTATGAACACCTGAGTCTAATACAACAACTTCAACAAATTCTAATGTCAGGAGGAAGCTCATAAATTTTAGTCTTGTTGACACGATCAGACAGGTGATTATTGTAATGTTTACTGCTAAAGACCAAGTAGGTGGTTAAGTGTGGGAAGGTGTTGCTGCTGCGAACAAGACGGGAGCATAATATTTTGTGCATTTTTTAATATAATAAATACAACAACATTAGCCACGATTTGGAAAATAGTTTAAAGATTAAGAAAAACTTCCACCAACTTCCAACAAAAAATAGAAACGAAGAAGCCTTTAAAAGTGGAATTCATGGTGGAGCTGTTCCATGGGGATGCATTAGGTCCCCCTAGTTAGTGTAGTCACATACATGATGTTACTAAAGACCCCTAACTAGGTCTATGGCTGTTAATTAGTTTGGTGGCAGATGACAGTACAAAGAGGTATTGTGTTACAGATAGCCAGATTCAGGGTGTGGAGTTACTTGTAAGCTACCATTATTTTTAATGACACAGACAACGAGCCGTTTTATTAACTACTGGAAACAACTCGCAGAACTACTTGTGTAACCAAAATGCACATCATATGGATCTGCAAATAAAGCACCACACCAGGGCAATGCCATAGTTTTGCTGTTTAACTTACTGCTTAGTTAAGCCTTTAAAATTTCATTATTTTTCATACAGCCTGAGTGAAAGCAGGTTTTTTGTTGTCACATGTAAGACACTGTGAAAGCGGCTGTTCTCAATATGTGTATCTGCCTGAGGGTCATCATGATAAGAGTTGGTTCAGTAATGTGCTAATTCTAGGGGTGGACCACTTATCGGCCTTATCAGGGCTGTTATTGGTAGTTTGCAGATTATCTGTACCTGCCTTTATATTTCACAGATGGCCCATAAAACAAGTAATTAAAAAGAGCACTTTTCAAGAGTGTGACAGAACTGTACTGTAAGTGGTTAACTGTTAACTCCTGGACATGGGTATGATGTTAAATATTTCAGTATATTTATGAGACTTTTTAAACGTAGCAAGCAAAGTTTCATCTTGGGGTCTGTAATACTCCAGATTCAGATGGTGTCATGAAATACTAACAGTCTGTATCAGTAGTATCAGCTCCAAAAAAAAAAACACTAACAGGTGACATTTTTTCACTTTTTTCACTTTGGAGAAAAATGCAAACATACCAGTGCATCTTAAAGACTAGAATTACATGTAGAAAATATATATTTTTTTTCATTATGAAAAGGTTACTCAAACTTAGATGTTCTCATATTTTGAGATACATATGTTTTGGATTAAGTTTTAGAACATTATTTTGAGAATTGAAATGAAAAAAAAAAATGCTTGAAACATTTAATTGAGCAGAGTAGAATATAAGAAATTCTCACTTTCTTACACAATCGATTGAAACTAAAGAACCTGTTCTTGACATTTCAGGTATTTGAGAAGCAGTAGTATCTTCAAATATCGTCAAAATCAGATCAAACATCATGCACTTATTACCCACAATTCATCAACAACGTTTGATTTTTAATTGTATCCACTTGTCTGATGTCATGCAGGCTTTTTTCTTGCGTAACATGTTAAGATGTATTTTGTTTCCCAGGCTCGGATCAAGTTTCCTATTGACTACCCTTACTCCCCACCTGCCTTTCGGTTCCTCACCAAGATGTGGCACCCAAACATCTATGAGGTGAAACACACACACCCGGTCTCTGTCTGAATATGTAATAAATGTAACACTTTTTATGCTCCTATCACTGTGTTTGAGTTGATATGTCTATTACAGGATATATTCTCTGTGTCATATTAAAAGGGTTTGCATGTTTTTCTCTGTTATCAGAATGGAGATGTTTGTATCTCTATACTGCACCCTCCAGTAGACGACCCGCAGAGTGGAGAGCTTCCTTCAGAGAGATGGAATCCCACCCAGAATGTCCGGTGAGTTAGCCCCCCTCTCCCGTTACGCTCTTTATTACTGTTTATCTCCCATCTTTGTCTTTTTTCAGCTACACAACCACAGCGGCTCTTACTCTGATCACATGACATAATTCTTCAGATGTTCCCAGTACATAAAATTCATATCTTGCTGTTCTCGGCACGACATGTGTGAGGTGATCTGTTTTTGACCAGTAGTTTTATAAGCTGTCTTTTTTATATGTTGGCTCGTTGTGTAATATTTGTACACCAACACAATGTGTAGGCATAACCACTCAGTGTACAAAGGGGAATATTTCAACTCTGTTTTTTTTAACAAATATATCTGATTGGAAAGAGTCCCAGAGAACCAGTTCATCTGAATCAACAAAAGTGTTAATTTATCACTAGCAGCTTAAAGTAATAATATCCCTGCTTATTCACAAAAAATGACACTAAAGCTTTATTTATGAATAACCCACGTCCTTCAAAGGTATATATAATATGTATTATCTATGCTTTTATTACTTCATGCTGGATTAACACTCACTATGTTCACCTGTTTCAAAGTTGTCAGAGTGGAAGCCAAGCTCCAGACTACTGACTGCTTTAGTCCTCAGTCTGAGCCTTTTGACACTAGTTACCAGCTACTTTAACAGCCCGTTTAAAAAATTTTAGTCACGAAGTAAAAAGCTTTTCATGGCCACACACCAGAGGTACCTGACTGATCTTTATAAGCCCTTGTTGTCCAAAAAGGCTGTCAGATCTGCCAGTCTAGGCCCACTATCTGTGCCAGAGTCCAGGTTAAAGATAGAGGTTGTCTATTAATGTACAAGCACCACAGCCGGAGAACAGTCTACCAATAAGTACTCAATCTGCTGACCCAGTTTTTGCTGTTGAAGCTTCCCTAATGATGCATTTTTACTGACCATCCTCTTTGCCTAAAAAAACTTTGAGTTGCTTTTGAATAATTCACGTAATTTTTCTGGTTTTGAGGTTTTTAACGATTTATTAAATGAATTTTGTTTTTCTTATATTTTCCTGTGTATGTTTGTCACTCTTTGTAGCTGATTCTTTTGGGCTGTCTCTTCAGAACAGTCATGCTACTTGCCCTACAGACGCTGTACGAATTATATCATTTTAGTCATATTCCCATTATTAAAATGATTTAAAGGGTGGCGCTTGTGTTTTTTTAGGACTATTTTGCTGAGTGTTATCTCACTGCTGAATGAACCAAACACCTTCTCTCCCGCCAATGTTGACGCCTCGGTCATGTACCGCAAATGGAGAGACAGCAAGGGCAAGGATCGGGAATACGTAGAGATCATCAGGTAAACAGCCGCACCTTCTTATTACTCGCAACTGAGCTCTTTATAGGAGAGAAGATCAGACCAAGCTATGAAGTGAGAGTCTTAGCTGATCATTTCTACTCTTTAAAACCAGGAAACAGGTATTAGCCACCAAGGCAGAAGCTGAGCGCGACGGAGTAAAGGTGCCCACCACACTGGCCGAGTACTGTGTCCGCACGCGTGCCCCGGCCCCTGATGAAGGCTCCGACCTCTTCTATGACTATTACTATGACAACGATGATGTGGAGGATGAGGACGGCGACTGCTGCTACGATGAGGATGACTCTGGAAACGAGGAATCATGACAAGCTTTTCAGCGTCATCCCCTAATCTAGTTGACACAGTGCTACCCCTTTTTCTTCTGGTTTCCAGAAATTCAAGGTTGACGAGTGAGAACGACTCAAGGCTTTCCCAATTCTAAACTCATGAAAAGAGGTGTTTTTTTTTTTTTTTTCCCAGAGCCTTTAAAGACTTTTTCTGAGGCAGAAATCGATGCAACATTGCAGAAGGGTCAGATAAGGTAACATATGCACCAGCACAAGAGTCTCTAGTTTCTTTAACTTTCCAAACAGTTTTCATCATCTTCTCAAAATTTATGTTACAAAATTAACGTGGACTTTCAGTTGCTCTGTCCCCTCCATTCTCTCTGGTGTTGTGAAGTTAATACTACTGTTAACATTAGCAACATTTGCTCTGGTGCAAACACATTCAACCTTAGCTCAGTGTTTCTTTCAAACCTCTTTTCCCCCCTAATTGTAACTGTGTGTTGGTCTCTGTGGCCGACAGAAGCTTGAGGACTTTACCCAGCCTGCTTGTGTTGAACTGCCAGTGGGTTGAACCAGACACTTACTGTGTTGCTTCATCGGGACAAAATGTCACAGGACGATGTTTTAAAAGTTCTTGTGCATGCCAGAACATCATCGGAAGCTTTTTGTCTCTCTTACTGGTGGACTCTTTACCGTCTTCATGATCTGGTTAAGAGAGACTTCTGTGATCAGAGATCCCAGAGAACTTTAAAAGTGAAGGATCTTCTGACATGCTGAGTCAGTGGGTCAAATCCTCATGTGGACACTTTTTGGTAACATGAAATTGATCTTTGCTGTTCTTTCTGGTTACTGTTGGGTGTGTTTCTCTGTATTTTTGAGTGTGGGGTTGTGTTATTTGAAGTAGCTCAGATATAAGAGTCGTGTAGGATGAACAAGTTTTTTTCTGGAGGGTGGGGTGGAGGCAAAACTAATTATCGACCAGATTCTCTTCAGGTTTTCTCTCGGAGAGGCCTGACGGAGCCAAAGACCTGACGTCGTGTAAAACAAAAACCCCAAAACATTTTTGACTTTTCGTTGTAACCCTGTCTTTGTTTGCTCTCTTGCGGCTTTATTTTAGTCTCTTCCTTTGGTTTGACATTATGCCTGCATTCTTTGCTTGAGAAGGATTTTATGTGACAAGATCATTAGGTTTGATTCACCCAAAAGCTTGTGTAGAAAAAGTGTCTGTCAGAGGTATTGGTAAGGATTATCAATGTTTTGGGTCAATGGGGATCTGAGAAGGGTTTCAATTTGGTTTTTAGAGTGCATGTGTGTCCTCTTTTGTGTGTGCATCAGCAATATTGATTGTTTCATTTACAGAAATTGGGACTTCATACTGAATTTCTCAGGAGTATTAATTACATGTGACAAAACAATTATGACAAACAACTCTTTTCCTCTTTAAGGTAGTCTGTAGAGTTGGTTTACAGCTTTAACAGGAACCATAACTGATATGCACATGTAGCTGTATGGATGATCACAGTTTTGTTCTCTTCACCTGTCTTTTTATTTTTTAATTTCTGGCTATTTAAAAAGGAAAAATAAAGATTTATTGGGAAAAGAGTAAGTGCTTGAAGAAAACTACTTTGATTTATCTTTTTGAAATTCATGTAACACAGGGTGACCATATTCTGAATCCCCAAAAAGAGGACACTACTACGCGGGGGTGGAGTCACAGAGTAAATATTAAGAGTTTGGGGGTTTTTAAGTGTTTTTCACATGCTTCTAACACAGTAAGTCCATGCTACACAAACTCTAAACTTCCATACAAAACCCTGGACATTTAAAGGATTTTATGAACTCCCCCGGACAGGATGGACAGCCTCCAAAAAAAGAGGACATGTCCGGGTAAAAGGAAGTATGGTCACCCTATAACACTGAAAAAAAGAAAGGGGAAAAAAAAACAGAACAGTTTCACATTTTCAATCCACTCTCCAAGTTTTTTGTTGTGTTTTCAGTTCTCTCCAACACTGTCCATTGCTCCCTTTTTTAATCAACAATATATGTAAAGTTTTGGTCTTTTTGTATGATTATATAACCAGTGTTGGGAATAATTGTGTTGAAAACAGTACTGCATTACTCTACATATGTACTAGCCAGTATTGTCTAAGCAGCTCAAAGCGACAGTCGTCAGACAGACCAGCAGAGTTCACAAAAAGGAGAACACAGATAGACTTACGAGGAGTATTGTAAACTTTAGGAGCACCATTACATGGGTGAAGACATGTAACTCAGCGCTTTGTAATACAATATAAGGAAGAGGCAACAGCTTCAAGTTTGACCGTTTCTCAGTCACGGTATTAAACTTTGCACTGTTTTGAAGATCAGTGAAGTCCAGTTCAGTTGAAGCATTTGAAGTGAGGGAGTTTCTATTGATTTTGGTGCCCTCTGCTGACAAAATGAAGTTCTGATCCTGATGCTCTGGTCCTGCTTATGTGTAGATAGTGTTTTCTTACAAATGTCATAAGATATTATAAATACTCTGCATGTATTCACATTACTTTCCAAAATGCTCCATAATCAGATAAGTTTTTCTATAATACCCAGATGATGTGGATTTACATTACTTTTCTTAAAGCACTTAAAACGTCATAGAATCACTTAAAGAAAAATTCCTCCTGAGTATTCAGTCATCATTTATATCAGTACTTTTCCAGGTGAATTCAGTACACTTTCTCTACCGTCTCAGGGATGGATATGTTTATTTTTATATTTTCATCTGCTTTTTACCTCTCTTTGCTTCTTCATTTTCCTACTCTGCTTCAACTTCTATTTACCCCTGCACTGGATTTGAACCCAGAATCAAGTTACTCAAAGACAGCAGCTCAGCCTGTCACTCCACAGGCTCACATGTCTCTGCTTGCCTTTTTTTTTTTTTTGTCTTTTCATTTAATCGTTTCAATTTTCTTTTTCAAAAGGTTAGTTTAGACTGTAGTGTGAGGCAAACATTTCATTCATACCTCACTTGACAAGTCTCTAATCTGCATCAGGAGTTGAACCGAGGATGGTCCCACTTCAAGGTGACAGCTCCAACCACCAAGCCGCAGGCCTGCCTGTCTGTTTGTACTTGCCTGTTGCTCAGCAGAGGAACCCCAGCAAAAGTAAAATTTTCAGCCATGTTTTGTTTTAATAGAGGCACTAAATTTTCCCTATTTCAATATTGAGTTATACTATCCCTCTTATAACATCACTCTTATTGGTTTCAAACAGAGTTAAAAACCTGTTTCCCAGCCTGCATACTCTGTTTACACTTTCTATCTTTTCTCTTTGATATTATTTATTCAAACAATTGTTTTTTTAACCTCAGAAAGTGGTCAATTAGAGACTCAAACTAAGTTTTAAGTGCAGGTTTATTGAGGACCCCCTTTCCTTCATTGGGGGTCATAGTCGTCAGTCTCACTTTAACCCAGTGGTCCAGTTGTTAAATTCTGTATAGGTATCAGGGCTGGAGTACCTAAATAGAAGAAACAATAGCCACATAGTGTCCATGCTTAAAACATAAGGACAACTATCATATCCCAGCTGTTCACCAAAAATGTATTTTCGAAATATAAACTAAATCTAAAAATATTATCACGGCTACTGATGTGAATGTTGACCTTGTCTGTTTGTGTCACATTATCATTTAAAAAAAGATAAGATTAGGAAATTTACTGCTAATCTTTCTATGACATCCAGAAGACCAAGAATATAACACTGCAAAAGAGTTACAGGACTGAGTGAAATCCTGATGACCTGACTGTGATATTTATTTATTTAAACTAAAAACAGACTCAGTGACACATGGGATGAGGCAGAGTGAGTAATGGGAGAAACATCAAAATTCTGAGTAAATTTAATCCTCATAAATTCTCGGTAAATGCAGTTTTGTAGAGTGGGGGGTGGCTGTGCTTAGGTTAGCCCAATTTCAGGCTTTTGGTGATTAAAATTAATTTTCAATAAAAGCCGATATGCACGGTACTTTGCACAACAATAACATGCATAAAACAATCAGTTTTTATCCGTTTTGATACGCCACTTAGCCCTGGTACAGTCAAGTGTTTATTTGGTGAGATGGTTTCTCACACTCTATGGTTTCTCATTCCTCTGTTTTGGAGTGCAACTTGGGTCGTCGCTCAGAGATGACGTCAGTCAAACAATTAAAACACCGCCAGGCTGAAGAGACGACTGATAAAACAACACCTTTTTAAAGGAAATAATAAAGAAACCACTCTAACAACTCTAATATGTCTGTAAATTATGCTGCTGGGCTTTCGCCGTACGCTGATAAAGGTGTCTGTGGGCTGCCAGAGGTAAATACAAAAACAGACGCTGTGTGATAGTTAGCTCCTTATAACTGTTAGCAGGTTAGCCGAGGAAGCTCGAGCATGATTTTAGGGAAACATTTGAGGATGCTTTTAAGAAAATACCGTTCAATATGTGAATATTCTGTATTAATGATATGGTCTGCATAAATGTTACACGGAGGAAATAAGCAGACGTAGATGTGGCGTTAATTCATAACAGAGCGTGTAGGATTAAAAGGAGCATTAATGTCATGTGGCATAGTCGTAGATTGTAGTTGTTTTTATTGTGCATTGTTGTCTTTGTGCATATAAGTTGTGGAAATTTTGTGGTGCCACAAGTTCTGTTAATCATTGTAAATCATGTGCAACCTGGAATGGTCAAGGAACATGTTACTTATTGAATTTTATGAACATTTTGTAAAACCAGCTTTTTAAAACTATATGTTTTCTGTTTTGTGCTAGACATTTGATAATCCTGAGGAGCTCAAAGCAAAGGCAGAGATCCTCGCTCAGCTGATTAGAGAATCTCAGTATTTGGTTGTCCATTCTGGAGCAGGAATCAGCACCTCATCAGGCATCCCCGACTTCAGGTGAGACACAAACAAAGCTCTTTTCTTCACCACCAGTTTTTTCCTCACACGCACACTATTATTATCAATCAGCCATGTTTCACTCACCTGTACATTCAGGAACTGCAAAATGAAGACAAGACTACACACCAGAGTTGGTCAGTTTGTGGACCGTAGGCTATATTTGTCTGGCAGGCAGCCTCTGAGTGGCCACAATCCAACTAGCAAACAAATCCAACACATGACAAAATAATAGCATTTGGCCAAAAGTAACTTGTGAGTGAGCCATCTTACTTCATTCCTATCTTTGCCGAGAGTTGCATGTGTGCACTTCCGATGAAAGTAGACTATACACAGTATGATAATGGAGAACAAAACAGTATATCAGAAATAAAAAATAATCACCACCCAACTTAGAGTTAAGACCAGTCCCAGCAAATTCTAATGAAGCATCCCAACATAAAAACAAAGACACAGAACAATAGCTGTGATCATGATCAGCTGTTCTTTTGAACATTTTTGACTCTCGTCGTACTGCTACAGAGCCACTGAGTTGAGGCAGCATGATAGTGGAGCTAATGAGCAGTGTAGGATATGAACTTTTAGGGGAGGTAGCAATCAAGCCTCCTGATCAGATTTTAAGACCATATATGTTGTCACACAAGACACAAAAAATGAAAACAGATGTTTTCAGGTACTCAGACTTAAAAGATAAGTGGAGCTATAATCCATCATTAATAGATTAAAGGGATATTCTGGCGTAAAATTAATTTAGGGTCAAACACACCAAGCCCCCAAGAGATGAATGTTGCCGACTGCTTACTTCTCTAGTTATACCAACTTTAGTAACGACCGCACGATAGCAATACACAGCAGCCTGAGAGGCCATAAACAAACCTCAACCAAAACGCCACTCTATAGCCATAAAAAAATGCTCAGAACAGCACCTAACTTCATCAACAGTACATATAGGGTCCCAGCCACAGCACTAGCCATCAAACATCTTTTTAACTTTGCCTGGTTTCTTTAGCAAAGAGACTAAACTGTACTCAACCACTCTCTTCCAGCAGCCACTTGTTTGTAGCGAGACCTCAGACCAGTCCATTACGGACTACAGCGGGGTGAGCAGCTCAAGGAACAACATTTATGATCATTTCTTTATCATTTCCTTGAAGTAATAATCACCATATTAATCATTTTGCACTGAAGATGCAGTAGTTCTTTTGCCTTAGCGTCTCGGTCTGATTGCATTTCCATGAAGAAATGATCATAAATGTTCTTCCTTGAGCTGCGTCACCCCGCTGTAGACCGTAATGGATTGGTCATTACTAAAGTTGTTATAACTGGAGAAACAAGCGGTCAGCAACATTCATCTCTTGAGGGGGTGTCTTACTCAGTGTTACAGTTTGTTTGACACTAAATTAATTTTATGCCGAAATATCCCTTTAATAAAGCACCAATTCCTAAAAAGTTAGAATGCTGTGTGATATTTTTATTGAAAAAAAATGAAGGGTTGCTAAACCACGTGCATTTTAAATGTAAAATATTGCAAAAACAACATAGTCAGTTCACTGGCTCAAACTGTTTGGTTAACTGTTTATTAACCAAAGGCTGACCTGCTCTCTTGTAATTGGCATTGGCATAGGCAGAAGTGAATATCAGCTTCACATACAGAAATTATATTATTAAAAAACAGAATATTTCTATTGCAGGTTGACATGATTACGACCTCTAAGCTCAGCGTTGTGTTTCTCATGTAGTACCCCTGAATGAGCAGGTGAGGGTGGTACTTGCTTAAAAACCCTCACTTCCTCATCTTGATTAAATATATCAACACACATTTTCAGTCCTCCAGCTCAGCTATCCAGAATCAAACAGGGGCCTTAGATTGTGTAAGTCAGATCTGTAAATATGTTGGAGGCCAGTGGCTTCAAATCTGATGCTCATTTCTACCTTTTTTATTTTTGTTACGAAACTTAGCCGCCATGTTGAACTGAGAGCAAACTTGACTATCCCTGGTCATGTGGTCTTTAATAATTGAATATGAGTCTGAGTGAAAGACTGTATCTGTCAGCATGAATACATACATTCCAGTCTGGGGACGTGATCCACAGAGACCTGACTAGTTAATATTTGATTGGTCTGCCTGTCAATCACATTGACTCAAGCTAGGATTTAAATAACATGAAAGCCAAGGTTCTATATACATACAAGACCCACTAACATACATTTTATTCCCACTGCTTCCAGGTTAACACACACGCACAAGAATACATGCTCCATAATGAGTCAGACCTTCAGCCTCTTTTAATTGATTTTATCGATGACACCACTACATTATGGACAACTGACAGATAAACAACTTTAGTTTCCATTGTTGCTTTCATACCTCGCCATACTTTCTCATGGTGATTTATGTGGGCAATAGTTGATTTATGGACCTTGTCATTGATATTGGCACATCTCTGAACTTGGCCTGTTTGTAGCGAGTGATTCCCGACGAAGTGAGGGATGAGGATGCTTAAGTTTGAACTGAAAGCCAGAGTTGAAAGTGGCTTACCTGCATCTAATCACAGGATGGGTTCCCTCCCGTCTGATGAATAAAGATTAGTTGTGTGTTTTTGAAGTGGTGTGACAGCTGACAGCGGTAGACAGCAGTACTGCTGTGTCATTACACACTCGAAAGTGACTGGTTGATCAAAGACATCTAAAAGAGTCACCTGAGATTGGACTACTTTGTTTTGAAAGTACACTCTTAGAAAATACCTATCTAGATGTTTTTCCTTAATATGTATTAAGATTTTTTGTGTGTTATATGCGTATTTGATTGATATTTATGTTTTAAATGGGATCTTTATTCAGCAATTCATTGCGTGTAGTCAATTTTTCAGTAAACCCTTGTGAAAATACAACTTCCCAGATGTAAATGGTGGAGAAATATGGATTAATTGGTCAGCCAATTGATTAGCTATTTGAAATGTCTTTTTAAACGATGACAAATCTCTCCCATCCTAAATGACAGGATCTTAAATCTAAAATAGTTAATGAGCAGTGTTTGATATAGTAACTGTTATGATAGTCAGTATATCAGTTAGGTTCCAAAATCAGCAAAACTCAATGTATTGAATTCCTCTATAACATGTTACTAGCGAAAATAATCATGTTTATAATAACTTAATAACCTTTAACACTTTTTGATTGAACCCAAATATTTGCATGTATTTTCTGTGTTAATGATTACAGATGGATGGACAGAGATCCAAAAGTCCCTGTGATAATATTTTAGTGAGACAAATCCATTTGATCAACATTGATTGGAGGAAATGATCTCTCTTGTTCAGTCATTTTTGTCTCTCAGTTTTTAGTATTGTTGAATTGTTGTATTTTTGAATCATGCTATTACACATCTGCCAAAGGCCGACCTGCTCCCTCATAATTGTCATAATTGTCTTGTTGTTGGTCTGCCACTATATATCTCAGAATCTCAGAAACAAACCTGCACATCAGGTTTTATTGAGACATGAATTACATCCACCTCTGCATCAAAACATGTCCAATCCCTGTTACAAACACTAACACTCTATCCTCACTCTGTTCTCAATCAGAGGTCCAAAGGGTGTTTGGACACTCGAGCAAAAAGGTGAGTCACCTCACTTCGACACCACATTCGAGGACGCCAAACCCAGCCTGACTCACTTGGCTCTCCTGGGACTGCAGAGAGCCGGGTACCTCAAGTATTTAATCAGCCAGAATGTGGACGGTCTACACGTACGATCAGGCTTCCCCAGGTAACTCAGAGCTGTGTTCTGCTCTGTAATATGATGTGTGGTACACAGAACATTTCTCATATTGAACTAAAGTCGCTGTTGGTGATCATGGAGCAACACGTGATAAGCCAATAATAACGTTTATAAGCACTTAAAACAGTATGAACGAAACAAGTTCTAATTACAGAACTTTAGGCTAGAAGTGGAAACTATCTTCATTAAAATAACTTATTTGTTTAATGAAATGAATCTACCATTTGGCCTACAACAATCCTGCAAACAGCTCATCTGCCCATCACACTTTTCATAACCACAAACGTCTGTCATCATGTCCAAAAAAACATATTTGTTCTTTGTGTAATATTAAGATGAATACGTTGTCATATTAGTTGACAGACACTGTCGCGTATGATACTTCAGGGGTGATTATGTCAACATAATTGATTCACTAATACACCCAGCAGACACAGAACAATACGAGCAGTCCTGTTTTATGTCTTCCTGATGAATCCATGTCCAGCAGTCATTTAGTCCTTGAGCTCTGATTCTAAAAGTCCTCAGGGAAATATCTCTGCCTCTTTTGCCGGCAAATGATTAATGCTGAGTTCACCGGTAAGTCGCTTTAACACCCACTTTGCAGCTTTTATCTTTTTGCTCAGAAAGCCACCTCCTGTCGTTGACAGAAAAAAGCAGTGATGGCAACACTTAGAGGGAATCAGAACAGCGACGCTTTAGCTGTGAAAGCAAAACGGTGCTCTTCGAAATGCTAAAATTCTCCACAGAGTTTCTTTAAAAATGAATAAAAAGGTTCAAAGATGTGTTATTTTTGGGACACCGTTTCCTTGAAGCGACATTAAAGGAGAGCGGAGGAGAGGAGGGAATGACTGAGTGAGGAGAGGACGAGATGTTCTAATTCAGAGGAAAAGTTAAGTTTGCGAACAGGAAACATGAATTTCATCTTATTTTATTTCTAATACTCAACTCTGGATAAGTTGTTCCAATTAGACTGACAAGGCCAAGAAACACAACTTCATCCATCTCAAGTAAATTCAGTTTTAACATGGTTGAAAAGACTTGGTTTCCCTGAAAGCTGCTAAGGTTAAGGAAATCACTGAGACATGTAAATTTAACTGGCTGGCTGGTTGATAACCTACACAGGTACAAGGAGAAATGCAGGACTGAAAATAAACATAGAGGGATGTAGAAGTTGTTTACAAGGCTCCAATACTTATGACAAACTAATCCAAGGGTTTTATTTTTCATTCCTTATGCCTATATTGGCATTCTTTCATCTTGCTTTGTCAGGGATCTGTTGTCGGAGCTTCATGGGAACATGTTTGTGGAGGAGTGCGAGAAGTGTGGCAGGTTAGTATCAGCACACACACACACACACACACTCAAAGAACACTGTCTCTGAGACATTTAAATTTGACAAAAGCAAAAAGTCTTAAAGCTGCAACATGACGTTGAGTATTTGGACATGGGCTCAGTTCCTGTCTTCCTGACATTAGCTTGCACTGTGTCCAAGCTTTCTCACATCTGATGTGGTGAGTTCAGACTGTAGTGGTGTCTTCCAGGATTCTCCTTCTTTGCAGGGTAACTTTTGTGAAAGTAAAATTTATTTAGCCAACTTGTGACCTTTAATGCCTCATCAACAAAAGTGTTTGAAGGCAAAAAGCCAGACTTAAATACACGAATGTTAACTTTGGTGTGCAGCAGTAAGACAGTGCTGGTTTTCACTTAAGAATAATGACAAAATACACTCTGTGTGATCACTACACTGCAGGGAAACCCTTATGGTATTGCAAGTCCACTGCAGCACTGCTATGTTAGCTTTGTTGTCAACTCACTACTTGATTGCGTATCGATCCTTCAGTGGCTCAGGGTTGGATAAGGTTTCCTCACATACCGATTGTGATTTTTTTTTTCAATCTTGTGTTTAGGTTGCTTTAATTCTGCTTTGTTAAAGTGTGCTTTTATTTTGAAGTATAGGCCACTTCATGTCGATCGTTCAATTGATTAGCAACCCAGAGAGGTACAATCTCTTGCTCTCTATAAATTTGCCGTCCTCACATTGTCCACATTATTGCTTTTATTTTAATTGAATACATTTGTTATCTTTCTCCCTCTCTCCTCACCTTCTTAGGAGCACGCAAAATACCTCCATTACTCAGTTGCCACTCGTGTAACACCACCATGAAATAAAACATTTATTTAAACCTAATCACACATCGAATCCAAATGACCGACTCACAGAATCTGTTTATTTTCTACTGTTGTGACATTTTCTGCCAGATATGTTTTTAATCTGTCTACTTCAACTGCTCTTTGATATATTAACTCCTATTTCGATAATAAAAAGGTGTCAGTATTAAGTAGTTACACCTACCTTATTGAGGGTACAAGCACTTTATGTGACGAGGCAAAAAACCCCGATGGTAGGTACAATTTAATTTTGCCTCCAGTGGCAGCACATATCACATTTTCTTTAGGCTTCCTGCAGCATAATGCACCATTCCTCATAGGGCTGATTATCTTGGAGTTATTGCAGGAACATTGCAGTGACTTCATTTAAACTCCAGGGCCTTCTCAGCCCCCACATCTCATATATAACTACTGAGGTCATGAGATCTGAACAAAGACATGAATACAGGTTTAAATCATGTTTCAGCAGCTACTGCGGTCTTTGATATCCCTAAAGATTGCTTACAGCGTCTTGTTGAGACAGTGTTGTAAAGAAATCAGGCTGTCTGGAGGCAAAAGGAGTCTGGTCTATTTCTCATAAAGTGGCCATTATGTAAATATAATCTTACATTTTGTGTATCACTTCATATATGTAAAAGGACGTTGTTATGATGTTTGCTGGCTGCTCACGTTTTCTCAAGAGCTGGCCTCTTTTACATATCGACCTGATGTGTTTGGTTTTTTTTTAGGCAGTATGTGAGAGAAAAAGTGATCGGTGTCATGGGGCTGAAGCCAACAGGACGTTACTGTGAAGTGGTACGATCCCGAGGACTCAGGGCCTGCAGGTAGCTCAAACCTCCTCCTCCATCACCACCAAGTTTTGAAATAAGCCACAAATTCAGCATGTTACATTTCTTACCTTTGTGTACAACTTACTGAAACAGAGGGAAGCTCATAAGCACCATACTGGACTGGGAGGACGCTCTTCCTGACAGAGACCTGAACAAAGCAGATGATGCCAGCAGGTGAGAAGGAATAAATCACGGCGCTTTATGCTGCCTGTGCTCCCTTTTTTCATCAAACTAGCATTAAAGGATTTGTTGTTAGTTTGATATGTGCTATCACATCAAAGTAAACAATATATATCTACATGACATGTCTCTTTTAGTCATTCTGTTCATTTTTGAGAGGCAGTGTGTCCCTTTTTTTATTTTGGTGGTACAAAATGGTCAAGTCCATGGAAGAATAAATGGTATGAAGCTTAAAAAGTCTGTTTATATTATGAGAATAACTGCAGGTGATGTCAAACAATTGGCTGGGCTTTTCATAGATAACCGCTTAATTGGTTTGTGGGGAAACAGGTGCTGCACTGTGACTCAGTAATGGTGGAGAAAAGTCACCAGCGACACAGGGGTGACCTTTGCCTGTGACACATTTGTCCTTTATCTACACCCAGGCGAGCCGACCTTGCACTGACGCTCGGCACCTCCATGCAGATCAAACCCAGCGGAGACCTTCCGCTCCTCACTAAGCGTAAAGGAGGGAAAGTGGTGATAGTCAATCTGCAGCCCACCAAACACGTAAGTCTATATCATGCGCACAAACAGCGAATGCTTAAAAAAAACTGCCCACGGTTCAAAGGCAGAGCTGTGGAGAAGAATTGCCGCCCTTGCACTTTACCTGGCATTTCCAGGTTCATCTTCACGGCTGTAATTTTCCATCTTGCAGGACAAGCATGCATTCCTACGCATCAATGGTTACGTGGACGGGGTCATGAAGCAGGTGATGGAGCTGCTGGAATTGGAAATTCCAAAGTGGGACGGTCCAACCATCTGCGAGAGCTCCAAATTCACCTCTGAGGACACGGCTGATATCAAACCTCCTCATGTAGCAATTTCTAAGGAAAAGTTGAAAAAAGTCCCAATCAAGAAGGAGAGGAAGAGAGAGGCAACGACACTAACACATGGTGACAGTGTTGGAGAGGATAGCGTTCCAGTAAAGAGGGAAAAAGCTGACTCCCCGGCAGAGTTAGATGAAGAGAAATAGCCCCAGGTATTTTTCAACAACCCTCTAACCCGTCCAACTATAGACTTTGTGTCTGAGGGTGATCATTTGGTCAGAATGAAGACAGAGAGTCCTCTTATCTGATGCCCTCATGAGCAGAGGCTCCTCTAGTACTGTAAAAGTTTTGTCGATTGCAGATCACGTACACAACATCTGAATCCTTGACAAAAGGCCCAAAAGTTGACCCTGCTTAAAAAACTCAATTAGCGTCTTTGTTGTGTCCGAGCCATGAGCTCAGAGGGGGGTACTATGAAGATGGTCCAACACACCTTTCTTTGCATTAAACAGTCGTAAACAGTGTCTTAAAAGTGGTTCTGCCAGGTTTTCTGCTTAAGGCTTTATGAGCTTCATTAGATGCTCAGCACAACCAACTTGAGTCAGGCCGTGTCGTTAGCAACAATTAAGTATCAAAAGTTAAAACTGCCAAAACCAACAACACTGTTGCAAAAATAGCAGAGGTGAGATTGTTAGGGATAATTGGCCAGTTTAAAAATAATACTGATTTTACCACCTGAGCCTCATCTGACACTTTCAGCTCTTACACTCCAAAATTAATGAACCACGATGTTAGAAACAGTGAAGACGTGCAAATGGATATTTGACTATCATGGAAAAAGTTTGTCTCTTTCTTTGTTGTGCACCTCTGCGGCTCACACAGTTCTAAATAAAGACTTTAATGGAGTGTTGATTGTGAAAGGCACAGCTAAGATGACTGGTAACAATACTTTACATTAACAGGACAAGAGATGAAAGTTACCATTTTGACCACAGGGGGTGCCAAACCAAAAAATAACTAAAAGTTCCTCACAGAAACTTTGAAGGATTGATTCACAACTGTGCGCACCAGTTGGATCCCAGCTAGATCTGTCCTTAAAAGACACTGGCTTGACTCTTTTGAGAAAGGGGTCAAGTAAGGGCCTCTAGGTGTAAATCTAGGTTAGAAGTGATTTTGACACATCAAGAAAGATTTCCTTTGGGGTCTTTGTGCCACATTTTCAACATCTGTTGCAAAGCTTTTGCTTTTCTGTCCAACATCTATGGCCGATTTTCTTCAAGCATGAAGGTCTTTGTACTCCAGTTTTCTCTTCTCTCGGTGAGATGTACAATTTTATTCTGCCTGCTGGGAATAAATGGAGCACCTGCTGCTGACTGGCTATAAAAGGACCATAATCACTCTGAACGTTTTTAGAAAATGGCTTTTATCTCAGGGAAAAAAAACGCACTGTACTCTGGGTGAAAGTGGTCATTTTATGTTGTTTTATTTTTTTTTTATACAGACAACTGTTTTGGTAATAAATACTGTGCGTTGTTACAGCCTTGTGTATTTTGTGCACCTTTTTACTTATGTAAACATTTCATTTGTGATAAAGGAGTAACTCTTATTTTCACCTGGGTCAACACTATGGTACACAACGCTACTGTAGCTCTAGATTTTCTTTATATGTCACTGCAGTGTGAGAGCGCATTATAAACAGACCTAGTTTCTCCCAGTAAGCCTCTGCAGTTCAACCCAGTAACTGATATGTTCTTCCTTTTTTTTTCTGTGTAAAAAGCACATTAAAATTTCATAATATGGCGGAACAACAAGCCACAGGTGTTAGAAAATGATTTATGCAGCAAACACGTTGAGCGTGTGACGTTGAATAAGCTCAGTCAATTAAGGCGCCCTATAGCACTGTAACACTATAACACCTTGTGCTTTTAAATACATAAGCAACATGTATAGATTGAGCAGGAAACACAAAAGCCACATACACACACACACGTGATTGGCCTACCCGTGGACAGGTCATCGCATGACCCTCATTACTGCTCGTGCATCTCTGTCCATACATTATCTTGCCTTTAATTAAGTCTGCCTAATAGTAATAACAGACTTATATTCTCACTCAGCTCCTGGGAATGCATGCTGCCCTCTTTTTAAAAAGCTTTATGTTGCTCCAAAGGTCAGAAGATATGTAAGGGATAGCGTATAGTTAGGAGATGGTTATGCAAAATAGAATCCTGACAGGGTGAGATAAGACCCTGACACAAACCTTATTACAATATTCTTACAATATCAATATCTCTCTTATTACCTGTCTGTCAACGAAATATTGAGGCTACATTTTCATCTAAAGATTGATTTATTGGTTTAAAAGGGATTCACAGATAGAGCCTAAATATATTATTCAACCTCATCCAAGGCAACAGTTTTGTTATCAGCCTACTGAAAGGTCAAATTAGCATTTAACTCATTTCACTCAAAACGTAAGTGTGTATCAGCATATATACTAACTACAGAAATCTATACAAATCACATTGAATTTCATTTGAATTTTTGGTTAAGTCAAAACATTAGCAGTTCTTCAGAAACACTAACAGCAGCACCTGTGCAAAGTCCTCCTGATGACTGGTCAGTCTAAATGAATGAACAGAAATATCCTTCATGTTATCTACCCATGTCATTAAAAAGCAGCACTTGTTGCATTATCAACAGGAAGACGTAAAATCATGAATAGTACCAGAACTCCTCTCTGCTGATTGATTTAAAATGTGTGACACGTCGTGTGAACAGGTTGCGCTTTTTGATACGGCTGCTATTCAGAATTAATTACAGTTGTTATGGATTTGTGACCAATCAGAATCAAGTGTGCAACTTGCTACCACAGTCAGGAGATACTGATCTTTTATCAGATGGTGGTGTAATAATGGAAAAACATTTCCGTGGGTTCATTTGCCTGAGTGTGAAATTACAAATAAGTGCCTTTTAAATTCAAAACAACCATCAACGATAAAATTTTCTTTGAGTCCATAAACTTGACATCATATGGCAGGCATCATATGAAAATACATTTATTTCTTTATAACATAAAAATGACCCCTCCAAGACGCGCCTCATCTTCAAAGCAAAACTACAACATCTGTCATCTTGGAAAATAGTTGCCACATCCATGCTAAAAATATATACGAAAGCGCATATGTGTCATGTCAGAACTTGACATATGCAGCATGAATGCAAGGCTTATAAATAGCACCTGTGTGATGTTATGTCAAAATGGGGCCAACGCACCCAGGGAATGTTTTGTACATCATGTGAAATTCAAGCCATGAAGAATTTAGGCCACATTCTCAGGTCTGTATCAGAAAAGATTCTCTCAGACTTCACTTGCAGTGCCCAACACAGTATGTTTGCCCAACCAGTATAATTAAGTGAAAGTCTTATAGGTGACAATGCCGTTAAGAGCCATACACTAATAAATGCTGTTACATGATGAGACTGAATCAGGACCCTTAGATACTGTTTATTGAATTCTTACAAATTAAATAAAGAAGTGGACACAGTCTTCCTGCAGCTGGTCATCACTCCAAACGCAGCGAGAAGGACCTTGGTCACAGAGAAAACTTCAGAGCCCTGTCGGCTGTGTAGGCGGACATCCTTGGAAGGACATCATAAGTCTGACTTCCTGTTAGGGTGACCATAAGGAGCCACTCGGTGACAGCATCCCTGGAGTTGGTACAAAAAAGAGACCAAGACTGCATCAAAGATTTTGTGGTTTGATGAAGGCAGGATCACACTCCTCGGCTGTAATTCAAAGTGTTATCTCTGGAAGAAAGCAGGGGCAGCTCATTAAGCATTTAACATGATGCATGCTGGGAACCCAGGAGTGGCAGGGTCCTGCTGTGTTGGACTGTCTCAGCTGCATTCACTGGACCTCTTTTAGAAGGATGATAATGAGTTGAGCTTACAGTGGTGAGACAAGCCTGTCACATGGTATCAAAGGCATCATAGACTGAGACGAGAATATTATTCAACATGGTTTAATACCAAAGCATGCAGAAACTCTCTGAGTGAGTCAGGAAACTGAGTGTGAAATGGATTCTCATGAGAGGAATGAATAGAGTGACACGATGACTGCTATGTTTGCAGATGCTTCCATATTCATGCTCGTGAGCATGTGCACATTCTTGCACATTCTTCACATGTTTGCTTGATACACACTGACAATTTAGTACATGTTTTGAATATGAAATTCCAGGAATAACAAACATTTTGAACATTTTGATCTAAGTAACCACAAATGAAACTGCTCAGTTTGCATCAGGGACTAAAACTCTCTGCCTAGATGTTAAAATCTCTAAAAATAAAGGATGAATGGGTTAGATAATGGGTTAGATAATGATGATAATGGGTTAGTGTGAGTATGTTTGTGCGTGTGTGTGTGTGTGTGTGTGTGTGTGTGTGTGTGTGTGTGTGTGTGTGTGTGTGTATAACTCAAAAACTGGGTTAAGTTTTCCTTTTTTTGCAGCAGGTGTTACCTCTGTCAAAACGTATTCATCAATACTGGCAAACCAAGTAATTTAGTGGGAGTTTCAGACGTTTTTATCTATTTTCTTCCCATTATCTGGGTTGTTTGGAGTCAGAGGCAGCAGGAGGCTAAAAAGACAGTCCAGACATCCCTTTCTCCAGCAATGTTTTGCTGAAAGTAGTTCAGTTCAGAATCTGGCAGAAAGATATGACTAACTATCCTCATTTCTACATACTGCACCTTTAACTACAGGGGTCATCATAATCAGCACAACCTAAATATTTCGCCCGGGTGCTTTAAAATACAAATGAATCATGCATTTTAAAAAAGGCAGTGCTTGGTATGTTTTATAGTATTTGATGACTTACATTCAGTTAAACAATCCCTAGATGAAGGGCGGGTCGACTATGTAATAGGATTCTGACACAAGGCAGTATAGATCATATAGATCATATCTGGACATATAGGGATGACACACACAGATTTCCTTTAGGTGGTTAACTTGACTTGTGAAAAAGCTCTGAAATCATAAATGACCACATGGTTAGGAGAACTAAAGCTGTTCTGTCGACATCAGAAAATGAATAGACCATAAACATGAGGAAGAAAACTGCAAAAAAAAAATTATTTTTGATAAATCCACCAACTGCAAAATTTGGAGAAAAATAAATAAAAATTTGAAGTCTCACTTTAGAAGTAAGAAAAAAGCTCTATATTCATGACATGTTGACTTTTTGATGCCATCAGAACCTACTGAGCCTGAGTGATTTGGAGGTCCTGGTTGCAGAGGTAATTTTAAACAAAGAATCACACGATGGAGAAAATGTGTCCGGTGTGTGTGTGTGTGTGTGTGTGTGGTATTTACATGTCAGCCCATATCTGTGTGCAGCTGATGATGCTTTTCCATGTTCAGACTTAAAAAGGTTGCAAAAGGGCAAGACATTGATCAGTTATTGTGCTTCTGACTCATCACTCGTTTTCACCATTTTTGTTGCTGCAGACAAGATGAAATGTCTCGATACATCAGTGATCCTTTTTGTCCTCTTGCTTTTATTTTATGTCACATTACATATGTGCATTCACAAAACATTTCACAGCATACAGCAGGGACATGAAAATGGCCAACAGTTTCATTGCTGCCACATTGTTAATCAATAAATGATGGGTGAAATGTGGGAGGCCTCCAAGTCCACAATGATTTCACACACAAGTTGAACAGTCCTTCAGTCTTCAGTGTTTGCCCCTGTGTGGATGTTTGAGATTGAAAGAATAACGATCACTTAAGTTGAACAATTCAACATCAAAATACCACAGGACAGGATGGGTAAGAAGCTGTTCATGTAGAATAATTAAGTTCCTCCATTTACCAAGGAGCTTAATTCAATATTTGCAGAGCAGATGCTGTAAATCTACTCAATTTCTTTTTTTTTCTGATAAAAACTCTGTTGACAGTGAACCTCAATTGAGAGAAGTGCTCAACAATATGAAATAACAGATTTGCCATGAACAGTATTCTCCATTTTATTTTCAAAGAAGCCAACAGTCTTCAGCTGGAGAGTTCAGAGCTGATATTTTCTTTAGGCCTATTTAGGTGCTCAGTTTAAGAATATTTAAGTGGGAAAAAATGATTGCACTCTTCGATTCAGGTAAAATGTGACTGAATCGACAAGGTTTTTCAAAACTTTTTGACAAGGGAAATTTAAGATAGTTATCAACCATAAAATGACTTCAGTGTTTTCTAAAATTTTAGATTAGAAAAAATATTAAATGTTTTTAAAGATTTGCCCTAAAAGCCTGAGAAATGTAGAACTTTGTTCCTCATCTCAGTAGAGTAAATTTTTTATCATAAGATTAGAGTTTGACAGAAATATAAACTATATGCAGTTTCTTAACACAGAAATGGAGTTATAATCTGTTTTGAATACTTGTAATTTTTTCTTTTATCTGTAAATGTTTCCACTGTCAAGACTTTTTTCATCCAGGTGAGGTGAATAAATGACGATATTGTCATTATTTGTTAGCTGCTATATGAACACTTGACAATAAAAGTTTTATAAATTCATTGTCATAAAAAACACTGGCAATTTAGAGATCTGGTCTTTTTTAATACTTAAATCAAGTTGTATGATGTGTTTGTCTAAAGTAAGCTGGTCAGCTCCTTTATGCAGGGACCAGCTGGAATATCTGCATGGAATCTAGGCTATATAGCAGTTCGAGTAAAGCTATAAATTTCAGATAATTTCACTTCTTTCTAGAGAGATGGATGAGCACAGATTTGTTGAATTTGCAAAACTGTCAAAGTGGCTTTCTGTCAGCAGATAAAAGTGTACACTTAAGCACTTTTGTTCACTTACACTGATGCTGACGTGTTCAGGCTCAAAACTGTGAAACCGCATTATAATAGCGGCCTATGGACTGAAAATGACCCTCCATTTTTAGTCAATGGGCTAAGCTATGCTAACCTGCTGACGGCCACAGTTTCATATGTAGTGTACAAACATCAGGGTCCTGTAAGTTTCATCTTCAAGCAAGAGAGTAAACGACTCATGGTCAAACTATTCTTTCTTGGAGGATCACATATTGACGTCTTCGTGAACTACAAGTATACTGGGTGGCGCTTCCTCTACCTTCCTTCCTCTCAGAGCCAAAGTAATGACATTCCGGACTGAGCAAGACACCCTTAGCAAGAGCTCCTTCAGTCCGGCTCTGTGCTCTCTTCGGATCAGACAGTACAGCACTGGGTTGAGACAGCTGTTAGCGTGAGCCAAACACACGGACAGAGGGAAAGCATAGGCCTGGGCGTTGTAGAACGCTTTATTGAAAGGCGCCAAGTCAAATTTGATGAGCACTCCCCACAGGGTGAGCGCCTGGTTAGGTAGCCAGCATATGAAAAAGGAGAGGACAACAATGGTTACAGAGCGGGTGACTTTAGAGCGTCGACGGTGGCGCCCTCTCTCGCACTCTGATCTTTCTGTGACGCTCCCATTGATGGTGCTACAGACGACCCGTCGGCTCAGGATGAACCTCAGGAGGAGGAGGTAGCAAACTGTGATGATGATCAAAGGAACTACAAATCCCAGGAGCACTTTTTGTGTTTGATAGAGTCCAAGCAGGACCTGAGGGTCCCAGTGGTCTGAATCAGAGTCCGAGAACCTCACTAAGCACAGCTCATCGTCTGAAGACACCTGTGAACACACAGACACACAGTTACTTTAAAGGGTTCAAACCTAAAACAAAAAATGTGGCTTTAGAAAAACAGTCTCAAATCAACCGACCTGGACTGTGGTTGAGTAGATCGCATGAGGCAGTGTAGCCACCAGTGACACCATCCATATGGCCAAACTGGCCCATTTGGCACGAGCGTTGGCAATTCTCGGGTTGTCCATCTTCAGCGATGTCACCAGGGAGTGGTACCGGGTCACACTCATGGCAGTGAGGAAGAAGACACTGGCATACATGTTCATGGTGGTGACCGAGCTCACGATTTTGCACATAACTCTGCCGAAGGGCCAGCGGAAGTCCAGCACCGTGTCCACAGCCCAGAAAGGCAGGGTGAGGACAAACTGGAGGTCAGTCAGTGCCAGGCTCATGACGAAGCGATCAATGGAGGAATGGTGGTGGTGACCCCCACGGCGGGAATGGAGCAGGAAGAGGGCCAGAAGGTTACCCACAAGTCCCAGGACACAGACAACCAGGTAGACCAGGGCAATGAGGACTCTGACCTGTCAGGTAACATACAGTGAAAACTTAGTTCGCCATACAACACTGCCAACATTTAAACCAGCACAAGATGGTATCTTGGCTAATACTTGCTGGGTTCAGAGCCGACCCAAGGCACAAGCGAACTGAGCTCCTGCTTAGGGCCCTGCAGCCAATAGGGGGCCCCCAAGAGCAATCAAAAATAAATAAATAAATAAATATTTTTTCATTTTTTGCAAGAGTGATGCTTTCTTTATGATCAAATCTATATTACTGTAAAAAAAAAAAAAAAAGTTAAAACATTTTAGTGCGGCTGCTGATGTAGGCCTATGATTCTCACTACCGATATGTCAAAACTCTGCTACTGTTATGTGCCTTCTGCTGTGCAATGTGCACTGAGCATCCAAAGTGCAGGTAGTTGTGGGGCAACACAATGTCGCAAAAAAGGACATATCCTTCAGAAGCAGAGGAAAGAAAGAGGAAGAAAGAGGAAGAAGAGAAAAAAACGCCAAGATAAAGATATGTTTGCATGTCATGGAATGTTAATCAAAGAGATTTGTGAAGGTGTGTGAATGATCAACAATCAATATTATTGGCAGAAATAGAGGGCCCGAGAATCAAATTTTGCTTAGGGCCCCATTGAGGCTTGGGCCGGCTCTGGGTGGGTTACAACTAATGGATCACGATCTTATTTGAAAAGTTGCCATTATTTGTTCTTTGAGTTTTGCCAGTCTTGAAACTTACCTAATTTTTGTAAACTGAGCATATACCGCCGCTCCACTTCAGCTAGATAACTAATCTACTAGGGATGCACTGATCCGATATTTAGATCGGATATCGGCTCCAATATTGACAAATTAACTGGATCGGATATCGGATGGATGACACCGATTCAGCGTTCCGATCCAGTCTTTTTTCTTTTAATTATTTTTTTCTTTTAATACTTGGAAGCCTTACTTCTTTTTGCTGTGTGCTAATGTGCAATTTGTTATTTATTAATAAATAGTATTAAGTAAATTTATATCTGTGTTAATTTGTTGCCTCTAAACAAGGCTAATGTCAAGCCTGATGCCTTCACTCACAGGGCAAAGTATACAGTTCATTTATTCAACAGTAGTTTGGATTGGTATCAGATATCGGCCGATACGCTCAGCCCAAGTATCGGTATCGGATTGGATCGGAAAAATAAGTTTCAGTCAAAACCCCCGTTTGACTGAAACTTATCATTGTATACAGTAGGGACTTACTGCCAGGTTTGCGCTGTCCCCGTGCAGGTCCATTGTGGATTCTTTGGAGAGGATGTGCAGCCAGCAGCTGAGGGACAGGTTAAAAGCCGCGAGGTTGGATGCAGCGTCTGAAGGACTGACAAGTTTGAGAATGTCTCGCTCTTCGTCCTCTCCTCCGCACACACTCAGCGCGGTCAGAGCTCCGGGGGTACCGCTGTTATTCTGCATGATTTTGCAGAGTTTCTGTCACTTTATACAACCAACTTCATCAGGTATTGCCTCGTCTCTCTTCGGAGCTAACTTCCACTGTGTGGGTGCACAAAGGTGGATGCAAAAATCCCCATCGTCCCCGTGAGTAATTTAATCTTCAAAGTCTTCACCAAAGATCATAGTTGCACGTTTTATCGAAAGTAAATTTAGAAACTTAAATGACCCATTCTGCTGTTTTAAGAGCGATATAAAACATAAAATCCGACGCATTAGTGTCAGCATACTCTAACGTGATCAGAGAAGTCAGTGATGATGCAGCCTCCTCTTTTCTGTCAGTGATGCTCATATGTCCGGACACTGAGGCTTTTATACTCGCTGAGACTCTTCTTTACCGCCAGAGGACGCACTGCCTCATACAGCACACACTGAGCAGGAGTAAAGCAGCTCCATTCATAAAAATTTAAACCTACATCGACTCTGTATTCTCCATTCCCTGTCATAGGTACAATCAGATCGATCAGAAGATGAAGTTATTCTTCTCACTGAAGGACTGTTGGGAGCGTGTGTGCGTGCGTGCGTGCGTGTGTGTGTGTGTGTGGGGGGATTCAGTGCATAACAGTCTGCTGATTATTTCGCCTTTCTTTGAACTGATTTATGACTCTCAAGAGTAAGAAAAATCTTCAGTTTAAATCAAAAATGTGCTGTTGACCATTATAAATCATTCATTCATGAAGTTTGTCCTCAGCATTTCAATTTTCCTCTATACGGTGGGGCCATCTCTCCAAAAACACCTTAAACACCTGCCTACATATGCTGTGGAGGTCATTTATATCCAACAGTATTTTTTTCCTTTGGATCTGTGAGCATGCATCTGAAATGATGCACGTCAGAGAAACGATTAATTTGATTTCAAACAGCTTTCAGGCTCCATGAGGGAGTCAGGCTGAGCGAGATATGGGAAAAGAGGTGTGTGTGTGTGTGTGTGTGTGTGTGTGTGTGTGTGTGTGTGTGTGTGTGTGTGTGTGTGTGTGTGTGTGTGTGTGTGTGTGTGTGTGTGTTTCGGATTTGCATTCATTACAGTTCACCGTTGGTATTCTCAATGTGCAGCTTTATGGCCAGCTGTGTGTGTATTAGATTAAACTGAGGAAAGAAGTTATTTATCAGGCACATATCAACAGTCTATATTCTTCTTGCTTGGACAGCCTGAGACTAGTCAAACACTTTGTACCAATCGTAACCCAATTTAAAGGTCCAAAGAATTTGTCGAAGAGCAATACATCACAATTTCTGTAGCAGACGTGACTCAGCCATTCAAAGCTTTATAGGGCTCTTAAGATGTCTTCTTTCATTTCCATCAGATTGTCTTTGTTTTCTCTGGCACACATATCTAGATGCAGACATAGTTCTTGTGAGAAGACCTTACAGAATTATTGATCTGAATTCACAGTGAAATGCTCCCTTGTATTACTGCGAGGCATAAAACATAGAAACCATCGAACAAAGTGAATAAAAAATGACATTGTAAAAGGGTAATAGCATAAAACCAGATCAAAACAGATGATCATTAAGTATCTTAAATTGACATTATTAGAGCAACAGATTTTAAGCACACATCTGGTCCAGACAGATAAAACGGTACGTTAACAATGGAGGGATTCATACTGAGTTATTATACCGGACACTTGTGAAGTGGAACAATCCTGGTTCCCAAGTTATGAAAACTGCTGAATTCAGTTATATATACTTTCTCCTTGTCAGCTTTTAGATATATTTACAAAAGCTGTGGATCAGAAATCCATATTCTACTCATGAAATAAATACAGAGCAGATTTTGCATCCAACACCATGACTGGACCAGGCATTTTTTGACCAATTTATGTAAAACTAGAAACATTCCCTTAAGACTTTAGTTGAGCACTGATCTGAAAGCACAGTGAACATTATAATTTATGACCATCAGATTGTCAGCACTGTGATTCTGAGTACATACGTATACTGAAATGATCAAATTCAAATCTGTTGAAATGTCAGAATAAGCTCACCAAATGTGCGTCCATTATGAAATGTTAACTTTGTCTATGTGTGTACTCATTGAATCTCAGGAAAAGAACCAAACTGCTTGTTAGATAGTGTTAGCTGTGTTCATTATATAATCAGACTAGGAACAAGACATCAGCAATTCAAAAACACCTGAACACATGATAAAAATGTTTTTCCCAATCTTTCTCTTGATAATGAACAAAGTAATTAAATACTCAACACATCTGTCTTTAGAGGTGAGACTGAGACGTAATGCTTTTTCCTGTGAATTTGGTTGTAAACTTACAGCACATCCTATCAGAGAAGAGTGGATATCACTTTCCTCAGTACAGAACATTATGTGCCACATGGAACGACACTGAAAAGTCCCTGTGAACAATATAGGTCTGTCATTATTCCACGATGGTGTTCAACAACCTAATGATGGGTTCAGCCTGAAGGTTTCTGGTTGAATAGAAGACAGCCTCAGGGTAATTGGTTGTCAGTGGACATTTAATGACAGGAAACATTTCAAACAAAGTACATTGCCACTAATTTGCAATATAAATATAAGGATCAGCGTCACATTGTAATGACATACATTTATTGGTGCAATGGTATATTTTCTTATTATGGTGTGATAATCATATTGGTCTTAATACGCCATGAAGTGACAAGCTAGTTTGCCAACCGCTCATACCATAAGAACCAAGGGAGATGTTGAAGGCTGTGAGATGGATTCATTTGTGGTTTTCTGATTACTGCTGTGTGAGTAATATAGATACTGATCTCAGTATCATCCCATGTGTTCAGTTACAGCAGAATCTCCCCATGTCTTAACCCAAGCAGGGAACTTAATCATATCCTGTAAATGGGCCATATTCTTCTGTTTGTCTGTCTATACTTTTCCCCTCATCAAGGTGAGTTTAATGTTAAAACAAAGGAAATATTTATTTCATTCATAAGTTTTATGGTCTTACAATATAGGTTATCCCAATATAACATCCTTAGATTTATGTTATGACAATAAACTTGTTACGTTATAACCAGGCTGCAACCTGTGAGCTGGGGGAATGAGGCCTATGCAGAAGTGGCAAAAACTGCAGATCTTTAAGTGTCCACCTGAAGCTGGTTCCAAAAACACCAGAAACCACATGGACATTCAAAAAACCCATCTTTATAGCAACATATGTACCACCAGATGCTGTTTTTTTTCTGATTGGCTCATTTCTCTAAAGGCAGACATCATACAGGGAATGTATTTTAAATAACTTATTTATTTTGAAGATATTAAGATCGAAAGGTATGACTGACTTGAAGGACAGGTGGGCCTGTCGCTGTTTGTGAGAAGGACAAAGTTGTGCTTAAGAGATCTAACCTTTTTTTTTTTGACTGCTAGCATTAAGAGTTAGGTCCATGGTAAGTTTTGAATGCAATGAGACATCATTATAAATATGTTAAATTCTTGTTGGTAAGACGTATTTTGTTTACTGTGAATATTGACTCATAACAATAGTGATGCTTATTACTGTGAAGCAGAACTTAATCAAACAAGACTCTATGGATGTGTCCAAACTTCTTGTTTTTATTTTTTCATGACAGTATTGCACTGAGCTGCTACAAAATCCAACTCAAATCAGAGTCAATGAAGTTTTTCGACATATTAATCAAACAAAAACAAAAAGCAGCCAAAATACAATCAGTCATTTTACAGATCATACATCAGTAATACTTGAGCCATACATGCTCTACCTACTCATGTCCAAGTCAATCCATCCAACTGAGCCAAACTCATCATGAAACATCTTTCGAGTAGTATTTTTGAGTGCACACCTGTGTGTGTGTGTATGTGTGTGTGTTAAGACAAACACACCGTCACACCTCACTCAGTCTCTGCATTAATAAACAAAGTGCTCATATTAATGCTGTGTTTGTGAGCAGGCCTGGGCTCCTTTGCTGCATCGTCCTCCCTGAGGGTCCCCCGAGGAGATTAGCAATTTTCGCCTCCTGTCATCTTGGAAGTGAGAGGATGGGAGCTTTACTGCAGGGAGACCTCTCCAGGGTCAGAGTTTCTCCATCAGGCAGCAAAGGGATGTCCGGTGCTTCATCTATTGACGGCAGGGAGCGTGATGGCACTGAGGGGATGAGAAGATTAATAGTATGTGTTTGGTTTGTTAATTTTTTTTTAAAGAAGGAGAAAGTGTGCTTGTATGTATATCTCCAAACCTCGGGTCAGTAAGTACTCTCTCTGGCTGAGTTGGCTGTACGGCTCAGGCTGGAGATTTGGGGAAATGATGAGGGAGAAGGAGAGCAGCAGAACCTGGATGAAAGTGAAGTCAGGAGGACAAAAAACAGACAGAGGGAAGATGACAGAGGCAGAAAGAGCCAGTGGGAGGAGTAAATGGAGTTTTTAGACATAGCCTACTTTGTATTTTGCACATAATGACACATATGCATTTCCAACATCTGACTCCATTAACCTCTGAGCAGGAATGCAGCTGCAGTCATGTCAGACAGGGGTTCTAATGATGTGCTCCATCCCTGAGCTACATCCATCATTTAGCTATGGCACATTACTCTGTCTTCGATCATTTTCCGGAGTGTAAATAAATGTAACATGTTATGTTTCCTACCAGGATGCAGGTTCCTCTGTGTGCTGTTTTGCTGGAGCTGTTGGGAAGGAGAGCCTGGAGCTGGTTTAGCTGCTCCAGCAGAGCGCTGCAACACAAATATAGACAGAGAGATGAAAGGGTAAATGTAGAGTTTTCACATGACGGACCACTGGGTTGCTCTTTTATCATGTGCAACAACTGGAAACTAAATAAAATTAGAGCAGCACACGAGGAACGTATGTGTGCAGTCTCTTATCACGTGTTATTGCAATTCACTACATCAGTCTGCCACTGTGAGGACGAAAGTAGAATAATGAGATGAGAGGACGAAGAGGAGGATAAATCAGAGTCCCCAGTGTGAGATTTTAAATTGAATGGGCTTTGTGTTCTTTGTATGTCCCTGAGACCTGATTTCTTTAACTAGTAGCACGTTTTCAAACTCTGTCATCCACTTCAGAAGAGGGAGCTGACACAGATTAGTGGGGACAAAGACAAAGTCAATAAAAGTCACAAGGACAAAAATACTCACTTGTTGGTCTCTTCTAGTTTCCTGATCTTTCTCTGTAGCTCCAGGTTGTTTTCACTGCAGGCAGACATCCTAAAGGGAAAAAAGGAAGGATAGTGATAAATTAAGACAGGCAGTTTCTAGATATTATTGTAATACTATTGTAATAATACAGAAATACGTCCCCTTCATTTCTTTTGTTTCTCTCTGCCTATATCATTCTGCTTAGTGCTGTCTTACACCCAATTTTCTTGACCTTTGCTTCTGTTTTCTTTCTTTCACATCACAACATCCATAATTGGCCTCCAACTGAGCTTTTCCATGACTAATAATGATGTCCTATTGATATACCATGATTGAACACATACAGTAATTGTAAGGGGATTGCTGTACAATTTGTGAACACAAAAAATCATAGCCAGGAGCTCTTCCTCTGTATTGTTAGTGAAGGTGTAATGGGAGAGCGGAAGAGCAGATGTGCGAGGCTGGCATGGTTTCCATGACAGTCTTGATGTGAAGTGCGACTCACTCTGCACAACCATAAAGTAGAGGAACACAGGAAGGCTATAACTGCTTTCTTCTTTGAAAAAATCTGTCTGGTCAAACCTCCTCCAGCTGCAGCACAGGGTGGTTTAAGTGCTGATTTGTGTTGCTGTCTGTCACAAGACACAGCATGTTCTGTCCTACTGACCACAGAACATAGAAACTCAGCTCTACTATAAAAGACATTATTATTGAGCAGAAGAACCTCCACATTCGTCCTTCATGACACAAAAGTCTATAATATTCTATTAATTTTAAATCAGTTCAGTACACTAAACTGAACCCGTCTTCTTCAATAATCTATACGGACAAGGTCGATTAGCTCAGTACTCTCGAGATAAGGGCCTGTGTCTATTAAGGCCGTCTTTATGATGGCAGAGCCACAATTTCAGAGGGCTTCTCATGAGTGTTTGTGTTGCTATGTTACGAAAGTTTTCTCACTGCACTTCTCCTCTATGACTGTCCTGTATTGATCCTTTATGCTTAAGATTTTCTTCTCTCCGATGAAATTTCAAAAAGAAAACACGGACAGAAAAACATCAGATGCTGTTGGTGTTTATGTGCAGATACTAAGTGCTGCAAACCCTGAACTCGATTGGTTTTGAAGAGAAGTTAAGCAGTTTGGGTCTTTTTTGTCAACACAAAAATATTTCCACACATATCATGACTGCTATCTTTTTGATACCAACATTATTTTTTCTATTCGATGCTATGCTAGCATGATACCTATAATCAAAACGTTAGCAGCATGGAGCTCAAAGCCTTATTGTGCCTGCAAGTTTCAAAGAGAAGTTTTCAGCCCCAGGAAAAAGTAGGATACCGCTGCAAAAATATACTTTCCTCTATGTCAACTATTCATAGATGTGTTGTTCACGTTTACAAAAATGAACACATTTTAAACATTTCTTCTGTTTTGCTAGCTTCCAAGTTAAATATTATCAATTAGATCTTTTATTTTATTTAAAAAAAAAACAAAAACAGCTGGTCAAGATATCAGAAAATGCATTATTTTTCAGATTGTGAATAATTCAAAGAAAAACAAGTTCATGAATATAATCAAACATCAGAAAACTGATGCGTCATCTGAGAAAGAGTTCAGATATCAGTATCTAGAATAACTCTGATATTTTAATATAGTTTTTGTGCATCCTGGCATACTCCACCAGTCTTTTACAGACCCTGGACTTTAAATGTTTTCATCCATGATGAGAGCATACTGAAGGAAAAATCTGGAGTGGTCTCATAATTTTAGTCCTAGACGGCTGCTACCAAGTATTTGTATGTCTGCACTATTAAGTGTATGCGACTCCCTGCGAAAACTTTCTAAACAGACTGGGCCAAGTTTTTAACCCATCTGCTGTCATAACACTCTAATTCATTATCTTAAACAACTGCACTAACTATAGTTCACATTTGGTGGATACACGGAAATGATATTCATTCACTTATGATGCATTTTCACAGCTTGTACTTTTTCAACATGTGAAAATACCCTTTTAAAATGAAATATGAGGAATAAAAAAAGGGGAGTGAAGAATCTGCAAGGACCTCCAGCTTTCAAAGTTTTAACACCTAAGTGTGATTTTGTAACTCTCTTCTCCTGTGTACATCTCTTTGAAGACTACTTTTTCTTTTAAAGTCTTGCTTTGTAAAAGTTTTCTGAAAAACAAAAAAAATGAGAAATCTGAATTTTTTTGTTGTTGTTGTTTATCAAATACAACAGCAAATAGTTTCAGTTTTTTCTTGAAAATAAACACTACTTCTGTACGAAACAGAGAGAGTGGGAAAAAGAGGTGTTGCCAAATCCAAAAAAGTGTCCCTGACTTTTATTTACTATGATGTAAAGACAGCAACATGACCAAGGTTTCAATATCATGACCTGGTTCTGTCCTGTATGTCGAGATTAATCAAGTCAATGACCAAATATTCTGATTGTAAAGTACCTCAGAGCGCAACTACAGGTAAAGTTTTATTTGCTAACTTTGTGCAGAGGTAACGTTGAGCTCAGTGAGGATGTGTGGCACCGCCTGCTCCTACCTTCCTTCCAGACTGTCCACATATTCCCTCTTCTTTTTCCGACTCTCTTGAGCTGAGTGCTTGTTTCGGATTTTCCGCCGGATCTTCTTTAAAACCCTCTCCTCAAACTTGTCAGGGAGATAAAACACATGGCAAGAAAAGAGGAGAAAGAAGAAAGAGAAAGGGGTTAGTGAGTGGAAACAGGGTTTTGAACAGGAGGTATGGGGCGGGGGGTGGAGGATCTGGCAGTAGATATGTGACTGGGGATACAGATTTAGATTGGAGAGGAGGCCCTGAATATGAGGGGAGACATCTGTCCTACATAGATGTATGTGTTCTGCTCATGTACCTTGGACAGAGGCAGTTTGCTGGGCAGGTTCACCCCTTCTTTGGCCAGAAGCCTCTTCTCATCCTCACTGAGTACAAGCTCCTGCAGGGAATTCTGGGGGCTCTGCTGCGCCTGTAAACCAGATGGGCAGAATATTTCACTTGCTGTGATTTTGTGAGCAGTTCGGCCTGAGAAGCAGTTCATAACATTATGTTTATTTGCAGCAGAGGTTTCCCCAGAAGCTCTCATATCCAGTTTATTCAAAACAATGAGGGAAATCTTATCACTCACACCATATTTGATTCGTGACCGTGTTGTTTATTTTTGTGTATCATGAACTTTCTGGCTCTCTATTCAATGTTGTTCCTATCACACCTTGTTTAAATAAAATTCATTGTTACACTCCTGTTTTGCGTTAACGGCAACTAAAAAGACAACTGTTAGTAAGATCCAGGAGGAGACCAGGCCTTTGGCAAAGTAAAACATGATATTTGATTGGGTATTCAAAGATACAAAAGGCAGCGCAGTTCAAAGGAGGACAAAAACTTTTGTGACGTGAGCCAAATAAATTACTTACGTATTCGTGTTTTGTCCTCTTTGACTCAGAATAAGAGACGTGCTGCCCTTTTTATACATTTTTAAACACATTTGGACCTAATGTCCTCATTCATGAAGCGCAGCCTCCTCCTCCGCCTGAATAGTGAATCTCTCTTATTAGAAAAGAGCATCAGCTACCAGCATTTCACACATTACATTTGGTAAAGAGTAAATTCATAGCTAACAGTACATCAGCTAAATAGAAAGGATTCCTTCCTTTTGGATTGTATTTTCTCACCTTCAAAAAACAACCACAACTTCTTTGTTTTAGTAAATGTAGACAGTAAGTAACTAGTAATATTAGCTTTTGTTTGACCAATCAATATGTTAGAATTAGGGGTGGGAGAAAAAACATTCACATGAGTATCGCGATTTTTTGTTTTACAATCTTTAAGTCGATTTTTATGTTCAAAAATCGATTTTTTTTTTTCAAATTTAAGAATAAATCTTAAAAACTGACTTACATGTTATGTGTATTTTTTGGGGAAATATTGTTTCACTGGTGTTAATAATGCAGACCTAAAATCGAGGAAATTGACAATATTGTAGAATCGCAATTTAAATCAAATCCGCATCCAAAAAATCGTAGAAGAATCGAATCAGGAGAAAAGCATATCGCTCCAGCCCCAGCTAAAATAATTGCTTTAATAGTTGCTTTAACTTTAAATATAGTCAGATTCATCTGCAGGCTACAATTATCTGTGTTTAAAACTGTAGCTTAGAGACCATTACTGTGACTGCTGGACTCCTGGAGCAGAGAACAATGATTTCATTGTAGTGACGAGTGAGGAGTCCGGTGTCAGTTATTTATAGACTCAAGGGGAGCAACTGACCACCTGGCTTTAATATTTACTTGAATTCCTAATGATATACACCTTGAAGGGCTTAATCTCTCACATGAAACATCCCAGTCTTTGAAAATATATAATTTTTCTTACTTTTTGTCCCAGGTTGGATAACAGCAAGTCCTTCACTGTAAGAGTCTGAGCAGACGACAGAGGGGACGCTTGGTTTGTTGTGAGGTAGTATGCAATGCCAAACTGCTCCTTGAGGTCTGCAGACTCCAAGTCCGCAGAGTGTACTGGTGAAACAGCAGGTAATAATTCACAAAATTACATCCACGTGCCATTTAAATAAACAGTCTCAATCTTTAGGGTTCTGCCTGTCTTAATAATCTGTTCCTTAATGCACGCATCTGACATACTCTTCATAAACCACATCACTTCTCTCTGGGTTTAATACCTCTTTGTTGTTGTTGATGATGAGATTTTAAGTATTTTTAGCACTAAAAGGTTCAGCCCTCGACAATGTGACACGGGCCATTCAACAAAAGTTGACCTAAAAAGGCTTGAGTGATGACTGTATAACAAGCAATAGCCTTTTGTCCTTTACTGTTGCTCAAAATGGGGAAAAACAAATTATTTATTCTGTAAAAAACATCGACTGTCAAAAGGCTCTGTGGGTAGCAATCATTATTTTTGTTCAGAAAATATGGATGGGTAAAATCACAACAAGGTCTTGCTTTATTATTCATCACTGTGGAACACCTTTTTCCACAACTTTTTCTCAGTATGACAACCTTTTTCAATATCTGAGACTGTTTCACATCATGAATTTCTTAGCAGTTTTCTCACCTAGATCTATGGAGACGTGAGGCTCTGTGTCATTTGAAGGTGGCTGGTTCTCCAGGGGTGAAGGCTGAGGGAAAGGTAATGTGTCAAAGGCTGGGAAAACAATGCAGGGGAGTGGCTGTAAGCTCTCTGTGGGGTCTGTTAGGGGGTCGTCGTTGATGCCGCTGTCAGTGGTGCAGGGTGACCACAGGGGGGACGCTGCTGCTGAAGAGGTCTCGCTCCCACCCAGCAGGGCGTCCAGGAAGTCATCTGAAGCTGAGACTTCAGAGTTCAGTGTCTAAGGAGGAGGAGAAGGAAGTGTTTGCTCACACTATACCATGATAATATCACTACTACTATCACAAATTTGACGATTCAATCACATATTCATGACATCAATTCTCGCCTATTCAGTTTTCCAGGTTATTTCATGGCCTTGCAGCGGTCAATCACAGTGAAACCAAACAGAAGAGCATAATGAAACCTTAAATAAACTCCAATCAGATTTCAGCTCAATAACACAAAGCCCTACCAAGGATACAAATCACTAGAACAGTCCGGTGTTTATCATGAGATCTAATTAACTTAAGGCCAAGGTTTCCCCCTTCACTTCAGAGTAAACTGCAGAGAAGGACCACTGCACTCACATCGTCATTGGTGTTGCTCCATGGATGGTTGCTATGGATACCTGCAATTTCATCTGCGTTCCTGAGCAGGAGGTCAGCGAGGTCCATCCCAGCTTGCACCTGAAATGAAGGAGTGTTCTGACTGACAGGTTTTGATGCTCAGGTGCCCCTTAGAGGGAAAAAAAATATGTATTTCCCGCCTGTGTGTTCCTACAGCTTTTTTTAATGAAAGGAAATGACCACTGTCAGCCCAGTACTTTGAGCTCAGGTTGCTAAATCCTACAACCACCCTTGAAACTTTAAAATACTCTTTAACCCACTTTAAAAACTCGTAACTCTCATGTTTTAACCCATTCCTTTACACATAAATTGCACCCAATGATCGAAACGTGTCTTACCTTGTCTGTTGTCAGTGTCATCACTCCAACATAAAACCGACTGATGAAATCACACTGAAAACATCAAGAAGTGAAAAATCCCACTCAGTCAGATCAATACGTTGCTCTCTGTGGCCTCTGAGGAATGACTCAATCTGTTGTCTGACTCTGTAAGGGACAAAGTTGAAATGTCCTATCACACATTTCTCAAACCCAGCTGACTGCTGTCCAATCCTGTGTTTAGCAAGCAGCTGAATAAGCCAATCATCATGAAAGAGAGACTGACTGACAGATTAATTACACAGTGTGTCACAGGGAACCATTAATGTCATCATAACAAGTCAAGATAGATTTTCTGTGTGGTTTCACATTCGTTTCTTGATGGCAGATTCAGAGCACTCTTCTTATGCGTAGGCACACTTAAACTACTTGTATATCTTGATGTTATTCTCCTATTTTCATTGTCAGTCACTCATGTATCAAAGCAAAGTGTGGATATCTTAAGGAGTGAGAATTCTTGGTAGTGAGGAGAAATTTCACATTGTTTCCCCTGGGGACTGTACCTTGAGCCCTTTTCATATAGCCAGCTTATATTGATCACTTTTGCTACTGGAACATCTCACCTCTCACCAATATAAATGTCAAGGAGGGATCACAGCTGTACGAATGAGAGCCTACCTAGGAAGTAACAGAAGTGATACAAAGGTGAGACAGAATCAGTGTGAGCCTGTGGGGCAGGCAGGTCAGAACTGCACAGAAGTTCATGTGAAGTCCCTGCAGTATATTTAGCTCTCTGGCTGCATGTAGCCATAACACAGAGTTTACTACATGTATCACAAATATCAATACCTCTTAAAATGAATCAGTTTTTCTGACTTCAGTTATCTGTCATAAGGGATTCTCACAAGCAGCTAGTTGAGATTTAAGTTGAACATGAAAAATGATGGTATGACTGTGTGCTAAACTAAAATGGTAAACATAGACCTTATCAAACCTTGTCATAACCCTCCCACTGAGCATTCTGTGGTCTAAAAGATGTCTAATAGACGTCTAAATGTAGACTAGACAACTGGTCTAAATCAGGCCTGGTCTAAAAAAGAAAGGTTTTTTAGATGTTTAAATTTAGCCCAAGTTTAGACTTGGTCTACACTGTATATCGCTCAACGGCTATCATAATTATTTTGGTTAAGTACTTGGGGATCAGTTATGCAACTCACATTTGCTTTTTTGAAATTTATAGTTATGGAATAATGGGTTAAAGTGCAACGTCTAAATTCTGTCCAAAAATATACAGAATCTAGACGGTTGAACTCAGGTCTAAAAAAAAAAAAACCTGGATGTCTTATAGCCGTCTATTGCTCGGTGGGGCTTTCTAGCATGACTGAAACGTTTATTGATTCAGTCTCAAGATGAAATTCTCTGTTCTTTGCTTGCCTCCCAGTAAATTCAACCCCTCACACCTCTAAAATGACAAATTAACATCATGATTTTGATGAAGCAGGTGAACATTGTTGATGCACAAATGATCAGATTAAAGGGATCAGGCAGATCGAGGATCACTGGGATTTTAACATTGAAAAATGTGAATTAAACAGGTTAAAACAGAAGGGCAGTTACATCATCAATACATCTAAAACACTTCTTTTTTTTACTTTAAATGATATAATTCAGGGATAGTATTTTTACAAAAGGACTCCGCCAGAAACTGAAATGTAGTTTATGCAAAGACTTGATTTCAACCAAATGTATTTTTCTTACAAATGCACATAATCATAGTATATTATGGGTTATGATAGAGAAAGAATGCTCAGAGAGATTGTTAAGTGATGGAAGACAAAAAATAGTCAGTGTACCTGCAGGTATTTAGGTTGTGCAGGCTCTGTTTAAAAATGCAGATTTTAACTCCTTAATGCAGACTTATATGTCCGACTGAACTGATGACTATCATAATAGTCAAAATAAAAACTTTCACCAGCATTCAACACTTTTAAAATGATGGTCACGATTGTTTTTAACACCTTTTTAATGGAAATCTTCACTACCCTTTAACAGCAATGGGTAGATGCTGCGTGTTTGAGGCACCAGCTCTAAAAGAGGAAGCCTCCGTCTGTTAGATCAGGCTTTGAAGGTTACCCCATCAGAAAGGGTCAAACAGACGCTGACCTTGGAGAATTAAAGCCTTAATGATGTGTCTCCTTGTGAAGATTGCAGCACACGCTGAATACAGGTTTCAGAGCACGGTTTTGACACCTTGACACAGAACCCACCCCCACCCCTTGATCTTGTCACTGGCTTGCACACCTCATGTGAGAAGATTATCTTTCTGGGGCTTTTGTAGAAGTTCAAAAAGAGCGAAGAGGAAAACCTAACTTGAATTTCTGAGGAAGCTAAATGTGTTTTTTTATTTTCCTCAGTAAATGGGATGTGTTGATGGACCTTGACAGATCCATTCTAATAGATTTCAAGTAATTTTGTATCATTGCCACTTTCACCCTCCTCCTTTTTTCTCCCCAATGTTTGTTGTGGTTGGAATTCTTTCAGACCAGATAGTTTGATCACATGTCCACCAGTACAAATCCACTATTACAAGAGCCGTCAGGAATTTCACTATAGGATTAGAGGACTGGTGTTCGGTGTAGTCATAGGGAAAGAAGGTTAAGTGGGCTGGTCTTAGAACCCAGCCCTGTGGTATACCTGTGTTTGAAAGAAGATTGTTGCTGTATACTAGCAAGTAACATGATCAGAGTAGTTGAGGTGGCTTTTATGGGGTGTCTTTTAGGGGGATCTTTTCAAGCGGGGACCACAACCTGTTGCTCTGAATTATAAAACTTTATATTGAGTCTGACAAACTTTAAAACTCACTCAGTTGTGAAAAAAATTCAAATGTTCTCAGGAAAGGTTGGAGTAGGCTTTTCTCGAAAACTTTTCCTCTGCTGCTTTGCATCTATTAATGATGTACTGTACTTTATCTCGACCTAAAAACAGCGACTTTTTTCTGCCTCCCCACAGCAGAATGAACCACCACACCTTAATGTTTCTAATCTTTATTGCCACAGTTTGGAGCATCAGTTCTGTGCTATTTATGAGCACACATCATAAAGTAAAGCTATTACATAACATGTTCCCTGAGCAATCACACAAGTGGAACATGCACACTTGCAGAGGCATGTCTATCATCACAGCGGGGAAGAGACATTTTGAGTGACTGAGCTACAACCTGAATTCCAAAAAAAGTTGGGACATCGAGTGCAATAGTGATTAAAACAGATTATGATTGTTTGCAAATCATTAAAGCCATATATGTAATCAAAAAAGGCACCAAGACAACATATCAAATGTTGAAATCAAAAAATTGTGTTGTTAAATGAAAGACTTCATCATTTTAAATTTACTGCACACACCAACACATTTGGTTCCAGGACAACAAAACACTGACAAGTTGTGTCATACTAAAACAATTCACCTGGGGGAAAATCTCCTAGCCAGGTTAATGTGCAACAGGTTAGTAACATGGAGAGGTATAAAAAGGTCACCTCAGAAAGGCTCTCAGAAGCAAAGATGGGGAGGGAATCACCAACCCATGAAAGTCTGGGTAAATAGGTCAACAATTTCAGAAAAGCACTCCTCATCATGGTATCGCCAAAGAAAATTGTAGATTTCATCATCTACAGCACGTAACATCATAACATCACCTACCAAAGACCGTCTCATCAACATTTTACACAGTGTCCTTACTATTTTGTACTGGGGTGGAATCAGAAGAGTAGAAACAACAGTTTGTCCTCTTATTTCCAGGATTATTATGCCTCTTTTCTAAGCTATGAGGTAAAAGCCTAAAAAAGATAAACCAGCTCAAATAACTGAGGGCTTTTTTTTTTTTTTACCTCTATCACACAGTTCACAGCAAACATAACCATTATACATTTTCTTTTGAGTTTAATTGATCTCATCAGAGAACTTCCTGCCTTATTAACACGGCTGCTTTAAAGGTTTAGCAGAAAAAGGTCATCAATATGCAGGAAGAGAGAAAAGCTCACCACAAAGTCCCCGGTCAGATTCAGTCTTGTTTCTCTATAATGAATGGAAATATAACTTAAGAAACTTGTACTGCTGAAAAACAAGCACATATATGGGAAAGGGGTGAATGTTCTTATAATACATTCTTGAGAGGAAAAATCAGGGTTTTACTTATTCATCAAAGAGCAGCTCAGATGAATTCATTGCTATTCCCTTAAGGTAAAATAGTTTGAACACTATCTTTCAGTCTTTTGGGTAGTTACCTCCTAAAATGTACTTAGTGTATGACAGAGAGCCCAGTTTTATCAGTGCTGAGCCTTTACCCATTGCAGCAGAGCCCTGCTATCTTTACTGTTGTTCTATCTTCAGATTAGGGAGTCTCAAGGTACATATTATCTAACCAGGACATTTTGTAGCACATCCCTGGAAGTCAAGAATAGCTTGTAGCGCAGAAAAAAATGAATGCTGGGTAAGTGTCTATGCAATCATACGCTTGTAAATCCATTTCAACATGTCTATCTTAATGCACATTATTGCAGGTCAGGAGGAGTTACAACCAATCATGTTCACACTTGGGATCAAGTGAAAAGACAGGTATCTCTATTTCCTGGAAGTGATTTATTAAATAACATGAAATGTGGCGTAAAATCACAGCTGATCCTCCTTTAATAACTTTATTAAACCACTGAGTGTAACTGAAGTCCGGGGAAAACGATCTCACACTTCTAACAGGCTCATATCCTGGAGAAGGTGGTGTGAAATTGAAAAAGGCATGTGTTGAAAAAAACACCAGTTTGAGCCGTTCCCATATCAGTGAAAGAGCCTTGATGGGTAAACACAGGTTAAAGCTACTGGAGTGAACCCAGTTACACCTGTGTTTCACATCTTTAGGACAGGTGAGGAGCAGAGTGCATGTTCAAAACATACGGCATTATCTCTTCACCGCTTATCTGCACCTCGGTGATAACACTGACTTTTATGAAATTATTTAATACCTGCAGCTTCTGGGAAATTCCTAGAATCATAAACAAGAGAAATGAAACCAACTGGTGAAGTTGGTTGCTGATATTTAGAGTGACTCTTAACTAGGAAAACACCCAGAATCCAGTTTGGGAAAACTGGGACCTCTTTGTTTTCATTCTGTATGATGAGCCTGAGGTCTCTGAATCATCGTTACTAAAGGGATCACATTCGCAGTATTTGGACCACAGGACTTGATCAGAATGCCAAAACACATCAGGGAACTTTTTCAGTCACCCAGCTTTTTAGGTCAGCAAAAACTTTTCCTTAAAGATCTTGACCTTTTGCCACAGTGTCACACATTTAGACTTTAAAGTCAGGCTAGTCTCTGAACTGTTTCACAGGGAAGAGCAGCAGAATATGTCCTCTGTATTGACACAAAATGCCAGAAGTAAATGAACTTTATTCTAAAATTTATTCTTCTTGTATTGTTATTAAAAAATCCTATTGCAATTGGAAAAGTTTGTAACCTTTGATTTCTATTAGGCGACTTAGTTCTGAGTTAGTTTACATGAAACCATTAGATGTTAAGGAGGAGGTTGCTCTTTATATAAGTTTATAAAGGCCTTTGTCCTTTACCTGATTCATTATGGCTTTTAACACTTTTATTCGGAGTGATGAAAAGTGTAATGAGTAAGAAAGGACATGTGGTGCCGAGCTGCAAGTCCAATTAAAATCTGACTCACCAGCTTAAAGGAAACAGGCCTTTGTACATACAGCATGCAGTGACATGACAGCTCAGAGTTATACCCCGGTTGACTTTTTCTCGGGGTCACACTGACTGTTATGATTTTTACAAACATCTGTTAATCCAGTGAAGTTCAATTTAAACTCATTCAGGGAGGAAACTCTGGAAAATACAACTGCCCTCAAGAAATAAACTTGTTTCCTAAACAACTTTACAACAGGGTAAACTACAGAATTACATAAAATGACATAAAAAACCAAAACAATCAGGCAACACTAACTGTCTTAGAAAATAAACACAAACACTCAGCACTCGAAACATAAACCTGACATTTTGGTCGGACATAAAGCATGATGGAAACATAGGTCATAGGTCATTGCAAGTGTATCTAATAAATCATCAATCCTGTAAACTGTGTTTTATTCTGTTTAACACTAAATAAACCTGAAGTTGGTTCAGATATTGGTGAAAATAAAAATGTAGAGATATTATGACATAAACAGTGAGGGTATCTGTGCTCAAACAGTTTGCATTTATAGATTTAAAGCAAGAACCTCTGTGTTAGTGAGTGAGTCCCTTAGTGCAAACATTATTATACAGTGCAATAGTGAAAAATACAAGAGTGAGATGGACTGCTTTTAAATGGCCATGTAAATAACTGTTTTTCGGGGGGTTCTTATCACACACGTTAATATCTTTCCTCCCCTGTGCCAATACATCATAGAGATGAAGTGAAATTTTGGTGTGTGTGCTTATGTATTTTAGCTACGTTGTGGACACTAAAAATACAGATTCATTCGAACAACACATTCAAGGCTGGATTGCATTGAGTCTTCATAATTTTAAAAAATCGTTTTGGTTTTTTTTTTGGTCTTTTGTTCTGTGGATCTCCACCTTTAGTTTTATTACATCTTCTTGTACTTTATGTTCAAAAGAAAAGAGTGCACACCACATCTTTCATTTCTGGCACATGTCTGTTCTCAAGAGGGCCCATTATTGTCTGAGCCTGTAAGGGTAGATCAATGAAAACTGTATAACTAATGCATTTTTCCATGTCTTCCTACTCTGAGGATGTAGAATAGAGTCACAAGGGGGTCAAGAAATATACTACAACAAACATACTATCACCCTGTACAAAATCCCGTGTGCTCATGTAAACTCATTCACAAAAGCTCACACAGTTCTGTTTCACTCTGCTTCCACACATCCTAATGTCCCAGTGCAGAGTCTCTTAGCCTTTGAGGTGTTTTGCGCTGCTGCCCTCTGCTGGTGAAGATGAGCTACAACAGCTCAGCTTTTCATTTGTCAATGGAGGGCCAAGATTTGTCAAAAAAGGAGAAATGCCAGCTTATGTATTAAACATAGGTAGAAAAAGCGTAATTCTTTGTGTTGACTTCGTACTTCTTACTGAATATAAAATAAATAAGATTTAAACTGTTTACAAACTCTCAAGATCTAACATTTTGTATCAAAAGAAAGAAGACATAGAGGAAGGCACAGAGAGAAGTAGGACTCTAAAAATTGATGTCCATCTCCTAAATATTTGGTTACATAATCAATTTCTTTTACCATTTCAAAGCAACAAAGGGTGGCTCAACTTACTTTTTGGCTCAACTGACACCACTCTCCCCTAGTTGTGTTTTCGTTGTTGACTCTCATGTTGCAGGAATGACAGGTGTTTTTTAGCGCCCTCTGCTGTCTATCTCGTAAACCTCTCCACTATACGACAGCCGCAGCCGCTGCAGCGTCTCTTCTGTCACCACCACCGGGACTGCCTGTCCTCATAGGCAGTGTTTACAGCAATAAACTGTCACACACGAAAAGCGACGACCTGCTGTCAAAATGGTAAGTCTGAATCTTATCCATGTCCGGGTGACAGTGTATTTTAACCATTTGTAATATATAAATCGAGCTGTGAGCCACTCCACTTAATAACCTTCATGTTTAACTGTTGTAGTTTTAATGCGAGAACTTGCCACAGAGCCACGCAGGTGTAGGTGAAAGGGTGTTTTTTGGGGATGCTAGGCGGTGTTTGGTGATCAGATAGCGGCTCTGTATGTGCTTAGCTCGGTCATACGCAGCAGCAGCAGCAGACAGCTGATAAAGCGGCAGGGCTGTGGCCTGAACTGCATGGCCCGCTCCGCTTCACTGTGACGTTCGTAGCAAAGCCTCAGCTATGAAGGCACTGCTGTCGCATGACTGCAGAAATATCATGTTTATATAGGCTACTGCGAGAGGAGACACATGGACCTTATGGTTTATACATGTATTTGTAAAGTGCAGGTAGGAGTTAGAGAAACTGCGTCACAATCACGCCACATGTCATAGAAGGGACAATGAAAATATAGTCTTTAAGAAATGTATTTCAGAACAGAAATGGAGACCTGAATATTCAAAAAGAGTGGTTTTGGTCACTATTTGTCCACTATAAGTGCGTGGACATCCTAAATATGACATATGAGAGTTGAATTCGATATTATTGGTGACCTGAGAATAATGCTGAAGACATAATGTTAATTGTTAAATATGTAATCCCGCTTATTTTTCCTCCATATTAATGATTTACTTATAAATACTTAGTTTATGGCCACATTTCTCTAGCAGATTTACTTAAAATGTTCACACTTTATGTCAGATCTTCAAAGTTTTTGTTATGTTCAGTCCCTTAGGATTTAATCTGTGTCTATTAGACTTTAATATAAACAATTTAAGATGAATTGGAGGTGAGGAATGTAGATTTTTTTACTCCCTCGTGACTGTGAATTGGTACAGCTTGACCCACTCTGCAGAGGCATGAGTGGTGACTCAGTAGTTTGTGGTCTGTTGCATACTGAGGCACCAGGAGTTAAAGTCTTCATGCGTTGCCCTAACTCCTCACTGATGGATTCAGTTACCAGCATGTCTTCTTTTTATAACTCTTCTTGGAATGAGATCTGGTAGTGGATATAAATAAACGACTGCTACTGATTAATAAAACCAGCTTCTAACAGCAGGATGTAAATGAATTAATGTAACCTCTCACCTCAGGTGAACTTCACTGTGGATCAGATCCGTGCCATCATGGACAAAAAGTCCAACATCAGGAACATGTCCGTGATCGCCCACGTGGATCATGGGAAATCCACTCTGACGGACTCGCTGGTGTCCAAGGCGGGGATCATTGCTTCAGCCCGGGCTGGAGAGACCCGCTTCACAGACACACGCAAAGACGAGCAGGAGCGCTGCATCACCATCAAATCAACGTATGTGCAGGACAGCTGTGGGTTAAAGAAAAGCTGTCTGTTTTTAGCAGTGGATTAAAGGTCACAGTTTTCAAAACTCATACATAGTTTAGTTAGAAAAATATTCATAAAAGGCCTTTTTTCTTGAATGTGAAGAAAAAATGTGTCAAAAAGAGTGTAAACCTCGAATACTTAACACCACCGAGGCTGTAAAGGTACAACTTGATCATATTGATTCATGACAGCTTTGAGTCTTATCAGGGTGAGCATGCCTGCCTCGAGCTAGTGAAAGAGGAATTTATTATTGAAATAAGACATAAAAGTGGCATTCCTTTAACAGAAAACAGTGCTGACAGGTCAAACAATTCCACCATTTATAGTAAGAAAAAAAGATTTTCGGGCCTTTCTCTTACAACGTGACCTTTTGTTGTTTTTCCACCAAATGACTCAGCACATCTTACCCAAGTCTACCAGGGAGACAAACCTCAGAAAAACAACACAAATACAAATATGTTATTGAGTTTGATATATGGCATTATCTGAGAAAACGAGACTTGTTAGATTCACATGAGAAAATATTTTATTTTAAATATATCCTGCCATTAAGCTCACAGTGGTATAATATACAGTTAATAACAAAGAAAATAAAGTGCCTTCTTGGTCTGAGTTGTACATGGATGTCACATGCATTACAGATGCAGTGTGTAGTATTTAGCAAGAATGGAGAATGTATTCATAAGAAGGTTTTTGAGTTAAATGTATTTGTAATCACCTGAAAATAGAATTTTTTTTTATTGACTTAAAATGAGCTCTTGGTATAAACATACATTCATCGTAAAGAATGCACAAATTAGACTAATATTCCTTTTGTGTTGATTTAGTGGTCATTCAAAAACACAGTCGCTGGTATGTTTTTACAGATAGAAGTTTTTAATTGTAAAAATGTGACTCATGGAGAATCATACTTATTATGTAGCTTTGCAGAGTGAGTGTTTTAATTTAGAATCTGACTGCAAGACTGCTAGATGTTCTCATTTCTACACACTGTACCCTCAGTATGTAATTATTTGATGCTTCTACTGTCTCTGGTCTGACAGTAAAAATAAATCGGTTGGTTTGTTATCACAGTATTTGTTTTTCAGGTGGTGGAATTAGAATGTAGCTCCTAAAACAAAAGTTCCCGAGAGCCTTTTTTTGCAGTTGTTTAAAGTCCCATTCTCTGACATACACTCAGCAATAGTGTTTCCACATTTAAACGAATGCACCAGCACTGATATTTGCTGAAACCTCTCTAGTACAGCTGTTGCGTTTGAAAGAGAAACTCTCCACTCAGCATGTCTGCCCTATCAAAGGAGCAGCTGACTCATTACAGACCCGGTTTAATGACTTACTATAGAACTTCATCCGGTTGAATTTTATTTTATCCATCCTCTATGTAAGAATGTGCTAGCTTTTCACTGCCTCCTCTCTGTTTTCAGGGCCATCTCTATGTACTATGAGCTCGGGGAGAACGACCTGGCGTTTATCAAGCAGTGTAAGGATGGGAACGGTTTCCTTATCAACCTCATTGATTCTCCAGGTCATGTTGACTTCTCCTCTGAGGTCACTGCTGCCCTTAGGGTCACTGACGGAGCCTTAGTAGTGGTCGACTGTGTCTCAGGTAATTAAATAAATGACATAATTACCCTCCAAATCCTTTAAACACATTCTGTATACCTGTATACTCACCTGATTGATTCCTCTGACAGGTGTGTGTGTGCAGACTGAGACAGTTCTGCGACAGGCCATCGCTGAACGTATCAAACCAGTCCTGATGATGAATAAGATGGACAGGGCTCTCCTCGAGCTGCAGCTGAAGGAGGATGAGCTCTACGCAACCTTTCAGCGTATTGTGGAGAACGTCAACGTCATTATCTCCACCTATGGAGAGGATGAGGGGGGACCCATGGGGAATATCATGGTGAGGCAGATGTTCAATCACCACTTTGAGACAAACAGATATGTTTACATTCCTGTTTTTAAATGTTGCTGTAAGTGTAATATTTTGAAACTCTTCAAACTCACCCTCTTAGATTGATCCGGTCATCGGCACAGTCGGGTTCGGCTCTGGCCTCCATGGCTGGGCTTTCACCTTAAAGCAGTTTGCTGAGATGTACGTGGCGAAGTTCACAAAAGGAGAATCTAAGCTTGGGCCGGCAGAGAGGTGTAAAAAGGTGGAAGACATGATGAAGAAACTATGGGGAGACAGGTAAACAAAGCAGATAAACTCAAAGTTTTTCATCTCTGTTAAAATGTACTCTAATGCCTCCATATGAGCTACTTAACCCAAAAACAAGACCATCAGGTTTTGTTCTAGAGAGTGGCTTTCTGTGATAGACAAGTTTAGAGAAAGATAACTTACAAGGATAGTGACTCACAATCCCTGTGCAGCCTACCCTTCCAAAACACAAGATGGCGACATCCAAAATGTGAAAGTAAGGCCTTCAAAATGAGAGTTCACAAAGAGGGATGCCATAGTACCTACATTCACCTCCGTAATGATGTTTTTTTAAAGTTCTTATAAGGAGTTTTTTCATTTTTACAAAACAGACTGAATTTCACATCGATGCCTTTTCATGATATCTAAAGGCAAACAAGACTATAAGTAACCAGGTTAAAAAACACCAGAATGCATTCCAGATAAGGCTACAGAACAGTATAAAACTAGTAAAGAACATTAGATACATTCACAGTGACATTGACAGTACAACATTGAACTATTGAAAAGCCTAAAGCATGAGGCAAGCTCATTCAAAATGCACCATTCATGCAACGAACAAGTCAAAGTGCTTTACAGAGTTCAAAACAAAACAACAATAACAAAACAAAGTGAAGCAACTACACAATAATCACTATGTAGTACACACCACTCACAATGACATCAAGTTCACTGTCCTTCCACTTTAGAGCCAGGTGTGGTCAGAGGTCTGCTCTGTTGCACCTGTAACTACACCAGATGGTAAAGTCAGAGAGTAAAGACAGCTGGAGATTTTGAAGTCCTCACAAAAACCCAGAAAGTTCCACTGTTTCAACAGCATTTATCACACATTTACATCTCAATTAGCCTATGATCAGTTTGTCATGACTTCATGCTGTTATTTATTTGTACAGATATTTTGACCCAAGTGCCGGCAAGTTCAGTAAGTCTGCTACCAGTCCTGATGGCAAAAAGCTTCCCCGCACCTTCTGCCAGCTTGTTTTGGATCCCATCTTCAAGGTAAATGGAGAAAAAAATGCCAGTGCCCATCATTCATAGGTTAACACGTTCAGTGCTTCACATTTCTGATCTCTGTGTTCATGAATAAAATGTATGTAAAATGTAGAAATGTATTCGAAGCACTCAGATGTAGAACTTTGAGCTGCTCTGATCCTGGCACATAATTCATTAAAATCATGCTGTAATAGAAATAATATTTGTACAGCCTGGAAAACTCTTCAAACTAGTTTGTTCTAGTAATGTCCAATTTCTCTTCAAATATGGCCATCAAATAAAGATCACAAAGTTGACATAGATTTGTAGACAAAGAGATGATTTAAGTAGGGTTTGATATCAAGAGAATACTTGGACTCTGGGTTATTCCTCCCACTCTCCTCGTAGGTGTTTGATGCCATCATGAATTTTAAGAAGGAAGAGACAGCCAAACTCATTGAGAAGCTGGATGTCAAACTGGACGCAGACGATAAAGAGAAAGAGGGGAAGCCCCTGCTGAAGGCCGTAATGCGTCGCTGGCTGCCTGCCGGAGAGGCTCTGCTCCAGATGATCACCATCCACCTGCCGTCTCCCGTCACTGCACAGAAATACCGCTGTGAGCTGCTGTATGAAGGGCCGGGAGATGACGAGGCTGCTATGGGTCAGTGGAACATTTTCACACCATCACACACTTCAACTTTCTGGAGAAAAAAATGAGAAATAAAAAAGTTTTCCCGTTATAAAGTTATATAATTAGTAAGCTTTAACTTGCTTACCATCTGTGCCGTCTTCTCAGGCATCAAGAACTGCGATCCTAAGGCTCCTCTGATGATGTACATTTCTAAGATGGTCCCCACCAGTGACAAAGGTCGTTTCTACGCATTTGGTCGTGTCTTCTCTGGCTGTGTGTCCACTGGCCTGAAGGTGCGCATCATGGGACCGAACTTCACCCCTGGCAAGAAGGAGGATCTTTACATCAAACCTATTCAGAGGTTAGCAAACCACCACGCTGACAAAATAGACAAGTCCTTCTTCCTGCCTTTCTTTCACCCTTACCTTCTTTGCACATCATTTTGTCTGTCCATACAGAACCATTCTGATGATGGGCCGGTATGTGGAGCCTATTGAGGATGTCCCATGTGGCAACATCGTGGGTCTCGTTGGAGTTGACCAGTACTTGGTTAAGACAGGAACCATCACCACATATGAACAAGTAATGTACTTCTTTTTTCTCTCTTTAGTAGACCACAGATCAAGAACAAACTCAATAAGTCTCATGACTTGTCTCTCTGTTCACAGTCCCACAACATGAGGGTGATGAAGTTCAGTGTGAGCCCTGTGGTTCGGGTCGCTGTGGAGGCCAAGAACCCTGCTGACCTGCCAAAGCTGGTGGAGGGTCTGAAGCGACTGGCCAAGTCTGACCCCATGGTGCAGTGCATCATTGAAGAGTCTGGAGAGCATATCATTGCAGGAGCAGGAGAGCTCCACCTAGAGATCTGCCTCAAGGACCTGGAGGAAGACCATGCCTGCATTCCACTGAAGGTGAGACAAGAGGAACAGAGGAGCATGGTGTTATCTTCTTAGAGGCTCTGCAGGGAGTTATATGGCCATACATCATGATGTACAGTAGACTTTAAAGAGGAAAGAAGAAATCTTATTGAGTTATTAATCTGACTCTCTTTTGACCCCCCTTCCTCTTCTCTCTCCCTCCAGAAATCAGACCCAGTTGTGTCTTACAGGGAGACAGTAGCAGAGGAATCAGACCAGATGTGTCTGTCCAAATCCCCAAACAAGCATAATCGTCTCTTCCTGAAGGCCCGTCCTTTCCCTGACGGCCTGGCTGAAGACATCGAGAAGGGGGAGGTCACTAATCGACAGGAGCTCAAGGCTCGCGCTCGTTACCTTGCTGAAAAATATGAGTGGGAGGTGACAGAAGCCAGGAAGATCTGGTGCTTTGGTCCTGATGGCAGCGGGGCCAACCTGCTGATTGATGTAACAAAAGGGGTCCAGTACCTCAATGAGATCAAGGACAGCGTGGTGGCTGGTTTCCAGTGGGCGACCAAAGAGGTGGGCTGCACTACAGTGACTGCGGTTGGTTCTGATTGTTTGTGCGTTTGTCATAGTCCCGAGAATAACCTTGCAGTTCTTATCTTCTTCCTGTAGGGGGCTCTATGTGAGGAGAATATGCGTGCTATTCGTTTTGATATTCATGACGTGACGCTCCACGCAGACGCCATCCACCGTGGTGGAGGACAGATTATCCCCACAGCCCGCAGAGTCCTGTACGCCTGCCAGCTCACTGCTCAGCCACGACTCATGGAGCCGGTTTACCTGGTGGAGATCCAGGTGTGTAGGAGACAAAAGTACCTGCAGAAATGATCTTTAAAACTGAAGAGTTAAACATCTGCAAAAGTTTGAAGGGATTTTAGCTACAACTTCAGGTTTTAAAATGAATTTCTTATCACTTAAGTATTTAATTATGCATTTTATCGATCGACATGAATCCATCCACACTTTCAAACCACATCTGACCTCTGTGCCTCTTGTCTGTGCAGTGCCCGGAGCAGGTGGTTGGTGGGATTTACGGTGTGCTGAACAGGAAGCGAGGTCATGTGTTTGAAGAGTCCCAGGTGATGGGAACTCCCATGTTCGTGGTGAAAGCCTACCTCCCTGTTAACGAGTCCTTTGGTGAGTTTGGGTGTCAGCCTGCACTGGATGATATCTAGTGGGGTCTGGCTCTTGCTCTTCTATACTTTTAACGCTTAATCTAAGTTTGATCACAGCGTTTAATTTTAAACTGATGTCCTTTTTTTTCTTGTAAAATATTCCATCAGAAGAGACTGCTACACAAATTCAAAGTTTAAATGAGATCTTGGGAGCATTTTAGTAAAAGGATCCCAATTTTCAGTTTTGTAATACATATATTTTCTTAATGGTGGAAATACTGTGAAACTCTAAAGCTCCAGAGTTTTTGAACTCAGACATCATTACCTAATGCATAAGGCTTAAAGTATGAAGCTATTCCACTTAAACAAAAAAAAAAACCTGTATATTTCTTTTCATTTACAACACAATCAAGGTCACGGACAGGAACATTTTGATTGTCTTATTCTTTCTTACTTTCAGGATTCACAGCTGACCTGCGCAGTAACACCGGAGGGCAGGCTTTTCCTCAGTGTGTGTTTGATCACTGGCAGATCCTCCAAGGAGACCCCAGTGACCCTAACAGCAGACCCTGTGAGGTCATTGCTGAAATTAGGAAACGTAAAGGTCTGAAGGAGGGTATTCCAGCTCTTGACAACTACTTGGACAAACTGTAAACACTGACCCTGGATTATAAAATACCAAAACAATCTCCAAACCCTACCCCATGGGCACTTTAATATCTTTGCACAGGCTTAAAGATACATTGCACAAAATTGTTTTGACTTTGAGTCCGGAGCTGAAACAAAGTGAAGCCTTTGTTGTTAGCTAATGAAAGCAACAATGCTTTTTCATTTCACAGCTACAGTACACCAAGTGCCTAGGGTGAGGGTTTTGGGGTGCAATTAGATCAACGTTTTCCTTGTTTCTTCTATTTCTCCACATTATCCCCATCCCCTACCGCTCATCTGCCAGGATGGGCCTGTACAGTGCACTGTGATACTGCTGCTGCAATAATGCATATTTAAAGGGATCATGGCCAGATTCAAACATGGAAACAACAATAAAGTGTTACAGAAGTCAAACTCCCTGGATTGGACCTTTGTTCAGTGGGTGTAATTAATAAAAAGATTCAACTCGTGATTGAATTGTGACTTATTTCTCTAGCTGGCTTATAAGGAATAATTCCTCAATTGTTTGCACGCTGGTGGTGAGTTAGTTGGAAACACCACAATATGAAAGACAGAAAAAGGAGCTACCTGGCTGAGGTTCACATATGTAATTTACAAACTATTAGTTTTTATATAACCAATGAAAAACAGCTTATTGTAGATGGGATCTGTCCAACAGTACCTGAATCTACTTATGCACAACCTCAGAGCACACAGGTCATCAATAAATTAGTCGCCAAAAATTGTGGAAATATGAAAACAACAATAAACTGTTTTATAGTGATTGTTTTCCACTGCAAGCCGCTCCACAAGTTCCCTAAAGTACTGAATAATAATGCATCAGATTTCATAAAGCGCTTTATCAGAGACCCTCAGAGCGCTTTACATTGGAAACATCATTCATTCGCTCACACAGTCACACCTTTGTGGTGCTAAACTACCTTAGTAGTCACAGCTGCCCTGAGGCAGGCTGACAGTTTGCACCCGCAGCCTCTCCCACCACCACACAACTCTCACGATCATACACCAGTGGAGGACACACACTGGGAGCAAGGTGGGTTAAGTGTCTTGCCCAAGGACACAACTGCCAGACTCAGGATAGGGGGGGAATCAAATCACCAACCTTCCAATTATTGGATGACCGCTCTACCTCCCGAGCTACTGCCACCCTTGATACAAGAGGAAGTGTTTATAATTGTATATGGATGAATGAATGAATGCAAAAATGTCAGAGAATCTAAAATACCATGAACTAAAAGCAGCGCTAGAGAGTAGTTTTTTTTCTTGCTAATATTCAAATATTTTCTGTATAATTATTCAGTCCTCTCACGATGATCATGCTCTGATGTGTCTTAGTATCAATATTACACTTAAACATCAGTTCATTCATAAGGAAACAGCTGCTTTTTTTTCCAGCCTTAAAACTTAAGCATGGCAAATCCTGACATTAATTTCCTTGAATGAAAAACGGCACCATAGTTCTTTTTCCTCACTCTTTAATCAATAGTTATTTCAAGTTACATATTTAATGTTAATAAATGCCACTTTAATATACAACCCTTGAATTCTGCACCAAGAGAGAAATCTCTTGCCCACACTTTTTAAAACAAAGCTTAAAAGAAACATATTTTCAGAGTTAGTGTGCATCCATAGAACAACCAAATTAACATATGCAAGGCCGAGAAGTGCAAGGTATCTTGAGTATAGGCAACTACCAAGCAAGGACACAAGATATCACAGGTTGTACTGTATGTAGAAACCCGAAAAACTTCTTACCATAATCATGGTGTTTAGCCTAAACTGAAAGGTTCAAGTTCGCCAAGAGTCCATTAAGCCTATGAGTCTATGAAACTTACATCTCACGAAGAATTGGGTGAAATGCTGCTCTCTACTCAGCAGTGATGAGGATCTTGTCTTGGCAAATCAGATTTTCTGTACATTCATACAGTTGCAACTCTCTTTTGCTCTAATGCTGTGGAATACAGGAAAGGGAAATGTACAGCTTAAGGAGAATTCAGTGTCAAGTTCTATACTTCGATCCACAGCGATGACATTGAAACTGTGAATTTTCAGAGGGGCTCCTACCTCCTTCTCCTCCTCCTCTCCTTCCCCTGTGGAGTCACTTATAGTCATGTCTGATTGAGAGGCTGACATTAATACGACAAAGGGACATGGGAAGCCAGCAGAAAGAGAGAGACAGCATCCCAAATGATGAGCTAAGCCCCATGTAGTGACCTACATCGCTTAAATGCTACTTGACCTCCCACATGGTCAAAATTAGTTCACTACATGGAGGGAGCAGTATGTCTGAGAGTTTGAGTCCCCAGTGCGGCTGCTGAGGTGTGGCCCCATGCTGGTGTCAGGCTCTCGTCACATTTGATGGAAGATCGTTGGAACATGAGGGGCGACTATGTGTAGAAGATCACCTCGGGAATCTGTCCGTCCTCTACTGAAGTGCCGTTGTTGTTGCCTGCTGCGTAGCAGAATGTGAAACACGTCTTTGTGCCTGTGGATGACGACTCGTGTGTTACCTTCCGCATGCCCTTCGTGCCGTAATGAGAGTCCGGGCCCTGAAGGACAGACAGAGAGTTTATTCAAATCAGTTCAGATGAATTTACTAATTCCTCTGGGGGTGTGTTGTAAAAAAACTTATACAAACCTAGATATTTAAAGATAAGAACTATGCATAATAGTTTAACATAAAATGAGCTTTAAATAAACACTGATGTTAAGCAAATGGATAAATACAATTCACAGGCAAATCTGGTGTGCAACTATTTCAACTTTCTAAAATTTACATCATGTAAGAAAAAAAATCTTTTACTTCATGCTCTCAACTCTTTAGTTTTTTTGTCTCACAAATTAATTAATTTAAATCGTTGGACTGTTGTTTAGGACCTTAATGCTGTATGAAAATTTAAAGTTTTGTCAACATTATTATGGACAAGAACCAATTAAAAAAACAAACTTAGTTGCTTTTCCCCACAACATACCTTCAGTGTAGCGCAGGCAGTGTAATTGACGTTGGGTAATATCTCCACTGGCTCTTTGAACATGACTCTGAAGGTGTTGGCTGACCCATCGCAGCTGAAGCCTGTGTCATTCTGACCCAGCACCGTGTTACTGTCTGTGTGAATGATCTGCATTGATGGGGAAAGATTGTTCAAAACACACACACATATTTGTTTAAGCATTCTTGCAACAAACACTCAAACAGGACACATATTTCTGAATGGTTTCGATCCTCACCTGTATGTTGACTTGGTAGTCTGTGGGCCCGTGTATAGAACCGTAGAGACCAAACCCAACCACAAATATCCTTCTGTTTACAGAGAACCTGAGAGAGAAAAACAAAACAGGAATTTATCAATGAGGAGAAGAGTACAAACTGTTTTCCAGTGATAAAAAAAGACCTGTTTTCACAGCTGACATTTTCATTTATTATATTGGGAAAAACTGTTTTCTGTGTGCTGCGGTGTAAATCTGCTCTGGTACGAATAAATGCTCCAGATTGACTTCTACAAAAATTTGCTTGAAAGTAGAAATGAGTCTAAATTTGTCCCCTAGCTTTTAAGTAACCAAGGTTTTTGAATAAGCTTTTGGTTAGATCCTGAAATGAGGCGGGCACCACAAGCTCTGGAGATTTTCATGACACTAATTCCCGACTCATGAGTTCAGATCATGTGTATTGAAAAAAGTGCTAGCAGAAAGTTGGCTAAATGGGACTTTACAGTCTGTCAGGGACATTAAACATAATCACATTAAACCAAACAATAAAATCAAATAAACAAGTTAGCAGAGCTTGAATTTGAGGGTGTTATCAAAAGTTTTTTAGTTCTAGACGTGTGTTCACAGTTACAATCAAAGTAGAGCTCATTTGTTAAGGTTGTTTTACAGAAACAATATGTGGTATTACAATCTTTTGCATGCCACAGAGCTTATGACCTGCACTAATCTAAAAACCCATGAAGAAATCCTGTTGGCTTTTCATTGAGGGAATCAAAGTGGTGTTCGGTTAAATCAATCCAAACAGACATACTTCCTAGTTCCTAGCCCTTTAAACACTTGAACTCCTGACAATGTCTTGATTATTTTTGTTGATTAAGGCCCTGATTTTTCCAGGAACCCACTGTTCACACATTAACCTCACAGCTGGACATTATCCATCACATTCCTGTAACTTGAAAAACACTTAGTGGTGAAAGCGGTTGGGGTGAGTGTCAGCTGGGCAGTGTGTACACAAGGAGGCATCATCTTCTGTCATGGTATCCTTTTCTGGATTTATATCACTGAAGCTGTTACAGGGTTTTTGTGCACGACAAACAACAGCTGAAAACTCTGCTCATGTGAAAATATACAAAACTGAGGAACAGGGCTTAAAGTTGTTGCCCTGCCTTCTTGCTTTGGGTGAATGCTCCAGGCATTACTGTTGAATGTGTTCACACATTGACTCACCCTGACTTAACGCACACTTATCAAGGGGCAGCCAGCAAATTCAGCCGTTTGCATTCACACATGCAGCCAAACTAGATGTGGTCAGGAATTCTTTAAGAAAGCATTGCATGTGCTAAAGAGTCTAATGATTGCATGATCTATCAAGGCTTTTGACATCATGTCAACAAAGTCTGACACCCTGTTTTGTGTTCCTTAATGATAGCTAGACATGAATCATTTTAAGGGTTCTGACAAAATGGGTTCTCTTAATGAGAATAATAATAAGATAATGGGGACCTTGATGGGCACACTATGGGTATAATGTAGGTATATATTTTCCATATGGGCATGGAAGTGCTATTGTTTGGTTTCTTACAAACTAATCGACTGAGTATATAAATGTCTTTGTCCTCAGTGTAAGTGTCAGTGAAGCAAGGAAAGTGCAAATGCAGCCATGCTTTCTACTCCAAAAGAGTCATTTGTTTTGCTTTATCATGCTAAGCTTTAAGTCTATCATTGTGCAACGCAAAATACTAACTGATTTTGAACTGATTATGCCTTGAAATCTAATTATTACCAAAGTCTATCTATGTAATTAAAAATGTAAAATAAAGTCTGCACTTCTGTCAGACTGCTCTGTTCCTCACTCACCGAATGCGGTCGCTTGTCCCACTGTAACCCCAGCGGCTCTCCACCTGTCCGAAACGTGTGATACTGCACTCTTTTCCGCGGAGGCAACAGCGAGGCCGGTCGATGAAATCTACACGAGGCTTTGGGTTTACTGTGAAGTGGAGGAAGAGACTCACCACCTCTCGGTCAGTCAGAATACTGGACTGGGCTGGACCTGAAGGGAACAATGGCAAGAACTTGAGTTGTGAAAGGATGTGTTTTTAAATAAACAGAGCATGTATGGCAGGGAAATACGGTGTTGGCTTTATTGTGTCTATATTCACCTGCAGCAAACTCCTCAATAGTCATGAGTGGAAAGCGGATAAGTGTGAGAGCTTTCCCAAGGACCTTGCGCTTGTTTTCAGGTGTGGGCTGCAGCTGCTGCCTGTGAGCTTCTGCCTCTGCCCAACGCACTGCAGCACCAAACAAACGTACCTCCCTCACCCCGAGAGTATCCCTCTCCAACACTGCCACCAACGTATCTGCAGGGTGAGAGATAAGCATATGTAACAGCTGGGCACGCTAGAGAACAACATGTAATCATGATGAGGACAAGGCAGAATTACCCAAGTCTATGTCTGTGAAGCCTTCAGCAGCAAGAGCATCTCCAGTGTTCTTATCAATGTTTTCTAAACAGAGGCTCGCAAGCTGAGGTTCATCAAACAACCGGGCCTGAAACAAAAACACACTCAAGTTTAAAGAACAGTTTTTAAAACATGCTTTTTTACAAATCTAAAACTCCAGATGAAAGATAAACACATTATGAATCTATGAGCAGGGCTTGGTCCTCAATTGATAACTCTCAATTCTTCATCCGACCACAGACCAAAATGTGTCCAGTGCTCCAAGTGTCAGTATATGACAAGCGCTGAGTGTCAGCTGTTCTTTTTCTCCATCTGATAGGATAGTTTCCTTTTTAAACCAGGACTTTGTAACTTTTAGATTTTTTTATTGGGACGAGGCGATTTGTTGCCATTTGTATAAAATTTGAAAACTTGATGTTCTTTTGCAGAGGATGAATATTGTGTCAAACATGTTAATATTTCTCATGGGGATGTACTAGATGTGCTGTGACAGTATTGTTTTGGTGATGTTAATGCAGTTGTTAAAGCACAGGTCACATTTCAGTTTGAAGATTGAAAAAGTTTAGCTGTTTTGCTCAGCTTTGCAGTTCAGGCACACCCCAGTGATCAACCCTGAGGGCAGTGGAATTAGGAGCTGCAGTTTTCTGCTGTATGAATAGGTGTTGAAAAGGAGACAGTAAAAGCAGTTCTACAGACTGATCAGCAAATAACGTCCCCAGTAAGTAATCATGAGTGTTGGGAGACAGACCTGTGTGAGCAGCATGAAAGCATTGTCAGCTCTCAGATTCTTCTTGAGGAACTCCACACAGTGAGCCTCCAAGGCTGGAACTGCGTACTTTTTAGCTGTATACAGCGTAGTCATCACTGTTTCTGGACCGATCTGGACTTCATCAGAGTAGAGAAACCTGCAGGATGTACAAAGTTAACATAAGACATTACCATTTTAATCAGGGTCAAACACATTGTAACACCGAGATAGACACCCCGTCAAGAGATGAATGTTGCCGACTGCTTGCTTCTCTAGTTTTACCAACTTTAGCAACGACCGCAGATAGCAATACAGAAAGCCACGCGCTCAACCAAAATGCCACTCTATAGCCATAAACAATGCTCAGAACAGCACCTAACTTCATCAACAGTACATATAGGGTCCCAGCCATAGTACTAGCCACCAAACATCTTTTTAACTTTGCCTTTATTTCTTGTTTCACACAACTCACCCTCTCTTCCAGCAGCTGATTGTTTGTACGGAGACCTCTGGGTGAGTCCATTGAGACGCAGCTCAAGGAAGAACATTTCTGATCATTTCTTCATGGAAATGCAATCAGACCGAGATGCTAAGACAGAAGAACTACTGCGTCTGCAGTGCAAAACAATTAATGATGATTATTACTTCAAGGAAATGATAAAGTAATGATCATAAATGTTCTTCCTCGGGCTGCGTCACCCCTGTTGCACTCAATGGACTCGCCTGGAGGTCTCCGTACAAACAAGCGGCTGCTGGAAGAGAGTAGGTGAGTTGTGTGAAACAAGAAATCAGTCAAAGCTAAAAAGATGTTTGGTGGCTAGTACTATGGCTGGGACCCTATATGTACTGTACTATTATTATTATATATGTATATGTACTATTGACCCTAACTGAGTTTTATGCTGGAATATCCCTTCAACACTCCTGTAAACAGTGGTTCTCATCCTTTTTTGGTTTAATCTCAAACTAAGATGATCAAACTATGAAAATAATCCATTAACTATGAAACATTTAATAATTTTACTGAGAATCCAATTATCAATAATTCAGAGACAAATAAAAGTGATTTATGTGAAAATCTGTATATGTCTGTGCATAATATTATAACCACCTGGGCACTCTTAACACAATACAATACAACAGGTTTGATGCAATTTCTACTGTCAAGATGCTACTTTAATGTGGTTGTTATGATCCCATAGGTGATTAATAAACTTTAGATTTGTTATTGAAGACAGTTGTTGATGACAGTGTTTTGGATTGTGTGTTATTTTGGAAAGTGTTCCTAATAACAGAGATTTGTTGTGAATAATTTTTTGACAGATGCTATTCTTGCAACACAGAACACTGAAATTTACTACCTACCATTTTAACGTTGCATTGCTGTAAATAGTTGTTCTTCTTCTTATGTGGGTATTGCAAGGAAATTGTATTGAAGTGCACGGCTACTTCGAGCACTTGCAGATCTATAGATAACTAACCCGCTTTCTGACAGTGACACAGACAGCACTTACTTCAGGAGAGCTAGAAAAGCAGCTGGTTCCACATCAGGAAGCTCGATTTCTGTTGAGGTGGTCGCCATACCGCCGTTAAACATGGCATCAAACACTGCGCTCCCCACAGCCAGAACAAACCTGACAGAGTCAAGAGTCAACAGTTCAGCGTTTCCGCGTCACGTTGCAGAGCGAGATACACAGCTGGCGTTTTAAGGTTTGTGCACATAATGCTCTTACCTGTGCGCAGGTATCCTCTGAACCCCCATTCCTTTGCCCACTAAGAAATGAACGTCACTGAGCACCTCGTTGTTGAAGAGGAAGGCGAACCTCTCCTTCACGGTGCTCTTCGTCGCCTGCCAGTTGTACACCGGCTCTCGGTACACCAGCACTGACGCAGCTGCCGGGGTGGCGGTCGGTGCTGCCGCCTGGGGAGCGTTCGACGCTGCGGTGGTTGCCATGTTGGACGCCGGGGTGGCCATAGCTCCACCTGCCGCAGCACCTGCCGCAGCGGACTGCTGCAGGGAGTTCTGCGCAGTCGGTGGGGCTCCGGTCGAAACACCGTTGCTGTCTCCCCCGCCAGGCCCCAGTTGCGGGTTGGGACGCCTGGCGGCTCCCTGTGCTCCCCCAGCCGCTCCGACCGCACCGCCGTTTGTTGCTGGCATGGAGAAAACGCTGTTGCTTGGCTGGCTGTTTCCCAAAGGACCCGGACCAGAGAAATTAAGGCAAGGAGGCCTGCCGCTGTTGTCCCCAGCAGCCATCTTGAATCAAGCGTAGGCGTAAACAACGCACTTTATCGCGCGATTTAATTCTGGTAGTCGCACAGTCATCTAAGGCTCTTGCTGCCCTCTGGTGTTTATTGTTGATAGTACGAGGTGACATCCACCCTGAGCAAGGTATGACCATAGACTGTATATACAGTCTATGGGTAAGACTGTGTATCAAACACAGGTGTAAGCCAGGAAGTCTTCTTATCCATATGTTTTGGAATTGTGCAATTTGAAACAATTTTGGGATCACATCCTGGATTCATTATATTTAGTAGTACAATTTGCACTACTGCCTTATGGTCATCTTTATAGACTGTTTTTATTTATCCATTATTCAGTGTAAGTATTGTCACAGTATTACGTTAGTACATAACACAGTAGTATGTTTTATTAGGCTATCCCTAACTGCTGGAAATGAATGCATCGCAATATTGTGGAAAAGTGAAAACCCCACTTACTGCCTCGATGTGGCTTAGGGAAGTTGCATTATACACAGCCTCTGAAAAAAATATGTTCAAAATGAAAAAGAAACCCCATCTTTTTCACAAATGCTGGAATGACTTTAAAACATACCTGGATAACTTCTCACAGATAACTAGATGAGTACTGTCAATGGTTTAGTGGTGGTTGTTCATTGTAGCATATCTGCAGAAGTAGCTGTACTTTTCCATGGTCAATGTCTTGACCTTTGCTGCAATGTTTTTGCTGCAATCTTTTGTTTTAAATTTTATTTATTCAATTATTTAACTAATTTATTATTATTATTATTATTATTATTATTATTATTATTATTATTATTGGGATGTAGGTAAGTGTTGGCCTATGGGGTAGGTTCTGGGTGGGGGTGTGTGTGAAATTTGTAACTCTATTGTTGTTATGGAAGTTCTATACTGTTTATGAAAAAATGTTAATAAATAAACTGTTAAGAAAAAAAAAAAACAGTTGTAAGCCATATACCAACTAAATTCACTACGCTTGTGGGTAGTAGATAAGTAGCAGCAATCTGTCCCTCATGTCCACTTCTCCTTCACAAGTCCATTTTACTTCCCACACAACATGCAAAACCTTTAATTTATCATAACAGATTGCATAAACCTATGTATTTGTGCATAAGGATACATTTGTTAGATTTCAAAACAAAGATCTACTTCTATACTATCAAATAGGCCCTCTGCATATTTATATTTATCAGTTTAAGATATTTAATTTGCATTTTTTATGACTATAGCTTTGCAAGAAATAAAATAAAATCATACATTTTTTAAAATTTAAATTGTTTTAAAAAACTAAAAAGACAGAGTTGTGCCGTTGCAATTCAAGTGTTTGCATTAAACTGCGTTACCCTAAGGGCAACCAGACACAAGTCCTGTCACATGTTTAACTATTGCTTCACCATGTAAATTGTTTCCCAGATAAAGCTTTAGAGGCAACTAACAAGGGCATATAGAAAACAAATCACTTTAAAAAATACATTAAAAGTGCATTAAGTTTTTAAGAATGTTGGGGTCAGTGCCTTTGGTCTTAGTATTTTTTTATATGCTCTTTATTTTGCCTTTCGTACTAATGTATTTCCTTTTTGATTGGCTGTTGATTTGACAAGTACGGTGGCCGAGAACTGCCATTACTGCAAATAAAATAAAATAAAAAGATACAAAAAAATTACCAATGTAAAAAAAAAACGGTGCTGATTTTTTAAAGCCATAGCGGAAGTTAACAACACAAACACAAAAAGTGGCGATGCAAAAAAAAAAAAAAAAGTTACTTTCTGCGAAAATAAAAGGATGCAAATAAAAAAAAGCCAAAACGGAAGTGAGCTGCCGGGGACCAATAATGAAAAAAGCGAGGGATCTGCATACCTATTTCTATGAGTAGAGCAACCGAACTGTAAAGCTACTGAACTCGATTCTACTCTCGTGGGTGGTCTTTTGGGGCAGAGTGGGTTTCTTGGAGTAGTGTTTGCTGAAGCTAACACTACACCGGCATTCCTCCAGTTCAACTTTGTATGGACTAAGGCGCAACATGGCATTATATTATATACATTATATACAGTATAATGCACAGGCAGAGAAACAATATCTTTTAATATTTCAGGTCAATGATTCCACACCGCACTGTATAATGTTGTCTGTTGCTAACATGACTTTTTTATTCCATGTCACTTCAAAAACAATGAATGAAATTCCTCACCACCATCAGTGAGTGCGCTATACTGGGCAGGACAGGTTTGAGACAGCCCCATCCCAGCCCAGACTCTCTCTCCCTCTCTCTCTCTCTGCCTGCTACTCATCAACTCTGACGTCAGGGCGGCGCGGCGCGGTGGACTGCTCTCGCGCGGAGGGTGCTGCTGCTGCTACTGCTGAAACAAGATGGCTGTGCGCGCAGGAGGAGCAGCGGCGGCGGCGGAGCAAAGCTGAGGCAATGCAGAGGAGGACGGCGAGGGGGGCGAGGAATTCACTTCTTCTGTGTGTCCTGCCTGAAGAGCAACAGCTCCGCAAAAGACACAAGCGCTGACAAAATTATGCATTTCCGGGGACGGTCGGTTTAACGGGTTGACTCCAGTTGTATTTTTGTAACCAAGAGACGAGCGGACGGACCAAACAAATCCCGGAGCACTCAGTAGAGGACAGCCGGGGACGCTCACGCCGCTAACAGAGATGTCCCTGCTGTGTGTGGGAGGTAAGAGAGGAGATAAAGCCGGGGGAATTAAAGCTTCTGTCTGTGTCTGTGTGAGTGTTTGGTGTTGTTAAAGTATCACCTGCTCACGTGTAAACTGCAGCAGTAGTGTGACAGAGCCTGCGGGCGATCAGCTCCGTGGAAAAGTGTGTGTGTATCCCGAGCAGCGGAGCATTTGTGCTGAGCAGTCATTAAATCACACAGCGACCACTCCGCTTGTCTGAGCGCAAACACAACACCTTTGTACTTCTAACGCAACTGTGGCTGAATGACATGCAGGCCGGTGTGATATTTACTGTTTATCCTCTCATAAAGATGAATGAGTTATGATCACAGCCAAAAAAACACAGAGAGAGGCACAATTGTAAGAAGCCAGCCCAGTCGTGACTCTTCACATGAGCAAACATGCTGCGGGCTCGCTGAGTTTCTATAAATGTCTACAAGGAGGAGGTGATCCTGTGTTTCCTCCCTTGTTTAAGTGCTGTTGCGATTTCTGTGTGTCATCCACTCTGTTCATTCATGCGTGGGCAGTCAGAAAGGAGGAGGAGGCGGACGACGAGGAAAAGCCCCTGCCGTTTGCCGCTGCCGCACCGCCCACCGCCTCCGTTTTCGCCGCGCTGCTGTAGTCGTGAGGGAATACTCGTATTCAGCCGGAGGTGCAGCTCGTCACTCCTCATCGTTTTCCCTGTAGTGATGCGTCACCTCCTCCTCCTCCCAGACTCCCAGAAAGCACCTGATGCTTCTGTCACTGTTTCCTCCCAAATGCGATGAATAAGCATCTGCTGTGATTGCTCGTGAAGTCACACCACTTCCAGCATCACACATCCGAGACGCAGCCATGAGAAGGGATTCCTTCTTGGCTGTGCTCTGCTGTACGTATAGGCGTTTGGTGGAAAGATAGAGGATGAATTGGCGGTGCTGCAAGGTTTTGATTAGCTGTTTGTCCTCATTTGACACTACAGTATTCAGGAATCTGGTTGGAGCTGTAATAGACAAGGATTAAATAGTTAAGTTCATTGACCATTGTTGATCTTTGAGCTACTAAAATGACACAGTGAAAGCATAAAAATGATTGATCTGTGTAGAGTCCATCCTATCTAATCAGAGGACTTTTTCAGGCTTGCATGCCAGATTTTTTTAAATGTTGAGCTTTTTGTCTTAAAATTTTTGGGTTTGGAGCCAGGAGTTGCATAAAGAACATATGAAAGATACTTCTTTGACTCTTGAGATTTAGGGGGTGTTTATGCTTGAAACATGTTTCAGCAGATTAAGTAGTTTATTATTTGATGATCATTACGATCATTTATTATCACAACCACATGTAGTTCAAACCTGGGTTGAGATCATAAATATGTATTCTTTTGATAAAATAAGATACGCAGATGAGACACAAGACATGGGGTTTATCATAAGGAGAGCATGTCCTATTATGTTGGACATGTTTGGTTGGAAAAAAAAAAAATAATAAAATCACTGTCAGTAAACTAATCAGTCAGCTACTTTATTTACTGTTACTACAGCTACTGTTTCCTTATCTTGAGTCTTAAAATAGCGTTTCATCAGTGCGCACATTCCTGTTTCCACTAAATCAAGCCCTGTTTCTGTTGCGTTTAGATCGTGGGGTGGGAATGAGTAGATTTGGGTATTCTTTGTTTCTTTTACTCATTTTTCTGTGTAAAGCACTTTATGCTACATGGTTGTGTATGAAAAGTGCAATATAAATAAAGACTGATTGATTGATTGATTGATACTGTACGTTCATCTGATCAAGCTCTAGTAAGTAAAAGAGAGTGTTTAAGTATGCTGAAGCTGTAGCTGGTTACTGTAGGTGGAATGAAAATGAAACTTAAAAGCCTTTGAAAGTCACCTTTCTTACATTAGGCCTTTTGTGGATGCTGCCCCACCTCATCCGGTGGCGTCAGGTCCCCCACCTGACTATCCCTGCACTGAGTCAGTCCCCGATGTCATTACGACCCTGAGCGTGATTCATTCATAAATACCAACTGCGGCTGTCAGTGTCGTAGACTACGAGACTTGGCAGAGAGCCTTCTTTCTGTTCCTCTTACATCATTCATGCTTACCTGACTGGAGCTATTTCTGGCCTCCACAGTACTTTGTGCCTCTTGAATAGGCAGCATTTCTTCGGAGCATCTGCAGACAAAGCAAAATCCAGACCCAGATACAGCAAAAACACTTGGCTTACTTTCCTGCAGAGAGTCCTCGTTTATTTCCAAGACAAGTTTTTCACTGTCTTGATTTAGACCCTGAATGTGGGGGCCTAACGTCTCTGTCAGCAGTTGCAAAGACTGAACCGCAGATGTGGTCCTTTGGAATAAGATGCTGTCTGTCTGAATCATGTCAGCCCCACTTTTTTTTGTCACTTGATGGCTGAACTCTGCTCACCCACTGCCTCTTTTACATTCAAGTTGAAGGATTTGTTTGATTCCCTCTCGAGTTTCTGTTTCTTGGCAATCCGCTTAATTCCCATAAGTCAGAGTGTGCTGTGTCAGAAGTCTCTGCCAAAGAAAACGAAAGTTGCACAGAATTAACTGTGTGCTTCCTCTGATTAAAGAATGAAAAACACTTTGGTTTTTTATGTTCCTTGAAATAAGAGGGTGATAGATGGTTATATCTTTGACCTTGTTTTCTCAATCCCGCTTCTGCTTACACATAACCTACATTTCCCCGCATGATCTAAAGTTACAGCCCTTCACAGACTTAATGCGTGTGAGTAATAGGCACTTACATGTACTGTATTTGTATGTGTGTTGAGCTGTCTGCTTAGATCCATGCAGCTGTGACAAAATATTGTTTGCGGGGCTTGTGGATTGTAACTCACTCTGTCAGAGAGATTTATGATCGTGTGCTATTATTAAGCTTCAGCTTTCCACTGTCGAAAATCCAATTCCCTTTTTATTGATCCTCCTCCTGTGCTGATAGATTTCCAGGGCTGTTTTTAGTGTTGGCACTAAAACACAGCAAAAACCAGACTCTGATGTGGTCTGCCTAAACTATGTAGAGCACCGCTGAAAACATAGCCGTGTTCCTTCTGCAGTGTGTTGAATCGCTTTATTTTCTGTCTACAGCTTTATCTGCTTCAAAGACTGAACTGGATATCTGAAAGATGCTGGGCTGAAAGAGACTAAGTGTTTTTACACGATGTTGAGGTTGCTGAGATAAATATGTTTCATGATTAGTGTGCCGTATATAAGTCATGGCAGACAAGCTGCACATTTAACTTCAGCGTTTTAAATTAAAGGAGTACATTGTACATTTAAATCGACTAAAAAGTGCGTACATTGCTGACTCAGGATACTGTAACATAAATGTTTCCTTTTTGGGGTCACTATAGCGACTGACTCTGGTTTACATGGCTTGTGGAGAATATTTCAAGATGCTGGGCAATAAACTGAAAATTTACAGATATCGAAATTTTACAACAATAACCAACATTATTTTGCCCATATCGATATATATTCCGTGTCAAGAAAAATGAATAAATAAAAGTTGGTTTTGGATGTGTGTCGGTAGGCTATGGTCTCTTGTCCCTTTAAGACGCTGTCCTACGCCGGAGATGTGACTCCACCCCATCCAGTCTGTAACAAAGAAAGAAAGACAGGTGAGGAGATGGAGGACAGTTCAAAAGTTGCAGCGGCTGGAGCAGCAGCTGAAGTAGACAAAGTTAATGTGGGAGGGGGTGAGCAGATTGTGGAGTAGTTATCGTCCATTTATCGTTATCAAGGTGAACTTCTCAATTTTTCGTAATATTGATCTGAGGCTATATCGCCCAGCCCTAATACTGGTGCTCACATTGTGTTTCTCATAGGGCCGATTTAAGTGCCAGGTGGCTTACACAGCTATGTTTTGGATACACATGGGTACGATATGGTGTGCTTACACCTGCAGTGTAGAATTGGCATCTACTGGAGCATGTAGAGAGCAGCAGCAGGTATAGAGTTTTAAAGATGTATGTGTGAGATACGTCAAAGCTGGTATGAAAGTGCTGCAGAGAAAGAACTCCAACTGTGCACTGAGGAATCCTAAAACCCATCCTTTAAATGTCAAACAATGCAATAATAAAAGTCATGACTGGGCTCATGTTTGTTGATATTTTATATAATCATTGAAGCCAGTTAATTTACCTTCAATTTTGCATACATAGTTATGTCACACATGTAAATAAAGGAAAATAGGTCGTTTTTTTAATCTGTACTTGCTATGTTGTTCGTTTGTTGTCATTTAATCTTCCACACTGATGAGGCATAGAAAAGCTGCAAAGCTGCTCATGGTTTTTCAGCACTGTGTGTTTCTGTGTTTTGCCACTACACTTTTTGCTGAGAGAAAGGGTAGAGCACTGAACCTGCTGCATAGCTGCAATTTTAGCGATTTATGCAAACTGCCATTTACCGTGAGTACAGTATGTTTGCTCCGTATGCCAGTTGGTGGTTAGCATCCAATGTCCCAAGCTCTTGGTCAATGCAGCATTATACAGTAATTTCTAAGTGTTTATGGAGGTGTAGCTGTTTTATTTATCTCAGGGATACTTTTTTTTTTTGCCTGTTTGGTGTTTATAAAGAGAAACCGAGGATGCAGGAGCGTTCAAGAGTGCAAACAGATGGTGTTCCCATGTGTGACTTTGTCCCTCTCTGTGTTTCCACAGTGAAGAAAGCCAAGCTGGATGGACCCCAAGGTAAGACCAGGGATTCTGGAAATAAAAAGAGGTAGATCACACAGGGTGGAGAAACTCGCTGTTATGTGGCATAAATGTTTAAGCAGACTGCGGACACATCGCATGCTGCAGCTTTGAATGGAAATGAAGTGATCTGAAGTCAGTTACCCTGCAGAATGGGACGTCTAAATCTAACAGAGATTACACTTTGATTTTTTTAGATGTATGTTTCATTTTAACACATTTTTTTTCTTCACTTCTCCCTAATTAACAGAGAAGTTCAACACTTATGTGACCCTGAAGGTACAAAATGTGAAGAGCACAACCATTGCTGTCAGGGGCAACTTGCCCAGCTGGGAGCAAGACTTCATGTTGTAAGTCCTTCATCATTTTCACACAAAACTCTCTCTCTGTCTTTCTCTCCTACTTCTGTATCTCCCTCCCCTTTGCTTCTTCCTGTGTTCACCGCCCTCTCTTCAACTCTCCACTGTGGCTGAATGAGTTTTGTTTTTTTATCTCTTACTTTCCATCAACCAGCCTCCTTCCTTTCCTTTTAACTCCTCCATCTCAAGTGCCCTTTATCCCCGCATTGTTTCGCAAAGCTTTTCCTTTCCACATCTGCACCTCTGCCTACAACCACCACCTCAGTCTCTTTTTCATCCGCTCTCCCCTGACGCTCCTGTACTTCTCATCCTCCCTTTCAACCTTGGCTTCCTCCCAGTCCCTCTCCTCCATCTCTTCCTCTAAACACACATCCTTGATCTTTCTCTGCTCCTCCCTCCCTTATCTTCCTCCCCTTTCCCTTCCCAGCCTCACTTTCTCCCACATACTCTCCCTCCCTCTTTCCGGCTGTTTCTGCTCTATAGGCTTATTGAGCAGCATTTCAATCTCTAAAGTAGTCTGTTTTAACTCGTGTTTCCACAGAACAGTCATTCAAGCATTATACAACTCTCCCTATTCCTCATGCTGTGAGACCCAGTGCGGCATTGATAGTGTGGCAGTATATGGGCGGTGAATGCTGGGAATCATTTAGCATGTGGGATGCAGCGGGCGGGTTGACTGCGGAGTCCTCTGCATCTGTATGATGGTCGGAGGCGTTGAGCATTGTACTGGGGTTGCATCAGTGAAGCCCTGTTATGTAATGTTTGGGCTGCAGAGAGAACCTCATCCCTCCTCCAACACCGCCTTTAAATCAAACATCAGGTTTCCTAAAAGGAGTCACCACCGAGATGGGAAATCCAGCCCCCCTATTTCTTAATTAAAGTTCCCACTTTGTCCCTCCAGGCATGCGATACAATCACCTCCTCCACTGCCTTCATCACACTCCTCTTCTCCCTCCCTCTTTTCCCTCCTTCTTTCCCTCTCTCTCCCGCTCTTTTTCCTCTCTGTCCTGCTCCCCACTGTCTTGTAAATGTTTTATGTGAGATTCTCTCAGGTTCACTCCCTCAGAGATGTGTCTTGTAGTTGTCACAGTGAAGCTCACTCGTAATTACTGTGCATCTTGTGTGTGTTAGAGCATCAGTGTGTTTAGCATTCATCTTTAAACGGGGGTAGTACTCATGTCAGTAAATAAACCAATACAGATGAAAACAGTGAAAATAATATCAGCAAACTGTCCTTAAAGAATCCAAATATTTGTATAACGACGGCCCTTGTGACTGATGAATTATATACGACATTAATAGTTTGTTTGTACTGATGCGACAATGTGTAAATGCCATTAAACTGTTGGAGCTGGAAGAAGTAGAGATAAATTTGACTTCTTTATAAATTTGATAGTTTTTTTACCCCCTCTGGCTCCAGTAATATCAGGTAATGTGGAGGCACATATAAAATCTTGATTATTTTACCTCTTTGGCGTTAAATGACAACCTAAATAAATCACAGCAGAAGTGAAGGATTCATTTCTTAAGTTTGTTGTTTGTTATTCTGTATTGCTGTAAATCAAATATAAAGGATGAAAAATGAGGTATTCCCTCTACAATGAGGAAATTTAAAGCAAACCCTGGCTAATTCCTGAGTTATTATATTTATAGTGATGCTAGTTTTATCAACTTTTGTGATAGTTTATATCTAAGTCCTTTTATGTGTGGCTTACGCAATAATAATCAACAGTTATGATGATATAAATGTACTTCGAAAGCTTGATTAAAAAAAAAAAAACTTTTGAGAGAATATGTCATCCACCTAATAGTGATACTTTACTGCATGTGCCGCAAACAGTGCAAAGAAAGTAGCTGCGGAAAGCACAAGTACCTTGGAAACTTTATTGAAGAGTCATTGAATAAATCTCTAACATTTTGTTTAAAGGTATTTGCGTCTTGAAGTCACTTAGTTTGTTTCCTAATTTGAAAGCATCTTGTTTCTGTTCTCTCTCTGTCTTTAGTGAAATAAACCGCTTGGACCTGGGTCTGACGGTAGAGGTGTGGAACAAAGGGTTAATCTGGGACACCATGGTCGGCACTGTGTGGATCCCCCTCCGGAGCATCCGGCAGTCTAATGAGGTTTGCCATTAACCGCCATGGCCACCTGAGACTCACTGTAGCAGAACACTGTGTACTCAGTCAGATTAGAGGCGCTCACTCACTCATTCACTCACTCACTCTGGCCTCCTTCTCACTGGGCCCTTGTTTGCGTGTAAACTGAGAGGCATGTATTTTTCTGTACACAGGAAGGTCCGGGCGAGTGGCTCACATTGGACTCTCAAGTCATCATGACTGATAATGAGATCTGTGGCACCAAAGACCCCACTCTCCACCTGGTGCTGCTCGACACACGCTTCGAACTGCCTCTTGGTGAGAAATCAATACTCACAGCGAAATCAAAACCTGTCAGAAGGCGGGAGAAGATACAAAAAATGAAATATAGGAAATCGTCAGCCCTCAAGGGAAGGAGACGCTGACTTAAATAAATTATGTCTGTCTATATCTTACCACAGCAAACAGTGATATATGAAGACCAATAATCTCTCTGACTGATTGATCAAGCTGACCTATTTCTGTGTGATATGTACTCTAGGCTGTGTGAGAGTCAGGGACAATGTTTGTGTCCTTTCCCTCTCAGTGAACCAGCCTCTCCTTAGCATTGATTAAGTGTCATTTTCTTACTGTTTCCCCTTCCTCCAGTCGATACTGTACACCTGGCTCCTCAGATTGGGGACTAGTCCTATTTATAGGGTTTTGTGCTTTGAGACTGCTGGAAGAAAAAAGAAAAAAAAACTAACTGCGTATGTTTGCATGTAGTCAAAAGCTAGATCTGGGTCAGAAACAAAAAAGGGTCGTTTTAGCTCCTGAAGTTGTACTTTAGGAGGAGTTTGAGAACAACTCTGTTTCAATGAACTTCACAGAGAAAGCTCCGTTATGGTGGTATTTTCACCTGATGTTATCCACCCTGTTGTTTCAGATATCCCTGAGGATGAAGCTCGTTACTGGGCCAAAAAACTGGAGCAGCTCAACGCCATGAGGGACCAAGATGTAAGCTACCAGCAAGTTTGATTTTTATACCATAGCTTTCATACATTTTAGGAACATATAGACATAATTAACTGGGATAAGGTTATAAAGTTTACTGTCATTTTTCATTCCTATGATTTCAGTATTCTTACCAGGAGGAGCAGGAGCGGCCTCTCCGTGCACCAGGAACTCAGTGCTGTAAGTGACCGATTACTGTTTCCGTTACCCAGTCATTTGTTTGTGCTAAACAAGAGATTAATGTCTGCTGTTCAAATGTAATTACATTTCTGTAGCTCAGCATGTGTATAATGTGTGTAACCACACACGGGTTGTTGTGTGTTGGAGGGTAAGAGGGGTCTGGATCACTGGACTGTTAAGGATCAATAGAGGTATCAGATATCTGAAAGCAAGCTCCTAAAGGATGCTGCTGCGCTTCGACTTTGGCTCAGTCGTGCCGAGCCTGCTGAGCCAGCAGTCTGAGGCAGCTGGAAGGACTTGGAGGCTCAGCACTCTTTGGGCTCACTGTCCATTCACCAGCTTCATGAGGGAACTCAGAAGCATTAAAAGCACAAGTGTATGTTTATGTTTTGTACAGCAGCATAATTCATAATCAATACCGACTTGTTTCTGTTTTATTGCAGGTAACTGGAGTTTGTGGGGAGACCAACAAAGTAAGTGTAGACACGATTAAGAACACATATCATAGACTGGACTTTGTGGGGTCAGGCATTTGCCGTTGTTTTGGCTCTGTAAGTGCTGTCTTTGAGCTATGATGTGAAAATTTTTATATGTATATCAGATGAACAGTGCAGGACTTTGATTCAACCTCTTCACTTGAGAGCGCACCCTTGATAAGTGAGAGGCGAAAGTTTAAAGGACCAGTTTTTTTGCTCTCCTAGATTTGGTGATATCTCTTTAAAGATATTTTATTTCATATTCTCTCTACATTAAAAATAAGATGTGTGGATTTGGTCCAAAGTAATTCCAATGTGCAAACTGTGAGGTCAACTGAGATAGCTGCACTTTTAAAATTGCCAATCATTGTATAAATCATACATGATCTCCTGCCTAGAACTAGAATAATACAAACAATGTCCAAATAGTTCTAGACTGCAGTGTGACTGCTTGAGTATATATAAATATTAGATATGTGCACTGTAAATGAGGAAGAACTAGAGAAACTCTCCTCTGCCACTCCCACTCTGTCTCTGTTTCTGTCCTGCTGTGATTAGCAGATGGTCTTATATAAGTGTCTGTCAGACTCACCCACACAACTGCTGCAATTCATCTCGGTTCACATAGAGAAAAACGGAAAGAGTGAGTGGAGGTGAGGATAGATGTTAAGCCAGAGGGGGGAAAGGGGGTGGGCGGGTACATGGTTGGAGTAAGAAACAAGTTTGGTGCTTTTAATTAGTGTTTACATGCCCAGACGGATGAAGATGGAAGCGTTGCAGCAGCAGCCGCCTTCATCAGAGTGTGAGAGACGATGATGGATGGCAATAAATGATTAATACATGCTGGTTTCACTTTTGACTGATTCAGCACTGTTTGAGTCTCTCCTCACTTCTCTCCGAGATATTAATCACTGATATACGGAAACCACAGAAAATAAACCTTCTCTTTTAACAAACGAGTGTAGATTTATGTTCCGTTATGATGATGAGAGAGAGAGGAAGCGGCTGATAATATTGTGCACCATGTACAGATGCACTCTGAATGACCTGCAGGGGTCTAATGGGGGTTCAAAAGCTGGATACTTCCATCTCATCTATGTTATCTATAATTACCATGGTACTAAAAGATTACTTCAGCGCTGATTGAAGCATTCTGTCTCTGTACTACATGACTTTTCTCCTCCCCTCTCTCTTCTCCATGCAGATGAAGATCCTGACAGTGCTGTGGACGACAGAGACAGCGACTACCGAAGTGAAACCAGTAACAGCATCCCCCCTCCCTACTACAGCACATCCCAGCCCAATGCCTCTGTCCACCAGTATCCCATCAGTCATCAGCACCGCAGCTCCAGAAGTTACTCCTACCCTCGCTCTGGCAACAACCAGGACCTTGACTACCAACATCAGAGGACAGTCAGGTATGTAGCTGGGCATCACAATTGTGGTACACAGTGGGGGGTCGCTGCTTTAAAATTCACAAGTATGGAGTTGTGTGATGTGAAATCTCTGAGGCCCTTTTTTGTATTTCAACATAGTACATTTCCATTTGTTAGTTCTTCAAACTGTGAATTTTGACCAACATCTTCATTTTGAGTTCTTGAGGAATTATTCTTTGCAGATTAGAAAAGTGCCGCTCAGTTATGTTACTTTTTCGAAGTGAAAATACACACATCAATATAACATCTTTATGATACTATAATGTTAAAAGGCAAATAGATACGATTGATCTGCACATGATTCACATAAGCTAACTTGGCTTAAGGCTAACTTGATGATGGATATTGAGTTATTCTGGAGTCAGCTCATGCTACTGTTGTGTGCTAGCTTTGATTTTTGCATTTATCATTTAGTTATCATTGGCACATTTGGCCCAGTGGTAGTTGATAGGCATTTTATTAACAGTGTATTTAAATAACTAATAGCTGAAAGGTGATGGTTAGTAATTGGCTAATCCATTACTTAACTAATTATGGCAGGGAGGACTTTGAGGTCTATGGGTGTTTAGATCAGTGTTGAATTAAAATGGCAAGTTGTGGTTAAGTTGTAGTACTTTTTTTGAACATGGACATGATCAAAAAAGCTCAAATGTTAGTTATGATATTGGTTATGTGTTCAAATTTTTAGCTGGTCATGATAGCATGACTGTGGCCTGCATGTTTTTTTTTTTAACACATTTTATTGACGTTTTCAAATTTAAACTTGAACATTACACAGCACACAATACCAACCCCACCCCCATGACCAGACAGTGCAGCAAAACAAAAATAAATCGCCTACACATCTGCACATATTTATGAAACAAAAGTTAATAAGTAAAGCAAAAATCATGTTCATTTTAAGCATTTAGCAAAATCATAAATAAGCTTCCAGCCCACCTTATGCTGAAAAACTTGTTTTATTGTTTTATGTTTTATTCTGCAGTAGAAGTACTGTGAGTGGACTTTTTCCAGTCACTAAACTGCTTCCCCATTAAGATCAGCATTTTTAGCTCTGTGGGTAAGTAATTTAAAAAAGGTAACCACATTTTAAAGGTGGAGTAGGCAGGATCTGAGGAAGTACCAGTTTTTGGGAGAAATCTTGAATGTAAACTGTACCTCTCCTAACCACTTTTCCCCTCCCTCTCTGCTCCAGCAAGCCCCGCCCACAAACAGACGCTCCTGCTCGCTCGTATCGTTTCAATTAAATTCAGATATAATGCAGAAAAATACTTCAGATAATTACAAATGGAGACAAGTCAACGTTAACGTAAAAAGCATTGGTGCTACTGTAGATGCCAACAGACTACCAGCAAACACAATGTTTGCAGGACTTCTTTAGCTAGCATAAAGTGACAAACTCCGGGAGCAGAGGTAAACAGTTTAGCGGCGCTACAACACGCAGAAGGTCCCGTTTGACAAGAAACACTTCTGTTACAGACACTTGGCTTACTTTGTTAAAGCGGTTTACCTGTCCAGCAGAAAGGTTTCAGGGTCCGTAAGATCCCAAAGCGTCCCTCATTGTTTAATCATTGATGTTGACCGGTCTACCTCCCTTATTCCGCCAAAGTCTCCGGTATTTACTTTCTTTTCTTGCTTGTGTTGGCAGTAATGGCCTAGAGGATTTAGACAATTTTCCGTACTTTTTGGTTGGTTTCTACTGTCCAATATTGTAGCACGCTAACTGTGTTCGGGCTCGTGAATGGCACAGGGGAGCAGCATCTGCCTCACAACCAATCAGATTGGGGGAGGTGGAAAATGGTTTTGTTAACAGTCAGAAAGAGCGGGACGCTCAAAAAATTCAAAATGTTGACTACACAGACATAAGAGAACACAGTGATATTGTTGTACTATCAAATTTTTATTAATAACTAATAGCTATTGACAGATATTAAAAGCTTTTTTGTATATACAGCACAAAAAAAAGAAGCTTCTGTAATGTAATCCTGCCTACCCCACCTTTAACAAACAGCTCATCTTTTCTTTTCAAGACAGCCAGAAGTCGCTCATGGGGAAGATTGTTAAAATCTCTTTGTACCAAAGCGTAACACTGGGTGGGACATCCTTGATCCAACTGAGCAAAATGTACTTCAGAGTGATTAAAAGTAGCTTGTCCAGGAGCTTATAGTGTGATACAGGAAAGTGCAATTCTCTAGATGGAAGTCCTACAAGGAAAACACCAGGATCTCTTTTCATTTTAATTTTGATTATACTACGTATTGCTTTGGAAATGAGTGTCCAAATTTTTTAGATTAGTTTGCACTCCCAGAAGCAGTGAAAATATGTTCCTCTTTCAGAGCAGCACTGAATACACATAGGTGGAGATAGAGGGATCCATTTTGTGTGTAGCCTGCATGTTGAACACAAGTAACCTGAAGCTGAAGCAGTGACATACGATTCAGCCATCTGTAACTACACTATCTCCACACGTGATGAGTCAAAATGTCTTTAGTGTAGACGGCCTGTTAAAGAATGAATGGAGTCAATGAAATTCCGTGTCCTTCAGTGGGTCACACTGACCAAACACTGATTCACTTTCAGAGTTGTTAACAATGCAGCTACATTTCTCCGCTTTTATTGACATGTCTCTCACAGTCTGGGGAATGAAACTATGCATCCTTTACCTCTCACTTTATGAATTATTCAACTGGCAATCTAATGGTCAATACTGCACATAAGATTAGCTGCCTTTGTGAGTGTATCGGACAGGGGGCCCCCTCCCAACATCTCTGCCTATTCTTCTTCATCTCCTCCTCTCTGCTCTCTACACTCTCTTCATTCCCCGCTCTCGTCTATTTGTCTCTCGTTCACCACTCCCTTCCTGTCTTCACTATCTCCCTCTCTCGCCATCCATTTTCTTACCTCCTTGTGCCTCTTTCGGATTTTTAATAGCCCCATTCATCAAGGAGTATAAATACTTTTTCCCTGTTTGCTGCATTTCTGGATGCTTGTGCTTTTTCTCTTGTCAGCTTTCTGGAACCCTCCTCACCTTTCTGTTCGGCTCTATTCCTCACTGCTTGTCTGCTCCTCTTGTACCCCCAGAGCTTTTCATTGATTAGCCATCAGCATTGTTCCTGGCCACCCCAAGACATGTAGAAAAGGTTTTTAGCAGAGCCTCACCATAGAGTACATTGTGTACAGGCTGTAAAGTGCAATGAAGAGCTCTGCTGGTCATAAAGGAAGATAAACTATTAAATTATATATGTGACCGTGTACTGTATATGTGCAGCAACCAACTGAATCCAAGGGTCTCTGCGTTCATTATTAAATCATAACTATCTTTGGTACTCCACTAATCTCCCCTGTTTATGTTTCTCCTCTCTTCTCCTCCCTCCAGCCCCTCAGGGAGCTACGCCTCATCCGCAGAGTTGAGTCGGTGCAGCAGTCAGCTCAGTGAGGAAGACTATGGCGGCGAGTATGGGGAGAGGGACCCTTACGACGAGAACGACTCGTACCATTCCTGCCACTCCTCCGTTAGCTACAGTAAAGGATCACCAGACTGGGACCCCGATGAGACCCAGGGGCAGTACAGCGACGAGGGCGGCTACAGCAAAGATGGAGGAGAGGAGGCGGCTCTCTATGAGGAGGAAGACGGAGGGCTGTATGAGGGAGAGGAAGAGGGCCTCTATGAGGATGAAGAGATGATGTATGATGATGAGGATCTGTACAATTTGGACGGGACCCTCAGTGAGGACATGGAGCCTCCTTTCACTCCCACCCCAACGTCAACAGCACCCCCAGCTCTGGATGTACCCGGCTCCAGACCTCCTCTAGAAAAACAGCCCTCTTTACACCAACAGCAGCCCCCTACTCAACCCCCAACCCAGACATCCAACCAGTCCAATCCTCCTAGCATGGCCCCATCAGCACAGCCACCAACTAGTCAAGCAACAACCCAACCTCCTAAACAGCCCCAGACTCAAACACAGCCTCAGGCTCAAGCTGCCCCCTCTGCCACTTCCTTCTTTTCAATGGCCAAACCTTTCTCAGCTGCAGTCACAGGACTAGCCTCCACTTTTCTGTCCTCTGTTCCCACTACTCAGCCCGCCCAGTCTCAACCCCCGGCCTCAGCTGCTCCTCAACCGCAGCAGCCTCCTGCAGCCAACTCTGTTCCTCCATCCCACCCAGCCACTATGGCTAACTCGGCCTCCCAGCCCCCTTCCACTGGCGTTGGTCCTCCTTCCCAACAGACCCCATCCTCTGGGCCGCCTCAATCCCAACCCAGCGATCCTGCCACCATGCAGAAAGAACACCCTGAGGACCAAGATCTTCAGCTGGAGGAAGAACCGTGGCTAGAGGAAGAAATTGGACTGGAGAAAGAGGCCAGGACACCTCCTGCTCAGCCAGAGGAGAAACTCCCAGAGGAAGAGACAGAGGAGCGTTTTGAAGAGAGCAAGCCGCCGACACCAGTAGAGGAAACAGAGATGCCACCTGAGAGGTAGGAGAGGAGGATGAAAGGAATTAGATCAATGAGCTAAGCAAAAATAGACTTTAGGAGGAACAACATATTTAGAACCAATTCTATTAATATATCCACTGAAGATATTTTTACTAAAAAATCCAAATTCTGTTGTTTTTTAAGTCCCCCAGTCGTAGAAGAGCCCAAAGAACCAGTGGATCCAGCAGTCAGAGCTAAAGAGAACTGGCTTCGGATCTACAACAAAGTCTTAGAACAGCTTCGGGAGGTAAGATCACGTATTTTTCACCTCTGAAGCCCGAGCCCCACCTTCCATATTCCAGCCCATCCCAGAGCTGCGGGCCTGGTTCAGCACCACTCTGTAATCTAAAAGATATACCTGAGTTCAAGAGACTCTAAAAGTGTTCACCAAGGCTTTGAAATATGGATGTGTCATGCATTATTAATGTGCGTAGGCCTGGTTCATACAGGTCTTGAGTTCTATTTTGCTGGTGCTTTTTTCTCAGACCTCTGAAAGCAGACTCCAAGTGTTTTATTTTCAAAAACGTCTTTCTTTTGGTTCTCTTCTAATGGCGTCACTCAAACCAAACTTTTATTATTGCTTGGGTAAAAACACCAAACCACCAAAACTGCTTGATGAAATGGCACATGTTAAGTTTTTGCCTGATCAGTTTTTCACTTGCACATTTTATTCACATATTATGTTGCTGTTCATTACGTTTGAATTCAGTTATGCAAAGAATTAATCACTTGCTTCGATGTTTATGTTGATGTATGTCACGTTGAGTTTTTGTACATTTTGCTTCTTTTTGTTAATTTATTTGTTTGTTTATTTGTTTGTTTGTGCCGACCCACTTTGTTTTCTTTCCAGTTTCATGTCATTGCCATAGTGACACTCGCATGCACTTTGCTCGGCCATCATTGGAGCATGTTGAGAGGTAGGTACAACCCGATTGGTTGCTTAAAAGAAAGAGGGGTATGCGTGGAACAGTTGCCTTTTTGACCTTCTCGGTGTTTTTCTAGCAGGCACTTTCATGCGTTCATTCATCTTCACAGCAATTTGATCTTTTCTTTTCCTGCAGGAGCTGTCATCCAATTTAATTTTAAGACGCAAACAGTCTGATTTTTTTTTTTTTTTTAAGGCATATTGGTTTAAAAATTTCAGGGAAAGCAAATTGTGATCAGTGACAAACTCAGTTTGTGTATTCTTCAATAAAAAGAATAATGGTGATATTTATTTGATTATCTGTCATTAGAGTTGAATACATCTAATCAGATGTCCTCTGCTTTATTTTACAATTATAAAACTCATGTGAAGAGTTTTATGAGACCCAAAATCTAAAATGTTAATATATGTGAAGAGGCCGATAAATCAGTTTTGTAATTTGATAAGTAGAGTTCAGTGTCCCAGCCTCATTCAAACAGCGCATGAATACAAGAAAAGGCCGCAGGGATGAACTTAACTTTCTTTTATTGTCTCTCTCAGGCCCGAGGAGAGACCTCCAACTCACTGTGGTTTGGTAAAGGAGGGTAAGCATCTGCTGTCAGTCTTTCAAGTAATCTACTTCCTCCTACATGTAACACATGATACATCACACTGCATATTAGATCATCTATTGCAATAAGTGGCATTAAAATTATCCTCACATCATTGTGGAAACCTGACCCTGCTGCCTTGGAAGGAAAATGCCCTTCTGTAGTCCGGGAATCCTCTATTTCATTCTGATCCACTGGCTCATTCAGCTCGTGGCATTCAGCCAGGCAGTATTGAACGGTGGTGGGCTGCCCTGACTTAGCTGGCAGGTCATTTGTAGATGAGGCAAACCTCAGATTGGAACTGAGGCTGCATACTGAAGAAGTGCAATGTTAGCCAGATAGAAACCCAGCAATTTATACCAAGGTGTGTGGACTGTCACTTTCACTGTTTGAGAAGAGGCAGGCTATGTAATTAAACTTTCAGAATGACTGAGGTAGCATTTGAAACAACTATTGAAGGAGATTACCTCTGCGCCGTGGTGAAAAAATCCTGAATTTTACGGAAAAAAATGTTGATACTAAACTTTCATATCTACTGTTTTTATAGATGAATGTGTCGTGATTCGTACTTTGTCCTTTTTAGAATGGGAGGTGCACTCTACAGTATTGACAGCATGCCTGACCTTCGCAAGAGGAAAGCCATTCCTCTTGTCAGAGATCTGGTGAGAAACAAACATGGACACACACACACACACACACACACACACACACACACACACACACACACACACACACACACACACACACACACACACACACACACACACACACACACACACACATGAATAATGTACACCATGAAACTGCACAATATGCCAGTGGTGTTGATCATACAATAGGAGCGTTCACAACAACTTTATCTCCCTATGGATTGATATATGTATTTAAGGGAACAAGTAATGCTTCCTCACTCAGCATGGGAACATTTTAACGAAAATATAGAGGCCTGGGTATGATGAGTATGCTCTCACAACATTTGGATTGAGCCAGGCTATCTTAATCCAGCTGGGTTCAGATTATTTAGGGCTAATTTAGTGGTGAAACAAACCTGCTTTTCTTATTCATTATAAACTCAGAGACATGTTTCTGATATAGATATTGTGTATAACATGAAAAACAACAGATTGTAACTTTGAGATATAACCATAGACTGTATATAGAATGGACACCATTTGCCTCCTTGCTGGGTGAAGCCACCCTGAGAACAGCACCCTCTGGTGATGGGTGGCTGTACAGGTCATAAATCCCGCCTCCTCCAGCAATCCTTATGGAGCTGTGGACAAACTTTAGAAATTTATTACACAGAATATAATTTTTTTTCCCCCCTGCTTGTGATGTTGACATGTAGTTACTGTAAGACTTGTTTGTGCTCAGGTCCTCTTTTTCCTGTACACCTCCATTTTTAAAAGTTATTAGGGGGTTCATGTTTTCTATGATTGACACTTACACTCTAAGATTGCATAGCTCACCCGGGGGATACACTGTTTAAACTGAGCGTCAACACAGCGACTCTCCCGCCGAATGCGTATAATACTACTGCACAAGTGGTGGAGTGCGTACAACGCCACTGCACAATGTTGGTTTCAGGAAGCGGAGAAAAAACTAGAGCTTTTCGGCTTCAAATCCGTATACTGGTGGAAGGCGGAACCAAGTTGTCCATAGTATATACAGTCTATGGTTATAACTAATATGCAATATTTAACGATAAGTTTATATATCACACTTTATATTGTTGCTGCAATATTGAACCGTGTAATTACACACTAAATATTTTTATATTGTGCAGGTCTGGTGTGCACTTAATAAAACTCACTGCATATATCTGGTATTAGTTCTTTTGTTTTTATTTATAGTTTAATACAGCATAGGGGCTAAATAAAAGATATTGCAGTATCAGTTTTTCCTCATGTTGTGCAGCATTAATACACAGTAATACACCGTTAAACAGTCCACCGGATGATTTGTTTCTGTAGCTCTCAATTCAAAACAGTAATCACAAATATGCCCCCCCTGCTTAAGAGCTTTCCCTGTAAACAACATCATTGCAGGCCAATCATGTTGTTTATGACTGATGCCCCCTTCCACAGATGTGTCAAATGCTCTATCTATTGATAAATTAAATGCCTGCCATATATGTGAAGATATTTAAATTAGAGTCATAAATCATTGTCTTTGCTTCACCTACTAGAGGTTAAAGTGATAAATGGATAAGATGCAAAGACTTGCACATATATGCGCCTGCATTTTAAAGATTGTTACAACTTGCACATGTTTAAAATGTGAGAATATTTTCATATCTATATTTAAACGTTTGTCTCTCTTTCTTCTTTTTATCACATCATCAGGCTATGGTGAGTCCTTTTTTTTTCTTTCACAGAGGTTAAACATAAATCAAAAGTCTAAAGCACAGGTCACCTCCATGTATAAACCCTTTTCCGTTTGTTCTGTTCTTCTCAGTCTCTGGTACAAAACTCTCGAAAGGCTGGAATCACCTCTGCCATGGCTTCAACCACTCTCGGCAATGAAGAGCTGGTGGGTTTTCTCTCATCTCTGTTTTTTTTTCCCCACAACTTGGTCCAGTATCCTACAACATTCGATCAGTTCTGGCTTTAATCTCCTGTTCCTCATGCCCTTTGCAGAAAAGTCACGTTTATAAGAAAACCCTCCAGGCTCTCATCTACCCCATCTCCTCCACCACACCACACAACTTTGAGGTGTGGACTGCCACCACCCCGACTTACTGCTACGAATGTGAGGGGCTGCTGTGGGGTATCGCCCGACAAGGCATGCGCTGCTCGGAGTGTGGCGTCAAATGTCACGACAAGTGCCAGGATCTGCTCAATGCTGACTGTTTGCAGAGTAAGAGCTTTTTTTTTATAGAAATACACCCATCTATATTCATTTATTTTTACTCTGATGCAAACACACACACACACACACACACACACACACACACACAGATACATACACAAACACAAAAAGCTGTTCGCTCAAACTCCAAACCTATTTCAGCTCCTCTTCTGTATCCTTCTGCTCGATTGACATCCCATTATTCTTGTCCTCTATCCACTCTCACTTTCTCCTCCCTCTTCCTTTCCAATTTATCTCCTGAGTAATGTGCTGTCATACCCCCGCCTCTCTCCTCTCTCTTTCCCACTCATACCCTTTGCATCCATACTGCTTGGTTTAATTCAACTTCTCAAGGGGTGACTTATCCGATTCCCATACTTGTTTTTAGAGTCAATCTGCACAATGCATAATTCATTGCTCTGCCGACTCTTAGGAGTCTTATAAGATCTTGATGCGAAAAGCATCTGTTGGTCCTTCATTTGCCAACTAACTACTTTTTTCCTGACCAAATCTGTGGTTATGTGGATACAGTTTCCCTTTATTGTAGGAGAAGGTTTAGGGTTTGATTCCAGGCCAGGAGACATGCCACTTTCAAAATTGATCTGACGCTCTCTTTACGTAGCTCTGAGTTTTAGGAGAAGGAGCTCAGCATCTCGCCTTTGGGTCATGTTACTTTGGAAAGATTTCATGCTACTAATAATTTTCCTTTCTCTCTTTATATATTCATCTCATTAGGAGCCGCGGAGAAGAGCTCCAAGCATGGAGCAGAGGACCGAACCCAGAACATCATCATGGTCCTGAAGGACCGCATGAAGATTAGAGAAAGGAACAAGCCAGAAATCTTTGAGCTCATCCAAGAAGTGTTTGCCCTGGACAAAACGACACATGGCACTCAAATGAAACAAATCAAGCAGAGTGTGCTGGATGGGACCTCCAAATGGTCAGCAAAGATCAGCATCACAGGTAAAGGGGACTGTGACCATTTTTTTAAAAACTCTATTAAAGTTGCAGGAGAGGTGTTAATAATAATAATAATACATTTATTTATATAGCACTTTTAAAAACAAGAGTTTAAAACTGCTTTAACATGCAGGAAAACAAAAAAAAACAACAGAACAACAAGAGAACACTTGGGAGAAGGAGCCTAGAAAAGACTAAAACTCAGACTACATGTCCTAATGTCACATTACTGGCAATAAAAAAAATAAAAAATAAAAACAAAAATCAGTGGAAGACAAAAGTTTTGATGAGTGTCACAAGAGCTGAGACGTCATTCAAACGAAGACATTAAAACAAAGACATTATAAGAACTCAACCAACACACAAAAACCTGAGACCAAGGGGACGATTACAAAACATGAACAAGAAGTGTAAAAGGTTTTAAAGAAGCCAAAATCACATAAAAGCAAGTCTATAAAAAAAGTTTTAAGACGTGATTTAAAAGCAGTGACTGTTTCTACACACCTGATCTCCTGTTACGGTATGAAGGTAACGTACTGAGTGAAGAATATAGCAGTTGCCATAGACTTTGTTGAAATCATTTTATGTCTCTTGTGTCTTCCTCAGTTGTATGTGCTCAGGGTCTGCAGGCCAAAGACAAAACCGGTTCAAGTGACCCTTATGTAACAGTTCAAGTTGGAAAAACCAAAAAGAGAACCAAAACCATCTACGGCAACCTCAATCCTGTCTGGGAAGAAAACTTCCACTTGTGAGTGCCGTGAAAAGCTTCTTTGTATCACATCATCAAATGCAAACATTTAACTCTATGTCTCCGTAATGACTCCCTTCTGTCTCTGCTTCATCCAGTGAATGCCACAACTCATCCGACCGCATCAAAGTTCGAGTGTGGGACGAGGACGACGACATCAAGTCGCGTGTGAAACAGCGGTTCAAACGAGAGAGCGATGACTTCCTGGGTCAAACCATCATCGAAGTCCGGACCCTGAGTGGAGAGATGGATGTTTGGTACAACCTGGGTGAGTTTTCAAGACAGAGAGGAAGCAAATGCAGAATTAGAGGAGGCTGAGCGGAGCTATAAGTCACTCAGAGATAATGGAACAAGAAACAGATAATTGAGGTACTTGTCTCTGGTAGATTGAACAAGATTCGACCAACTAAGTAGGCGTGTACATCCCTTTTGTTTGACAGACAAGAGAACCGATAAGTCTGCTGTGTCAGGAGCTATCCGGATGCATATAAGTGTGGAGATCAAAGGAGAGGAGACGGTCGCGCCCTACCATGTCCAGTATACCTGTCTACACGAGGTCAGTCTGAAAGGGAATGTGGCTGTGGTTATTTGCACTTGAAATAAAACATTAAATATGCAAGAGTCTGCTATCCAGAGTTAATTAGTTCCAGGCAATTAAATTCTAGGTTTCACATTAACACAATCAATCACCTTATAAATTCTGTTTCTGCCTCTGCACCCTGGCGAACTCGCCTCTGTTTGGATAAGAAATAGCCAACATTCGGTTTCTAGTAACAACATCAATAGCTGTTGTCTGGAATTACAGAGCCAATTTTCCCAGTATAAGGGGGATATAGACTTTCTGACATGAAGGCTATTTCAATGTGTTTCATATGTAATCATGTTAAATGGCATAATTGTAAAGAGAGGCTGACTCACCTCAACAAAGTAAACAGAGCTGTGAAGGAGCCTTGCAAAGATGAACTTCAGGGTCAGAATCAAACTGTGTTTCAGAATATTTTTAGTCTGGGCTTGTTTTGAAGTCGCTCTGTCGCAGATAAAAGTGGTGACTCTGTGTTGGGTTTTATTAAGCATTCAAATTAAATCAGCTTCAATGTTAAAATAACTGAAGACCCTTGTTTCACATCTACCCCTTGCTTTTCTTGTAACACCTTAGGCTGGATGAGCGTTACAGATGAGGAACAGAGAATATTTTCAAGTCTCTCTTAAATATTTAAATCTGTCAAACACACAGAGGGGCCCCGTGGCTGTACCTTGATCTCTCGCTGATTATATGTGATTGTGATGTGATTTACAATCTGCAAAACAAGTTACTGTAATGACTACTTTCAACACAGAAATACTCATATTTGCCCTTTGTCTTTGTTCAGCATCTGTTCCAGTACACCACTGAGGAGCAGAACAGTGGGGTAGTAAAGATCCCAGACGCCAAAGGGGACGATGCCTGGAAGGTTTATTTTGAGGAGACAGCTCAGGAGATAGTGGACGAGTTCGCAATGAGATACGGAGTAGAGTCCATCTACCAGGCCATGACGTAAGCTTTCAACCATCACTCTGAGTGTTTGAATGTGATATGATACTATATGATACGATACAATACAATATGATACGATATGATATGATACGATACGATACAATACGATACAATATGATACGATACAATATGATATGATATGATATGATATGATATGATACGATATAATACGATACGATACAATACGATACAATATGATACGATATGATACAATACAATATGATATGATACGATATGATATGATACGATATGATACAATACAATACAATACAATATGATATGATATGATACGATAAGATATGATATGATATGATACGATACGATACGATACGATACGATACAATACAATACAATACAGTATAATACAATACAATACAATACACTTTATTGCCCCCTTAGGGAAATTTGTCTTAGACTCCAAGAGCTGCACAGATAAAGCTGCCAACTAATGACAGACACAAAGTACTAGACCTAACAAAGACACAGTCACACTACCCACACACAGTGCACATACCCATTGATAGTTTAAAGGGTCAAAAACTGAACCCTGAAATCCAAGTTTGGGTTTCATTACTTTTATTTTCTGACAACCACACTTCAGTTCTGAATATCCCTGGATCACTTCTTTTTTTCCTCTTACATGGTTTTCACGGGGCAGGTACCTGCAATAAATGCTGTTTCTGCCTCTTCCATCCCACAGACACTTTGCTTGCTTGTCATCCAAGTACATGTGTCCAGGAGTGCCAGCTGTTATGAGCACCCTGCTTGCCAACATCAACGCTTACTACGCCCACACCACCCAGTCCTCCAACAATGTTTCTGCCTCTGACAGATTTGCTGCATCAAACTTTGGCGTGAGTTCCTGAGAATGCTCTGTCATATTTTTCTGTCTTCGCACATTACATATGCTGTTACTCATACAGACTCTTTAAAGCTTTGGATCGTCACTGAAAGAAGATTATAGATTTTTAAAACCAGAGAATAACTTACTCTTGGTTCCTCTGGCTGTAGATGAAATTCAGTTAATGAGTCCCAGCCTACTTCTCTGAACATCCAATCAGCTGAAGTTGTCAGATTTGTCCTGAGTTTGTTTAGTCAAATGGTTTTAGTCATCTGTCAGGTGCTGTTGTCTTTCTGAGTGGTTTGTTCTGTTTTTGGCACTTCCTGTTTAGAAGGAGAGGTTTGTTAAACTCCTGGATCAGCTGCACAACTCCCTGAGGATCGACCTGTCAATGTACCGGGTAATTACAGCTTTTCTCGATCAAAAATGGACTCAAAATGTTTAGCTACTGTAACACCTTTATATTAACTCAAACTGTATATGTGTGGTAGTATGTTTTGTCTGCTTTAGGCTGAGATGGAGGAGTTGTCTTTATATGATCACTCTAATATTTTGTCACAGAAGCTAAATCAAATTTTATCTTAAAAAAAAAGTGTCAAAGTCAGTATGTTGAGTAAATACAGGGACATCTGTTAACCTAAGTCTTGGTATGTTTGTTTTGTGAAAAAATGTGAATTAATGTGGTCTTGTTTTTGAAAATAAGAAATAATGAATTGTAAAAAGGCATGCTGGCCTGTAGCTCTTGTTTATTTTCTATTATGTGTTTAGTTGATTAATATCTTATTAAAGAGGGGCAGACTCTGTAAGATTTTTTTTTTCTATCTGCTACTTTTTATTCACACGTTTGAAATTTTTCCTCATTTGTATTGAATGTTTTAAATATTAACTGAATGAAATAAAGTATGAAATGAAAAAAAAGAAACTTCAACTAAGACTTGTCCTTTTTTTGACCTTTGAATGTGTTTCAGAATAACTTCCCGGCCAGCAGTCCTGAAAGGCTACAAGACCTGAAGTCTACAGTTGATCTCTTGACAAGCATCACTTTCTTCAGGATGAAGGTAAGTTTAAAGAAAAGGTGGACGTCATCTTTCTGTTTTGTTCTTTGTTTCACAGTATCACTTAAAATAAACTTTGTGCAAACATCCAGTAATGTCTGGAAGATAGCCTGAAGGGTACACTGAGAATCAGCATAACATTAGACTATCCAAACTGAAGCTATTATCAGGAAACGGTGTGTTTGTGTGCGCGCGCATCAGGGTGTTAATGTATGTTGGTGCAATTTCTGCAGCTCAGTAAGTTTATGGTTGAATCCCCCACAGAGATAACTTCCCGCTTAGACACTGACTCAGACTGTGTGTGTGTGTGTGTCACACAGCTCTTTGAGGTGAATTGAATATAACCATATGTTGTGTAACATTCCTGTTCAGGTCCAGGAGCTGCAGAGTCCCCCCAGGGCGAGCCAGGTGGTGAAGGACTGTGTGAAAGCCTGTCTCAACTCCACCTATGAGTACATTTTCAACAACTGCCATGACCTCTACAACAGGGAATATCAGACAGACCCTGTGAGTCTGTGTGTGTAAATGTGTTTGCAGGTTATATCATTTAAAAATTGAAATTGTAATGTATACAGGATTTAATTTGTAACCTCTATCTCCAGTCGAAGGCGGTCCCTCCAGATGAACAAGGCCCCAGCATCAAAAACCTGGACTTCTGGTCCAAACTCATCACCCTCATCGTCTCCATTATAGAGGAGGACAAAAACTCCTACACGCCTTGCCTCAATCAGTGAGTCTCTGCTCGTAACATCTGGCTAAGTGCTCCTATTGTTGCAAATTATAAGTCCAGTAAAGGAAAAAAAAAACTTTAAAAGGCAACAGCTGTAAGAAAAATAGGAAGGGAAGCAACATGAGGAGGGAGGAGTGTGAGCATCAAAGGCCAAACAAACAAACAACCTCTTTTGTTTTGAAGCCATACGGTTTGTCCTGTCACTTGTTAAATGGGACACACAATATCTAAGAATACCAAACTATAAAAAAACAAAGCATAAAACTGGAGGGAGGGAAAAGCAGTTTGTCCATTAGATAGAGGAAAACATCATGTGAGCTGTCAGGAACTCTTCAGCCTGTGTTTACTCAGACCAGTCATTCCTGTACAGCAGCTGCTCTGGTTGCTGGAGGTAGTTTGGATTTCAATGACCTTGTCCTACTTATTTTCTTACTGTAAGTGCAATATTTACTTTTATTCGCTTTGTTCTGGGAAACATTGAGGATATTAGTGCCTTTTTTTACTTCCTGTTCTTAACTGGAGCATTTTTCGGTCGGTGAGAACTAAAAATAAAGACAAAATATACAGATGGAGTTACATAAAAAATGAGCCTGAGTTATCTTGTTAAATAATAGAATACCATCTCAAGGAAAAGGGCCGGATATAAACCTGACGACCGCTTCTTCTTAAAGGTTTCCCCAGGAACTGAATGTGGGCAAGATCAGTGCCGAGGTGATGTGGAACATGTTTGCACAAGACATGAAATACGCCATGGAGGGTAGGTTTCTTTTTATGTTGTTAGGATTGTTAGAGGTCATTAGTCTGTATCCAATGTGTGTTACTGAGAGACCTATAAAGAGTGAGGTAGGACTATTCTCATTTTTTTCTCTCTCATCAATATTTAGAGCATGAGAAGCACCGCCTGTGTAAAAGCGCAGATTACATGAACCTGCACTTCAAGGTAAAGTGGCTCTACAATGAGTACTGCAAGGAGCTTTCCACTTTCCAGAAGCACGTACCTGAATATCCGGCGTGAGTACCCTATAAACAGCATCAACACCTTTCCTCCCCCATTTACCTCTTATACAGACTTGTACAGTCAGTCCTCTCTCTTTTTTTTTGTCTGCAGCTGGTTTGAACCTTTCGTTGTCATGTGGTTGGATGAGAACGAGGAAGTGTCCCGAGATTTTCTACATGGAGCCCTGGAGAGGGACAAAAAAGACGGGGTAACTGACCTCTTACCAAACATACTTGATGATGACAATGATAATAATAATAATAATAATAATAATAATAATAATAATAATAATAATAATAATAATAATAATAATAACAAAAACAACCACAATAATAATGATAATAATAATAGCAACAACAATAACAACAATAATAGTAATAATAATAATAATGATGATGATGATGTTTATTTATATAGCACTTACAACAATACAGCACCTTAAAACATCCTTACGACAAAATGCTTTACATAACAAATACACGGTCAAATACACAATTACAGGAAAAGAAAATACATGTCAAGTGACAAATATCACATGATATCATAACAGCTAAAAGAACATAGAAATGATCAAATAGCAAATGGCAAATGTTACTAAATATTAAAAGCCTTACTAAAAATGTGACTTTTAAGATGTGTTTTACAATGTGACAGGTCATTAATAAAAAGTAATTCAGGAGGTAGAGAGTTCCACATTTTTGTGGCTGCTATTAAAAAGGTATGATGTACCCTCTGTTTGAAATTTGAAAAAAGAACTTACAAAAATGTCAGCCCCCTTCTTTTAACAATTTAAACATAGAAAAGCAAAGTCTTCAGGGAAAATGCTCAAAAAAGTTCTGGGTAACACTTTACTTGACCCCTATCTCTATAACTTATTATGAATATATGTATAATGTGTTATAATCACGTTATAGCACTGTATAACTATAGTTATAAACACTCAAAAATGATCATAATGCTTTATAGCAATAATCATAACACATTATAAAGCATTTTATCATGACTTACAAGGTCAGGTATTATAACATGTTATAACTCTTAACATCTACCTGACAATACCCTCATATAGACATATAATGCATTATACATATATTTATGATGTGTTATAATTTGCTTATAAACTTGTATAACTATCATTACAAACACTCATTAATTTTCATAAGGCTTTATAACAAAAAACACATCACATTATAATACCTGACCCTTTAAGTCATGATAAAATGCTTTATAATTTGTTATGATTATTGCTATAAAGCATCATGATCATTTATGAGTGTTTATAACTATAGTCATACAGTGCTATAACATGATTATAATGCATTATACATATATTGATAGTGCGTTATAAAGATAGGGGTCAAGTAAAGTGTTACCAAGTTGGTGAAAAGAAAAGCAAAAGGCGGTAATGTGAAACTAAAGTTTGACTAAAATGAAGATTCTAGTTGTGCTGAAGCGGCAAACATTTCCATTAGAAAGCTTTAATTTTACCCCTTAACTTCAGCACTTCTCCCACCAAAAACGTATTCACGGGTTGCTCATGTAAATTCAAGCATTATCACTCCTGACTCAGCACATTGCAGGCTGAGAGGAGCAGGTTGAGGGCCTCAAGGCAATCAATAAGGACTCAATACCAAAGGCAAATGGGGGAAAAAAAAAACTTCACTGCAGAGAAGAGCAGATGCTAAACACACACACACATACATATACCCGAGCAACTCACACACCCACACTCTCACACCTGCACATCCACAGAGAGAGAGAGAGAGAGAGTCGATACAAAGCAGCTGAAGATTGTTTCCGCTCATATGTCACAAGTCCTTTGGGTCCAATTACTGTCGCCAGAGGCAGCTTCAGCATTCCCTGTGTCAGCGAAACAGCGGTCCCCACTCCCAGTCACATACCATAACACTGTTCACTAATGGCCGGGCTGTTAATGAGGGACTTGCTTCCATTCATAATCCTCCGCTCTCTCCCATCGTTCCTATCCAGAGGACTCCCTTCACAAATCTTTCAGCTGATGCAGCTGAAGAGGGGGCACTTTTATTGTCCGTGATGTGTAACAGCAGTGTGAACTTCTCCCATGGGTGGCCCTCAGGGGGGATCCAACCATCCGCTGCCAATGTTAATGCGCCCAGATCTTTCTGCTGCTTCTTACACTTTTCCCTCCGGTGCTGTTCTTTTTCTTCCGATCCTCCAGTTCCAGGTCACGTCAGAGCACGCTTTGTTCTCCTGCTCCGTGGTGGACGTGTTCTCTCAGCTCAATCAAAGCTTTGAAATTATCCGCAAACTTGAATGTCCAGATCCACAGATCGTTGGGAACTACATGAAGAGATTTGCCAAGGTGACGTACCTTTTCCAATTCCCACCAACTGTCTTCACTGAGTCTTTGCTCATACGTTGATCTTACTGTGCGTTCATTCTCCCACAGACAATCGGTAACGTCCTGCTGTCTTACGCCGACATCATTGCGAAGGAGTTTCCAAATCATGTCAAGAAGGAAAAAGTGGTATGTGTTTCGAGATGTTTAATATAACTATGCACCCAGATGGCAGTGACTGATTTTCTAGTTTATGAGAACTCTGTCAAGACCTGGTTTTTAGATGTACGCACTTTGGTGTACGTGGTCAGGTTGATTAATTTCACCACAATAAACTGCTCCTCAGTGTAATAGCTGTCGCTCAGGTCACAGTGTCTCAAAGTGAATTAGGGCTTGTAATTAGCTGAATGTGGTGTAAGTGGGCCGCACTCCCAGAGAGACTAGGAGCCCCCGAAGGAGCAGTAATTACTGAAAACTCTGGCTTCTCCTGCTCTGCATCACCAAGAGTGTTTTCGCCAAAGAGGCAATAAAAAAAAGTTAGGAGGACTAAGCTTGATTGATTACAATGAATCGCTGAGAGCAGATAGAGAAAAGAGGGAGAAATGCATGTGTAATGATTCGTCTCGTTCTCCCTTCAGCCATGCATCATCATCAACAACATCCAGCAGCTCAGAGTTCAGTTGGAGAAGATGTTTGAGGCCATGGGAGGCAAAGACGTGAGTTTCATACTTGCGCTTATTTTTGTAGCTGTGCTGTCATGACCCGGCTCTTAGATTCATTCATATTGGTCTCCTTCCAGCTCAATCTGGAGGCGAGTGACTTCCTCAAAGAGCTGCAGAACAAACTCAACAACGTCATGGATGACCTCAGTCGCATCTTTGCCGTCAGGTGGGTTTGTCTGGGTCTGATTTTCTCACTTGAAGCAAGGAGGTGGATCGATGTCTTGTTTTTTTAATGTTGTTCTCTTTGTGCACTGATGTAGTTTCCAGCCCCAGATCGAGGACAATGTGAGGCAAATGGGGGACATTCTCGCCCAGGTCAAAGGTCAGACTGTCCCAGCCAATGGCAGTGTGGTTCAGGAGGCTGACAATGTCCTGCAGCCTATCATGGACTTCCTGGACAGCAAGTAAGAATGGCAGGGAGTCAAATATCAATATTAGTTCAAATAAGAAGAAATAACAGACTTTATTTGTCTAAGAAAACTAGCAGAGTGTCAGCTCAGAGTGTCGATGTCAATTTTTTAATTACAAAAAACAAATAAATACACAAATATATATTCATTATATATAACTAAATACATAAACCTTTGAGTATATATCATTTGAATACAACAGCAAAATGCCTCCTTCCTCTTAAGCACATTAACAGTGGAAGAAATCGATAAAATTACATTAAATTATTGTTATTTAATTATATTTTTATGTTTTATGAGTTTTTCTTGAAGGTGCTAATCCTCAAGAATATAAATAAAAATTTGTAATACCAGATTTATGGGGAATTTAATGTATATAGTTGGACAGCAAATAAGAACAACTGGCAGTTGAATATCTATGACTGATAAATGACTGTAAATGCCCGCTCAGGTTATTGGCTGTGATAATATTCTCACTGATTTCCTAATATTTCTAAATCCAGTCCAGAAACTCAGGAAGGTTTTCTCATGGAACAGGTTTTCAAAGCTTGAAATGACAGTTTTTGCCGAGTCAGTGTTCTATAATTTGGTGGGGTTTTTTTATCTGGCTTTGTTTCAGGCAACTCAGCCGTATTTGACTGTCCCAGTTTTCCAGACGGCAAAGCTATGTAGCCTGGAGGTTTTAGATTAATAACCACAAACTTGTGGGAAAAGCCAAAGGTCTCTTCAGAGCCAGTGTTTTCTCCCTCTCTGGGCTCATGTAGAAACAGTATAACGTCACATGGTCGTCCCTACTTTTTCCAGATGTACCCAAAAGCTCATGATAGGGTATTGAAAACTCATCTTAAACAGCTCTGATGTAATGGAAAACACACCATGTTCATTTCAGCCAACGGATCAGCTAAATAGTACATGCTGAGATTTTTGTTCCAATGACCTTAACAGACATGCACGAGCCGTTCATAAATAAAAAGTGTTTCTCTATACCCGTCAAATGAGAAAATGTGTGCATTTGTCTTTCAGTTTGTCCCTGTTTGCAAAGATCTGTGAGAAGACCGTTCTGAAGAGAGTCCTGAAGGAGCTGTGGAAACTGGTCATGAACACAATGGAAAAAACGATTGTGCTTCCAACACTTACTGACCAGACTGTGAGTAATAAAAACGACTTTCTGTTTCTATTTTCCTCACTTTCTGTCCTTTTCTCTGCTGCTAAACTTCATTGGCTTTCATTGCTGTTTTATTGCGTTTGTACATTAACCCATCTATCCTATCATTACCCCATTCTCTCTGCCCCTCTTTCCTTCTTTCTTTCCATCTTTTGTAGGTTATTGTAAGTATGTGTGTGTGTGAGTGGGTTTGGGTGCAGCCTCTGTAAGCATGGAGAAACACTCTTTTATAATGTGAGGTTTAAACAACACCCTCTGTAGTCTTTGTCACCTGTTTCTGTCTTTTCTGTGGATTCAAATGGCAGCACAAAAACATTAAGGAGACCCTGCAGCACGATCTGACTGACTGACTGTACACAAAAGCACAAAAACGAGCTTTCCTGTATCCTGAATCTTTATGTTTATTAGGATAAAATCAATAGTTTATATCTTTTAGCCCTCACTCACTAAACTGATTTCATGTATGTGTTATTTTCTGTCCTCACCAAATCTCCTGAACTCACCAGTCACTCTGCAAATCTTCTTGAAGCTTATCTGTTTCTCTCACACACACTGTTTTCTCTCCTTCTCCTCACACTTATGTCTGCTCATCTCTCTGTATGACAGGGCACTCAGATGATCTTCAACGCTGCCAAGGAGCTGGGACAGCTATCCAAGCTTAAGGTGACTCAAAAGAGACGACAGAAAAACCAAATACCTCGCTCAGAAAGCAGCCGTGGTGAAGACTGACACCTCTGTTTGGTTTCATTTGATTCACAGGAGCACATGGGGCGAGAGGAGGCCAAAGCGCTGACTCCCAAACAGTGTGCGGTCATAGAGCTGGCACTGGACACTATTAAGGTGTGCTATGACTTCTATTCATACTGTTTTGTCTGTACTGTACTGTCTCTGGATGAGAGTTTCACTGCTCATCTTGTAAGAAGAAAGAGGAAGGAATATGACAACTGTCCACGGTGTCTTTCTTGGTAGCTAAAATGGTAAAATAATTCAGCAATCCAGAGATAAAATCAGGAATAAGAATACAAATCCAAAGCTGAAAGGGCATCCAGTAAGAGTACACTGAATCAGCTTGAAAATCATGACAAAGTGCTCAAACAGACACCCACTGAGAAGTGAGAAAAATACTTACTTGTTCCAACACATCATCTTGAGCTAGCTTGTTGAGTACTGCTATAGCTGCTGGTACTAAAGTGCTTCTGTAGTGTTTTGTTCTTCCCTTCAGAGCAACAAACCGACCGCCAGAGTGTAGAAGCTGAAACTCAGCTCTCTCCGGATGATAACAGTCTGAATAAAGAGCTGGCCTTATGCTGCAGCTGTAAAGGACAGAGATCTGACAGGGTGGATTGAAATTTACCCACAGGCCTTCATTTCCACTCGACAATTCAGTTAAGAGTATTTTCTTTTTAAGAAAAACACAGCCGCAGGTTTTTTTTTAGGAATGGACTTGGAGCTGCAAATCGCAAATGCAACCATGCAAGTTGCCTTACAATGGAGACTTTAAAGGGATATTCCAGCGTAAAATTAATTTAGGGTCAAACACACTGTAACACTGAGTTAGACACCCCCTCGAGAGATGAATGTTGACGACTGCTTGCTTCTCTAGTTATACCAACTTAAGTAATGACCGCATGATAGCAATACACAGCAGTCCCAGCAGCCACGTGCTCAACCAAAAAGCCACTCTTTAGCCACAAATAATGCTCAGAACAGCACCTCACTTCATCAACAGTACATATAGGGTCCTAGACCACAGCACTAGCCACCAAACATCTTTTTAACTTTGACTAATTTCTTTAGCAAAGAGACTAAACACAACTCACCTACTCTCTTCCAGCAGCCACTTGTTTGCAGCGACTGCAGTGGGGTGACGCAGCTCAAGGAAGAACATTTATGATCATTACTTTATAATTTCCTTGAAGTAATAATCATCATTTTAATCATTTTGAACTGCACACGCAGTAGTTGGTATAACTAGAGAAGCAAGTTATCTCTCAAGGGGGTGTCTAACTCGGTGTAACGGTATGTTTGACCCTAAATTAATTTTAGGCCGGAATATCTCTTTAAACCAGAGTTGGAAAACCCAGTTTAACAAAAAATACAGATTAAACCTTTCTACCTAAGCCAAACTAACCAAACCAAACAAGTGTAACAGCCTCCCTTTATCCAGAGTGACAAAAAAATCCATATGTAAGTGTGTTCTCAAAACTAGTACCTGGTCCAGTCCTGGAAAGACGAGTACCTCAGAGAAGCTAATGAGAAACAACACAGAACTAACCAACTACAATTAATCTGTGAGACACACAGGGACAAGCTAGTCTCTGCCAAAGCTGGACCACAAATGACTCCCGACTCCTCTCTCATTGGTGTGGTGATCTGGGCTATGGACCAGTCAAGCCGTTTAGCTGGATGCAGAGATGGGCCGGAACATCTGCTTACTCAGCCACCCAAACCACGAGTTCAGAGAGCACTTCCAGAAAGGGTTAATCTCACGCAAACAGGGGAGAGTCAGTGACCACGGCTATGACAAAACCTTTGAAGTCATTGAGCCTGGTGAATAATGTTTAACGTAGCATGTGCAGTTTTAAATAAAGTCTTTTTGTACAAGTGAAGCTTAGTCCGTTTAGTACAGGACATCTCAATCATGCACAGTTTAACACTCTTAGCTGTCTCTGTTCCATGTCTCTGTATTCGCCTGTCTGTCAAGTTCGACTCCCACACACACCTATATTAAGTGTGTCTTGTCTCATCTGTCACACAGCAATACTTCCACGCTGGTGGTGTGGGCCTGAAGAAAACCTTCTTGGAAAAGAGTCCGGACCTGCAGTCTCTGCGCTACGCCTTGTCCCTGTACACGCAGGCCACAGACAAGCTGATCAGGAAATTTGTCCTCTCACAGAGCGCTCAGGGTACAACTTCAAACAGCATGCACACACACACACACACACACTGTTTCACAGCAGGTTCAAACAATTCCCCACAAAAGAAGCGTATGGAATTAAATGGGATTATAGGATTAAATAGAATAACTTGCTCACAGTGGAGGAAGAATGTTTAATTCATCGGTTCAGTGAGTTACAGTAGCCACGCTGTGAGAAGCATAACTATTATTTGCATGGCATCTTTATCGAAACACAGTATGAAATTAAAAAGAGCTCTTTCATGAAGTTCAGAGTACATCCTGTCCACTCGTTGGCAAGTCCTCTATCCCTCTTCTGATTCTAACTGTCTTTTCTTTCTCCCAGTGCACGGCGGGAAAGGGATTAGGTACTCGGCTAACGAAGACACACCGCCAGAGAAAGGTAGGTCTTATCAAACCTGCATGTCACCCTGAGCGACAGACAATAGCTCAGACATATGTGTGTGTGTGTGTGATCAAACCATTAAGAGCTAAAGATAATCTGACATAGCCAGTGAGCAGTATTACCCTCTCTTTCCTGGCTCTTTCCTCCTTATTTCATTCAAGCTCTTGCTTTTATTCGATCTATAGGAGATAGTATGACTTATGCCTGAGACTACTCATGGTAGATGGAGCTTTTTAATAACTGTGAGTGCACCCAGACAAATGACTTATGTCCTGAGACACTGATCACAAGAGTAAAAGTGTAGAAACTGCAGTTATCTGTCATGCACAGATTGTATATCACTGATGAAAAGGATTTTTTTTTTAGAAACTCGTGTTGCAGTTTGGATTCTGTCCACTTATGTCTGTTTCTTTTTTTCATCAATAGAGTGTTAAGAACGAATTACAAGCCATCACTGCATTACAGTTTACCATTTTTCTGCATGAGAGCTGGCACAGAAGCTGCTATACCCGGCCAAGTCCTGCTTGTTTGGTCATCACAGAGAACGTGTGTGTGTGTGTGTGTGTGTGTGTGTGTGTGTGTGTGTGTGTGTGTGTGTGTGTGTGTGTGTGTGTGTGTGTGTGTGTGTGTGTGTGTGTGTGTGTGTGTGTGTGTTTAAGCTGTCTGTATTTTTAGTCACAATCTGCCGATGCATCAAGGTTACTTAAGCCTTGGATCTCAGCGGTGCTACCTTGTGCTAATGGCCATCAAAAGATAAACCAACACACACACACACACACACACAATCAATTCCTTTGTGTTTTTCCACAGCGTCTGGAGTGGATGCCGTTGGTGAGGTGGTCATGTGTGTGGATATTTTACCGCAGCCTAATGGAGAACACAAGATCAGCGTGAAAGGTAAAAAAAAAAATAAGAGCAGAATAGAAGTCTTTGTGATTGTTCTGAACATTTTTGCCCTTCCTTTATTCCCTTTTTAACTCACACTATTCTCTGCCCACAGTGGTGGCTGCCAACGACCTGAAGTGGAAGGCTCAGGGCTTCAGGCCCTTCGTTGAGGTCTACATCATCGGCCCCCACCTCAGTGACAAAAAGAGAAAATTTGCCACCAAGTCCAAAAACAACAGCTGGTCTCCCAAGTTCAGTGAAAGCTTCCAGTAGTGAGTATCTGCTGTTTCTGTGGGAATACACCAGGGATTCATTTTACCTGAGTGCAAGCTGTGCACGTCCCTGCTCTTACTCCTGGAGGCTCATCATGAGAAAATACAATGCAGCTGTATTAAAGACACTATGGGGAGTTTTTAGCTGCTTGAGAAACTGTTAAAAAATCCTCAGAGGGAGTGATACATTTCTCTGTTACAGAACAACAGGATGACTTTTTTGTCTTTAAACACTGCTTTCACATGTTTGGGACAAGATTTAAGATGAATCACTTTGTGCACAGGGGGCGCCAAAACCCACACAAATCAAAGGTTTCTCACAGCAGCTTTAAACTTAGGAGGACTAAAGCATGCGTTGTGTATGATATCTGGAAATACACAGTAAGTAATATACAGGGCTCGACAGTGCGACCGTTTCACTCGCATTCGCGACTAAAAATAGATGTGTGCAAATTGTGAAATGTATTTAGGAGCTCATGTGCACATTAAAAAAATCAGCTGAGACAACAAATGTTTTTTCATGTAAATACTGCAGTGAAGTCAGTTCTAGGTTGGATATTCAACGGGCATTCACTGCGGATCTACTGGTGTCTTCTCACTCTTCATGACTGGAAATAGCAACAGCAGCACGGTTAAATTTACTCGCCATCCTTGCTGTCGACGTCAGGTGTTGATTAAGGGACCATCAATAAATTACCAGTTGATGTTCTCAAAAAAGGCTGTTTTCCTTTAATAGCTTCCACGTCATGTAACCAGATGACCAAAAATTGATTTCAAATAGTAGTACTAAGATCAGACAATAAGACACAAGTCTTTATTTCCCCAATTTGTCCTCTAAAAATTTTTGTGTTAAATTTAAAGGCAAATTTTGAACATTTTCTTCAAAAGCTTCAATGTCATGTGACCAAAAGACCTAAAATCGATTTCAATAATAGTGCTTATGTCGACCAATAAGACACACATAATTTGATCAATTTTCATTGTGCCCCTAAAGTTCTTTGTGTGTTCCTTACTTTTTCAACTTAGGAGCACATGTGCTCCTTGTAAAAAAAAGTTAGCGTCAAGCCCTGATATAGATATTAGGTTGTTATATATGATGCCAAATCTGCGTCTCTGTGTTTTAACAGAATCAAATCAGGAGATGCACTTTTTGTCCGAGCTGTTGTAAAAAGACTTTCAAATACTCACAATGTTACAAAAACAGACAAACAATCATCAGCACGTGTGCTGAACAGCTTTGGCTAATAGATTCAAAATGGTTTGTCCATGCAACTTTGTACCAGATTATTTTGGGAAAGAAAGTTTACTACTGTCCACAAGTGTTGTAGCAGGGTTCCAACGCGAGTATGGAATGTATGGAAATGTATGGAAGTAATTTGATCAATTCCCAGGTCTTAAAAATTATGGTAAATGAAAAATAAAGTATGGAAAAGTATTTTTGTTTCCAGACTATTACCACAGTTGTAAAATGCTGTTTTCTAAAAAAGCAAAGTAGATATTTCCAAAAATAAGTCTAAAAAGTAGGATATGGAGAAGTATGTAAATCCCAACTGTGTAGAAACCCTGTGCAAGAGTTTTTTGTGCCTAAAGCCCCTATATTGTGCTCATTTCAAGTTTAATATTTGCACCATGTGAAACCTCTGTTGTAGCTTTGCATGATTAGCTATTAAAAAAACTCCTTATTCAAGAAAGTTGGTCATGTTTAACCACATCTGTACTAAAACACAGACTCTGGCCTCATTAAGTATGACCATCCAACAGTGTAACAATATTAATTGATCTTTAAATATGAAACTAATGCTTCTTGAAGTTTGAATGTCCATTGAATGTAGGCTCTGACTTTAAAACACTGACCTGGTTCTATCTTGTGTTCCAGCTCGTTGGGCACTGAGGTGGGTCCGGAGAGCTACGAGCTGCAGGTGTGTGTGAAGGACTACTGCTTTGCCAGAGAAGACCGCACTGTGGGCATGGGCGTCCTGCAGGTAAAGGACATTGCCAGTAAAGGCAGCATCACCTGCTGGATGCCTCTGGGCAGACGCGTCCACATGGACGAGACGGGCCTGACGGTGCTGCGCATCCTCTCCCAGCGCAACAACGACGACGTGGCCAAAGAGTTCGTCAAGCTCAAGTCGGACCAGCGCTCTGCTGAGGAGGGCCGCAGCTGAGAACGGAGGGGGGCAGACGGGGCATAGAGCGAGGACACACACATGTGCACAAAACCCCATAGACATAGTATTATGCACACATATATAATACACACACTCCTACATAGATGTGCAATACACAAGGACACATATGAAATGCTCTATTGTATATATATATTCTGTATATCTGCATACATTATGCAACATTTACATTGCAATGTTATCAATGCAAACACAGAGGAACATGTTTATAAAAAGTCACCTTTCATTTGGAATATTTCCCACTCTGAGTTTAGGATTAGCTTCACGTTAGCAGCACTTCGTAATCCCTCACTCATCTTTTCCTGGAATACATTGCACCTTTTATATGCTGTACATTTAGAGACGATAGGATTCAGCGCAGAAAAAAAAAAAAAAACATGTGAATAGATCGAGAATGACCACTTTGCACTTCTGCTTCTCGGTGTCTTAAGGAGAACAGCCCTCGCCCAGCTGTGCTCCGTCCTTCTGTTTGTCCGCTTGCCTGCCTGACTGTGTGTCATTCTTCCAGTCTGTCAACCCCATCTTCCCCCCTGCCGTTTGCTCTGCGTAGTCTTCCTGAGGTGTTATCTGTTGAGTAAGTTGGAGTTCAGGCGCAGATCTAAGATCAGTTTCCTGCCCAAAAAATCCAATAGAGAAAAAAAAAAACAACAACAACAACAACGCACAGAACAGTACTGTCCTTAGATCAGAGTCCAGGGGCAACATCTCTGTTAGTGTGTCCTGTAATGTACAAACGTCCTGCATGTTGACCCCAGGAACACTGTGACTTACTTTACTGTCCCCTCACCACAAAAAAAAGATGGGTGCCTCTGATGTTTTTCTTGTTTGAGCATGGTGCATATATAACAAGAATTTATCGTTGTGACCTGACTAACCTTCATCATCATGGAGAAAACACCCCAACAGAGGAGAAAGCTTAGCCTGTTATGTGAAGGAAAAAGCAGAATGGAAGCCATTGCTTGTTTTCTTTGTTTACCTTTGTTACCTTTACTGCTTTACATCACAAAAATAAGGAGCAATACCCCAGAATCGAACACATCCGCACCCCTAGAGTGCACACAACTCCAAAAAAGGGCTACAGGATCAGTGGACTGGGACGTCATATCGAGCATTCGTACGCGCTCTCCTCGCTTCTGTTGGCAAAATGACCGCAAGGTTTTCACCACCCCCTCACAGTGCACACACTCCTTCAGAGGATCTCTCACAAACAACGCTGTGGAGGAACTTTGAGGAAATCCACGTGAAACCAGAAGGACACTTGACACAGGTCGATGTATCCGAACACAACTCTCAAAGGCAATAGTTTGTATGTTCACAGAACCTCGTGGTTTATACAAAGGACAAACCTTTCTGTAAACACTGCTGTGTCTTTTGTTACTGCGTGTGTGTGCATGTGCGTGAAGGTGTGTGTGTGCGTGCGTGCAAGTATGTGTGTATGGGCTGAATGTCACACCTGCACAATGGGCTTGGAAATAGTGAGCAATATATTGTACCTGCATACCCAAAATGTACAGCGCTGTCGATGTAACAACAGCAGCACCAACTGCAATATCCTGATGGAGGACGGAGAACTTGTGTCTTTTGTGAGTGCATAAAAAGTTGTTTATTTATGGACTCATAAAATCCCTGTCCCTGTATGAAGTGTGTGTAAACTTGTTCTCACATGTTTTGGATTAGAGAGAAATCCTATTTGCCTTTAATAGTAGGACCAAATTTGCACGAACAAGATCTCCAGTTTGTTTAATTTTTTAAACGAAAGAAGCCATCGGAGTCACCGCCAAGCTTTTATGTTGTTCATGTTCGACTCTTTAGTCTTGTCACGTGCGTCAAATGAAACCTTTTTAAGTCGCAGTCGCAGTCTCGTAGTTTGTTGGTGAAACTCCTTGAAGTGACAGCGAGTAAAAGCTGCAGTATGATTTTCCTGTCACTGAGTGGAGCAGCACCAGACGTCCCTGCTGGCCTGTCACATTGTCATACTGTTGGATCCTGCCAAAAAAAACAAACGTTTTAATGTTATTTATCAGCTGCAGAGCCATCTTTCATCAAAGTTAGTGTCAAATCAAAAACTACTTTGCCTTTAAATGAAGGCAACGCTTCAAGTCATGGTTCAATCATTATTTTTTGGGGGGGATTAGCCCTTTAAAGTGAGCTTATTCACCCTAACTAAGATTGAGTTCTGTTTCATTGTATGTAAATGTTACTTCTAGTATTCCCAGGTCTCAAGACTAAACTTCACATGTCGGGTTGCAGCTGAGAAAGCAACAAAAAAAATCCTGTAACACACCATCAAGTTCAGGGCTCGTTGGTTGCCTGCTTCACATTTGTGCACACACAAACAAATACATACACGCACACACACACACACACCTTTACACAGGTCTATGCTCAAGCACAAAGGGGCACATGTAAGAAGACACACATGCATGCATGCACGCTGACACAAATCTGTGGAGACCAATGACGCCCACCCCTGTGAATAAGATCAACTTACAATTGCATGACGGGAAAACTTAAGTGTGCCAGCACGTGTCTCTTCGATGTTCTTCGGCTTTTTCTTTCCCCTTGTTTTTTTAATTTCCAAAACGATGTGAAGATGAGTCATCAGTGTTTTTTTATGGCTTGTGAATACGTCATCTGTAACCAATATGAATGTAGTGTGAACACAGAACTCGCATGAGAGAATTATTTTCTACCGAGGATGTTTCTAATTTGTTTCTTATCATTATTGATTGTTCTTTAATGAGGATGAATAGGAGCTGGAATGCAGCCTGATTGTGATCTGCTTCCTATTAAAAGGACATTTGTGTCAGAATCTAAATGTCTGTTTTGTTATTCCCCCTGTGGTTAGAAAAGTGAGTCTAAACGGAACGATTTTGAATCTGTGCACCAATGAAAACACAGTCCAGATCAGACAAGTGCTCCACCAGATGCTGGTCGCTCTCACGTGGAAACAAAAGACTTTTTTTTTCATTGTCTCAAATCTTCAGCAAGAACAACCAGCTTTCACTTCACTGAGCACTCACTCTGCTCTGCTGTGACCTCTGACCCCTCTGTGGAGGGGGGAGGGGTGTATCACACACCCCCACTTTACACAAGTTGAACCAGATGTTTTAGCTGCTTGTCCACACCCTTAAGTGGAAACAAAAGGCTATTTCAGTAAAACGAAAAGTCAGCAGGAACTTTTCGTTTCAACTCTGGCAAACACACAAGACACCGGCGAGCAAAAATCATCTCTAGTGTTTGATTTCAGCTGAAATGTTTACACATGTTGAGTGAAGTAGCTTTTGTGTGAAATACTGTGAGGAGGATTTTGGCTCTTGATATTTTCTCCCTTTATAATTCAACCTGCCAAATATTTTTAGATCGATGTGCCAGTGAGCACAGGAGGTAACACGATCAATCAAAAACAGCATTTTGGTCTACGGAAAGAAAACAGGGCCAACTTAAAAACACTTACTTTACACAGAAGTGGCAAGACGTGATCAAATTTGAGACTGGCAAACTTACTACTAGTCACCTTAAAAATGTACTATAGACCCTTTTCTATATGACTTAAACATTACATCTTTAAGAGCAGCCCTCCCTTATACTTTAGTAATCCAAACAGTAAAAGCATCAAAATGACACATTTCATCCTCCGTACCCTATTAAATTGACATATATGCGTTTGGATTGTCTGGTTATACAAGCACTTCCTCCCAACAGAGCACTGCGATTCTTCTAAAACAGACCCTGATCTGTTGTTGTGCTGTCTTCAGGTCCCACCCTGGTGCTGTCTGAATTTTCTCCACCATTTAACCAATGTCTGCTCTCAGTTTTGCAAACATGTCTGAACTGCAGATTACCTGCTGCAGGTGTGTCTGTGCTGCCACCATGTGGAAAAGGGAACAGTTGTCTCACACGCCGCAGAAATAAAGACACAACACACGGGTTTCTTATTTTACAGTAAAAAAATGAAACCAAAAACAAGACTTTATTAAAGAAGCATAAAAAATAAAACTCTTGATACATTTCTTATAACCGTCAAGTCAGCTCAAATTATATGATTATACAATTTTCCCGGCTCACGGTTAAAAGGTCCATAAACTTTCAAATAAAATATATTTCAATTTTAAAATTTCTTCAATAATTTTCTCATTTTGTTATAAATTGCCTATATGTAGTACACAGGAAATAAGGAAAATAAAAAAATGGAAAAAAAAATAAATTTGAAGTAATAAAAAGGGTCACATTATTGTCTGGGATATTTAGGTAAGCAAATAAATTGTAAAAAATAAAATGTGTAAAAAGTTTTTTTTTTATCTTAAAAATTATTAGCTAATGCCAGGTGGCTTAAAGACATGCAGATGGTTAACTTACAAATAATGATACATGTTCTTTAGAAACTACACTTATCTTCAATTAAGTCATTTTGCTTTGAAAACAAGATCCCAATGATTGTATTCAGGGTATTTACACGCTCAGGTCAGGCCTGAAACCTAGTTTACTGACATTTTACATTTTGGTTCTGCATACAAAAAGAATTAAAGCAAAAAATAAGAGAGCGGAGGCTGAGGGGTGTCTGTCACCCCTTACTGGCGTGGCTCTCTTTGCATCCCCCCCTCGAATCACAAAAAAAGGTCAGAGGTCACTGGCTAGCATGCCTCAGGAAACCCTGTTTTCAAACCTTTCGTAAGGAAATGGGGGAGGGGAGAAGTTTGGCTAAAATAATAATAAAAAAAAAAAATCAGCAGTCAATCTGAAAAATTTGTACCTTTTTAACAATTCAACTACTGTACAATAAACCCTAACATTCTCTCATTGGCCAGAAATGTCCCAGTGCAACATGGGGGTCGACAGTAGACCCAGTCTGGCAAATAAAACACATTTCATCCCTTGAACACTTGGACAGCTTGGACAAGAAGGGCTTTTTTTTTTTTTTTTAAAGATTGGCCTCAACAGATTCATACAACAGTCACCTCTGATCTAATCATTCAGACACATTCACAGCCCTGCGACTGTTCCAGAGTGCGCACGAGTACGAGACAAAATGCAACATTTAACAGCCCAACGAGGACACGGGCCGCTGTGTTTGGACCAGAATGAGAACAGGGTCGTCAGGTCTGCAGTACGAGAATCAAAAAAAAGGCCCTCTCCCCACCGCTTTGTTCTTTAACCGTGTTTCAGCAGGGAGTTGCACTCAAGCACCATGGCATAGTCTTCATAAAGACTACCAGTTCAGCTCCTGGGCAGAGTTGTTTTTCCTACACGTATGGGCACACGAACTAGTGCACTGCTGCGCTCAACCAGGACAGCGACTTTTTTCAGATTCCTTTGTGGAGCTGCTGTCACACAAGAAGCAAACGAACAGTCAGACAGCAAATAAACGTAAAACTGGCTGGAGCACCAAAGCGCAGCAGCAACTGCCCAAATTTCAGCTATTTACTCAAGTAGAGTTACCCTTTGTTCCTTGATATTAAAACCCTACAATCTATCCTGACACGCTGCAAACCCACCGACAGGATCAGAGAGTGATGACTGTAGGACATTTAAAGAAAATAAAATACTACAAAACAACAAGCGAAAACATTCTGCAGCTGCTGGGATTTGAACACAAAGTGTGTCTGGAAGCCCTGGATGACCTAGCTACTAGCTGCCATAAAGGATAAGTTGATTCTACCTATTCGATGTATGTATGTGTGTGTGAGTGAGTGTGTGAGAGCCTGGAAAATGTGGTCATGTGTCTGTGCGGTCAAAGGAAGCCCTTTAAGAATTACGTGTGTCGCTTGAATTCTGTCGTCATGGCTTGTCTCATTCTATGAGCTGATTTCCATGTATGCTCTAAAAAGGGCCGCTAACAGCAACCGTGTACCACCAGCACCACACTGACACCGCCCGGATCATACATACAGTCTAAAACACTACAGGAGGCAGTTACTGCAAACTCACACTGGATTTAAAAACACAAACACTTAAACAGGATGGAACCGCCTCACTCGGGAGTAACTGAGTAATGCTAGGAAACACAGAACTAATCTCAAACAACTAACCATTTAGTGCACTACATTTGGCCAGGAGGACAGGGGTGTGTGTGTCGTCTGAGAGAGTGCCGAACAGCTTTGCTGTGAGAGTGGGGAGGAAGACCAAAACTATCAAAACAAACCAGTAAGAGCTGTTACTTTTTTTCGTTCATTTTTAGAGGGGCCAGGAGTTACAGTGCATGAAAAATCAAAACGATCAAATCGAGCCCCTTGTTATTGTTGTGTGGAGCGACTGTCTCTCTTCTAACCTTATTGGACAAAAACATTCACGAGTGACATCAGTAAAAGCCCTATCTTATCCTTTAATTCAAAATATGTCCGTCTGCCACTCAGCGGGCAGTCTGAGTAAAAAAAACTGAGTAGAAAACACTGAAGAAGCCGATCTGAGTGTAACAGACGGAGGATGTGAGAGAACATCCCAGCATCGATGGATGGATCAGAGCATCCACTTCCTGTAAGACTGAGAGAGTGAAGTGAAGGAGAGGAAACCAGATCTTAATGATGCTGATGTAACACAGCATGAGTGGGCATTATTCACACACACACACACACACACACACATACACGTACGCTCACACATACGCACACACACAAAAGAGAGAGAGAGAGAGAAGGATGTAAAGGGATTGTCAGGCAGCCCAAACTTGCAGAAAACTGACCTCAGACACATTCCTACAGCATCACTCCTCACATGTCTCACTTATTAAAGGAGAGTTAATGTGAATCAATGCAGCAGCCACATCTGAAATGTGGGGTAGCCTCTTCTACATGTTATTGTATTAGATCAGGAATTAATGCACGCCTATTAATAGCATTCATTTGGCATTGCTGATGGCTAATTTTCTTTTGTGGCAAAGAGAAACAGGAGTTGATCTTAAAGGAGGTCCCCTGGGTGTATTGTTCTGCTAGGTGCCCGACTACATGCCCGACCTTTTAATAAAAAAGTTCCAAGCGTACAGAAAAATAGCCGCCCCCCCGCCGCTTCATGTCACAAAAAACAGCATGAGTGAGAGAGCAGGAGGGGGAGAGAGCGGGGGATTTGTCGGAACAGTTTGTGTCCTGTCGAGAACATTAAAATAAGTAGAAAAGTGCAGGCCTCATTGACAGCTTCATCGAAAAATATCTGTTAAGTACAAAAGTGTCAAAAGGAAAGGCTGTGAGAGAGAAAGCAGGCAAAAATCTGAAGAAGCCAGAATGAAGAAATGTAGAGATGGACCGGTCAGCAGTGCGGGCCGCTGCTGGTCAAAATGAAGGCCTGAAGAGAGATAAGACACTAGTTTCCTTCCATAAGTTCACCACCGAGACCGTCTGAGCCCCAACTGTCTGCAGACGCTTTCAATTACCTCTAGAAATAAGTCATTGTACTTATTATTATTATTGTTATTATTAACTTTGACAGTTATCAGCAATAAATCAACATCCTTATAGTATCATCATCTCTATTAATGCATTTATTATGGTCCATCATGTGTGTGATAGTTATTAGTGTGAATCCTTCCATCGCCACCGCCACAGCTGATGCCCCCTCCAGTCTTCTTCCAGCTCCCCTCCTCCTATGAACCCACCCCCTTCTGCAGAGCATTAGGAGAAGATGCGGATGCACTGTGTGGTAGGGGTGTGGCAAACAGGGCACTCTGGCTCAGCTGACTGGCAGATTTGCCCAGCACACTCCATGCAAAACAGGTTGTGGCCACAGGGCACCAGGGCCGCCGTCACCTCGCTCTCGAAACACACAAAGCAGTCCCTGTTGATTCCGGGGCTGACGCCCACCAGACCTGTCACCCCTGGGCCTCCAGAGCTGCTTTTGAGCCGGCTCAGCATCCCTGAACTCAGGCCCACGCCACTGCCGCCTCCCTCAGAGTCAGTGGGTGAGCCACCAGGCAGAGAGGAAGCCGAGCAGGAGGAATAGCCGGTAGATGAGCCGCCTGAGCTGGAGCTGGATGCTCCAGAGAAGGAACCGCCGCCAGCGCTGCTGGACTGAAGCCAGGAGAGCGTACTCAGGGGATCACTCTGGGCACGGCGAGCCAAGGGGTGATCCATGGGGCCCACACCAGCATCCTGAGGCAGAGTTGGAGACAATCGTGGAGTGATGGCGCCGCCGCTGAGGCCGCTGCTGTTTCGACGTAGAGGCTGCTGCTGCTGCTGCTGAGATGAGCCCGAGGCCTTACTTCCTGTCCCGCCATTGACGAAAGGCGCCCAGATATTGGAGGCAGTGAACTCAAAGCCAAGTTCATCCGAGGAGGGAAGTCCTGGGGTAGAGTCGCCCCCGAAAGTGAATCCTCCTCCAGCGCTGCTGGAGCCTGTGCTAAAGGGGCTGGTGGGGCTGCCTCCCTCATTGGCCTTACGGGTGTTGTTGTAGCTGTCTGAGCCCATCCCGCCGTTATGCGTGTGGTAGCCAACTGACGAGGACATCTTCCTGTTGGAGGAGGAGTGGTGCATGGACATAGAAAGAGCAGGGGGTGGAGAGGGTGGAGGAGGAGGTGGGGCAGAGTGATGGCCAGTGGCTCTGGACCACAGAGATGCTCCTAAGCCTCCGCTGAGGGCGCCGAGGCCTTCGAGACTGACGTCTGTGCCGTTGGTGTGGAAGTCGTTGTCTCCCTGCAGGTCCACAAAGGTTCCAGTTCTCAGGGTGATGTGGGTCTCGATTTCCTCCCTTGCCCTGTCCACGTTCTCTGGCATGCCGGTCACCTCGAAAACCGGGTCCTTCTCTCTACTCGGTGTCACGATGTAGGTGTGAGTCTGCTGCTGGATGCGCTTGATGGTTGCTCCCTTTGGTCCAACGACTAAACCCACTACTCTGTAGGGCACCCGCACCTGGAGCGGAGAGGAGAGAAACGGTTTATCCTTTGAACCAAACTGTTGTTTCTTCTGTGGTCAAACATAGTAACATAAACACGCTGTCTGGAGGTTTTCCGTACCTGTATGGTGGTCTGTCCGGGTAAGTGTGGCGGTCCAGGTAGAGAGCCTCCTCCTCCGGGAGCTCCAGCTTTGCAGCGAGACGCCCTGATCATTGAGAAATGCTCCGCCGCTGACACTATTTCTCGTTTGGCCATTTCCACATCCTCCCTGCGTCCCGTCACGATGAACACCGGGTCTTCGCCTCTGACTGGAGTCTTAATGTAGGTGTTTGTTTTGGCACGTAGGGCCTTGATCTTGCAACCTGAAGGGTGACAGACACATACAAATATAAGTAAGATCGGGTTTATACCAACAATTACAAATTCACATCACAATGAAGGACCTGAAGGTCTGACACATGGACCATACCACAGATTTCAAAACTTTTTTAGTGGACAAATGAAATTCAGAGGTGTTTGTTAGACTTTTAGGAGATCAAGACTCTGTCGTGATGTTGTTCAGATAGTGAAACTAATTTAAAACAGATGAAGAGGACAAAATAAAAACACAAATTATAATTGTAAAACATCTCTGTATAGTCTAAATAATTTGAAGTCAATTAGTTCTGTTTTTGAAAGAGTTAAAACACCTTCACAAAGATTCAGTTGACTGGACCTGCAGAACAGTAAAGTCTTCATTCCTGAGGGGCATAATTTTCCAGGCACACAGTTAATTATCATTCAGATTGATTGGGATGAAACATGGGATACTTTTCATTATTGATTTAAATTATTTTTCTCACTAATTGGATGCCATGTATTAAATTAGTATTGCTAAAGGCACTACAACATGTCTTGTTTTGAGAGACAGTTTACACTCATTGGGGGATTAAGAGAGAAATATATTCCATTGAATTGAGGACACTGTAATAATAAGAGAAACAGCCTTTTTTTGACGACTTGCACTGACTAACTGATCAGTAATTCATTTAGTGGGTGATAAATAGCCAGTCAGGCTTTGCAGCTCGAGATCAGTAATGAATCACCATTCCTTAATCCTCAAAACAAACCCAAAAAAGAGAAAAAATAACCACACTGAAGCCTTGCTTTTGTCTTTAAAAACCGTCTACTCATATTGCAACGGAGCATTTTCACATCATAATCACATTTTCTAGCTGGAGCCACAACAGCAGCTGTACACGAAAGAAGAGCTCGGAGTGAAATTCTGCTGCACTGTCTGCTTGTGTCAACTCATGCTCCCTCCAGCCCCTCATCTGTGCTGCTGTTTCTTTAAATATGGACGCCGAGCTCTCAGCGACCAATGGGACGCGCGGAGTGTGATGTCATCCTGGGAAGCAGAAAGCATGGCTTTTTCAAACAAAGGGAACAATGCCGTAACGCTACCGCGGCCGCGACGGCTAAACTACATCCACATCATGAGGGGAAACATGATGGGGAGCAGGCGTTGGTGAAAATACGGTGATTTGAGGAAATAGGAGAGAAGGCAGCGGCTACTGCAGCAGCAGCATCGGCAGACAGGGATGGGTGCAGGGCGTAACACCGCCCAGTCCCGTGTTTGTGAGCCTGCTGCCCCGTTTCAGCCTGAAAATCTACACGTAAAGCCCGAAATAATCCACCGTAAACACACGCAGGGGGCTATGATAGACAATTACGAGCTCAAATTGATCATCCAGGAGTGTATTTTCAGAAAGCGACATATTTCGGTGTGTTTCCTTTGTTTGGTGCAGGCTGCCAGACATGTCCAGACTCCCGACAATCTGCCGCTTTGTCTGACCCTCTCCCACCCCTCCCCCTCTGCCTCCTACTCATCAACCTCACTCTCTCACTTACTCTGTCAAAGCATTGTCTCAATACTCCTAAAAAGAGCATGTAAATAAAGAAGGTGGCGCTTTTTAAAGAGAGAACCCGCATTATGTTTCCACTTTAGACCCATCAGTGGATTCACTCCGACCAAAAGCACCAGGCTGTAAAAGTTGAGAGACCCTCCTCTCACCAGGCAGCCACCCAAACAAAGAACCAGCAGGCTGCATGCTGTCTGATCATGCTGTCCACAAACACACAAACAAGCACATAAATCTTTACAAACAGTCCTGGTCTTACCTTGTCTTCCCACTATTTCTGCCACATGTTCAGAGCTGGGCACAGGCACACATTCAGTCATGTTGACACTTCTCTTCCTGCTGCAGAGGACCGAGCTTTGTTCACCGTGCAGCATGGGGTGAGAGCCGGCCATGTGGTACCCGCCCGAGCCGTAGTACTCCGGGGATGGAGAGCAGGACGTCGGCGAGTCCCGGGACCCACCGGGATGCTCCATCATCTGTAGATCCACGTAGCCCCCTCCGCCCACGCCATTGCAGCCCTCAGAGCCCGGACCCTGAGTCCCATCCAGAGGGTCTACCATCCCGCCGCCGCCTCCGCTTCCACCACCACCGCCCCCACAGTCCACCTTCTCCATGGCCATAAGTGACAGCTGGTCCAGGGCGAAGCGGAGCGCCTCTGAGTGGTCCTCTTCCCGGGACTCCTGGTCCGTCTCCCGGGGTAGACCGACCCCGTTATGCTGGCTGATCACCACGTCGTGGTCCATAATCTCGGGGTGGAATAAAGGGCTCGGCATAGTCTCTCCGTTGATCTCACATCAGATCACGGATGCCTGTTGTTGTTGGGAGTGAGCTCACCCTCTCTCACTTCTGAAAGAAAAACAATATAAAAAATTTAAAAAAAATTCAATGTTTGTTTACCTTGAATGAGCACCGTACACCCGCCTATCTATCTATCTATGAGGCATGAAGCGGGAGCAGCATGGAGAAGAAGCAGGAGCAGCAGCAGCTGTGTTGATTTGGGCGCCTTGCTTTGTCTGTTGTTGCTTCTTGTCTGACAACTGAATCCATCCAGGAGGAGGCTGGTTGTTTTGTCAGGGAAATCTACACCTATTTTAACCACTGAGAACAACCTCTTCTCCCATGAGTACACACAGAATAACCATGGTTCTAACTTGGGGACATTTTGTTTGCATACATGAATCTAAATGTAAAGAGAAAACACAAATATAGAAGCTGTTGTTAGCTCCAGCAGTGAAGCTAACAGGCTAGTCCCACACAGTCGGCACTCAGTCACGTTGCCGACCCCTTTGTTTGGGAGCAGCAGCAGCAGCTAGCTTGGTTAGCTTCCTCTGACAGTCCAACTTGTGCTCAATCTCCCAGACAAGCCGCGGTGGCATTTTTAAAATAATTTTAACAAAAGTGAGAAAAGCACACCAACTTACTCTGTCCTGACTTTTAGTCGACGAGCTCCCCTCTTCGCTTGTCGCCCACTTCTTCTTGAGGGGAAAGATGAGAAGCAGCCAGCAGGAGAAGAAGAAGAAGAAGAAGCAGGAGGAGGAGGAGGAGATCTGTGTGCTTGTGCAGCAGCAGCAGCGCTATGTAGCTAACGAGGTGAGCTAGCTAGCACGCTAAAAAAGGGGGGCGTAGGAAGAGAAAAGCGTTAAAAGCCAAAAATATGTCTGTGTTATTTTCTCCCGTGGATGAGGAGTCAAAACATAAATCCTCTGGGTATTACTGCGTCTTCATTATGTAGTCCGTCAGGGGGAAATTGCTGCTGAAATCAGAGGTTAGCAGTTACCTTTTTTAGTAGATATATATATATAAAAAACAGTGTTGGTTCTCGGCTCTCTGCTGCTGCTGCCTGACCCCGGTCGGTCCGCCGCCTTTGTCTCGCCAGGCGCACGCCGCTCCGTCTCCCGCACACGGCACTGACGTCACCCGCGACACAACAAAGGGTTCAAAGGCCACATGCAGCAGCAGCAGCAAGGGGGAGAGAGCAGCATCCACGCAAAGCCACTGCTGCTGTCACTGCCATTGTGTCTGCCAGGCTGCAGGGCACTATATATCGACCACCCCAACCCCACCCCACCTCCACCCCCACGCGTGTATTTCTGTTAAAGATTTATTTATTTATTTACTTATAAAGACGAGGAGCTCATGGTTGGGTGTGTTCATCATGGCTACCGATGAGGTGTTTTCCTTTTTTTTTTGGTAGTTCAACAACAGCATTGAAGGATGCTCCCTCAAAGGAACTACTCAGACGGTGATTTAATACAGAGGACAACATGTGCACCATGTATTTCTCTCATGTAACGTAACACAAACATTCTGGGTTTACATTCACAAATGGACAAAACAAAAAATTACAGTATTTTCATAGTGTATTTCTTTAGATCACAGGTGTCAAACTAAACCACAGCAAGGGCCATAGTCCGAATTTAAGTCTTACCTGAGGGCCAAACAGGGTCAACATTTCACCAAAACTGTCAACCTCATTTTTTACAAAAGCAGTAATGATTATAAATCATTTGGAAATTCAAAAAACATAAAAAGTTAAGGTTTTATTTATTGGTTCAAAAGATCAGAGCATGACATTGAAAATAGAAAAATAATGCTTTTAAAGGGCAAATACATGAGGAGAACGTTGAAATCAGGTTTAAAAGGTCAAAATATGACTTTAAATTTAAAATTGGAAATCTAAAGTGTAAAAATGACACGTCTAAATACTGAGTTGAACAAAGCATGAAATAAAAAATCCAATCATGTTTGGCTTGTTATCTTGAGATGCAAAATTGAAAACATGAAATAAAACACCGAATATGTTTTCCCCACATTCTTGACTATTTCTCAAATCTTCCTTACTCTTCAATTTCCCAGATTTCCTTTGCTTATTAAGGACATTTTGAATAAAAGTGTTCAAGTTTACATTATTATACTGGAGGAAATCTGCAGACTTCATACTGGTGGGCCAATAATAATACAAATCTGATATGATCTTGTGGGCCAATTATAATTGACCCACGGGCCAGATTTGGCCCCCGGGCCTTAAGTTTGACACCTGTGCTCTAGATAATGTTACTTTTGGAATAATACTACCTAATAAAAATGATGAACTCTGTTGCAATGTAATCTTATGTCTTGCCAATTATTTCATCCATAAGAATGAAGTTATGAGATCATCCCCCAGATTTATTGTTTTCATAAACGAATTTAAGATTTTAGATTTGAAATCTCTTAAAACATTAAATGGTTTGAAGGAACAAAAGTTCTATGATAACTTAAAGTGTTCTCCCACTGATATGAACAGCTAAAAATGTCTGTGCATTTCAGAGTTCATTTTAAGATTCTTTTATTTGTTTTTAAATCTTTAAATGGTCTGGCTCCATCTTACCTCTCTGAACTTCTCCACCCCTACACCCCTGCTCGGTGCCACAGGTCAGCTGATCAGCTGCTCCTGGAGGTACGGAGGTCCAAACTGATGCTCAGAGGGGATAGATCTTTTTCTGTTGCGGCCCCAAAATTATGGATGGAGCTACCCTTCCAAATCAGACAAGCCCCCCACACTGTCCATTTTTAAAACTTTTCTTAAAACCCATTATTATTTATTGGCCTTCAACCCTGCATGAGGCTTCTGTTTCAGTGTTTTATGGTTTGTTTTTAGATATTTGTTTCTATTGTTTTTAAATGAGTTTTTAAAAACATTAAAACTATATTTTACTTTTTAATATCTGCTTTTATTTTATCCATTGTTTTAATCGTTTTTTTGGTTGTTTTTTTAATGTCTGCGTTGTTTTGTCTATTCATGTACAGCACTTTGTTCAGCTGTGGTTGTTTTAAAGTGCTTTACAAATAAAGTTGAGTTTTAAAAAGAAAGAACACCCTTGTAAAGTTTTGCATAGCATAAATTATTTTATTTATTTTAAGTTACTTTTATGTTTCTGTTTGCTTGTTGATCCTCAACTGTTTTTTTTTTCTTCCCCTGTCTAAACATGCATTGTTGCTTTCCCATATTGTTAAGTATTTCTCACTGATAGGTTATTTCAATATTGAAATTACTGTATTGAACTGATTCTGCTGTTTGGAATTGTAATTTTGTTAACTCTGAATAAAGCATTAAAAAAGCACCGAAGGATGCTCATGCAGCCTTTGAAATCTAATTTTTTTATGAGCTCAATTATTAATTAAACATCCCATTTATTGAAATTACCTTTCCATGTTCAATCAATCAATCAATCAGTTTTTATTTCTATGGCACTTTTCATACACAACCATGTATCACAAAGTGCTTTACACAGAAAAAGGAATAAAAGAAACAAAGAATACCCAAATCTACCCCAGCCCAACCCCTCATTCCCACCCCACGATCTAAATGCAACAAAAACAGTATTAAAATGCATTAACTTAAAAAGGGCTTGATTTAGTGGAAACAGGAATGTGCGCACTGAGGAAACCTAATCTTAAAACTCAAGATCAGGAAACACTGGAGGTTTTAGGTTAAAATCTAAAATCAAAGTAATGTAGAATGAAGTTTGAGAAATAATGAATAAAATGAAATAAAAACAGTAAACAGTAACAGTAAAAGATACTAACATTAGAGCACTAAAATAGCTCAATAAAAGACGATCCTGTCATTAAAACTAGAAAGGGATAAATGCTAAAACACTTAAACCAAGGTAATGATATAAAATTTTGTTAAAAGCAAGACCAAAAAGGTATGTTCTGATGTTATGTTTACACTCATTCTGTTGGTTTGCAGGGATGCACATCTTGAAATAGATGCAGATATTCTAGTTAGAGTCAAAACTATGACTGCCTTGATGTAGTGATCCAAAATATGAAAAATGGCTCATCTTACCCCACTCTCCCCTATAAATTTGACAATGAAATGTTTTATTTTTCCATACTTTGCTTTTGAATTTCTACTTTTTGTATCACATGTATTTGATAAACCAGTTTCCTTGTGCACTGTCTTTTGTTAGTGTCCAAATCATCTGTAGCAGCTGTCACAACTCATTGTCACTCAATGTACCCTTTAAATATGTTTACAGTCTTGCTTGTCCTCTTGATGTAATTATTTAAAGACTGTTTTTTGTACATCACAAAAGTCAATGAGACATTTTAACATTCCCATATGTGTATGTTTAACTACAACAAGCCACGATGAACAATGAAAGAGTAGAGAACCATTGTATTTGCTTCTCCTGTCCTTCCTGTGTTTATAGAGATCCTCCTTGCAGCAACTATTTTTTCCCTCCTTGTGGTGCTTGCTGGGCTGCAATTACAGGACAGGAGGACTGAAGGCCAATGTTAAACTGAACACCAGCAAACTTTGAGGAAAAAAAATCTTTGTTCACACAACTCGGGCATCTGAAACCTCACATCAGCTTTAATGCTGTGGATTTATGAAAGGAAGGACAGCAACAGTGATAATCAACTCATTCAAATGGCAGGCAGCAGTCAGAACCTTGTCCACTTTCCACAGGCTTCCTCGAGTGAAAGACAATAAATGACACCAGGGAATTACAAGCTGCATTTATTTGACAGTGACAAATACTGAACTTAGCAGCGAGGTACTGTAAATCTTGTTATGAGGTTCATCAGCATTATGGTTTATGTTTTTTTTTTTTGTATTTTTGTCAATGTTTAAACTCAAATGTAGTTGGCAAAACAACAGTGATCATTCTTTCGTCAACACAAATACAATGAGTCAAATGTCAAAACTATGTAAACTGAGGTCATCCAGAGAAGTAACACTATTTTCAACAGTAAAATCTTAAAATCAAACAAGGTATCATTTTCAATATTCGCAGCCAGAGCGCTGCGTGAATGTAAACAAAACGGCGACATTTCTATGCTTCCAAACATCAAAACACATTACCTACAGTGCCAGAGGAAAATATAAAAGAGCAACATGTTCTTGTAGAACCGCTTATACGTCAGCATGAACTGATACATTCACACACAATCACACACAACTGAACTTACATCAGGTCTGTATTTGAAACTTGAACAGCTATTACCTAAATTTAAACTGCATGGTAAAGAGCACCATCCATAACTGCATTACACTAGTAGAGGTAAACATGAACTGAAACTTAGAGCACCTTTTAGGAATTTTACTGTTAGAAAATGATCAGTCCCATCAAAATCTTCAGAATGTCTGCGTTTAGGAAACAGTTTAGTTTGTGTGGAAACAATAAAAGTCTTAATGGGGCCGATTTTTAAAAGAAGAATTGTCATGCAAACTTCATGTCAAACTAGCATGTAGGAGGGATAAGAAAGAGTTATGTGTTGAGAAGTGTACAACAGGTCGTTGGGTGTAAGTCAATCACAAACAAGAAAGGTATCAGCAACACTGAAACCAGTCCTCTGTACGCGTGTACCTTCGCTATAATTCCTCCTTGTCAACCTGCTCGTCTTTCTCCTCTGCTTTATCGGCTCCTATGTCTGCAGTGGTGTCCTCTATATGAGCCAGCATGTCAGCTGTGAGGGCTTCCTCCAGCCGCCTCCTCACATTCTGCACCAGGACCTCCTGCTTTCTGATGGACAGAAAGAAATAAAAAGAGGCAGTGATGAGAATAAGCTTTTCAGGATGATGGTGGAAAAATGTCGTCTCCACTTCCCCTTATATAGTGGAACACTGACTGCAATTTTTCAGGACTTTATGTACATATATTGGAGTGCAATTTAAGTCTGCATTTTAGCAAGTGTTAAGGGATGCCCCCCTGCACTTAGATGCTCTGAGAGTTCACTGCAGAAGGAAATGCATTTGTTTTAGTCATGATTATGCATTACAAAGTTCATTGTGGGATCTTGCTTCATCTCCTGAATCCAGAAACCTCAGAAGCTTCTGTATTTTGGAGCAGACATGGAGGTGAAGTTAGATCGTAAAGTTGTAAAAACAGCTGGAGGAGGCATCCCTTTTTTTTTTTACAAGAGCTACACACTTAAACAAAAGGGTCTCTTGATCTCTTCATCACAGAAGTTACTTCACAGTACAGGATGTCCAAAAGCAGCAAGTTCATCAAAGAAAAATATAAATTGTTGGCATGAAACACTAAAACATCCAAGAGACAGGAGGGAATATCCACAAGACAAGAAAGGACAAAAGACAAAATGTATCGAATCCCAAAATGACTCAGTCACGCCGAATCGGTTTGGTCAAAGAGCTCATTTTCATACTCAATAAATGAGATCCTGCATTATCCCCATCTTTGTCAGAAATACTTCAAATTTTCTTCAGCAGAGTTATTTTTTAAAGAATATTCAACAAAAACATTTTGACAGACAAAAAATAAAGTCAACTTAAGCACATTTACCAAAAGGCCTCGGCCCTTATGGCCCTTGAAAACAAGTTTGAGTTGACGGGTCTGGTCCGTACACTGGATCCAAGATTTAGGACAGTTAAAGTACCACCAAAATGAAGTTAACCTCTGAAATGGTTTATTATGCTGTTCATACCCATTTTTCTCTAGTATGTAAGAAGCATTAGGAGATGCTCTTCCAAAACAATACCTTAGCTGGGATCTCCAGTATGTAAGCAAATGCACTCTGATAAAGACCCAAACAAGTGAACTGAGATTGCATACAAGAGTTGTTGTGGCTCACTGGATGAGAACTCAATTGAACCAGCAGCCAGAATAGATATCTGTTTGACTCGTCACACTAATAGAAGTATGCTCGTAGTAAGAGGTTAGCAGAGGGGCTGGTCTTCAGCAACATCATCGAACTCCACAACATCTAGTGACTCATTCAACAACTGGCTTAGTACAGAGAATTTTTTCCAGCTTGTCGAACCACAGGAATTTGTCCTCATCACTGGAACCTCTACTTCATACAAGCTACTGTCATACCTTTACATACTGCTCATTCAATAAGACATCTTTCAATTTCTCTGAAGGAACCTTCCCTAAAGGATTAAATCTTGTCCGATCTCCAGATGGTCCTACATCTTCATTTTGCCCTAGGTTGACTGGTTATTGGTAGTTTATGTCAAGTTTTGGTCTAAAACCAGCTTTTAGCCAAATGTGTCACTTGTAAATGCCTTTGTTTTTTTTTATTACAAACTTACCTAATGAGAAAATGTCACCATATTATCAAAACAATAAACTTAAATGTGCTCTTGGGGACTGCGCGTTTCATCAGCTTCTCTAACCATGACAACAGCTGACATATTTGGCTGGAAGTTTCCAGATTACAGGGCCAGTCCTTAAACTAAAACAGTGGCGTCCCACTTTGCAAAGCGCGACCAGTAGGCAAGGCATTTGTTTACCTACTCGATGAGAGAAATGAACCTGTGGAATGATGTGAGGACAACTCCGTCAGGGTGTGCGCTTGATCCCACGGTGTTAACACAATGAAAACATTTTTCAAATACTATACATTAAAGCAAAGCAAGTGAGCTACAGGTGTGGAAACAGTCTACGTTTGTTTGCATAGCTCTAGCCTTTATTAATGTGACCATAAATGAACCTAATCAACCCACAACTTACCCAGAGGTGATGAGTTTCCACCCTTGTCAGAATAAATCACAGGTCTTATTTGATCCGTCTCATAACGATTTAAAGGTTGGTTGAAAACCTGGTTGACCCAGATGTGACTGAATGAAACAAACCCTAAACATGTTCATGCACTGAGTCAAATCTAGGGTCCAAGGCTTTAAGACAGACTGGCAAATGACCTACTCTTGTCTATCACCAATAACAGCATTTTCAGTCGTCCAGGAAATTTCAAATAAAAGCTCAGAACTTGGACTAACTTGTTGCATGACTGTGTAGTGTGTGCACCTGCCGCACTACAGTATACTTCTACAGTTGATCTGATTCCCAGTCGACGTGATGGATGGCCATTTTAAAAACAACAACCTCATACCCAACGATAATATTAGCTATCAGAAACCAAAGTAATGGTTTCAGCTGGTGGATAACTTTATCCTCCTTCTAATCATCATACCTGATGTCTTCATCCGTCACCACAAAAGCTTTGCAGAGAGGCTGCCCTGTGTTGAGCCAGACTCCGGGGTTTTTCTCCACGGCGGCGGTAAGCTGTCCAGTGACAGGCGCAGGGCTTGTGTGCAGGGCGCTGGCGATGGCAGAGAGCAGTGTTTTATCTGAACTTGCAGGGCCAACACCTAAACCAGGGGAGAAGAGGGAAGCAAACATGAAGCTTCACAAAAGGATAACAGGCTTTGATTCATACAGCGCTGTTATTTTGTAGTTACCCTCACCCTGTAGGCCTTTGGGCAGATCCATAGTTTTCACCAGCTCCTCAGCGATGTCAAACGCATTTAACCCACTCAACTTTCTCTCCCAGAACAGCTGAAGGTTAGAGAAAAACAAAAAGACTTTCCTACTTCAGAACAAAATCCTCAACTTCACAGTCAAGTTAGACAGAGATGTAGTAAGGTTTAGAGAATGGATGAAGAAAAATTGGTCAAATGAAACAAAAGATGAGTGAAATATTTATGTATCTGAAGAATGTTTCAGCAGATTGAAATTTACACCTCGACTCTGACTCACTTGTTTGGGCTGGTCCACAGCTTTCTGTGGGTCTGTCTTCACCTTGTTGTTGGGGTGATTTGTTACCTTGGTAACTGGCTGTTTGAAGATGGATGCTGTCTGTCGCACTGGTAGTGTTGTGTTTAAATCAGGCTTTACCTTTAAAAGAAACAACAACAGTAGGGATACTTTAATATCCTTTACTCATGAAAAGTAGAACTTTTCAAAAATGACTCGGTCAGAAGTTCCTGTACAATTTTACAACATAAAAAATAAATACATAAAAAGCTGTGGTCATGTCGTTCTGAGAGGGAATTTGGTAGACTTGTGGCACATTACTTTGAAACAGTCTGTGTGAAAGATTCATCAGAAAATACAGCAACAGAGAAGTCTATGGTAACTTATTAATTAAACATCGTCCATAATTACTTATATCCTAATCCTGTAAACTGAACTCATTTTGTTTCATCATTGCATGAAGTGCTGTTGTTGTCGCTGTTGTTTTAATCTTGCTGCTGTCCCGTAGGCCTGGACGATATAGAAAAAAAGCATATCGATAAAAAATAAATCATATTGATCGATATCGATAATTATCGATATAATTATTATAATTATTTAACATATATTTTAATTGCAGCCCTGGATGTTTTATGCTATTGCTTAATGACCTACTTTTAATAAAGAACACACAAGCACTAAAATCAAATTCAAACCTTTATTCAACCACCTTTTTATTTATTTTTTTACCACAACTGAAAGTTTTTTAAAAAAGAACTTAAAAAAAAAAAAAGAAATCAACTTAAGTGGCCTGAGTGACGTCAGTAAATACTGACAAACATAAAGACTAAAGTGACCAGAAAATCTGATAAATAAATATTTAAATAGTCTTTTGATGAAAATAAACAAAACAAACAAATATATAAATAAACAGAATAGCTTTAGGTGGGAATAGCATACTACCAGTTTTAACTGTGTGGGAAACTGCCCACAGCCTGGTGTCTCCCGGGGTCGGGAGATTTCTTTTTTTTAATTATCATATGATTGACTTAATACGCAAACTGAGCACGAGAAGCAGGACTTATCCACGCCGGTGTTGTGTCGTAGAATGCACCCCTGCCGAACGCACCCCCTGCTAGTAGCCATGATCCAAATACTCGCGTATGAGCTCATTTTCTTCCACTTTAAGAAGCTAATGAGTGGACGGGATGCAGGGGTGCATTCTACAGCACAACACCGGAACGTATTTCCTCCGCACCCTTCTCAGCTTTTCAACCCCTGACCCGTTTTCATGCCTGAAGCGCTGTGTTTGAGAAATACTTGCGGCCGGGCACTTCATATCGCGGGTCGAGAGTGGCTAGAAGCTGGTCGAAGCCAGGCTTTTCAACGGTAGTTATTGGCAGCATGTCACTGCATGGGTGATGTCCTTATGCCGCTTGGACGCTTTGTCGTATTTTGGCAAGAAACGAAGTCCAGTTTGGTCTGCTTCACATGCTTTGTGCTGGTGCTGGCAGCGGTTCCAGAGGATTCCTCCTCCGACGACGTGGAGCCGCGGCGCGGCCGACACAGCTCGTACTCCTGCGGGTGCTTTCGGTTTAGATGGTAGAACGAGTTGGTTGTGTTACCAGACTTGGTTTTTACTAATTCTCTGCAAATTTTGCAAACGACCGCTGCTCACTTTTTGTCAGACTTGTAAAAACCAAAACATTGCCATGCTGGTGAACTACTGAAACCTTTTTTCGGGACAATTTCCTCCGCTTCTCCTTGCTGTAACATTTTTTCTAATACACGTGCTGTCTGTTGTGGTTTGATAGGGGCTGGGCTTGGTGCTGTAGCGTACCTGGGTCTGCGTTTGTGATTGGTTGGGAGGAAGTAATGACTGTAGTAAAAGCTACATGATAGGCTATGATGAAAAAGAAAGGGAAACTGTGTTTTTCTATCGAACTTTTTATCGACCCGTTTTTTTTCTATCGCACCACACGTCTATCGATCGATATATATTGTTATCGAATTATCGTCCAGCACTACTGTCCCGTCTCTCTCTCTATCTCTCTCTCACCCTTGTTCTCTATTCTCTCTCCCTCCCTCATTCTCCTTCTCCTTATCTTGTTCTCTTTCTCTCCCCCTTCCCTCTCGCCTACTCTTCTCTCTCTCTCTCCCCTATCTCTCTGTATCCCTCCCCAACCCAGCAGCGGCCTGGTGGCTGTCTAGCATGAGTCTGGTCCTACCCAAGGTTTCTGCCTGTTAAAAGGAAGTTTTTCCTTGACACTGTTACTCATGTTAGATGAGATGGGCCAAATCCCATCTTAGGTTGGGTCTTGATAATTCATCAAACAATGAGTGAAGTCTAGACCTGCTCTTTTTCTTCAGAAAGCGTCTTGGGATGACGACTAGGGCCTGATGTATTTATCGGCAAGTCGATTAAATCGGCCAATTTTAGCCTGTTTGAGACTAATCGGTAATCGGCCAAAACTCGCCGATTTTCGCTGATATTTTCAGAAATAAAATGCGGAGAATAAGATTCGGTTTCACTTCGAAAATGTTCAGCGATTTGAAAAGTTCCCTGACTTATCATGTAGATGGCGAAGCGACCTCATGACAATCTTCATCCACTAACTACCTCACAGCACAGCGGAGTGACAGATCTGAAGCAGACAGATCAGGGACGCACGGAGGAGAGTGGTCCGTAAATAAACTAATTTATGAAATACACAATAAGTCAACAAGTTTCAGTTCAACCCACTTCACGATGTTCCCCGCTGTGCTGGTCTCGGTCACGCCGAGTTATCGGTGAAGCACCATGCAAGCTAGAGTTAGAGTTAGCCATCTGCTATTAGCCTTGCTAAACCCTTAGCCGTGCCAGAAACGGCAGAATAAACAACAGTACACATTAAGTGATCGAGCTACTTCTCTTACTGAGGCAGCTGCATGTCTTCAGATAAGACCAGACCAGAAATGAGTAACGTGAGTTAAGACACGGAGGCACCGATCGTCAGCAGGGGTGGGGGGTTAGTTAAAAACCCTTTTGTGGTCCGGGTTTGATTCATGATAAATACGTGGAATATAACTGAGAAGTGAATAAAATAAGTGAAAAAAGAAAATATGTAGATATATTGCTTAAATTTACAAAATTTTAAAACTTCTTTAAGTTTTTTTAAAAATTAGCTGATTAATCGGTAATCAGACCCCCCCCCCCCACATTAATCCATATCGGTCAGGCCCTAATGACGACTTTTGTGAATTGGCCCTATATAAATACAATTTGATTTTTAATTTGATTGATTATTTTTGTAGCTACACGTTTCCAGTCAAGAACATGATATCTAAAATACTTTTGTAACAGGCTGCAAAGTAGATACAAACCCTCAGGGGTAGAAGGCTGTTATTATTATAAATATGATCACTTTAGGGGTCCAGATGCCACTGTGAGGAGTACTGTGTATGTTCTGTTTGATGTCGTGTTTTCATAAATCCCTGACAAATGTCAATAACAAACCCAGACTCACCCTGATTTGATGGTTGATGTCATAGAGATGCTTGTGCCTGTTGCGCTGCACTTTGGTCAGCAGGGATCGTGCAGCTAGAGAGGAGCTGGCATTGGCATTTGAGTGAAAGTTGCTGCCCAGACTGCGGACTATCTGTGGCTTGTTGAGGATGCGCTGCACAGGTACACTGCAAGAGAACACAATCCTTCAGTCACTCACACATTTAAACAAATAAAAAGTGATGGATTGCTGCAAAGTTTTGTGAAATGGTAGTTTGAAATTGGGATCAGTTCAGGGAGTCGATCAGTTGCTTCTGTGCACGCCCACTTAAGGTGTGATGAGTTCACCTTGATCAAAAACCTGTTGGCTCCTTGTTTGGGTGCGTGTGAAGCTGCAGATGTGTATTGTAAATAGATCGACTGTCTCAACGAAGGTGATCAATCCTGACACTGAACAACATCTCATTGAATTTACTTGTAAGCGGGTAAACAACTTACACATTATCCTCAAGCTTGGTCACGATCATTGTTCTTCTGCTGACATTTTTATAGCTGGAGTGACGGACCGTGCAGGGGGCCCGAAGCACCGCAAGTGAAGCGTGTGTAAACAATGAAACTTAGCTAGCTAATCAAGCTAGCAGTGTCGTTAACGTCAATGTAACCACAACCAGCTTATCCGTTATATTTGTTGCATGTCGGCTTAATGTACTACACTCAAAATATCAAAATGATGTTTATAATCGAGGTATAAATGTTGAAAGACACGTTGTTTAGCTAAGTGAAACACTAAACAGCAAAACGCTCGTCTGCATGCGTGCATTTCCTGCAGAGAAAGTTTCGATGTTACAACTCCCCTGCACGAAACATTCAAAAGTCTTACCTTTTTCTTTCCATTGTGTACGCTGTACTAAGCTGCTTGGCAATAATTGTGGCTTACGATAGATAAGAAGCCAGTGACCTAATAGTAAATACAGACATAGTATTTCACCGAGTCTGGTTTGTTATCGATCCTCGCTGCTGTCTGTCTCCCGTCAGGATCTGTGTAATTGCATATCCCTCCGCCATTCTCGGAGTATAATGAGCGGAATACATCCGCCACGCTCCTGTAAAAATAGTCCGAAGACTGTACGAACACTGCGTACTTTTAGGGACGAACAAAAAGTTTAAAAAAAAAATACATATCTCCGCAGGGATAATACTTAAATACCATCTCTTTTTGCAAATCTAGTGCCCCTCGTTTTTAAACAGGCTACTACTGCCCCAATTCTTTGACTTTCGACTCTATTGAAAATGGTGATAAAACTGAAATGATGCTTTACAAACGTGTCATAGCCTATATCTGATAATAATGGTTCGGACAACAAATCAAATGTTGAAAGTAAATATGTTATCGCTTGATAAAAAATGTCTGCCAAATTTAAATTAGATTCCTACAAGATGTTTTCTGACAATAAACAAAAAACAAAAAAGATATCTCAAAACGGCTAGGATTGGGGCAACAAAACAGTGAAAAGTTGTATCATCAAAAACAATTATAAAACAAAACCTGGATGATCATTTAATTATTTGCTAAAGGTTAATTATATTACTAGGTTTGAAAAAGGCTCCACCTTGCCACCCAGAAGTAAAATAGAAAGAGGTTCACCACTCTGTGAGACACTGAGAAATAGTTCAACTATTCCAGAATAATGTTTCTGAAAGTAAAACTCAAGAATATCTAGAATAGAATATCTGTACAAATTGGACAAGGTGAAAAAAATCCACTCACTACTGGATGGCGTTGATCTTTGAGCCCTCAGGTGGCACTGCATTAAAACTCATGACTCTGCAGTGGAAATCAATGCATGGGCTGAACTCTACACCCAAAACTGGCTGTGACCAGTTTTCAAATGCATTTACAAATGCTGGTTAAAACTGTGTCATGCAGAGAACTTCTCTGGGCCCAAGCACATTTAAAGTGGACTGAAGTTAAAGCTGTCCTACGATCAGACAAATCAAAGTTTGTCATTGTTTTTGGAAATCATGGATGGTGCATCATGACGCAGAAAGTAAGACAAAGGAGTCCTCAAACTGCAGAGAAGCTGAAAATTTATATTAGGCAACAATGGGACATTTCACTTTAAAACTCAAATAACTGGTCTCCTTGTTTGCCAGATGTTCACAATATTGTTAAATAAAGAGGTGATGCAACAAAATCTCACAATATCCCTCTTTCCCAACTGCTGGCATCAAACTTAAAACAAGTGTGTATTTATTTATGGATTATTTTATGGGGTTCAACTTTTCTTGTTGTCTTTGCACTAAATTTAATATATAAAAATATTTTTTCAATGATTTTCAAACCATCAAATTCTGTTCTTTTTACGTTTTACAGTGTTCAAACTCATAAAGAACTGGGCTGTATTTTTAATCAGACTCAAATTTCAATTCTTTTCAGATGTGGGTGGGGCACAAAACAACTGAATAACTGACTCAGAATCTGATGTAGCTTTGTATATTAAACAGAACTGGAAAGGTAGTCTACAGATGTTTAGCAGATTATAGCCCAGACTGGAATAGTCCATATTGAACTTTATTAGGGGGGAGGTACTGTTTTGGCAGTCACGTTACATTAAGGGGTCCTTCTAAAAGTTAATACAGAGGGAAAGTTATGTCTGATAACACTTGATGGCAAACTTTGGTTACACCTGTAAGAGTGCAAGATACTGAGATGTACAGACACACCACCATAAAAGCAGTCATCTGAAGTCAAAACTTAGGTTTAATCAATTCCCCACATTCTTCTCTTACATGTTTGATCACTGACTTCTGCCTTTTTATGTTCAGTCTGAGAAAAATCTTACTTAACTGATCTGGTGACAGCTGAGATACAAATAAACACCAATCTGACAACCAAAAACCAGAATAAATCTCACATACTTTACTTCTTCTTTCTTTAAAACAAGTACAGGGTGACAGCAAGGACAGATTTTTCATATGTGAATCAGGTTTGACCCATAGCACAAAAAGACAGTGATGACTGAAATAAATATCTTAACACCAACTGAGAAGGATGAGAAAACAAAAGTCCATCTTTCTCTGTTTCCATGTTCCTTCCATTTGAGAGTTGAAATGCCACATCCCAGTGTGGCTAACAGGACGCTGATGTTGAACAGTTGAATGTCAGATGAGCTGGAGGATGAAGATGACAGCTTCCAGTAGCCTGGCATGCCACAGGAGCATGGTGCTTGTAGCTGGAGCAGCAGCTCTTGTCCAGTATTTTAGTCTTTGTGTAAAATAACAGTGTCGACCTGAGGGGAGAAGACAGAATCTGAGCTGCACGAAAAGTCAACATGTTCAGTAGGAAAACGCTGAAGAAACATTCACACTCCACACATACTATTCTTTTTCCTTGAACAGTGAGTGACTTTGATTCTTTAAACGTCACTTTGTCTCTAAATCCTGACCTGACCACTCCCTGCTGTGTGCTGCCACCACTCACCACCAGGTGTTTCTGAACTGATGCTGTATAACAGGAACCTTTTTTTTTTAAATCAGCAGTAGTATTTTTCGGTATTGTGTCTAATTCCGACCAGTTATCAACACTGCACAGATTAGTAAACCTACACCAGCTACTAGGGATGCACCGATCCGCTTTTTTCACCTCCGATACGATACAGATAGCTACAGTTTAGTACTGGACGATACCAATCCAATTCCGCTACAAAAAAACTATGCAGAATTACCTTTAGTTGTAATTAAAAGTTTTACCACCTCCCCACGAAATGTTTACTGCGCAGGTATTGCAAGTGGCCGTCAAGCTTGTAGGCTGAAGTAGTGTGATAAAGTTTAAGATAGCAGACGCCTTAGCTCACTCCATTTTGAAAACAATGAGGGCATCCCCTCAGCGTGTTTACTTGTGGATATCACTCACAGCGCATTGAAAAGAGTTAGACCAAATAGACTGGCCCCTATGCATCGGGCCCATTGTCACGATACCTGATCTAGAATTTTTTTCAGTGTCAGGACCAATACTGATATCAAATATCGGACGGGTGCATCCCTAACATCAAAATGTTGCACAGAGTGCAGCTTTGAGCAATAAAACAAACATAATTGCAAAAATTGAGTTCTGGTTCTGTTCTTTTCTGGGAAATGTGGGCCTTGCAACTGAGTCTTTTGCACAGTCCATTAATGTAAGCAGACCCTGCAGCATTGGCACGGGTCTGTCTTCTTTTTTCTCCTGAACTTGCTGAAAAACAAAACATGTAAATGGAGAAAATCAGAACGAAATAATATCTCTTTTAATCAGCGCTGATATAAAACTAGTGTGGCAGTATCTGCATCTGAAAAACTTTCCCCTACATTTTCCTGTTTTGCCGCACAGAGTATTTCTGGGGGATCAACCTTTAGGTGGCAGATGTGGGGTCTTGAACAGGGCCATGCAGGATGCTCAAGCAAGGTTCAATAAAACCTTAACACCCAGGTGCAAGACTGTGGGAACTATTTAAGGCAGTGGTTCTCAAGTCCAGTCCTCGAGGCCCACTGTCCTGCATGTTTTGGATGTGTCCCTGCTCCAACACACCTGATTCAAATGATCAGCTCGTTATCAAGCTCTGTAATTGCTTAATAACGAGCTAATCATTTGAATCAGGTGTGGTGGAGCAGGGAAACATCCAAAACATGCAGGACAGTGGGCCTTGAGGACTGGACTTGAGAACCACTGATTTAAGGGAACCACTGGTGTTATTGGCTCAAGGAGGAGGAGGCAACTATTAATGCTGTGTTCACAAACAAATAGAACTATCTCATAGCCTGGTTCCTGTTCCATAGGATGTAAATATGACACTGAGATTACTGTAATGCTCCAACTGTGCTCATAAATCTTACACTTTGAACACCTCCCTGAAGTTTCAACAATCACTTTTTTACTATCTTTGGGACTTACCTGAATGCGACTACTCGTCCTTCTTAAACTTCCCACTGATATAGGGGACATAATCCAGAAACAGCCGCCAGTCTGTGAAGTGGACCAAGGCTACACCTCCAACAGTGCCCCACACAGCCAGGGTTGGGACCCTGAGAATCACAGAGGAAAGTCAAGAATGATCAGATTTAAAGTAAATGAAGACAACTGATCATAACTTGAAGCTCGTGATTCACCAGTTGAATGATTGATCCATTTTCTGATTGGTTTGTAGTGAAAAACAAGCTGCAGTCCTTTAAATTAGACATTTTAGTCCCTCTGCTTTGGTGGAAGGGTTAGCTCAGATTATAAACAAATGATATCTGATATAACTAGGTAGTGGAAACAAAAATCAAATGCCATTGAGGTTGAAATGACGCTTTTGTTGTCCACTGCTTCAGAATAACTGTGGGTATTCAGTCTGTCCCCACAGCTGTGACCTCGGCTAAGCTAACAGCTCAAAGTTAGCGAAGGACACATCAAGAATCTGAGGAGGAAATACTGATCTTTCTTCTCGATTAACCGACAGTAGGACAAGATATTTTCTTACCATGATTTGGCGATCGCCATATACTTCTGTCCGATGATCTTGCCAATCATTTTAGCTAAAAACACATCCGCCTCACGCAGACCGTGCCTGATTGTAAGCTAGGAAGAACTTCCGATTTCAGTCTCCTAACTTCACCCTTTGCGCATGTGCGTAAAATATTTCCGGTGTTGTGCCGTAGAATGCATCCCAGTCGTAGAATGCATCCCATCCACTCATAAGCATCTTAAAGTGGAAGAAAATTATCTCATATTAAAAAAAACACGAGTATTGGATCATGACAACATGTCAAATGGAGCAACAAACTTTAGTTTTGTTTTTATGTGTCTCAAAAATGCACATACAGAAGTGCACTTTGGTATATAAACTGTACAGTAAGCTGTCAAGGTAGAGAACAGTATTTTTTCGGGACAGCAAATATTCCGAATCAGAGGGCTATTGTTTTCGTCTTATCTGAATAGCCTAAATAAAATCTTTAAAGGTACACGCTTTTGAATCCATCCAACGGCAAGGAAAACTTGTATTATGTCGCCTTTTATGTACTTTCAGCCGCGCTCCCGTCAGGGGTGCAATTCACGGCACAACACCTGTTTCTCCTAAGTTAAAAGCTTATTCCTAAAATAAGGTTTAATTGGGTTTCCAGTTCATTTTATTGCATTAATCCTTGTAGAAGTGTATTTAACGATTTTCCAAATCGCATAGTTCTAGACTAAATACTTAGATTTTCCAAATTGAGTATTCTATGCATACTATATTTGAAAAATTAAGTATTTAGTATGGATGTATGCGATTTGGGACACACCATTTATCTCCGTGAGTTCTTAAACTTGTTCGTTTTCTGTTGGATGTCCGTGTCGCGCGCACGCAGGTTTTGTTCTCTATGCGCGCGTTTTCACCCCAACTGCCACGTGGTAATTTACTAACAGTACAGAATGGCACAAAGACCCTTAATCGATGTTTCAAAAAAACCAAAACAAACGACGATTTACAAGGCTATGATGTCTATTCAGCCAGATGCCGTTTACTTTCTTTGGAGAATGAGGTGGAAGCACAGCTCATCCCTCTAGCGGACAAACTACGGAACTACGGAAGTCAGCTGAAGTCAAACTTTACAAGAAAAATACAAAATATAGACAAAAAACTGCAACTGTGTGTGTGTGTTCTTTTTGTGTATGAGCTCAAATTAGACATGGGATAAACATGGGATTGTTATTAAAAATGGCACATTTATTGCTACATTACTGTTATGTACACAACAGTTCTCAATATCTACTTTATATATAAAAAATAGGAAACTGGAGGCACTTTGAGGACATAGCCTACATAGATGTTGTCCTCAAACATGAGTGAAGACAAAGTTCTGGAGCAGGTCATCTGTTGAGAACAGGGAGGATCTGTTGACAAAGAACACCAAGTGTATGTTTTGGTACATTGATACTGCAGACATTTCTTTCATATAAAGAAATAAAAATACAAGTCTTTAGCGGCCACTTTTCAGATCGTAACACCGTGTTCTTCCCCCTGAAAGGCTAAAGTAACTGACAACAAAAATCATGTTTGGGGCTAGTCCGCTGGGCAACATTTTTTAAAAACTGACAAGCAGATGTAAACCGAATACTGTTCCATGTCAACATCAGCTTGCAATGACGAGCTGATGAAGACCCATTCAACAGCTGCACATGCTTCTTTAATCCATATACCAGCCAAGGGGAAAATATTTGACAAAATTAATTCATAAAAAAGATGAGACATTTAGAGTACAGTTCTCTCTGTCCAAACTGTAGATCAGGTTATTAGTCATCTTACATTTCATGACACACACTGAAGAAACAGCCTCAGTAAGAGCCATCCTGCATTTAGATGTTCTGAGACACAGCTGGATGTCACTGAAGAGTAAAGTATACTTAAACATATGTAGTATAAAACAAAGGTACAACCAAAAGTCCATAAATGCAATGCTTTCCATCGTGAGAAGTATTCAGGCACTGGTGAGTAACCATTATCAAAACTCCCAAAGTCAGGAAAATGACTAAGGCCACCCTTTTTGATTCATTTTATGATTCATATCATAACAAAAAATGAATTCTGTCAAAGATTGTACACACCGCCCTTCCCTTCCTTCATCAAACTAATCAACAGGCTCATCAGTAAGCTGGATATTAGGAAGCGGAGAGGGGGTGTTTAAAGAAGAATCATCTCACAAAAGGAGGAGCCATCTCAAACAAAGCAAGAATTGAATTTCAACTGGCCTGACAGTTTGTGTTGGGACAGGCATTCAAACAACAAATGAGTAATATCCCAAAATGTGATGTTACAGCCAGGTAAGTTTTGTCATTGCTATGATTTCTAAACACCTGGCACAAATGAAAAGAAAAGAAAGAAAACTCACTTTGTTCCTGGAATCTAAATTGAGACTCATGTTACAATTAAACAATGTAAACACAAAAAAAGCATTCCAAATGATAAAAACAAAACTCATACAACTATTTTACAAAGTAAAAAATAAAAAAAGAAATACATGATAAATCAATTCTACAAAAGGAAGATCTTTAGAACAGGCTTTGCAGTTGTTCAGAAATGAAAAGAAATGAAAACACCAAACACTGCTCAACACAGAGCAACAACCACAACAAGTCAGTCAATGGTGATTGAGTAAATTCTCCACAAGGTTGCAGTAACACTCATGATCCCTTTCAATACTCAATTATTTCTCTTTTTTTCCTTTTATTTTGTAGCAAAACATCTTTCACCACTTCCTTAGATGGTGGTGAGATAAGTGAGTTCACAATGCTGTAACAGTGTCCTTAGCTTTGATTGGACAGGAGCAGGCTGATGTGACACTGGCTGAATAAGAGGGTTCAAACTGACCACTCCACCACGGCTGAGCAGCAAGGATGCCGGCTGTGTCCACTCAGCATCCTCACTGAGGGAACACCAAGAGTCTTTGCTTGTTTTTTTTTTTTTTTGTTTTTTTTTTGCATCAGTGGTTGGTCGGTCTCCACCAGCCTTTCTTTTTCGCTTGCATGACCACAACATTAACAGATGTACAGGACTTATAGAGATAAGACTCAGGGATCCACAGTTCACAAACTAAAAAAAAAAAAAAAAAACATTGAAAAATGTGTGTCTGTCGCCATGGCAGCTCTAGAGCATATGCAAGAAATTTTACAAACACAGCCAGAGTTATGGGCTTTTCAAAAAGAGTAAGCAGCTCTCTGACTGGCCAGTCGGTAGCTGTACGTCTAAGAAACGACCTTTAAATTCAGTCAACAAATAAAAGGATAATCAACACGGCTATTTTTATCATGACCAAACTTTACTCTTCTTGTTCAATCACTGGGTAGAAAACTTGGTTGTCCTTCTTTGCTTGTGCAGAATGTAAGACCTTCTTTTCGGATGGGAATGCCAATAATTATCCTACAATACATATCCTAACTCTGCTCACGTGAGCGATTGATCCAAAAGTTTTATTTGATCCAAACGAGTTTTGCTCCCAGCATGTAAAAGCGACTCTTCAAAATGTCTTACAAAAACATCATCATAAGAATGTCCTTATGTCCCATTTCCACGTCCCCCGAACCGATGTCCTCGGTTCAAAGTTTTGTAAAGATTAATAAATGTTTTCCTCTTTCAACAAGAGTGTGCTTGTTATTTTTGTGTCATCCTCAGGAATGTGGCCACCTGCCTTGTCAGTAATGAGGTGTGTGCGTGTGTGCTCTCCAAAAGTTGATTAACACACTCTGAGATGCATGACAATGAAAGATTAAGGCCACGTGTTCTGGGGGCTGTACAATCAACAGGATCTGTAAGAGGAAAAAGAGAAAATGAACTTTCTGTTCATCAAACTTGTAATAAACATTAAAAATGATGTTTTATTGTATCGGTGTGCTGAGGACTGTTCAGGGTCTGTAAACTCACCTGAGTATTACATATGTCCGTCTCCTCCTAGACCAGGGTGACCACCGCCAAGCTGCATTTGAGGGTCCACACTGGAAACCTTTTCTTCCTCTCTCCTCTTGAGGCAGGCAGCCTTTGGGTTCAAATTACGCTCTTTGGAAAAATGACAACACATTAAATGTAACACTGTCCTAAAGTCTCATTAAACTTTGCACTCTGATATCTTGAACCACATAAAAAAAACAGTTTTGAACAGACAAGCACTTGAACAGGTGAAAGGGAAAACACAAAACAAGAGAAGCAAGAGAGGAAAATGAAGATAGGATGAGAGCTAGACGAGTTTGGCAGAGAAGCAGGGTTGGTCTTCCTCAAATACTCTCCTTCTTCCTTCTTTCTCAAAGCAAAAAGAAAGAAAAACTGGACAGCACGTGACAGTCAAAAAAAGAAAGCCTTTTCTTGAGGGTGGACTACTGTCCAGCGATGTATGGAGACGGTTGGTTGTCTTTGCGGATCAGACCAACCTACATTGGCTGACCTACCTCGCACCTGCTTCTCCAGGCCCAGTATGACCTGGACAGCCTGTTGCAGAATGATCAGCTTGGTCTGGGCCTTGTCGCTCTGCAGGTGGACCTGACACATCCTGCCCAGCTCTCTGAAGGCTTCGTTTATGTCACGCACGCGCACCCTCTCCCTAGCATTGTTAGCTAGGCGCCGCTCTCGCTCCCTCTGCTCCTTCTCCTCAGCAGTCAGGTTCTCGTCAGTCACTGTGACAATGCTGCAGCCAGGAGGAGAAGGAGGGGGGGTTGGTGGGGCTGGTTAGCAAACCCAAATCACAACCCTCCCTGAACCTAAGCCAGAAATCGTCCCTACAGCTGCAGGTATTTTCCTTTAAACCACTAATACTGTGTTTAAACTTTGTATTTTCACTCTTCAGAATCCTTTTTGCTGCTACTGGAAAGCCATTCATCTTTTAAGTGTATCTCAATACAAGTGGAAATGCTGGAGGAGATCCCAGTGGAGCAAGGCTGCAGGAGACTGAGTGGAGGGGAGAAGTTTAAAACCTTTTTTTCTCTAAGATAAATTTTCATCAGTTACATCTGTAGGTAGTGTAGGTTGAAACATCACAGAGTGATTTCAAGCCAGAAATAAATATACTGCAGTTCAGAGCACAACAGCTGACCCGAGATTTCAGGTGATGTAAATCTTGTCCGAGGTCTAACAGACTACCAAAGATTTATTGTGGGCATCCGGGGGTCCAGGATGGAAGTCGAGGTGGATTTGCGGACTATCCAGCAGAATGAGAGAAATAATGAGGGGGGGGAGTAAGGAAGCGACACCCTCTGCCATCACAAAAAGAGCCACAGACAATAAAGCCAAGAGAAGAGACTGAGGGTACTGTGTTAAATACATCAGCAGGAGAGGATGTATTTATCTGAGTGTGAGGAGGAGGAGGAGGAGGAGGAGAGGTCACTGTTGCCATCTGTAAAAAGAAAATGACACTGAACGGAGGGGAATGAATGAAAGGGTGAAAGGTTTGTGGAGGTTAATGTTGGAAAAGCAGGGAAATGCAGACGCTGCAACAGAGCTGAAGACAGGTCAAGGCACATGACAACAGACAGGCTGCTTTCATGCTAACCCCGGCTGTCAGTGACCAGTATCTGAGCAGCGGACATCAGAGCGCTCAAAGAACTCCTCGTGAAGTAAAAAGGACTTCAAATTAAAAAGGGGCGACAGTGGAAAAAGCAAATGGGGAAAACAAACAGATGTGTTAATCCAGTCAGAGAGTGAAGCAGAGACACATGTAAGCATTTTCAGACAGCCAGCTGTGAGACAAGGCAACACACACTGGATCAGAGCAACCAGCAGTCTTAAATGTGTTACCATGAAACAAAAACCTCTGAGGACACACTGAAGAATGGGCGAGTATTGAAAACTCTCACACAGCTTCATCTCCTTATCCCATGTTCTTACTTTAGATCTTTTTAGGATCTACTGCTAAAAACTATGATGTTTAAGTTCTACCTGATGAAAGCGTTGTGATGTGTTGACCTCAATTAAAAGGTCTTTTAAAAGATTTTAAACAGTGAGCAGGACATAGCAGGAGCTGGAAAATGAAGCTGTGTGTGAGTTTTAGTTTGAAAAAGAGGCTCTTCCCCTCCTCTTCCTTCCTCCCTGGACACCCACTGACCTCTGACTTGCTGCTCCAAGTTGAGTATAACGTTAACGGCCTGCTGCAGTACGATCAATTTGGTCTGTGGTTTCTCATAGCTCAGATGGAGCTGACACATGCGGCCCAGCTCCTTAAAAGCCTCGTTGATGTCCCGCACACGAAGCCGCTCGCGGGTGTTGTTCGCCATCCTCCGCACTTTCTCTCTCTCAGCCTTAACCTCCACTGGCAGATCTGCATTGTCTTCCCCGTCATCCAGACTGGTGAAGAGCCAATGGCAGATGAGGAGGGAGGGAAACAACAGTATGGGTCAAGTTCACTAAAAAAGGACTTCCCACGTAAATATGGAAAATTTTTCTGACAGTGTCGACACCTCGCTGACATGTCTATCACAGACTAACATCTTGACTACAACAAACACTCACTTAAAGGTTGATCACAGTGAAGTCTGCTGCTTATTCTAACACAAGCTCCACGTTATTTTCTTCAGTAAAAAATATAGTAAAATACTTGTAACAACTACTCCTCCCAGAATTGATTTAGATTTTTATAAATTAAATGTGCTTAAAGTTTAAATCTTTTACAGGTCGACAGTTTGGGCTCTCAAGGTAACAACCAAGTAAAAGCAGAATTAGACATTTTAACTAAATGAAATACAATAAGCCCTAAACTAGACAACTAAACCTGCAGGTTTTGACCCAAACAACTTCCCCAAAATGTCCAAATAAAAAAAGTTATAGAGGACTATATTAAATCTTACCTATAATGTCAAGTTGACAGCTTATTTCCTGACACATAAGTTACTTGAACTGTGACAGGATTACAAGTCTTTAAACACGATTGATCGATAAAGCCACAAATACGTTTAAGAAAGGTTAAAGATACCTTGATCCTAGATGGGACTTCATGTCCTTCCTTTCGTCCTCCGATTTGTCGGTAACAGAGCAGTTTTCATCATCCTCCTTGTCTTCTCGTTTCACCTCGGCACTACTGGAGCGGTTTAGGCTTCCCATCAGGCCTGCACAGAGTTCATCAAACACACAAACTGAGTGGGATCCAAAAAGAAGCCCAACAGCATCACCTTGAATTATGTAAATTAGTATCTGTGCAGCAGTGTTACTGCCCTTCCTGACATTACAATCAAGTAACCCCTTTTATTTTATTATTGTTTTCATATGCTTATCTGTTTACAATGTGCTTTAACTGTAAAAACTGGATGGCTGAGAAAGATGGTACTGCCTTAATGTTTGTGACATGTACTGCCATTCCTAAATAAAGAATTAAAAAAATAAATAATTAACTGAAAGTCTCACCGGTGAAGCTCTCAGGCTGAGAGCCCTGCTGCCCAGGTGCATGGCCATGGTGTCCATGCATAAGACCTCCACTAGAGGGCAGACCGACAGAGTCTTCATTGTGGCCAGACACCTTCAAGACAGCAATTTCACGTTACATTTTTCAGTAATTCACTGATATGTTTCTGTTTCTAGCCTAGGAGCAGACATTATTTTGCTCCAGCTGATAGATTGATTGATTAATTGATCGATCAGCAGGTGGATAATCTCACCAGTCCAGGCAGGCGACCAGCCAGACTCAGGGCTGCGCTGGTGAAGGCAGCAGGTACCCCTAAGCTGGATGAGAGCAGGTTGTGCATTTCAGCCAGACCTGGTCCCCCCTGTCCACTGGCGTGACGCTGAAGGACGTTGATCGCTTCGTCCAAATGGTCCTCCATTTTACTCGGCTAAAAAAAAAAAAAAAAGAAAACAAGAGGCCATAAAAAAGCTATACAGTCTTGAAAGATGGTTGGTTGTTTGGGTGTCATGTTTTTTTACTTTATTTTCTACTTCTTACAATCTTAGGTAACAACTCTGGCCTATCCAAAACAAACTGTCGACTCACCATGGACTGAATTCCCTCCTCAAAGTTGGGTGAAGGTGTGGCCTGCCCTGAAGACCGAGTCCACTGGGATGCAGAGCCTGAAAAAAAAGATCACATGGTCAGAGATCAATCTTCACTGTTTGCTGTGATAACTGAGCGTTTCCTTTTAACTCAGAGTAACAGTATATATTACGTGTTAGACATGGCTAGTAGTAGATGTGTATTATGCTATCTATCTCACTGCTCAGTGGCCACTATATTAGGTACACCTGCTTTCAGGTTGTTTATCCAAAAGTCTGACTCGACCATCAGACATTGCAATTCATCAGAGCAGGCGATGTTTTTCCACTTTCTGTTGTCCAATTTTGGTTTGCCCAGGCGAATTGTAGCCTTAGTTTTCTGTTTTTAGCTCCCTGTTTTTAGTAGCCTCTGAAGTGGTCCTCTGCTGCTGTAGTCCATCTGCTTCGAGGTTTGACATTCAAATATTTAGTCTTGTGTATCTCGGGTTTTAAAGTCATTTCAATCACCTTTTTTCCTCCCTTTCTGATGCTCAGTTTGAACTGCGGCAGATCATCTTGACTGTGTTGCTGCTATGTGGTTGGCTGATAAGATCTATGTGTTACGTAGTAGTTAAACTGGTGTACCAGATTAAGAAGCCACATAAACATTTAATGTTTTTGCTTCATCTGTAGATTGAACATGTCAGAATGTCTGAAATGTGAATAGAAAGTAAATGTGAAGAATGAAGAAACAGCAGATATGACTATCATCTATAATTACAATGTGTAGAATCAATAACAGATTTGATAGAAAGGCAGTTCCTTGTTTCAGTTTGGTTCAGAATTATTCCCCCTCTCGTGTCTCTTGTATGAGCCAGCAGCAGAATCTGATGTGAGACGTGTTTGAGATGAGCTCACTCATAACCCCAGTACAAATGGGGAAGTGACCCCACCCTCTTTTTATTTTTACTGTATTTTCCCTTCCTCTCTCATAAGCTATTTTTGGACGGTGTGTGTGTGTGTGTGTGTGAGAGAGTGTGTGTGTAAGTGTGTGTATGTGTGTGTGTGTGTGTGTGTGTGTGAGAGTGTGTGTGTGTAAGTGTGTGTATGTGTCTGTAAGATCAAATGCAGGTTAAGCTGTGTTCAGGGTCACAAGCATGCAAAAAAGCCTCATGATTAAACAGAAAAGGACAGATTTGACTGGATCCATCTTTGAGGCATCCACTGATGAAAATGAGATCTTTGTCTGCTGAATCAGATTGTGAAAAAGTAAATATAGCATGGTTATTTAAATGACTTCGTAAAGGACTTTAAACAGTTTGGCCACGTTTTTATTTCACAGGATGTTGTGGAGAAAGTTTGTGAGGAGCTTTTTTAAAGGTCGCCATGTGATTTCTCAGTTCATGTGATTGTTATTCATTATTATTTTCCTGGACCATTACATTTGACATGTCAGTCAAACTGAAGCAGATGCTGATCACGTTTTTTCATGTTCTGCATTTTATTTTATATGCTTCATCGATAGTAAACAGCACAGAGTGTTCCCACTGAACACTTTGACTTTACAAAATCAAACAGCTAAATGATGTTGTTTTACTTCCAATCTAAACCCAATAGATGGAGCTACGTCCATTAAGAGTCATTAAGTCTGAGTCAGCTGAGTCGGACAACACGTTTCAAAAGAAATAAATCATTTCCTACACAATATAAAAGGCCTTTGTGTTTGACAATGTCAACTGTGACAGCAACTGGCTTACACATCGGCCTTTTGGAAAAAATGACTCAAGCCATTCTCTTACCTGACACAGCCCGGGGGGAACCAGAGGGAGTAGACGGGGATGGAGGGAAGGCAGAATTGTCTGATGGATAGATCTGGAGACACAAGTTTCTGTTTTTAATGAACTGAATACATCTTTGTGTCAAAACACGTAACACTTAGAGTGTTGTGTGGAAGACAAGTCTTTTGTTATTTATTTAATGTTACTTACAGACGCCAGGGCTTTTCCGATCTCATCACCTGAACTTCCAGGAACTGCTCCTCGATTGGCTTTAAGGAGAGAGAAAAATCAGTGTAATGAGAAAAATATAAATTGTACTTGACAGTTTTCGAACACAAAAAGCACGTATGACAAAGAAAATAGATGTAGAGGGTTTACCCATAATGGTGTCGGTGCCAGCAATAGGGGGTGTGTGGTTGGGGACTCCAAAGCTGCTGGAGCTGGAGTGGAAGCCAGCAGGGTGGGCCCCATTCACCTCACTGCCATGCAGGGGGTAATTTTGGGGAGAGAGGGGCAGTGGCTGTCGTTTCTTGAAAGCAAAGATACACATTTATTTAAGGGGAGAAACCGAGGCTCAAAATCACACATTACTCAAAAAGTGCGAAAGAACTCAAAAGACCTTGTGCCCCCGAAGAGAAGTAAAAAGACCAGAGTGAGGAAGCAGGACTCACCAGTCTGTCTTGGGGGTTAATCGCAGAGAAGGGGCCATGCTGATTCAGATGGGGGGAGTTGCCCAGCATGGCAGAATAACCAGGCTGAACCATCGACCGGGCAGAGCCCCATGGATCAGAGGGTGAGTGGAGGCCGTCTGTTAGGGGGCATCCAGTGGAGGAGAAGGTGGGGGACAAGAGGGGTGAGGGAAAACCAGCCACAGGAGATGAGAAGACAATGAAGGCTACATATGAGACATGTCACATTACTGTGACGACTTCATTTGACCGTGATGCACTATTCAGCACCGGGTCTCCTAGGGGTGTGAAGTGACATACAGCTAGAAAACGCAGGAACATCAGCATTTCCTTCATCAGCTAAAGTCACAGTCATAATAAAGTCCAGCTGTGTAGATGTACGATACATTTAACATGTTCATGTCTCTGTAAGACTGAATTTTTTAATCACACACAACTAGAATAAGGAGGGCGAGGAGCTGAAGGAAGTCTGGCTCGGACTGACCTTGCATGTAAAATGGTGGTGGGTAGACATTTCCTGCCTTGGAGGCCGAGTAGCCGGTGTTGTCCCTGTTGAAATCCTCTCCCGAGGCTGATGCATAAACCTACAAAAATTACACCAAAGGGTCAAACTGTCAAGCTTAGCACTGTAACCACTTCATTACTGTGAACATACTTTATACAGCCGGTCTGGATTGAACGTCGTTCATGCACTGTATGCTATTTGCGTTATTATTATTATTAAACCTTTATTTATACAGGTTATCTCACTGAGATGCCAGGTTTCGTTTTCAAGAGAGACCTCTTATTTGTCTTTTGTCAACACTCTCTCAGAGCTCCTGAACATGTAACCAAGATTGGAGCTTCAAAAGGAGCCGCTTATAGACTTCAACAGAAAAAAAGATATTTGCATTAAAACAGCTCTTCTGGGCATGCATCCCTTCCCGAGCTTGAGTCAATTTTTACTATCTGGTTTACTACTTAATTCGATAAACAGGCTGTTGCAACATGTCTGCCGACTGGAGCACTGAGCATTATGAAGTGAATGTGCAGTGTCAGTGATTTCATTGAGCGCCATCTCCCATCTTTGTGGGGCTTTTAGGTTTTATCCTTTTAAAGAGAAACACACTGTGAATGCTTCGCAGATACATAATCCACGCTCCTCAACATTGTGCGATGGCCATACAATAGGAGATGCAGTTTGGATTTGGTGCAGAGTATAATGGGCACAAAAGCAGCAATGTTCTGAACCGCCATATCTTTCTAAATCAAGACTATTCGAGTATCAAACTGCGTCTGCAAAACTCAAATCCAAATGGACTGAAGTTTTCTTCAGTAATTTGATTAAACAGAGAGAAAAAGGAGAGGGAAAAGAGGGGAGAGGAGAAGAGGGAACGGAGAGATGCACTCCTAATTACTGAACCATCTGCCGAATCCTGGACGGCAGCCAACTCCACTGGCAGCTGGGATAGAGGGATGGGGGAGGGAGAAAGAGAGAGAGAGAGAGAGAGAAAAGGAGGGGGGCAGCGGGAAGGAGGAGGAGGCAGAGAGAGGGGGGTTGTGTGGTAGAGAAGGGGAGGAGGGGGTGGAGGAAGAAAAGGGGGGCAGAAAAGAGGAGGAAATGGGGTGCCCAGAGAGCGAGAGTAGGAGGGAAAAAATGAGGTGGAGTGAGAACCATCAAACTCCAGGATGAATTCCCTTCAGCGGTTTGACGAGTGCACTTGGCAGAGGGGAAGAAATGCGGCCATAAAGTAAAGGACCTACAAATACGACACACTATAAATACATGCTAGAAATGAGTGACTGGGTGAATGATTGGCTTTTTTCCCCCCCTTTCTTTCTTTCTTTTTTTTCACTTCAGTGGTGCAGATACACAGCTGTAAGAGCTGGATCTCCTGTATAGCAGAGATTTTACCGCTTTGCATGCCAAGGAGAGGCTCAAGCTGTCAAATGGAATGTGAAAATGGGTGCGAAACATGAAAACACAGACTCCCATGGACCGGCTGAGGTGTGCGTCTCTATGTTCCAACATTTGTGGCTGCTAGTACTCACTGAGGAGGGCAGGCCAGGGGGCACCTTCCTGATCTTTTTTGGCTGAGAATCTGAGGGGAGACAGACAGAAATCACATGGGCATGCTAACAAACACGGAGACGTTCTCTTATCACACAAGTTTAAGTACAACTACTGATGAGGGATTTTCATTTATGCAGCCCCCTTCTTTCTGAAGTCCTACTAAACCAATCCATCCATCTGTCCTGTGACGACTCATTAATGCCTCATCAAAAGGTATTCTAGTCTGATGTTGTTCAGGGACTTTCATCTTTGAGGACGCAGTGGTTTCACTCTCTTTAACTAAGCAGAAGCGAAAATCCTCCAACAGTTTTTAAACCTCAGCAGAGGTGATTATACACACTGAAATGAGAACACAAAAAACTTTCTCTCTAAAATGACATCTTTGATGATTTCTTGCCTCAGCTTTGTCCTTTGTCCTCTAAAATCTTACCAATGGGCTCCTGTGAGGGTCTTCGTCGAGCGTTGCCTCCCTCATAAGAAGAATAAAACTGGGAGTTGGACTTCAGGCCAGATGAGGGGAGGGCATTTGGACTGGACATGGGTATCTCGCTGGGCATAAAGCCCGGCTAAGGATGACATAAAAGAAAGCACAAGCTCTTTTAATGTCAAATTCTGCTAAAAAATAAACATGTATGGCAATAAATTACAACTAATGGAGAAACAGAATTTCTAGAAAAGGAAGAGGGGTTTTCTTCTGGTTTAGACTGATTTACCTGTGCTGAAAATGACGGGTACGGTCCTCGCTCAGTCTTCCCTGTTTGGAGAAGGAAATATCTAATCAGGTCATGATTGTAAAATTGGGCCTTTATGTCGATATTAAATCCCAATCTGGCTATTCTTCGCTCTCCATGTGGGTACATCCCATCTGCTACGTGTGTCCATGTGATGATGTGTGGTATTTACGGTTGTGGACGGCAAAACAACAACAAATTGGCCCATTATAAATGGTTCAGGGGCAATTGTGCCCAACCTCAGTCCCCCTCCCATGACAGTTAAACAGAGTAGAGCTACAGTCCCAAGGGAGAGCCTTGTTTGTGCATGGGTGCCCTTTACACCCCCACCCTCCAACCCCCCACCCCCCTGCGCTGAACACATGAACAAACCCATCCTCCACATCCTCCCTGATTGCCCTGCTCCCTTCATCCACTGCCACCTAAGCATAAATATGGTTTGCCCTAAAGTGGTACATTAGTGTCTAACCAGGGAACGGCTGCTCTCTCAAACAAACAACCTATTGTTCTGGCTCAGTCTCACAGTCCGCTGGAATAAACTTGTTCATTTCAATCAGCAGGTTTGTCCTTGTCTTGGTTCTATCATAACAAACCTTAAACCCAAATTCCCTTCATTCTCTGTAGTTTAAAAAAAAAAAAGACCATGTGAAAGTTGCGGTACTTCGACAACATAGTTCAATTTAAACATTCTTACCAACAATCCCTGATCCAAAAATAGGGGCAGAGGGAATGCCCTCTTGCTCACTGTAAAGGCCTTCTTCTCCATAAGCCTGAGGAGAGGACAGCAGAAGAATCAGGTACAAATGTTCACTTCTTGGTCGCGATCTTTCCAAATTTTTTAGCTTCAAAAACCAGTTTGGTTAAAGTTATAATCTGGACACGGAGTTAAGGCTTTCTAAACCAGTAATCTGGTGCATATAGACCAGCTGTCGAGGAGACATACAGTCTGATCAAACTAGCTTAGGGATGTACGATTATCACTCGGTGTGAATGCTTGTTGTTGTTGTTTTCATGCACTGAACAAAGGTGTGAAAACCCTCTGTATATACAGTCTGTCTTAATTACTAGAAAACTCATGAGATCTGAGTTCAGTCACATCAATCAAGTGCATCAAACTCAAAGTGCAGAGCCAGGTTACAGTTGATGTTCCTGTAATGAGGCTAAGAAAGTGTCAGCTGTGAAACATCCAAAATTTTGTGTTTTTGATGAAATCATCACCCAAACCTATACTGGGTTTCTCTCAGGCTCTATGGCATGACATCTTCATTGCTAGATGAAGTGGAATAAGGGAAAGGGGGGGAACACATACCCTTCCCTGGTTGAAAGATGGACTGTTCTGTTGTCCTGGCCCCCAGGGACTGGACCCACTCCTCTCATCTATACCTGGAAGACAAAGAACTGGGTTAGGCACATTAGCAGTTAGAAGGCAAACACATCTGTAAACAGCATTTACACTTTTGCAAAACTCAGTCTAACTTCGGCGAACGATGAAGTTGACCTGATTTGATACAGGTTTTTCAGGCTGCTCAAAGTAACCCCCATTGAAGAGCTTCACTTCACAGCTCACAAAGTCTGACAGCATAGTGACAGCGCTGTCACATAACGTGGATATGAGCTGTAGGAAGTTTGAATAATTAACACCCAGTATGAGACTCCCAGAATCATCCTCGACATTCTTCATTCTCCCACTCTCCTTTACATTTGCCATGGCAACAGTCATTCATCGCCCATGTATTCTCTCGCATCAGGCCTACACCTTCGCCATGCAGATGAAAGGTCTCAATCGAACATAAGTGACGAACATTATCCATTGGCGGAGTGCTGCAGCTTTTAGAGAGGTGAACGTATGTGGCAGGAGTGATTTTAAAGATTGGTGAAGCAGAAATTCCTGTCCGTCCCCTTTCTCTCCAAGTCTCCTCTCGTACTGCAACACAGCGTCTCTGGGGGAGAGCTGAGGCTTAATTGTGTACTGATTTGCATAATTGTGCATATTAATGAAGCTGAGCTCTATGAATATTCATATTTTTGTTTTGTTGTCTAATTAAAAAGCGGAGAGGGGAGAGAGAAGGGGGGGTAGAGGCGGGCTAGAATCATGACAGGATCAGCAGTAGAACAGAATGATGGGTCCACAGCGCTGAGAGCTGCTAGATTGCCGTGACAACTGTGATCTATACGCACGACACCAGCAGAATAAGAGATGAAGGAGACAATGTCTTGTCCCCTCTCTATGGCTGACTGTCACTCTGCACGTCAATCAAAGACGATAAAGAAAATGCACAAACCATTGGTTTCCACTGAGAGCCATCAGCGCTCGAGCTGACAATTCAACGTTTGGATTGTGACTGTGTTATAGTCGTGTGGAAATGTGGATAAGAGATAGTGACTAAATGACAACAAGTTACTTTCAGCTGGAAATTCAAGAAGTCTATTTACAGTGAAGTCTGTTATTGCAGCTGAATTTAAGCAGCCAGATAGCTAATTACAGGAAAAGAAACCAATAAGTGCTTCTGTATGGAGGTGGTCACCCCTTCATATACAGACATATTCAGAATCAGACAGCATATCATTCAAAAAAAGGATTTAAAGCTACTGAGTAAGACAGGCGTGGTATTCTCTACATTTTTAGCCAGAGTTTGGAAGATAAAGCCATAAGACAAGAAATACTTCAGTGTCATGATTCATTCCACTGAAAGAAGGGTACATACTGCACTCTACAGACATCTCCACATCTCACTTGAATGACACTCGCCTCTCCTGTGCGTTCAGGTGCAGAATAAACAGGTGTCAGAGATGAATCCAAACACTAATCTACTCGAACTAATGGAATGTGAAAGGGAATAATGTGGGGATTACTCATACCTAAGGGGGCTGGATTATGGAATTAATATGATATGTGTATATGTATATACACACAATATGCAATAAATTTGGGCATACACTATTTAACCTTTTAAAGTATTCGATGTGAAAACTGCTGAATACAAAAAACTCTGATTCATAAAGTTACACACAAACATTTGTCAGTTGGGCCGGGAATCAGTAGTGGCCCCACGATACGATATTATCACGACACTTGGGCCACGATATGATGTTATTGTGATTTTTAACATTTTGCAATACAGTGAATATTGTGATACAATATATTGCGATTTATACAATTTTTAAAACAGTTAAGCTAATTTAGCATTTGCCTTTCCTTTATATTTGTCTTATTTTCATGTAGTACATCTTGCAAACCTAATATATACTTTTGTACTAACTTTCTTCTGCTCTATGATGTCACCTCTGCCAACCTCACTGGACAAACAGTTAATTTTATTTTCCCATTATCATAGATTTGACTTAATATTAGCAATTAATTTGAAAAATATCAATACTTTGGTAAATGAGACGATACGATATATCGCCAGACAAAATATCACAATACTATGCTGCATTGATTCTTTCTCCCACTCGTGGATTACACTGTGATGAGCTCATGATATCATTCAGGTACTGTTATAGTTTTATTTGATCAATCATCAATTCTCTCTAAAAAAGAATCTCTGTTATTTTCCATGATAGAAGTCAACAGCCTCACAGACTGTATATTGTATGTAGTGCTCTGGAGCTCCACAGCACATACTGGTTTAACACTGAACATACACATATGTGCTCTGAGTTAGGACATCATATGCCACCACACCTTTGTTATGCTGAGTGACTGCCTGACTCACATTGTTCAGGACACTATTTCACTTTGAGGACTTTTTTTTTCTCTCGAGCTCAGCTGCATCCGTTGGTTGGTGGGTAGAGGGGCTTATAAGTGACCACAGATCAACTCATGTTTAACAGGTACCAGCCTGAAAAATATCATGTAAGAGCATCGGTATGTGAAACTGGTGGAGTTTACCCGCTATGGTTACTCTGTGCATCTGGTCAGAGTGGTTTCAGAAAAACTACACTTGATGGGTTTTTCCCTCTGAATTGCAAAACCTAAGACCCCCTTGAAGTTGTTTTCTTGAGACTGGCTTTTATGTGGTTGTGTAAACACAGCTTATCGTTTAAAAACTCTGTCAGCATCCCCATTAAACTCAAACAGATGACTAAATAAGGCCTTTCTACCTTCTATCATGACCAATATTTTAATTCGAATTCGCCTCTTTGATGACGATCCTAGTCGACAAAGTGGTTCACTTGTTCAGACACATTCAAGTCTGAGGAAATATCTGCATTCACTCCGATTAAAATGCTTCAAGATTGCAGTTTTAACCATCACCGGATGAAAAACATACAAAAAAAAAAATTATAAACATATTTGAAACACATGTTTGGTGACGTCAGTGACCCAACTTTTTCAACAATTGGAGATGTTTGTTTCCTCTTCAACACAGTCTCCTGTTAGATGTCTTTGATCCATGCTCATCCTGTTCTTATTTTGTTTGACATGTCGTTTTTAAATCACCGCCCTATTGGCCTACACGGCCCCTTATGGGGTTCAAATTTGAAGTTCTTTAGCATATCAAACTTCTGTTGTGACAAGAGTCATTGTGGCGCATTTATACGATTTCTACACCAATTTGAAACTAAACCACATTTTGACGGACAAAATCTAACAGAAATCTGTGTCAGGATACCCATTAGTGCTACAATAAGTGCCAAAACCAGAGGGAAACTATGAGTAGTGCTCGACTCAGACTAACAGGACTAGAGAGAGAAAGATGAAGAGAAGAGTGAGTAACATCAGACAAATTCTCTGGTGAACCCCGGTGCACTTCTCCTCCCAGCATGCAACGCCCCTTTAAGCATGGCTAGTCTATAATTACACAGGAAGAGATACTGGGAACAGACAGCCGGCCTGAGTCATAAGCTTCATGAGCAAAAACTCCGGCACATACATTGACCAAACTTGCAGACAAGCCTTGGTTTTTACAGGAACACTGCCTCAGGCACCTTTAACTGCGTGTGCCTCTTTGTCTACACACCTTCTTCCTTCCCCTGGCAAAGTGAGTCACACAGACACAAAGCATGATGTCAGATCAAATCTCAAGAGACTGAACACTGTTAATAAAATCCCGAACAATGTACAATAACACAGGCCTAGCTGTTTTAACCTGTGAGTCACCAGAGACTTCTCCAACACAAGTGCGCTCATATCCATTAAAAAAGTACGGATTACATTAGATAGCCTCCAACACTGGCCCTGAGTTAAACAACATACACACTATGATACACTTGAGCTGCGATTCAGATTTCATACATCAAAACCACTTGTTTTTCACCGATACATCTGTTTTTATCTATTAAACATTTTATGCAAATCTGAAACTTCCCCCCTCTTGCATTTCAGAGGCGTAGGAAACTGTAAAAATATATTTTGGGATTTTCACTTTCCAGAGAGCAAAAAATGAAAGTGCTCGAACTGACTCGCGAAAAAAAGGATTGAAGAGACACAGATGTATTACCATGGGGAGGAACCTCACAGCCTAGCATGTTAAACCTCAGCATATCCAAAACCCCAACCACACCAGGAGAAAGGCATCTCATGGCAGATGTTTAATCCTTTAACCAGATACACCAGTCGAATACCCAGCAGTGCTGAATTTTGGGTTTTCTCTGTCTTGTGAAACAAGAGTTTAGTTTTTTTTTTCATGTAGAAACACAAAAATAACAAACAGCAGACAACAAAGCGACAAAAGGTTCCCTGAAGAGCACTTGTACATCCACCAGCCTTGCACCTTAGGTGCGGGTAGCAAAATACAGTTAGTGAGCACAGGTTTAGGTTTGGTTTGGGTGAGACTGCCTACCAAAAACTCATCATAGAGTATCATACAGACATCACAACTAAGCAGTCAATAAAATGTGCATAGTCCTGTCCATGTAAACATTTAATCCTGTTTTCCAACCTTATGAATGTCAGTATATGTAAGTTAGATCTTGGTGTTGAGATGATCTCCATTAAGACGTCAACTGCATTTTTATACCAGACACAGCATGAGCAGTGTTCAACACTAAAAGGATGGATTTTGGGTGGAGTATATTTTTAAGCCGATGGACAATGACAAGAGCAGACGTTGGGTTGATAACATCACTGTGTCTCCTCTAGAAGCGCACACCTCGCAAAAAAAGTAACTGCGAGTGGCCCTCAAGAGAATACGAGAAAAAAGAGCCCCCCTGAACTCCACCCTGTCACTGCTGGCTTTTGTTTTTTCATCTTAACTTCAATATCCTGTTTCATTTCAGAGTGAAGACCTACTGCGCTTCAGGAGATGGTGACAGAAAAAGGTTAAGGAGGGGGCGAGCGGATCTACTGAAGCAAGTGAAAATCAGGTCGATTTAAAAGCGTCTTACTTTGATTTAAGCGGCAGAAATACAAAAAAGACCTGCGATGATAACATAAGGAGAGGGGAATCTCCAGTTTCACTTACTCACTATTATCTAAGGGTAGAGAACAAGGTGCTAAATTATAGTTTAAGAAAATACACCCCGTGTGACAGCAAGCATGGGAGGGTTCACTGGGATGTTCCCATCACCCCCCACCCTCCTGCCTTTGTCCTCAAGTGATTGAATGGCTACAGCTGAGAAGGTGAGGGAAGGGACACCTGCGAGGCGAGAGTGAAGTGTAAAGGAGAAGACGCTTGAGCTACATAACATGAGGAGACAGGACTGGCACTGTTTCCTGGGGTTTCACCCGAATATCTGCAAACAAACACGACTCACAACCAGAAAAGGAGTACGGGTCAAGTTTTGTACTCTATGAACAAACAAAAAACCATGATGAGGCTCTATCAGCACATTACTGTCACGGTGTACTGTTGAGAAGATTTACGACCCAACCGGAGCAGTTCAACATCCGTATGAGGAAGAAAATGAAGTGAAATTACTTGAACTATTTCATTACAGCGTATACAAAACCCTCTCTTGGTTGGATCCATAGGAAGAGTGTGTTGTTTTTATATAATATAAATTAACCGATGAAAGAAAGAAAAATTGAACATTGGTTTGAATTTTGTTTTTCATCTTACCTGAACCTCCAAACTGACTGGCGAGAGTAGTTGGCCGGTTCTTGCCATTTGAAACCGGAAGCTCAAACATCTGAAATGATAGAAAATTACAGTTTAACAATTCAGCCAAGTCCACATTTACATTCCTTCCTCCCTCTTGTGAAATGTCCCCTAGTTGGTGGTTCATACTTTTTAATCTTGGCTCCTGCCCTATCGAGCCAACACCTACAATGGGCATGACACAATCTACACATACCAGCTCTGACTGAGTGACAGCTAAAATTAAAGTGAGCTGATGTAATAGAACTGCAACTGATCAAAGCCTGACCAACTGACCCAGTCAGGAATGTCCTAAAATTCATTCACATTTCAACCTATAACATACTATTATGTAAGCTGAATGATATGTTAATCTGTGAACATGAAATTAACTATAAATTAAAGCATGATTAAGAGAGATCTTACAGCGCTAAAATCCAGCAAGTCGTTGAGCTCTTTGTCCGTTTCCACTGTAGCCATTCTCTGCTGCTGTTCACTCGTGGCTCTCGGTGTCAGCAAGCGGCTACAAGGGAAGGAGACGATGATGTGAGTGTGCTGTCAACATGCTTTAATGTGACCCAAGTCTGTTTTTCTCATTCAGGTATCAATGACGTGACAACATCATGACCTTTCAACAAAATATCAAACCAAAACTCGCACACAGATGTGGGTTTGTGGTCAAAATGAGGGTGTATACAGCTAATAGAGCAGTTTGAGGCATTCAGATTGACTTTACTCAGCTGAACAAAAGTTAAGGGTGTTGCAGAGGGGTAGGCAAGCAGTGATGTAATGCTTTAGGGCAACTGGGCCTTTAAAAATAAAGTTAAACTGGACACATGTTTAAACCTGTCTCTTGAGCGCCAGTGTTGTTGCATCTTGTAAACGATATGTCTTCTTTTGTTGCTGTGTCCCTGATATTTCAACAATACAAACAAAACTGAGAGTAAAATGACACAACTAAGAACACTGAGCTTGTCTCTAAAGATCTCCCTTGTTAAGCTGGGATAACCACAATACCACACACAATACCGGACAATTGAGTCCGGTATTGTGGAATTGAGTCATAAAGTAAATCTGATATCTATTTCTTATCGGCTTTACACAGCAGATAAAGATTCAGGTATGAATCAAAAGCAGTCACTACAAACACAATAACATCCATGAAATACGCAAAACAAAACAATCAAGTTAGCTTTTAAAAGAGTGGTGCCTGATTTCATGTCATCTTTTCAAATTATCAATCAAAATCCTGAATAGCTCCAATCTACCCAGCAAAAGTGAAACACTACATGATCAGAATGATAAACAACAACATGTAAACAGAGCCACTTCCAGGAATTTCAGTATAAGCCTACATCTGACACGATTTAGCCACAGGCCACACTGCACATGCTGTTTGTCAGGCCCTGAGCTCAGGCTGCTTTCTCTACCTCAAAAACCAAACAGCTTTTATGAAAAGACTAACTGAGTAATACAACAGCACACTAACCTCTCAAATTGTAAATGATGTGTACTACTAATGCTGTAGTACCCTGTGTGAAGAGCTTGTATCAAAGCACCTGTGGCCTTTTTGCGTCTGATACCTAAATAAGTGTCACTTATTAGCATTGATTTACTAGTGGAAAAATACTCGTTACCCATTTTTTGGACTTAATCAGAGATCTTGGGAGCTTAATTTCTATATCACTTTTACAAGAAGCCATTGTTTAATTTAACTGATTCACTTTTTCTGAGTTGGGAGTGTGTCTTTTATTGTTTTAGGACAGTGGTTCTCAAGTCCAGTCCTCGAGGCCCACTGTCCTGCATGTTCTGGATGTTTCCCTGCTCCAACACACCTGATTCAAATGATTAGCTCGTTATTAAGCCATTACAGAGCTTGATAACGAGCTGATCATTTGAATCAGGTGTGGACAGTGGGCCTCGAGGACTGGACTTAAGAACCACTGTTTTAGGAATTTTGCCTTGTTCGATTATATGAGCTGTGTCCTAAAAAACAAGCCAAAACCTGCTTACCAAGAATATGCCAACTCTTGGTATTTGTTTTTTAACAAATTATCATTATGGGTACCAGTAATATTCCCTTCAATGTTTCTGCATCAATTGCTGGATCTGCAATATTATAAACAATGTCAATTTTGTCTTCATCACACTGAGTCCCCCAAAAAGGCATTTAATCAATGGAATTACAAAGTATAACTTTAATAATCTGTTATAGATTTGATTGGTTGGCAAATTAAAACTAAAAACATTCAATGACCATTTGAATGATTAGATAGGGACTAACCTTTTTAAACACCAAATAATAGGTCAGAAAACAATAATCAGTTTTAACTACAAGCCTAACATAGATCAGATTTTTACTGAGACTCTTGTTGTCACAACTTGATAACCAGGAATCACCTGAGAGTATGACGAAAGACAGGCTTCTACAGAAGTCGGCCTATTCATGACTTATACTAACACATTAAAAGTGATTCTAATGGGAGAATGACTGGAGTGCTTCTTGAAATAGTGATACTGCTGCAGGTATTGTGTGTTGTCTTGTGAATATGACAAGAACAAAAATGCATTCTTTGTTGACACATGGTGATAAAAGGAAAACTTAGCTGCAGACATGAACTCATACTAATACTGGATTGAGCCTGAGGGTAAAAAAAGCTATAGTGATACAAAGGGGTTATTAACACACAACCAACAACCAAAGCGAGTTGTGTTATAAAAAAAGAGGTCAAAATATTTTGACAACATTATCAAGAGTTTTCAGCCTCTCATTGAGCTGAGGTCAAAATGGGGGATAAGAGTTTGGCCCCTCCTAACAAATGGAAGTTACATACGCTGGTCTTGAGCACCCCCACCTCCGGCCTGCCCATTTGGGTAAATAAACTTTTATGGCACATAAAGCCACACAACACATGATTACTTCAGTTAAACAAGAGACAGGTTGTGATCGGCGTGTGTTTTCAATGCCGTGACAGTATGTGAATCCTGCAGGAGGTTAAAATCATCTAAGAACCTGTTGCCTTCTCCTCATGTCGAAAAGCAGACTAGGGGCACTGATGAACACAAAGACCCGGACACTCAAAGTTTCATTTGAGTGGTCAAACACAACCAAATGAAAATGCATGTCCTTTCCCAAATAACATCTTCCATGATGTACCTAAATTGTGTAGGATGGAGTTAGTAAAGCTTTACCTACATTATTGTAACAGTAGTAGGTGGCTGTTGATAAGGGGGTGAGTGTGTGTTTGTGTGAATCTGCGGCGGTGGTGTTGGGGGTGGTGGTGGTGGGTGTCCCAGAGTTACACTTGTATAAATATGAAGATGTTTAAATTTTAAGGATTATATAATGAATTGTACTAAAATTGATTCTTTTTGAGAAAATGTAACATATCGGTAACAGGTGGAAGATGTTGCAGCTCAAATCAAAAGCAGGAATGTTCCAGTTTGCTTGAACTAATCCAAAACATTTCTCGGATTCGTCAACTTTTTACGTTTATTATACTTTTACTTCAAACATTCATACTCATACTACAGACAGCTAGTGTCCGGGGCAGCTAACTCGGTCTGTTTGTATGCTAATGTGGTGTAACGTTAAAGCCTATTGAAATGAACAAAGAAGTCTGCAGCACACATACATGACCTGGTTACACTCAGTTGTAGCAGTGCGAGTTTGCTCAGGCCGAGGGGACGAAAATCCGAGACCTCGCTTTCCCGGCTGTAGCAGTCGATTACAACTTGAACGATGCGCTTTAAACTTGATGATTACCCCGGTCCTAACGTAACAGATAACTTCTGTTTCACATGCATATTGTTTTTATGAATGTGTATCAAAATCCACAGTTACCTGAATTCAAATATGTGGCATCCAACCGGGAGAAATCAGCGGCTGGAGTAGAGAGAAAAACAAAGTTAGGGATAGGATCCTTCCCCGTGGTCCGGACTGTTGGCTTGATGAAAAATGAGCAAAGACGATATGAAATACTCCTCCGCCGCGTCGTCTCGCTGTCGTCGTTGTCAAGAAACTAAAAACCCGTCCCCAGCGCAAACCATAACTATTGTGTTACCCCGTTTCCGTATAGTTAGATAAATTATAACCATTTCATTTTCCAAGTAGACATTTTAACAGCCTCCACATTGTCGGTTCCAGAGGAGTATCACTCCGCGGCACTGCCTACGGGAGGACATGGACGTTGAAACATCAGCGGTGTCCAATGTCAACTAAAACGAAGAAAACAGAGGGACGCGGGTTTAAAGACTCTTTGCTTTTACGCGATAAGTAATCGTATAACCGCAAAATGTCGCGGTTTTGTTGCGATGAAGGAGGCACACATTTAGCTGTGCACCGCCGATTCGCAGGGGTCTATGTCCGCTGGCGGAGGGAGACAGCGGAAAGCCCAAGAGAGCAGAGTAGCAGAGTATGGATGATAATATCAGAGGGAGGGCCAATAGGATACGACGAAAAATTGACGGGCACGTAGAAAGGCCAAATATGTTTCATCACAGACCTTTAGGGCAGTCTCATTTTGCCTGCGGGATCCGTGCGCTTTAATTTTGCCCTCCGCTCCGAAAAATGTCCGCGTGCGTGTGTCTAAAATGTGGGAGTTTGCTATGGTCTGTTGAGCAGAACATGGTGGGATTGTTGATCAAGTTTTTATCGAAGGAGGCGACAATTGGGTGTATTGTTTTAACCCAGCTTCATCAAAAACAATATTTTAAATGATCCTACTACTGGGGGAAAAATCCACTAACACTAACCTTAATAGCTGGTGTTGGCTACGGTCTATCTAATACATAGGAAACAGATAATTTACCATGCAATGTCTGGTCGACCAGCGTGCCTTTGGTCTAGTTATAATTCAGAAAAGCACCTGTTAGTCAAAGTAATGAAAATAAAGAGAGAAACATGCATGAAAGGTAATTACAAATTAAAACATTTACTCTTAATGACCATAATATCTTCACAAAACCCCATTTGTGGGGTAGTTTTCGTCAGGTTGCTGTGCTGGAAGGTTAAAAAACACATCAGAATACTATGAGCAGCTATTACAGTGACCAACATTTATGATAATATTAGAATATTTCAGTTTATCAATTTGGGTGAGATTATAGTAAAGCTTCAAGTTGATGCATTTGGGGAAAAGTAACATCATACTTAAAGCTTCTTATACTTTCATTTAACTAGACTACATGAGTTTGACCATAGTGGTTTAGTGACGAGGAAAAAGGCCGCAGTTAACGTGAATGCGTTGTTCTGCCACTTTCTTGAGAAAACCTCAACTGGTTTAAGGGGAAACAACCTGAATAACATCTGTGCTGGCCTTTACGAGAAAACTCTGCCATCCACTTTGTGGTTCACACACACACACACACGAGCAAACATGTTCAGCATGCATTGCACACATGCAGCTCAAGATCAAGTCTGTGTGTTTTAACCAACATTACCAACTGGTATCACACCTTTGAAAAACTGAATAAATGCAAAAATCATGCTCAATAGAGCGTCACTGAGCCACAGAAATAAACATGGTTAAAACTACATTTCTAAAGGCTGAAGCAGTCAAGTTAGTGATTTGATAAGGGTATGACTCGGTCGTATAGTTTTGAATTCAGTCAGTGTAGATACACCAACCTCATTGTGACAAAACGGGTTCATGTCATAGATTCACCGCACACACCTGAGGAAAGACGCTGCATGTATTTGTCATGGGATTGATAATATCACAGCTCTATAGTGAACATCAAACAATGTTTAGTTTGCTGCCTTTTCAAAAGTAGGACAAACAGCATGGAGGCAAAACAACATCAAGGTTGTATGGTTAGACTCGAAAAGCTAAATTTAGAGTGAAACTCTGTTTTCCCAACCCCAAAGTGCGTACCCTTTTCTCCACCCACTCTTTCTTCTTCTTCTTGTCAAGCACCATAGTTTTGAAACTGGGTTACCCCCATGCAGCCACCCACGCATCAGGTACAGTATGAAAACCCAGGGCATCCTGTTATGACTTCTGGTTTCCTGTTTCCTGTGAAAAATACAGCCCTCTCTCTCTGAAACACAAACATTAACACACACACACACACTCCACTGCTCGTCACACAACAGTGCAGGCCTGCATGGGATCAGCTTTTAACACTAAATTCCTGATAGATTAGCCTCAGTGTTTTGAGTTCAATCAAGTAAGTCATGGCAGTTTTTCTCCTTTTCATTTTCTTCTAACTGACTCAATATGATACTTTGGAGTGTTTTTCCTCCCACGGTGTTGTGGTCAGTGTTCTCAGCCTAATATGCAAAGCTGCAGTGCTCTGAGAAAGACATTATACTACAAGGTGACAAGAGCAGCTGTTGTGCCCCATCCTCTGCAACATATCATTTGTTTTTATTCCTTGTATACATATCCTCATTTCACATGCCAGCAGAGGAAGATATACAAGTGTCAGGGGACCACTGAAACAGCAATAACAGTGGTGTGTGCTCGTGTGTGAACTGCAGACCCCCCTGCGTTTGACAAAAATATGAAAATAGCACTGTTTGTGACACACAGCATGCTACCGCTGCACACACACACAAGCCCTGCTGAGATACCTGAACATCTCTCTCTACAGGGGTCAGTCCCATCACTCTTAATGAGCAGAAATCTCTCCACCACCCTGTGGTGGCTGTAACATGTCATGCAGAAAGCTCAGTGATGGTGCGCACGGTTTAATGTCGAGGCAAAAACTCACAGCCCTGTTTTCTCTGCTTGTAGTCTGTGGCTTCTGTTGGTGCTCACAGATTTTGACCACAATCATTTATTACATTTTTATGAGTCTGATCTCTCTTTAACATCCTTACAATGGAAGCTGGCCCTTTTCCTAATATATGAAAGGCAGCACTGTTCAGTTTCTTAACAAAAGGGCCTTTTCGTTTTATAGACTCCTTACACTTATTTTTGTGACAAAAAGCACAATACTATTCTGTTCTCTGCTCATTTTTAGCTCATCATCCCCTCCCCCTTTCTTGCAGTTTTGAATTCATTAGCAATCAAAGAGCCACTGACAAACGCCCAATCTTAATTACCCTCTCATTTGCATATTTGCATATTAATGACTGCAGACTTTGCTGTTTTTCTGCTGCAGTAGTCCCCCTCCCATTCATGTTGCTCAGACATCCCACATACTGCAACACTACATCTTTCTCTGAGCTCCAGGCCTCGCACAATCAGTCCGAAGTTGACAGACATTCAAGAAGAAGACATTTCATTATCCTCCTCACATGAACCAAATAAACACATCACTGGGTTTCTTATTTCAGATGAGAACTCACTCACTTCATCAGAGCTTTCAGACACTGCCCTGCTCTAGCTGTCTTGAAATATAAGCTGAAGTGAACTTGATAGCTGGATTGTACAGAAAATGAAAAGCACGTTTGGATGTTTTCATTTAGTAGCATACCTCAGCAAGCAGTTTCACAGAATCTGTCTTTTTCTTTGTGACTGAAATGCCCCCTCTTCTGGTGAAATACGGGTAAGGCAGTAAAAGAGGTATTTGTCAAAAAAACAGCATCATATCTCAGTTACAATGCAGACCATTTATTGATAAATTGGAATTTCTTTTCAAAGAAAGATCTCTGAGTGACTTAGACTATAAAGAACTTGTGTTTTAAAACAGAAAAGAAGTGTCCTAATCCAGCAACAGCAAAGAGAGCTTTTCAATAGCAAAACCCTGTCCTGTTGTTTACATAACTAAATACATCATCACCATTTGGTTCAGATGAGACTGCCCAGTTAGAAGCATTAAGTCCAGTCACATCTAGTAAAATGTAGATATTCGAAAGGCAGTCTTTGCGTTTGGGAGAACTACTACTGGCACTATGTAAAGAGGGAGTGAAGGGTATTTCAATGTTATATTTAATTTCAATTCAGACTTGAAATTGAGGGTCATGCTAAAATGTTCAAAACATTGTGCTTCACCTCAAGACATCTTTTATTGTAACAAATGCAGCTTTAAAAAAGGGGGGGAAACAGACACAATCATGCTTAGGAGAACACACAACCCAACCTGCTTATTAAAATAAACCTATCTGACATTTTTCAATGTGTTTGCATAACCGTGTAAAAAAATCATCTCTATATCTGCCTGTACACATTTACAGATGCTGATTCATGACAGTGAGAGCTGAGATTGACACACAGATACTGTAAGTCTCACAACACTTCGGAGAAATTCTCACTGACAAATGAGGCAGAATTGAAAAAATACACAGCTGTAATATACTGTATGTTTTGATTTCATTTTTGTGAATCATCTTTCAGTTTTGACACAGCATCGACTGCCGGTCTTAACTGGACACAACCCTGATGGTATCTATAACCCAAAAGAAGGAAAATACGGAGCACATGACATTGTCAAAACTAAAATAACAAAACAGACTGCAAAAGCAGTGACTTCTATAGGATTTAAATCGAGCATTTCATCAGTGATAGTTTTTTCTTACTCTCTAAATAAGATATTTAACATCCGAATATGAACCTAAATCAAACTTAACACCGTTTTCTTAATGACCAAACTGTACAGTACCTTCCCAAACATGGGATCTGATAGTGGCCATCATTGACAGGTGGAGACTTCAGAGGCTCACCTGAGTGGGCAGGGAGGATTGGCAGAGTGTGTATGTGGGTGTAAGGTTTCGAGTAGCAGCTTCTCTATGATGTTTACACACATTTGTACTGTGTGCACGAGTGTGTCGAGTGTGTGTGTTTATTCTGCTATGCGGGTGGGAGTCCTCGGTTGGTTCAGCCCCATGGTTTTACAAAGCCAGCCAGCAAAGTCCACCTCCTCCACCTCAGAGCGCTTGATAAACGTGTGGTTCTGCAACATGGTAAACACAATGACATACAGATAAGATACCAGACATCACAAACTGGATCTTTCCAACACACTTTTCAAGTTTGCAGTTTCTGACTCCATCTTGACAGAGCATGATATACAGATTTGACTGCAGTCTTTCTGCGTCAACTGACAACCCTGTTGCATGTTGGTGTAAATAAAGATCATAAAGACACATGCCACCTTAAATATGTATTGAAGGCAGATATCTAACTGATGGCACTCACCATCAACATTTTCAAGTCCGCTCTGTCTGCTGGATTTTTGATGAGACTGAAAAAGACAGAAAAGGAAACAATCTCTCATCTGATTTTGAAAACGTTTAAGTTAAAATGAGATGATTACTGAGCAAATACTAAAAACAGATTTTAAAATATGGCACAACTAAAACTATTATCCCACCACTTTGTCACAAAGTCCTGAAAGTCATGAGTGAAGACTCCGTGTGGTAGTTTTGGAGGAGGCTGAAAAAAAAGTGAGATGTTGAATGAACATTTGATCTTGCTCCAAACAGCAGAGGGGTCCCCTTTCTGATTAAGAGGGAACGTATGCAAATCCGAGGGCATTTTTTAGTGACATTCAAAGAGTCTTACCTCGTTTACGATATAGTCCAGCAGCTCAAAAATAGCCATTACAGGACCATGACCTGGACAAGAAGTAAAGGAATGAAGCAAGGAAGATAAATAGGAATTAATTAATTAAAGAACAATGAACAGATGAATAAGTGAATACAAATATGCATGCATACTCACATACATATCAAATAATCAAAGCAGGGTTGTTACGTTTAATTGATCATGGGTCAACCTCCATTTTTCACGCTTTATTTATGGACTTTTTTGAAGACAAAGTCTTGTTTTTATTTGGAAAAATTATGACTGAAAATGATGACAAAACATACAAATTGAATAAAACAGAATGGGTTGTGTTCTTAACTCCTTTCTCAAAAATTAAACAGTCCCCTTTTGATTAGATAAAATGTGCTCTTGTGTAAATGAAGTACCTATAGTAACGGTATTCAAATACCCCAAAAAACTGTAATCGATACGGAGAATGACAGGTCTGTTAATGGGCATACTATTGGTTTTGTCTTTTATCAACATACTCACAATCTTCCATCAATCCCTTTAAAGTGGCTGCTCATAGAACCACAGTAGAATCGTCTTAGATGTAAAAATTTTGATTTAAATTATTTTGGCTTGTTATCATCAGACAGTACACTCTGTGTCAGCGTATTTCAGCTCACTGACGGAAATAAAATGTCACCGCTGCATTAATAACAAATGATCCAATATCAGCATTATTAATCTGCCTGAATTTTGACTAACTTAGTTTACTTTTGAGCCTCTTTATTCCAGATGATCAGTGAGTATCTCTACCCTGTATTTCATTTTTCTGACAGTGTAGTTCTGAGTGACAGCTGGCCTTAGCCTTAGGGGGACACTAGCTCTGAAGGCAAGGAGTGCTCAGAAGTACAGATCCTGATTATAAGATGATCAATCCTACATTTTTTCAGATTTATTTCCAGAAAATAATAGTTAAAAAAAACATCTCTTTTTTTTACTTACACCACTCTGCACTACTCCTTGTGCTTTTACTTAAAGCTGCCCAAAAACCAAATGACTCTATCCAATTTAAAACAGCAATCTCACCACTGACAGGTCGACCTGGTGCTCGGGGCCTGGGTGAAGTGCTCAATGTTTCCCCCTCATTACCATCCAAAATGGTTCGTCCGAAAATGGCCTCCAGTTCCTTTGCATCAGGAGGAGGGATGGGGAAGCGTCCGATTGACAGTTCTACGAGGGACAATCCCATGCTCCACACATCTGACTGCACAGAGTAGTGGGTTCCTTGCAATCTCTCCGGCTACACAGCAAACAAAGAGAGTAGGCTGTTGGTTACCACAGTGTACACATTAAATAACTCAAACAAAAACAAAGACAGGGGAGTAGAGGAAGGATGGGGAATTATTTACAGGCCATAATCCACCAACTTACCGACATGTAAGATCTTGTCCCAACAAAAGAATTGGCCATAGAGTCTATGAGCTGCCCGCTCACACCGAAATCACAAAGCTTGATCTCTCCACGCGAGTTCACCAGGATGTTGGAAGGCTTCACATCTGAGGGTCAAAGAGACATTTTCTTGAATTTGAACTTGACTTGACATCCTGATGATACGTAAAAATATGGAACCATTTAGAATTAACCATCGAACCTTGACACACTTAGTTGCAGTAAACTTTTAGCTTCAGAAAAAGTTTCATGTTGTGAAAAATAGGAACGACTTTGATTTACCTCTATGCATGATTTGGTGTTTTTCTCTCAGATAGGCAAGGCCTCTCAAAACCTGTTTCAAAATGAGCACAAATTACTTAAATTAATAACGTTTACCAGCAGTTCATATTTAACCAGTTCTGACTGAGTTTGTGTGTATGTGTGCCAAGTCCTCGGAATATTGTAAACTCAAAACATTACACTGAAAATGCTGAGTAAAATAATAAGGTCTCGATTGTATCTTTTTTAAAAAATTTTACACCTAAATTCATATTCTAATATACCCACTGTTTTGTTAATGCTAGTTATGCTACACTGTGATGCATAGAAATCTAAAAAAAGACACTTACAGCAATGCTGACTTTGCCCAGAATCTCTTCAGGAATCCTCTTTGCGTCTTTCAGTACCTGATCCAAAGATCCACCATCCTGTACAATGAAGCAAGGTAACAATAACACAACAGGTCTTACGATAGATTTATAGGTGAATATGCCGCATTAAATAATATTTCTGAAGGATCAAATGTTTGATATTATGACCATAAAGCTTATTTAGAATTGTAAATCTGATATAGGATGCAGTATTGCATGTTTGTCATTACTATCCCACTAAACCTGCTTCATACTTTACATGTAAGAGGAAAGATTAAGATGATTTTCTTATTGATATTTGGATGACAATACCTATCATATTATGCTATTATATTTTTTTATAGATTTGAAATCATAATCCTTGTAATAGGCAAAAAAACCTCTCCTTAGAAGATTAGCATTTGTAAAGGAGCATAAGACCACAAACTCCCAGTTAGAAGAATCTGATCGTTGCAGACATACTTGTTAGACTTGCTTCACTTCTCTCACCATGTGCTCCATGCAGATGCTGATCTCTCCATCGTTGTAAAAAGCTCCATAGAAACCCACAATGTAAGGAGAGTTGCATTCATGCAGCACCTGAAGCTCTCGGATGATCTGGTTTCTGATCGCAGGTTTGATTTCAAGATGAATGAGCTTAACAAGGACAGAAAACAGTCTGGTGTGAAGAAACTACATTCTACCATAATCATACAACATGATGAATAGATCTGAAGAAACGTGTACCTTTCTGGCCATGATTATTCCTGAGGGTCTGTGGCATTCTTTATTGACAACTCCTCCATTGCCTGCGCCGAGCTCACAGACTCGTTGAAAGTCATCATCTCTCAGCTCGCCTACCTTGGCCTTCTGGGTGAGGAAGGCCTCTAACCTTTTCTTCTGTTGCTCATCCAGGTCCAGCTCTTCCAATATTTTTTTAAGTGATTCTAGATTTGCCCTGGAAACATGAATAAATGTGAATGAATAAAGTCTTTCACAGATGTCTGTATATGAGGTAGAAGATGCTTATTTGATGGTGGGATATCTTACTCAGAGGCAACTTCAGTGTTGATGGAGGTGGATAACCCATCAGACGGAGGAGCAATGTTTAGGGGCATAGGTCTCTTTTTGGGAGCCATGCTTTAGTAAGGATAAACTATGAGCCTTGTTAAGGGGACTAAGGATCAGAATTTCCTATGGTTAGTCCTCTCCAGTTGAAACTTACTGATCAAGAAGAGACTGAATATCTGTTTTTGTAGGATGAATTTCAACCAAGTGCTTTTAATAGAGGCTTTTAGCAGCACTAAAATGAGTGAACAACGTCCAGTTTCCTGTTTAATACCTAAACAGAACAGTTAACACAACTTTAGACAAGCTTTAGGAACAAAACTCAGTCTGCATATCCAATCCTGCAATGATCACAAACCAGGAAATATCAATTCAATCAAGTTGAATGAGTGGTGCAGTTTGAGGCTAACGTTAGCGAGGAGGCTAACAAGCAACAGAGGTTATTTCAAGAGACAAGACGCAGCGGTGTTTGGATAACTATGGATATGGTCACCACACTCATATACGTTTTTAATTCCTACACAAAGAACTAGCTACAACGGAGTGGCAAACTAAATATTTTCAACACCAGAGCCATCACTGACAGCCCTTCACGCTCGCAAGCTAGCTAACTTCATCTGCTAGCTGTTTCGTGACAGCTCCACTATTGCGTGACATTTACCGCGAGCCGACAATGAAGCAGGACTTTATTTTACAAACGCTTCCTCTCGGTGGCTCCGATCCGGGTGTTCAGTCAGTGGAGTGAGGCTTGTATTGGTTAAAGTGACACTCGGGTTTACGCTTGTCCCCCCCGCTGTCAGGTGTGGTGTCTGCAGGTACGATGATCCCCAGTCGCAGTCGGAGCATATGAGGAGATGGGGGCGCGGCGCGATACACTGCGTGAGCACGGCGTTAGTCTCGCGAGAGTTAGTGATGGGCACAGCAGTTCTTTGAGATGTACTGAATCACTAGAATCAATTCACTAAAAAGATTCGTTCAAAAGATTCGTTCATCAAATCACCGAATCATTTAGCGCTTGGCGGGAGAAGCCTGCGACTCCGACCTCCTAAACTGATACACATCTGAACGGTTCAGGATTCGGTTCAATTGATTGCTTCTGGGACCGGGAGATGAGGGCGTTTGGCTGTATTGCTTTGGCAATCAAGTTTGTAAAAATGAACTTGCTTATAAGTCACTATGTTTAAAGTGAACTGTCCTATGGTATACTACAGTGGCGATTGCTCTAAGACTGCAAGGGAAGCTCGGCTTCCCTTAAAATGTCACCCCCCAAAAAAAAGAAAAAGTGGTGAAATACGTACTGCTGTGTGTACATTTCATTAACTAAATACGCACTAGAAAGCCTTCATCTTTTGTTCAGACACTGTGATAAGAAGCTGATAATTATAGGTAACCGGCATAACTTCGTTCTCATTCATCCTCGCAGCGCCTCAGCGCTTTAAACAGCCGGACGCTGGGCTTCTGCTGACTTCAATGTGGAAGCTAAAAGTGGGTTGTTCCAGCAGCGAAACTAGACGCTCATTGGATAAATGCTGGGCTTTGTCCCGCCCAATGGAAGCTAAGCTTCACTGGAGTTCTATGGCGAGAGGGCGGTCCCGACTTTCTCCCGGACTGCAAGCTTCTGCATCCATGATTGGATGAGCTGTCTGAGGCGAAATCCTTTTTTGATTGACAGCTAAACAAGCGAATCAGCGATCTTGAAGAATAAAACATCTACCAGAGCATTTTCCAAGTCATTCATTCCGTTGTTCTTAACTGCTCCGGAGACTTTACCGATCCTCAGCGACTTCTGTCTTTATTAAAAACGACTGCCGTTGTGTTTGGCGACTCTGTTCTGTTACATACTAATAAACAAATACAATTATGATGTAGGCCAGAAAAATGAGCTTCCCCTCATTGAAAGACCAGCAGCCGCCACTGGTATACTATTTACCAGGTCTGCGCAGTAAATTGGGGTCAGTGAGTGATTTCTTCATGAAAGTTTAGAGGAATTCACACTGAACATGCACCATTCCCTTGCGTACCGCTGCAATGATAGGACATGCTGTGTCCAATTGTATGCAAGTTGTTGTGGTGGCAATTTAGCAGTGAAAAAAAAGGGAATCAGACAAGAAGGATTCCAGAAAGTGTAGTTCAATGCGTAATTCGTTCACCAAGTGATTCAGGCGTCGGTGCATGTGGTACCTCGCTCGCCGGCTGCTGGCCTGGCAATGCTGTTTCTCACTTCAGCTTAACTGATGTGAGAAAGTGAGAAGCACGTTCACTTAAAAGATTCGGTTCATTTGAACGAATCGTTCGCGAACGACACAACCCTAGCGAGAGTCCAGACGATGACAGTCAGCTGTGTGGGAGCAGGCACATGCCATCAGGAATGACCAAACCTTTCACCGTAAGTAATTTTATTCATCTATTAAATACTTTCCGCACACCCACCTACTCCATTTCCGTTTTTTCCTTTGTTATCCCTTCATGATAACCTCAGTTGAACACAAGTCCCCAGAATTATAATGCTGAGTTAAAGATAATCTAAATCTAAGAGTTTCTAATAAATAATGGGTTATTCAAATTAATAAAATGCAATTGACAAGTATAAATCTGTGAATTTTATTTTAACTTATTTAATCTTTGATTATGAAATTATTAAAACGATATTCTGGGCATTATCACACAGTTGTAATTGTGTATTGTATATCTAATGAGACATTTTTACTCAACAATCATACAGAATCAATGGTTAGAGACCCTCATTACATTTATTTCCATTCAGTGCAAGGCAAACTGTGAAAATGATCAATTTGGTATCTTAAAAAGTTAATGAATATTTTACTAAGGCCTTATTTGGTGTAAGCACCATGGGTTAAATGGTTTTGTAGTTCTATTTCTGCTATTAGAACAAAAAGAAATGCAGCTATAATACACAGACCAAGAGACACAAAAAAAGATGATTGTTTTTGTTTTTTATCTTATTCAGTTCAATTAAAAAAACTATTTGTCTTCAAGAGGCAATTAGAGTCACGTAGAGCAGCAAGTAAATATTGTAAACATTGTAAAAACTGTAAAAAAAGGACAAGAAAAACACTGAGCACAGAATTCAGAACTCAGTAAGTTATTGTACATAAGAATTAGACATATGTTGAAAATATTCAAATACTAATCAAGGGGAAAAAACAACACTACAAATAATAACAATAAAAATATAAAAATAGTAATTTAATAAAGGTAAGTGTAAATTAAGAGGTAAATGTAGCGAAGTGGTTTTGTTCTGTAAAAGATAAAGACCTTTTAATGAATAAATATAATTTATAATATTTTAATAATGACTACATGGGGTAAAAATCTGTGCTTTTTTGAACAACTTTGGGGTGAGACAAAAACCTGTCTGAGTGCCCTTGTCATGCAATGTGATTTTTTTTTTTCAGCAGAGGGTGCTGTTGCTCTTCACTTTACGGCCTTCTGACTGGAGTGAAGCCCATTTCCTCTGACAGCTGAACCTTGGAGAATCAAAGAGAAACAGAGATGGATGAAATACAAAGAAGTATCTGCAAATATGCTGTGATAGTAGTTTGTAAAAATTAATATATGCTGGATATACTAAAGATCATATACAGGTTACAACATTTGATTGCTTCAGTTTCACAGAACTGCTGAGTAGCACCCTACAGTCATTACATCTGTTAATTATCATCCATGCGTTCATACTCAGTGACATACTTTCTGATGGGTTTGGCTTGGCTGATAAGGTCTGGAAGTTTGCAGTCTCTGGTGTCTGGTAGCAGCATGCCAACAGCTGCAGCTATGATGCTAATTGTGCCAAAAATAATGTATGGAAGGATTTTGCTGTACACACCTGAAAACAGAATGAAAGGCACTTGAATTAGACGGTCATGTGTTTATTGTCATCAATCACAGGACTTATCCACACCAGACATTTTGACATGCCAGAGCAGGGACATTACAATCATGATGACTCAATTTCTTCTTGCTGCTGAAGTTTTGTGGACCTTATATGGTGCATGCTCACCGTTAGGACTTCTGACACCTGAGTGTAACAGAGCCTTTGTTTATGCTCCCTCTAACACTTGTACTTGCCTCAGAAAAAAGAGCCAAAATGTGTGACAATGAATGTGACATATTTGGGAGGAAAAGAAATGGAAAGGCTCTCATGCTAACATTAGAGCCTGTCTGTACTGGAAGAAAAAATTGTATTGTAATGTTTTATTTGCAGAAATCAAAAATGGCTCAAAAGCAAATACATGTTTACATGTATGTTACATGTTTGAATAACAAAAGAAAAAATTCCTAAGTTGGCACAGCAGACATGTCGAGCTTTTCACCCAGGAATTGCTTTTAATTCTTTTATTCATTGCGTCTGTACTTTAAAGTGGCATCCCACAGTACTGATTTAAAAAGAAATCATATGATGTACATTACCATGGAAAAACTTAAAAACTTTATAAATGTATGAAGTAAACGGTCATAATCAGGTGAGTGATTTCACCGTTTTGATGCTTTTCACTCATGGCAAGTGCATTGATTTAAAATGTTTGCACAGGCGCATCTACTAGACATGAATAACAAGATCAAGAAATAAATAAATAAACGTAAACACTTGCCGATGTAGATCACAAAGGGAGAAATGATGGTGCCCAAGCGTGCAGCTGTGGACGAGATGCCAAAGCCCATGTTCCTGACAACTGTGGGGATCAGCTCAGTGAAAAACGCATAAATGAAGCTGTAAGCACCCGACACACCCATCTTCCCCACCAAGGCCAACACCTGGAACATGACAGGCATGTCTGTGAAAAACAACAAGTTTACTAAACATGGTATGTTCACTTTTACTCAAGTGCACTGCATTCAAGTTCGGATTTACTCCGCCAATCTCAGACTGTGCGGACCTTCAGGAACCAGCTGAATGATCAGAAGCAGGAGGCCACAAAACATCAGAGCACAGGAAAGGAGGGTGGGTCGAGAGACACGGTTCACAAGCAGCCATGTGACAAAGCACGCTCCGATGTCGATGAGGGCAGAGAAGAAGCAGTTGAGGTAGACATCTCCATACAGGTTACTTGTATTGAGGGAGAGACCATAGTAGACCATGGCGACAGAAAGCCTGCAGAAACAACAAATCAAGAGTGAATGAAGATGAAGGGCAGTGTTTAAAATAACACGCTGATCACCAAAACATGTCAATATAGTTATCCAACTCATTTAAATAGCTTACAGAAAATAACGGTTTAAGTTTTATTTAGTTTATTTGTTAGCAGTCATATTTATTGTCCCGCTGTAAAGATAGAAAAGTGGACATGATTGGAACTTTTGTATGATTCTGCAAATAACTGACATTGTTTTTGTTTTTTTGCACTTCATATTAATGAAATTTTGTAATATTTTCAGAAATTACATTTCCTACAGAGTAGCTAAAGGATTTCAATTAGAAATAAAACAGGCCTTCATAATTTTACAAATAAAGTCATACTTAAGATAAAGAAAAATTAATGATTATGAATGTAAAGCATATCAGTGTTTTCAGTGGTAAATACCATATATAATGAATAAAGTGGAAAGAACTGCACTTATACTTTTTGATATTTTTCATCTTTTTCTCCTAATTACAGACAGTAAATTATTACTCTTTATTGATGGCATAACATTCGAGAATTATATCAGTTCAGTAAATATTGTGCAGCTACATTTAGAAAAGTAAACTAACAGAAAAAAACATGTTACCACATGAAAATTCCCAGGATTGTAATATTTCTCATGTTAGGGGTACGTATCAGGTCCAGATAAGTGTATGTCTGCCCCTCTTCATCTTTGTTTTGCTGTTCAGACACAGAGAAGAAAAACAGGACAGTCACATCGTGCACAGTGACAGTTTGAGTTCAATATAAAATGTGAAATAGATTCAACATTATGATGAGAGGATATGAAATAAATACGATTAGCTCCAAGCACTCTCCAGCCCTGAATATGATTTCAGGTGCAGGGACTCGGTTCTGTCTGGCAGCATTACGTATGACACGCTCAGCCTCCTCCACCCGACCTTTCTGTAACAGCCAGCGTGGAGACTCGGGAATCAGCCTGAACGGAAAGAGAGAAGAGGAGGAAGTAAAGGTTAATCTTTGTCATCTGTTATTAAATAAGAAGTCCTAAAGGGGGTGTTTTTGCCTTAGGTATACTAAGTGGGCTGAAATCAAATGGTGAATCAGACCATATAAACACCAAGAAGCACATATGCAAAAAATGTTTGGGTTGAAGAAGAACTAAATGCAATAGAGGTATAGATGGAAACAAAAATGGCATAAAAAAGAAAGACAAAGTTACAGCACTAACGGCAACATACAGAGATGCGTTCTTGTGATTTATTATTTAGTCATGTGTACAGCTTTTTGCATATTTAAGCTATTTTGCATAAAGTTTTCACTAATGTTGACCTGTACTTGGATATGATCAGTGTTGCAGGTAAGACTGTTTTTCTCAGCTTCATTTATTTTTCATTTCTTTCTGCTCTTGGATACATTTGGTCTGTTTTTCAGGTTTTATTTTTACACGTGTTTCATTGTTTATGGCAGGAACAAAACAAATCAATGGATAGATTCTGATAAATACATAATTTTCCATGACTGTAAAATAATGCTGCACACTAGGTACAATTATCAGTGTTAGGACAACTCAGTTTAAGCAGCAAAACGAACTGTAAACTTTAAATTTTAAAAAGAAAGGTAAAGAAAAAACTCAAACTTTAAATTTTAAAGAGGAAGATAAAAAAAAAACTAACATTAACATGAGATTGATCACTGTTCACCACTAGCATGACTCACCACCACGATGGAAGAAATAAGAGGCTGGGAATGGCACTAGCAACCAGCAGCAACCTCCAGCCTCGTATGAAGTAAGCAACTAACGGCAACAAAGCATAGCCGAGGCCAAACCCTAGACTGTGACCCAGCAGAGTGTAGCTGACCCGGGCAGAACTGCTCAGCATCTCAGAGCCTCAACAAGAAGAAAAGCAGTCATTTGCAAACATAACACAGAAAACTGTAAACACAATGAAACTGTAACCAATGCTCCCAAACAGCTATCAGGAGCTGAAAGACTGCCTGAAGGGGGTAACATGCTTCTGCCACACTGCCGAGTGTGAGCAACACACAGGAACATAACAGGGCAGAGACAGAAACTGTGGAAGAAACTGAAGAGCATGAGGCGCTCCTTACCCAGCACGATTGATGAGATATAGTTGGATATCTGACTGAGTCCTCTCGCACAGTTGAGGACGCAGAACATGACCCAGCTGACGGAGGTGGCCTGGATCAACGCAGTGACCGCTTGTAAGAGCATGGTGACAAAAAACACCATCTTTCTACCAAACCTGTGAGGCAATGCACAGAAACATGAAATGAACAAAGTATCCACACTAGTATTTCAGTTTTATCATGTTATTAAGTATTACACTGAGTAGAAATCCTGAGTCCAAACTGTTCATTAAAATATATCAAGCGGTTCCTACATGTGATTGTATAAAAATGCAACAGCCTTATAACCCTGACTACCAAGATCAAATAGTCTGACTGTGATCTAGGACACTTCATCAACCATAGAAGAAAGCCTAACACCAATATATCCCAAATAATGTTAGATAAAAAAGAAGAAAAGATTGCATAATGAAATCGGTTCATCTTTAATTTCTTAAAGTGATATGTCATGGAGACTTCGTTTTGGTGTTTTGCAACCACTCTGGGATCGGACTCCTTTAATATATTTTGAAATGTTTTTTCTCACCTCAACAGTGTTGTGTTAAAACCCTTTTTTCTGGTAAACCTCCAATCATACCTGTGGGCATTGCTGAAATCATCTTTTTAAAAAAAAAACATATTTTCACTCCGATTACACTGAGTTTTCGTTGAATTGTAAACCAAGGAGATTCTGTAGTGAAATAAGCAATCTTTCTGTTTAAGTAGTCTTGTTTTTGTATTTCACTTAATTTAGAAATATTTGGTTTGCAACAATAATCATATTAGAAAACATGTTTTTAAATACTTTTGACCAAGATTTGAGAAAATATTGAGAAAACATGTAACAATACGATATAAAGTGTCTAATGTTAATTAATTAGGGCTTAAAGACGTTGTAAAAATTCTTCAAATCTTTTCTTTTGGTAAAACATCTACTTTTTACATCTTAAGCCAGCAATAAACTTGAATTGCAGTTTATTCTGCAACACATATTGTTTATGCCTTCTTCTTTACTAGACTCTAGACTCACATTTTTGGACAAACTAATGGTAGTTTGACTTTATGTTAGACATGAGCAGTTAAGATGTTGGGGAACCAGTTCTGAGCTCAGGACTTAACACACATTCTTTGCCCTGGAAATACAAATCACTCAAAAGCATAAAGTTCATTCAGCAAGAGAGCAGTAAAAATGATTTAATATTGTAGTTTTATGGAAGTTTGATTCACTTTTTAAGGATTTAATACAAAAGTGTGAGCTTTTGTCTTGAATTATTTATGAATCTGGCTTTGTATGGCAACTTAGTTTTGTATTTTTGTTCCCACACTGCAGATTTTACCTGTCTGAAAGCTGGCCACTTATAAACGATCCAATGAGGACTCCTACAAAGAATAAGGAGGTAGAAAAAGGGACCTTCCATGCATTTTCACACACTAGATCCCACTGTAAAAAAAAAAAAGAGAGAACAAAAATAGCCAGATAAGGTTGAATAAACTACAACCAAATCTACATGAGAAAACAAGGTTTAAAGTCTGCATTAGTGATAGTGTCATAAAACAGAATTTGCCAACATCTGGCAGTACGCAGAGCAAAAATATATATCATAACACTTATATAATTTCGTGCTTCATGATGATATTCTATATTCTATAATACCTCAGACACAATAGTAGAGGTGTATCTCTCCGTACTAAACTCCCATCCGTCCAAACAAAGCTCTGTATCATTGCCGGTCCCGTTTCCACTCCCTGTGAACCGGGAGCAGCTGTCAGGTCCAATCCAGCTGCTCGTGCGCTGCGCATCCGTGCCGTTACGCGTGGAGATGACCGAGATCTTGCAGTGGTGTTCGGGTGTATCCGAGACGAAAACCACGATCACCCCCATGTATCCGCACGGAATTGCGCTCATACTGAGCATAACTATGATCAGAACCTGAAAGAGACCGTAGTCCCCCAAGAAAGCAGTGCTCTCATCAAAGTCTTTGGTTTGTACAGCTGACATGGCTGAAAGACTCAGAGGGCGAAGATGCAGCAGATAAATATATAAGAGCAAGGTGAAGAATCAAACTAGCTAAACTGGTTTGTAATGTTCACCTTAACCATTTGTCAAATGTGACTTTAAAACCCAGCATTATGTGAAAACACAGCACAAAGTGAAGAATGTAAAGTTCCCCAGGTATCTCCTGACGGCTGGACCCTGAGGGGAGGGTGTTTATTAGTTTTAGATGAGGCAACAGGTATCCTTTAGCCAGATCATCCCTGAAAAAAAAAGGCTAAACCTGTTCATTGAGGTCAAAGGGCAATGCTAGCCCTGTGGCTTATGGCTTATGTCTACATGTGTGTCTGCTCTTGATAAAGCTCTTATGGAGACGTTTTTCATTTACTTATTTAACCAAAAATGTCCCATCTTTTTCAAGGGAGTTCTGGCTAAGAGGCGGCAAAAAAGTTACAGTTACCACTTGGACCATTTATCCAGGGTCAGTGAGGAATCATGAGTGTGTTCTTCATTAAATTTACTTTAGAGGACTAGAAACTGAGACTGAGACACTTGTCACATGACCCAAATGGGGAATAAAAACAAGTGTATTGTAGGGATGAGGTTTAAGTTGAGGTAGTCCCATGACACTCTAAAGTTGTTCCTTACCTCCAAGTCAGGGTTTCATACTGTTTAGAAGGGCAGTATTCATTCATTTAATCATTTTTTAAAATCTGAAAGTCAAAATTACAAAGTACACATCACTGCATAAGCTTGATTACCAAATCAAATTTGGAAACACACTTTTACTCCTTGGCTTTTAACTCCTGAAAACTTAGCATTTTAATCATGTTTTTACTGAACCATCTATGTCCCCCTGTTTCTAATGTGTTCCTGTGTCTTTGTTTTATTGTTCGTGTTAATTGTCTGCTTTTAATAGTTTTTTAATTTTTACCGTACAGCACTTTGGTCAGCGTTTTGTTGTTTTGAATGTGCTTCATAAATAAACCTGTATTGAAATCAAGACACTGGTAAGAATTTCTTTTAATTGTTTAATTGGACAAACAATAGTTGTTTTTTGAAATGCAAAATAGTTAAATATAAGATATGATTAAAAGAATGGAACAACCTTGATTAACTATTAAAACTATCTGTGATTTATTCCCATGAAAAAATAGATCATTTGAAAGGGCAAAATAAAGAATCTTTGCAGGTGAAACATCTTAAATAATTATTTAGCAAACACTGTGAGGCCGCAGGTCTGACTCCAGCCCTCATCCTTTTGTCTCATGTCATCGTCACTCTTTCTTCTCTCTGTGTACCTTCTGTCTCTCCTCTGCTGTGCCGTGAAATGCAAACAAGCCGTTCAAAACAGAGCGATTAAAAAAGACTTGGTTTAAGGGTGAGCTGAGGCAATCCTCGACAAGGATTTACATCAACTTGTTCTGACAGGAAAAATTAATGTAAATCAGTTCAGTTTCTTCTTTAGTGTCTGTGTGTGTATGTGTGTGTGACTTGTTGAAACAGGACTAACCAGAGAGCCTCTTTCTTTCTACGTCAAATCCAATAATGAAGATCATACCACAAAAAAACAAGCATATGGATCATGAGGTGGATTATTTTGTAATGTGTCCACTGATGATAGTGAGATAGCACTAAATTTAGTAACAACAATGCCGATACTTACAAAAAAAACCCCACCATTTCGTCCAATAGGCAGATTTTCAGGTTAAAACACTAAGAGGACATAAAACAGAAAATATGTAATTTTATGAAAATGAGACCACAGTCAGCCCAAATAAACTGTGAGAGTAAATCAATATGATCTCTATTATTTGAGAAGTACTCTTAGCACAAGAAACAGTCATAAAGAGCTCACAGCAGAGGCTATGTGAGGCAACTAAAAGATGGTGCAACACGGCAAAAAACCCTCCCAGAAATATTAACAGTACAATATGTTCCTCCAAGGATGAGGTCAGGTGTGTGTCTTATACTAAAAGTCTGATTACTTAACAAGGTTATAAGAGGCCGCCCTTAAGTGAATACCTGCACAGACATGACTGATCTCTGGTGTTTAAAGACCAACATTCAAGAAATTCTTATTTCTGAAGTGAAAAATCTGCTTTCAAAAGTGTCACAATTGAAAATATTGGCGCTGCATAAAAACTGGTCCTTGCTATAAGCCTTCAAATGCCGACGCATCAGTATGAAAGCAGCAGGTCAGTGTTTTATCTACTTGAGGTGAAGCTAGTTTTGACGTAAAATACAGTATTCGAGAGCTTGGTTCTCTGGTTCTCCACTTAGACATTTTTTTAATCCTGACCTTTTAATCACAAAACTGCTGAAATTTTCAGTAAACTTGATCAAGTACGACGAACTGCTCTATAAAAAGCCAAAAAATCTGCAACAGTCCAAATGTACTGTGAATTCATGGTTGATTCAAATTCACAAACTGATGAAGAAGACAAAGAAGAAAAGAAGAAAAGAAATGCAAATTTAAAAAAAAAGGGAGACAAACATGCAAAAACAGGAAATGCACAGCAAAGACAAAAATGATGCAAAAGCAAAAAAAGCACAAACACATGCAGAGGAAAATGCTTGCAGCCTGTAGGGGTATTCAGTAGAACAGTTTTAGCTGAAGAGATAAAATATTACCAGAGTGCAGGCTGACAAACGCATCCAGAGCAAAGTATCCGACAAAACACCACCCAATATATATCAAGAAAAACTACAGCTAGCAATGCGAATGTTACTGCTTGTAAGTGTGGCTTCAGTGAGCTGAGCAGCTTATTGTAATATTATCTGACTTTGCCCAGGCTGTCAGGCTCCAAATACACTGTGTTCTTGGTCTGTGGTTAGCTGATCAGTCTCGTAGCTACTCTAATATGAATGTTACTCCTCCTTGTCATATGTGACTCTCTCAGCCAAACTGTTAATTCAGCTCCTATCTTGCTCCGATGAAATTTCACATCACATCATTGTTAAACTGGAAACTGTTCCACAGAGCATCTCGATAGGCCTGGAGTTTTTGTTTTGTTTTTTTCCTGTAGTGTCTTGCATAGCAGCACTTTTCTTTTGTAATGTAGCTGTTTTTTCTATCTTTGGGTATTTCGCATTTGCATCGATGTGTATCTGCCACACTATGCTGCTATTGATAGAGTCTTTCTGGCTTTCTGCAGCAAAATGCAATTGTTCCATTAGTTTGAAACTTTGGCATGTGTTCATGAATTTGTACCATTTCTGAATTTGATGTAATGTCCTTGTAAGGGAGATCATTCAGGCTGCTGCAGATCGATACGCCTTGGTGGCAACAAAACTACAACGATCTGCTGGGGAACAAATTCCACGTCTGGATAAAATATACACATGAAATGATATAAAAGGTCATTTTATATTTTAAATGATTGTATCGCTTAGACTGAGGTCAAACATATCTGGAGTTTGAATTCATCCTCTTATCGTTTTGTTTTCTATTCTTTGATCAGAGTCAGACCCACTCATTGGTCAGCTGCTAAATCCAGTCATTTAGCGGCATTATAATGTAATGGACTGATGATTGAATGAATGAATGATTAAATTCTTGAGCTTGAATTCTCTCACCTCCACATGTTCTCACTCTCGGCCTCTGGATGAAGCTTGGACAAGTTTTTTTTCACCACATCTCTGCTGCTCAGAACATGACCTCTATCCTGAATGCCACACCTTTCCCTTTTTTTTTTTGGTCAGTGCCGTTACCATAGCAACACCTCTCTGGTCAGCCCACATGGCAATGCCCTCTGACCCCAGGAGAGCTGACCTTTGGCACTGGGGTCATCCAACGAGGGTCAGTGGGTCAGCTCCTGCAGGAAGACAGTAAGAGCACTTCACTGATTGGCTATCATTTGCCCTTTCCATACCCTCATCTATGTAATTGGCGTATTGACCAACTGGCCCTTTGCACATTGTTAGCAGCACCTTATCCAGTTTACAGAGGATAAAGTGGAATAGAGGCTGGTGTAGGGGGTATTTGAGTGCGTGTGTGTGAATGAGTGTTTGATGAAAATACCCCCAATTTACTTCATCTAAAAATACTGACGAGTCTTAAAGAAGTGGTTCAACTTATGAGAAGCTCTGGGACTCCACAGCTTTGGTGGGTATTTCCTTGCAGAAATCCCACTGAGTGAATAAAAGGGAAACTCTCCACTCATTCAGCCGGGCCTCGTCCCAGCGAACTCCTCTTTCTCCCTCCTGATGATTCATGCCTCCCAGGCCCATCATGTGTCAATATCTCTATATTTATTTGAGAGACTGCGTGGCAGCAGGGACAGTGTGGGTGGGGGGAGGTGCTCTCTGAGCAGGTGGAGCAAGCGAGGCGAGGGTGGGTGGGTGGGGGGAGAGTTGTGGCACACTCAGGAGACAAGGACAGAGGAAGGAGAGCACCAGGGCAAAACAGGAGGAGGAGGAGGAGGAAAAGAGGCAAGAGGAAAATGAGGAAATGGAAGCAGGATGAAGGATGAGAGAGCTGAGGGTGGGAGCGAGAAAGAAAGGAAAGACAAAGAGGTTGTGTTTAGTCCATTAACTATTCCTATGCATGGTTTCACTGAAGTATCAAAAGCCCTCTGTATTTGTCCAAATGAAGTCTGGATCAGCAGATCTGTAATTGTAATGGCTGTGTGAGAGCCGAGCGCCGACAAATCAAGAATCCATCATCCTCTACATTCAGACCTCCAACCTTTCCAAAGAAGACGCAACAAGAGCACGACAGTGATTCACAACAGCTGACACATCTCAGGCACCTGAGCTCAATCCTGACTCCACCTATGATGCTTTAACCCCACCTGCTGAAGTGAAAGACTTCCTGTATGTTTGTCTGCTGACAATAAAAATGATGACTTTTTCAATAACCATCCTCTCCTCTGTTATGTTCACATCCGGTCTTTGGGCCCTGTGGTATTATGAAGTGACCTCTGACCCCTCAGCTTTGACCCCCTCCAAACCCTACATGGTTCAGATTACACCAGGGAGTGGAGAACCTTGTAACACAATGCCCTCTTTCCTACTGGTTACACACGTTCAAAGACACCTGCATGCAAAAATATGCACACAATACCTTCACATAAAAAAATAGAAAATTTTCAGGTTGGGCTGTATGAGTTAGGCTAACCCCAATTTCACCATTGGTAAAATTCCTGTGTCAAGTCAGGGTCAGACAAGTAAAGATGCAATTGGAAATTTTTGGGAAATGCAAGTGAGTGAGCAGGGTGAAGACGTTTGTATCGTGAGGCCTAAGGATTTTTGGGGCCCAAACACCAAACAATGCAAGAGCCCTGTTGTGACCCATAAAGGGCTGAATGAAAACAACAGGAGATGAGAAAGGAGAATCATTTTCAAGATGTCTGCTCATCCTGCAGAAACTGTCATTGTAATTTTCTGTTGCTTCTTTTGTCATGCCCTGAAACTTGTCCCCCCAGACCCACCACCACCCTTATGTGGCAGGGAAGGCTAAATGCTAGGAAGGGAAACCTCAGTTTCTAATCAAGTCCCACTGACCTGGGTCCGAGTCAGAGTAGAGTAAATATTGCCAGCCCAGCAGTATTATTTATTAATAAGATTACTGCTGTTTCACTCCATGACTGTATGGACCTTTTGGATGTGCAGAAAACACATTTCATATATTAACATAAGATTCTGACTGAACCCATATTCATGTCTGCAGATTAAGATGATCAATGAAGTTACATCGATGTGCGACATGTAAACATGCACTGCACCTCTGTTTATGGGGAGTTGATGCTGTAAGATCACTGGAAGTGTCGAAAAAACTCAAAAATACCTGCTGCCTGTTTGCTCTCATTCACTATTTTGGCTGACCAAACATCTTTGACACAGAGCTGGACTCACTTTAGTATTCAGCATTACTGTTGCTGTGCTGATAGTAACATTATTAACAACCCAGGTAGGCTAAGCCTGGCATCTTATCCACTGAGCATTTTTTTGGAGTAAAAGAGGTCTAATAGACGTGTAAATGTAGCCTAGACGACAGGTCTAAAGTCAGGCTACCACAGGTTTAAAAATGAAAGTTTTTTTAAACATCTAAATTTAGACCAAGTCTAACTCTGGACTGTATCTACAGTATATTTCGTTGTATATTGCTCAATGGCTATCATAATTATTTTGGTTAAGTTCTTGGAGATCAGTTATGCAACTCACAGTTGCTTTTTGAAATAAATAGTTATCGAATAATGGGTTAAAGTGCTACGTCTAAATTCTGTCTAAAAATATACAGAATCTAAATGGTTGAAATTAGGTCTAAAACAACTAGAGGTCTAATAGCTGTCTATCACTCAGTGGGTATTCACTTCTCTGGGTGCATCAGATGTCCGTTAAAGTTTGAGTTAATCCAGATCATTTCTCTACGTCACTTCTATCAAACATGTTACACTACCCTTGCTTTTATTTCCTGCAAAATATCTTCAACCTGTTATCCTGACTGAAACTCTTACTAAACCAGACAGCGCATGCAGTTGAGTACAAGTGTCAGCCTGTGCTTGACAGTGAAGAGAAGGTCTTATTCAATGCTGTGAGGGATGTGTATAAAGAAGAAACTGGAGATAATTTCAGGGGAGAGAGTTCTGAAAAATGTCTAGAAAATTTCAGGAGCGCATGTGTTAAAGGAACGGACGTCTTCATTAGCTGTTCAACCGTCTGTGACTTTTTGACTTTCATAAATGACACTTTTGAGACATCGTCTTTAACGTCCTGTGTTCACAAGATCTTTCACCATGTTAGTGTTCCAGACAGAGACTTCATCTGATATCCAACAGAAGCGGCACATTTATCCTTTTGCATTGTAAAAATGGAAAGAAAAAGTAAGCGTATAGAAACATTTGTTTCTTCTGGCTTTTGTTTGCATGCAAATGTGTCACCTGTTTCTAATAGACTTATTGCAGAACATTTTAAAAGGCTTCAGGCTTAGTATTGAGTGCGGCTTGCTTCAGTGAATATTTCAGCCTAGAGGAATTCTTTGAAGTAATGGTCTGCTAAGTAACTTCACTGCAATGAGCTCAATAGTTCCTCCACACTACTTGCAGAAATGATTTTTTCGTCTGAAAAATCGCCTCTACCGTACTTATTTGAAGGTGAGAAATATTCGCAACATTTGGAATGTGCACTGGTGTGTGTGTGTGTGTGTGTGTGTGTGTGTGTGTGTGTGTGTGTGTGTGTGTGTGTGTGTGTGTGTGTGTGTGTGTGTGTGTGTGTGCCAGCAGGAAGGATTTCCACATTTTCCAGCTCTCTCCCTAATCTAATGGGTTATTTGTCATCTGCAGAGTAAAGGATTTTTAAAAGTCAAGCCTGGTCCGGCTCCTTCCCTATCCTTTCTCTTGCCCTCCCTCTCTTTCCCACTACCCCCCTGACACTCGCAATGGGAGATCGATAGGTTATTGATCAACTCTCTCTATCGCCAACCCACCAGACTAATCACCTTAACACCAGCCCAACTCTCCC